CACCGCGCGTATGCAATAATTGGATTTCGGTCCGTTTAATAAACAAATAACGATAATAATTCGATTTAAATTAAAAAATATTTATGAACTGAAATGCAATTACTCATTTTTATACCTAAGAGTTAATATTTGTTTTATTATTTGTACATGACTATTTTACCCGCACGTTTATCTATTAAAATTATACCTATATGTTCTTGTACGAGATATTATATAGTTTTATACCTTGAAATATGTATGCATCATTTTATTTTTATTAAATTATATAATAATAAAAAAAGTGTACGTATTGTTTATTTTCCATTAAATAATACAGATTTCTGTACTTGCATAAACAACCGTTTTTTTTTTTTGATTTCGGTTGAAAAAAATTAAATGAAAATCAAGGATTATATTGTGTACAAAGCCCTGTTGAGGAACAGTCTCAATGATGTAAAGTATTTTGTTTAATATACACATAAATTCGATACGAATATTGAAAATGTGTCCGAGTGTGAAAATTAGTTCAGGGTTCTACTAGTACTCGTATAAAATTCTCGTGATAAACTCATTATTTTACTATTCGTGTATGTGTGTGTTTTAGTTATAAAAAAAATAACGAGTTCATTCAATAACAAATCAATCGCGATTTGAACGGGGATGATGACCTTATCATTGATTTTGACGCGACATTTTTTTTGTTGGTACAAATTGGATTTACTATGGTCACAAATTACATTAAATTACTTAAATAAATAAATACTATAACTTTCATTTTCATCGCATTAATAAGCCAAAATTTAAGTACGAACTGAGTATGCAAATGGAAATTTATATTTTTCAAATCATAAGTAGAAATATAGTTGAATCTATAGCTTAATAGTTTTGGTTTTAGTTTAGTCGACTAGATAGCTATTATTAATTATTTATACTACCCACATAAATATGAATTTACCGTACAATAATTATATGGTTATAGTAACAGTGTATCTGAATTTTGTCAATAACTTTTCCAACATGCGACTTATATAGTTTTTTTTTGTCTTGAATCGAAGTTACTAATCAGACATGATGTAGTTCTTTGTCCATCGCTATGACAAAACGATATAAATAATTTGATTGATGAATGCCATGCAAAATAGCCCTCCTATAGTGCAGTAAGACAATACATTGTTTTTAAACACGGCTATCGGGCCGACCACCTAAGTTGAGCGACCGAAGACAAATATAGCTGTGCAAAATTGTATGTTTCTTAAAAGTCCATTGGATACGATATTTCATCAAATCCGTAGCATTAGCATTAAGATGACCTGAAAATTAACTGGGCTAATCTCAATATAACGATTGCAATAGTAGTGTTGATGGAATAAAATATCATATTACATTTTTCCATTATTGATATTAACGTTCTACACAAATTTGTTTTTTTAGATTTGCAGCAGTAGCGTAGCCAGGAATTTAAATGGGGAAGAAAATGTATTTAAATTATCCATACTTCAAACGTAAAAAAAAAATATGTAAATATGTGCACACAAATTTAATTATTGCACGTTTTTTTACACATTTTGTTTAACAAATTATAAACAACTAAAATAAAATTACTCTTCCGCACTATAAAATGTTTAGTTATTTTATATTGTATCAACAATCTATCAGAACTTGTACTATTATATTATTTAGATAAATTTAAACAAAATTATTCAAGAGATTGGGGGAAATGTGTCCCTTTTGTCCCTCCTCCTATGTCACTGATTAGAAGTTTGATAAAATATTTATCTATTTAGTGTTTCCAACATTTTTTAATACCAAAATTAAAGTCAAATCGATTTAATTAAATTAAACTAAATGCGAATTAGGCTAATGCACACTAATGACTGCATGTAGATATGGTAGATGAACCTTGTCTCAAATCCTCAGGCATTCTTATGAAGACAACAAATATTATTCACATAATAGATAAAAAAAAAAATGAAATAACAAGAAAATTTAAAATGATTCTAACTAGCCAAATAACTCTTAATAGCTCAAAAATCCTCAGGATGTTTTTAAAACTGTACCACGTCTAGAAATTAGAGTATTTGGTGAAGTTTCCGGTATCTAAAATTATTTTTAACTGAATTACAACAACAAATAAAATCGAGAATGATGAAACCATTATTACGATAAATTTTCCGTTTTTACCAATACATAAAAAAAAAACTTCAACAAATGTCAAAAAATGACTACTTTAATGCATTAAATAGATAGACACCAGAAACCACCACTTATGTTGATGATCAGACGAAGATTTTTAATAGAACAGTTGCTAACACACACACTTACACACACACAAAAAAAAACACTTATCAAAGTAAAACCAATACATTCGGAATCTAAAAATACAAATAGTTATTCAATAATACTAATAAACTATTTGAATATTTTGGTAGGATATTGAAAAATGTTGAAAGCTTATATGACTCCTAAATGATGATGACCCCTTCCGATGATTAAACAAATGTGATCTGGTGACGTATATACTGACAGCATAATATTATTCAATCATTTAGAACTAAATTGTTAAACATAGGGAAAATTGTACTACTACGATAAGTAATATTCCATATATTTCGTAAGTATCATTCTTACAAATTGTTTATAAATAACTGTATAGATAATTTCAAAAAAACAAAAAATAAGAGCCGATAATGGGGACAAGTGTGCCACTGCTGTAGATGGGAAGTTGAGAAGGTAGGATTCATAAATTGATAACTGTAACGATAAACCATTGTTAATGAAAAACGATTCCGAGCAAAATTTGATAAAGCATGTAGTAAAATGTTTACGATTTTGTTAATGATTTATTTATGTACCTTATTATAAATATTTATTGCAATCCAACATTTTAATTAGGAATATTAAATTGGCGATTTCTGCGTTTGACATTTATTTAATATGTTTCTACGGTGGTTCGTGTTTGAGGTTAAATTGATGACTATATTATATAGAGGGTCCCCGAGAAAGCGGGCCAGGTTTTCGCAACGATTTTTATTTTATATTTTTTTTCGGGAGAAGTATAGTAAAACTTACTCGGCCATTCTATCGACCTTCAGATGCGTTGATCCGGAAAGTGATATTACCTTGACGTCATAATTATTATGTCATTGAAATACATACAAGGACATTATAGAAATCTGCAGGGTACTGGCTGATGTTCAACAGGGGATTTCGTGTCTAACCGTGGAGGAATTGGGATTTACGTATACGTCTAATAACGTGCATTTTTTGGATTCGATGCTGCGAGCACCTATATGCTGAGAGTCCGTTTAAGTAACCCATGTTGAAGTTGTACCTACGTGCACAGTACACGTTTAAGAAGTAAAAAAGTATTTTTGATATAGGCTGAAATATTATAAAACACAACGATATAAGTCAGCGGTGACCAAACGGTCGATCGGGATCAACCGGTAGATCACGGACGGTTTAAATATCGATATCCCTTTGTTAGAACTTATTTTTTTATAATTAGTAAATAAATCAAAATAATTGCTGATCATTTTTATCTTAATATATCATTATTTTTTTGTCATTTTACAAAGTAATACAATTAAACAGCGTTTATACTGACAATTATATTTACAATATTATATCAATCTTAATAAAAGTGTGATAAAAAACATTATTTAACTATATAAATTTGAATTTTATTATTTGTATATGTATATTTATGATTAATACTTATTAATACCTATAATTTATAATTATACATTTTCGTCAGGAAATCGATCCTCAAAGGAAATATGTGTTCTTAGTAGATCTCAACCAAATGAAGTTTGGTCACCTCTGCAGTATAAGTGATTAACTTATTAAGTTAGGCAAGCTGTACGACTTTATAGTTTTGTCCGTGTATGGTCTATCGGTCCGTCAATCTATACGTGCTCTACTCCTCGTACCGTAATTTTGAAATGCAATTTTCACTAAACATTCAATTGAGCTTTAAAGAAGGTCCCTATTGATTTTTAGTCCAATCGGTGAGAAAAAAACGAGTTGTTTTACTCATTTGGGAGCTCACAATATTTAATACTCATATAGACTCCAAGTACTTTCGTGGTTTATAAACTATTTGTATACGATTCTTTAAAATTATTTGCACGTCCAATGTTGCGTGTTTTAGACGTTAAAAATATATTAAACACTGACTAAATACAATTTAGTTGATGTTTTTACACCGATGGTCAACTTAATGGGTTTTTTCTTTTTATATTTTCTTCCGTTACATACCTATATAAATAATACGCCTAATACGGTTTATCAGTATTAAAAAAAAACATCCGTTGTTCGAACAATAGTACACACGAATGACGATGGTATACCGTATACTCGTGATTACGTGATGAGTGTAGGATGTTGTTCCGTCCGAAAAGCGAGCCGCTCGGAGCAGTTACATTTAATATGTCTTTATTTTTTTTTTTTTACGTTTTAGTGACTGCGGCCTACATAGTAAACATAATATCTATAGACGAGATAGCAATCCCTTTTGGTGATGACCGGCTCGATTGGCGGCAAATGTTTTTACACGCTCGAAATAATAATGAAAATCAATTCGATCATCCGGATCGCCGCGCGCAGTTGAGCTATATAATATTTAATATACGTATAAGCGAGTAGGCGACACAATAATAATAATAATAATATCATCGTCTTTCGAGCCTTCAAAAGATCATTCAACCGACGGCTACGACGCGACGACCATTTAAGAATCCGGGGGCTTATATATTACCTATACGTACCTATAGCGTAAAATAATAATAATATAATAGCGGGTCATCATTTCTGCACGTATCGCGTTTTCGTCTTATTATAAATTATTATTTATTGTTGTTTGGGTGCCAATAATATAATAATAATAATATTATTATTATTATTATTATTATTAGGTATGTATATCTGGGTAGGAGCAAGGACGTGGAAACCGCGGCGACGGGGGCTAAGAAGGAGAACTATATATATTATATTAGTGTCGGCGGAAAATAACGCGTCATGAGTAGTGTCTCGTGGAAGTGATTGGACGTTTATTTTGAAATTTACCAAGCGTCGTACTCTCGTGTACACTTGTATTATTTTACGTCTGCACGTGGTGCTTCCGTTGGTTTTCGCAAATTATAAGTACTTATCGAATTGTTGTAAATTTTTTTTTTTTCCATCGCAATAATACAATTTAAAAACAACCCAGTATCATAAGCCGGTCGGGACGTTTTAACGTTGTCGAATTATATATTATAGCCAGAGCATATTTAAGAAAATATAACACCGCTCGATATAAACATCGACCGATCCTTTCGACGTGAAATCATGAAGAAGGTATGTATATATTATAATATATTATAATAATACGACAATAATATGTGTCAATTAATAAAATATTGTATACATTTAGAAAATTAAGTGAAAAAAAAAAAAATGATTATAATCGATTGAAATGCAATACATTACTTATATCTTTAGTTCCGGGGAGGAGGGATTAAGTCAATTTTGTATATTTTTTTTAATAATATAAAATTGTATTGTTTTAAATTATTGTTAAATAGCTAAATTGCTGTACAAAATATAATATAATTGACTAGTGCCTTTTTTTTCCAAACAAAAAGTACATCACATAATGACTTAAAAAATAAGCCAAAAATTAATTCAAGCTCAACTTTTTCAATGGGACCAAACATATATTAACAAAATTTAATCAAATATTATCATTGAGTATTTTAACAGTAATTATTTTTAATATAATTACAAAATGTCGTTTTATTCTCACTACCATAATCATTTACTCTAATAATCCATGAATATTTTATAAACATTATATTTGAATCGACAAATTCGTTGAATTTGTATGAGGCTAATATGCATCGTTATTGTATACTAAAATATGTATACATAATATGCATCAATACATAGTATAAACATTAACATAGTTTACATTTTTAGTCATATTTATGGATTAATAATAGAATACACATTGTGATTTTGGTTATAATAGAAAAGAAAAGAAATTTTTATAAAAGAAAAAACATTGCGTTTTTAGAATATTTACAATTTTACATAGGTATTTGAAAAATAGTATCAATAGGTACGTAAAACGTAAAATCGGGCTTACATTTATTTACTATAACTGTGTACGATAAAAATAACCAATAGTGTTTTTTTTTTTTTCTGTAAGAAATATAGAATAACAGATACATTACATTTGAAGGGTAACTATATTATAGCATGTATACGTATTACAGAGTTCGCGATTGGGCATACATTGTATTGCACATTAAATATAACCTTAAATTGCTATATACATTTGAATATTTGTTTTAGGTCCACATACTTGTTATTGATTTATATATTAATTCGATACAGTTTGTGTGTGTGAAATGGCATAATAATATAGTAATATACATTTATTTATTGCTTAATAAGTGTGTAAAATATAATATATATTACTACTAATTTGAATGCACGATAAACACTACGAAATAATGATAGATAAAAAATAATTTTGGATACTAACTTTGTTTACGTAGTATATTAGATTACTGACTAGGTAGGTACAAACTAATTTGAAATTAATAAATTCGAATATACTAATGCAAGTAATAAGGTTATAGTTAATTTTATTTCCAAAAACAAAATTATAAATTATTTTCACTTATTTACGTTTATCGTTATTCATATATGCCTAAAATTTTAAAATTCAAATTATTCAAAATTGTATACGCAAAAAAAGCAATTCTATTATTGTCATTATATAATATATTTGATACAAATTCTGAAAGAATATAGTTTTTGTACAAGGGTAAAATACCTAAGCGTATTGATATTTGAACATTTGAATATGTTGAGAATTAAAAATTATTTTTTAACGAGTGTGGTTTATTAATTAATTATTGATTAAATACATTTTCATAATAAAATGCATTTTAAGAACTATTATTTTATAATTTATTTACACAAGTTCAGTGACAGTTTATAAAAAATTAATATTTATAATACCTACTATTTTTTTATTTTTTTTAAGTAATTACCTATATTATTAAAATTCACACTACCTATTCTAAGATTTCAGATGAGTGACAAGGGTTACAACCAGGATCATATTATAGTTTTAGAATTTAAAGCTATAATAAATCATCAATCAATCGATTCTGAGTAGAACTCAAATATTAATGATTTATTGATTTTCGTTACAATATTCATAAATAATAATTATCAAATATTATCTAATTGGCAAATTTCAAAATTAAGCTACTTATCTAATTTTCTTCTTAAACGAAGTATTAAAAAAAATGCAAAATGTCAAAACATCGGTGTTCAATTAAAATAACTGATTTACAAAAATTGCCGACTAAAATTTATCATTGTGAAACAAAAATATTTCCTTGTTTTCGTTTAGGGTATAATATGAATATGTACCTAAATAAAACATCGGATAAAAATATTCATAACTTTCCACAAAAATTTTTAATTTTTCTAAAAACAATACTTAGATTTTTAATATTAACATTATCTATTAATAAAATATATTAATACAATTTAGGCGAGGAATGTATTGATATTGCTATAATTTGTGTTTTTTTGTGTGCTTATAAACAATATTTGTACCAAAAATCGAACTTCAATTAAAAACATTATAGAAACTTTCTTGTAGCATTTATCTAGTTGGTACATTGGAGAGGTGATTTTTTTTTATTGTATTTGTCTTTGTAAATGGAAAAAACTGTTAATTTCGTGTATTATTTTCGTCAATTTTTGGCTTACCCATGGCAAAAAGAGAAAAATACATTAGATATAGGTAATAATTTATGTTGCTTACATATGTAAATTAAATTACATCAACAGTATCAGCTTTTTTTATGAAACTATTATTAAATTATAAATAAATAAATAATATAAGGAATAAATAACATATAGAGCCAAAAAACACCGAACCGTCTTAGAATGACTAAATACTTGGTTTTTTCTTCACATATAAAAAAAAAAAAAACAATATATTTCAATTCAGAAATATATATATTAGATATCATGTCAAGAACTCCTAAGCCATTATTAGTTTTTTTAATATATGATTATATGGTTGGTTGAACCGAAATATTTGTAGTTATTAAAGAAATAATAATTTTAAAATAAAAATCAAATAAGTTTTCTGTTTCGAATAAGGTTGTTAAAATTGCCTATAATAGTTGAACGTTACGATGAAATTTCACGCTCAAATTGCACACCTATCGTTGAATTAACGGTTTTCGAACTTTACATAACAAATATAACAGTAAGCGCTCCGAGTTTTAAAATATAATATACGGTTTAAATTTTAATACAATATTTTATATATAAAAAACAAGGTTATCGAAAATAATCAGAATTTTTTCAATCAGATATGGTTTTAAATTATATTCATTAAATTTGAACAGAATGAGATAGACGATTCGGATTTTGAATCAAACTTGGCGGAACTGTTATTAATCTATAATTGACTGTCGTCGACCTTAGGTATAAATGTAGGCTTATTTTGTTGTTATTATTACTATTATAGTCTAAATTATTATCTGAAAACTCGTAAGCGGGTATATTTTTGATTTCCATGGATATAACAGTGATACGGGTTAATTTAATAATTTTTTTCTTTTTGCAAATGAAGAAACATCAATTTAAAATAACATTGTGTATTTCGTTATTTGTAAAATGATATACTAGTTTAGTGGGCATAGTATTTATACATAGTTCGACCACTAGTGTTGTGTAAAGATAAATTTTAATATATTTACATTAAGATAAAAGATAATTATCTAAATAGAAAAAAATCAACATAAAAATATAATGATCTAGATAAAGATATAAATCAGCAATCAATTTTAAAAAACTTGATAAAAAAAAAATGTTTTATTTATAACTAATAACATAAAATTAAGTACTTGCTAAAAATATTAAAAATGTAACAGATTTGGTACACATATAGATTTTAAATAGATTTTTATTTTTAGCTTAAATTAGAATTCATTTAGGGCTCATTTTAAAACAACATTTAGTTGCTACATTCCTGTATTTACCTAAATAAAATAAAAGATAAAATATACCTCTATAGATAATCTTTTTAGATAAAACACAATAATAATAACCGCTATAATATTATTCTGTCACGTGTGTTTTTTTTACTCAAGCTTTATTAGTATAATAAATTATTATAATCCGATAAAAACAACGTCCAAATTATTTTTTTCAGGTATTATTTTTTATGTTCGGCATGTTCGCGCAAACGTGTTTAGCGTCATCGGCGATTTCAGATACTACCGCCAAACACGGACATCGCCAGACCGACGCCGGAGACAAGAAAATTTCAAAAAGAGATTACTACGCCCCCGAGTACAATCACGACCAATACGTAAGTGACAGTTCAATTTTCAATTTTTCTTCATAATATAACTGATTCAATATTCAAGGGCGTATTTAAAGATTTTTCGAAGGTATATTATACTATAATATTGACGTTTTAGGTTTTTCACACTGCAAACAATTTTCTGAAAGCAAATTTTTTCCAGTTGGTGCATTGAGAAGGCCGCGTTTTTATATCCCATGTAATTTTCTTAAATTTAGGGGAAAAACGAGAAAATGTACGGCAATAATGGTTTTGTTATTTTTGATATTGTTTTTTGTTACAATTCGGTTAAAAATATCATAGAGATCCAGCATTTTCACAGAATATGTACTTTTGATAGACGTGGTAAAATTCACAAATTGTATAGATTTTTAATAAATATAGACATTTGGTACTTTTGATTAATTTTTTTTATTTGATTTCACGAGAGGATAAAATTAGTTTGATCGAGCAGAAATACTTGAAAAATTTACACAAGGTTCGTTGTAGTCGATGGAAAAAAAAGTTGAGCGTAAAATAATTGTTTTTTGTTTATTATTATTTATTATATCAACTACAATAGATATTAACTTAAATTATATTGAGTTATACATTTTAATTTTGTCTAAGGTAGGACATTTTTTTTTGATGCCTGACTATGGTCCGATTGCTTCATGTAGGTTGTCAGGGATATTAAATTCATGTTTCGGTGACAGTTGGGCAGTAAAAGATGATGTGTTTGGTGGTGTTGTATGAGTTATATGCTGAGCATCGGAGAGTTGGCGTATTTTCCATCGGGAGCACATACGGGAATTTAGTGTGGTTAATTCTATATCCATGTCTTTAACGGAGTGTTTTATTTCTTATTATTTGTTTTCCACTGTTTTGTAACATTCCATATTTCATTTATCTATAAAGTATTTATTTACACTTTTTCGTGGGTCAAAAAGTGAGGAAACAGAAAGTTTTTCATTAGTTAGGTTTTATCATACGTTCAAATTAAAACGTAAATCTTATTTAATCAAATTTAAGTTGAGATCACTCGTATATTATTAAGTAATCAACTGTATCAACAAAAAAAAAGCTACCCTGTCTTAAATCTATAAACACAGTCTGATTAAAAAATTCGAATGGATAAACAGTCTAAAAGAACAATTTTCATGTTTGTAAGATAAAAATATCGAATTTAAATAAAAACGCTACGTTTTTATTTTTTTAACGTTACTTATTGTTCATTGTTATATGTGGACTTTCGATTAAAATAGGTTTTTTCTTTTTTGAAATTCGCTTTATCCGACGTCTTTAATTAGTTTTCTGATTCCGCATCTTTTATTCTATAGAATTTACTGTGTGGATAGAAAAATATACAGAAAGTCAAAAAGTATCGTCTTAATAAAATACGCTAAATATTTTACATAATTTAAACGCTGCCCCGAACGATTGTCAAAACTCTTGATTAGTCCAACATTATGAACGCATTCATACAAAAATATATATCTGGTAGATTCAAATGTATTGCCATCGATTGTCGGCAAGAAAAAAAAAATCCAAATTATGTCTAACCGCTGTTTATGAAGTTTCGTTGATATTACGCTTATTTAAAAACTGTCCGGTTAAATTCGAAAATTCTTTTTAGCATTATTTGGCAGGTTTTTTTTAGCTATCGAGATTATTATTGTCATCATCATTATCATCGTCTGTATAAAATATTATAAAAAAATAAAAAAAAAAAAACATATATAATATAAAACGACTAATTATGAGTGACGCGGCGACGACGGCGGCGTTGGTGACAGCTTAATGATAGCTAATTTTAATTTCTCAATTACACCCAAATATACGAGCAAAAATAAAATAGAAAACCGAAAATAGGGAAGTGGAAAAAATTCAAATTGCATATACTATCAATATTATAATAAACGTACATTTTTAACGACTCGGGCTTGAGTGTATTGATAAAGCGTGAAAAGATACGATTTCAATATTTTGTAATCGGTTATAAAACCGCCTATGTAGGTATCTATTAGGGATGAGACACAAATCCAGATAGTCCGAAAAGACTGGATTTTTGATTTAAAAATACGAGTAATCCAATTTTGGATTTCAAAAGTATAATTATGGTTAATTTTTAAATTTTACGAAAAATGCTTAAAAAAATCTATAATGAAAGTTCCAAATCCAAAATCCCGATTGTAAATTAGTTTTCGGATCCAGAAATCGGGATTGTAGAATTTCGATAAATCCTGATTTTTCCCACTCACCACCAAGTAAAACTTTATTGTAAATATTATTATACTTATCAAGTGGAAGATATTTAAGACCTATTAAATACACACTAAGAGATGAGTGGAGGAAAAGAAGAATATTGAACTTAGAGACACTCTTTCACAAACCGAATATACTGAAAACGATAGGACACAAAAAATAACGTAGGGCTAGGAATGTTTGGTGCAATCTTTCACATGCAGTATTTGAAGAAAATCCTACAGAGAAAAGACGACTTAGGGAGAAGATACGTGAAAGCGTTAGGTGGCGGTATACGGACTGGAAAATAAAGACATCGAATAGGGAAAACTGGAGGCAAAGCTGTTTGACAGGATCATCTTAGTGGCTGATTTATCTAAGAAGAAGACAAATTAAGCCAGAGCATATTTTTAATCCTATGATTCCCTAAATTCCTATTAAACATTCACGCAATAATGTCCTAATGAAAATTGCAAAAATCTTTATGTTCACAAAAAAAAGCAGATATTACGGATGCGCCACTGGAAAGTCGATAATGACATGGGATAAGAAAGAAGTAATTTGATTTATACCTATACATAATGATAAACTATTGTAAACGAAAAACGATTTGAAGAGAAGTTTGATTAAACATTTCTGGAAACACCGTTAATACATCAATTTGAACTTTAAAAAACACTTATTGAAAAACATTCGCCATATTTTTATTGTAAGAAAAAAATCTCGATGAACCTAGTATAAGTAGCTAATTTTCAAATATTTTTCATAGGCCGAAAAAATTTGACCACGTCTAGAAGAATGTAATTTTTTGGTTTCAAAGATTTGTATAAACTGAATTGCAGCAAACAAAATAAAATAAAATGGAAATCCGTTACACTGCGTGCATATTCCTTATGTTTTATCCGATTACTAAAAAAACTATAAGGAATATTGACAAATCACTTCCTGAATCCACCAACCTAGACGACACAGATGATCCGGTATAAAATTCCGCATACAAAATATTGTTGCATGATTTTCGCTATACGAGTACGCTGCAGGGTATATAGTATTGTCACTATCTATTTTTTTCGAACTGCCAATGAAAACACGCAAAAGCATACACAAACTGAAACACCCTTATAATACAATATCGATAAGTGCGTGTGCTAACCATTGAAATTAAACGTCGAACCTTTATTATTACGGATCGACATTGAAAAGAACCGGACAAACTGTATTAGGTATACCGTCGAAAATCTCGCGACAAAAAATTAACTAAACGCGGCATTATAATGTTTAAAAATTTAAGGTACCTACCTATAGGCGCGTATTTTTTATTCTGTTCGTCACGATTATGTAGCGTCATTTAAAAAAAAAAAAAAAACGTAGAAAAAATGTGTGAAAAAAAAAACAAAACCATTTTGAACGGTTATCTCGCGCGTTTTTAAGAGATAATTACGGTACAATACTTTTTTAAAATCCTGAACGTACCTATGTACCTGCATGTAAAACTCGTAATAATCGACCGTCACGCCGCGTATAATACAATATAATAATAATAATAATACTCGTAATATTCAGCAGTTCGGACGCGTGTTTCGTAAGTCGGATTAAAAAAAAAAAAAAAAATTAGACATCCGTTTGACCATATAATAATCGCTGTTGCGCGCCGATAAATAATAATAATATTACGGGTAACAATTATTATATTATTATGATTTTTTTAACACTTTCAAATTATTACGTCTGCGACGGAATACCGTCGGCTGTGTTATTTATAACCGTTTGTCCGCATGTGTGATGGATACGAGTATACGTGTGCACAAATACGACGGAACTGGTCATAGATTTTCGACCCATGCGTCATAACAATAATCGGACAAATTAACACGCGTTTCCTATTTGCACGCGACCACTATTATCATTCGATTATCGTATATAATGAGTGGTTGACATATTATACGATTCGTACCCAACGGTCTTTCGTCAAATTTAAATCGTAATGTCTATAATACGCGCAATGTTCTTGAATTCTTCCGCTTTCTGCTGACCGAGACGCAGTGTCCATGCATTGTCACAACCGCCGTGCAAAAAACCCGACGTGTTACACCGAGTAGCGTCGAGTCTAAATAAAATTACGCGTTTGCGGACGAACCTAATGAAAAATCGACCTTTTTTTTTTTTTTAATTAATTTCACGATTTCACCTGCACGGTAACGTTTTAGTGTGTACAATTTAAAAAAAACCACACACACGCGCGCGCGCGCGCGCGTCTGTTAATGCATATCGTTTATTGCAAATGGTCCAAAATGTTCGGAATGTTTGAACTAGCGATAGGCGCGTCCGAAAAAAATATTTTCTGTCGTATTATTCGATAGATTGAAAACTATTTTCTATTAATATTCTAGACTCAGATTCGGTCATGGAAAAAGCAAAGTCGATAGTTCGATCTAAACTATCGAAAACTATCGATAGCATAACGTGTCCGTTACTATAGTTTTGGACATAACAATGACGGACTAAACGACGTTCGAAACTTGCAGCGATAGAAATATTATAAAAGATCTGAAAATCGGATTTCGTATCGTTTGGACACAACGCGTATGAACCCGAGTCCCTTTACTCGTTTTGAGAACGCGTTTTTCAAATGATTTTCGCTGCAGCATCGATGCGCATCGAAATATCGGATTATTAGTGCGTTTTGAGGTTCACGATGGTTGATAGATTTGTTTTTGTTTTGTTTCCTAACAGACGTGTAATACTCTGATATCCGATGCTGAAATTCGTTTTAAAGTTTATCGTCGCCGGCGTTTCTCGGTATAGATGCACTGGCATCTATAGCTGCAGCTAAATCCATAGTCTGAGACTATCATCCGATCTGTTCAGACGAATTTATAATAACACGTTGTTGGACTTTGTGATTGCGTTTCGTAAAACATTATCGATAATATTCGCGGTCGACTGGGGGTGCCCAGTCGAGGGCCGAACATATTGTAAATTCGGCTCAGTTTTGATCGGCGATAAAATAACGTTACGAACTCGACGCGATTCAATAACTAACGGACGGTTTAACGGTTTTTGACTGTGACGTTCCAAAACATTCAAACTAAAACCCCGGTCGTATATGGCTAATCTGATGCGAACAATAATAAACAACATATTATCTTGATTTGCATTGCATGCATTTCAAATCCATAGGCAATATCGAGAAGAACAATATACACGTCGTCTCTCTGTCTGCGTGGGGTTATTGATGCGAACTGTGCCGTTGAAAATAGGTTTCCTTTGCCGTTGCTGTTGCCGATAGAGATGGAAACATTATACGGCATAGTTATAGTTTCGGAAAAAAAAAACTTGATGATTTTTTCGCTGCACACTCGGTATTTAAAACCGGAGCCCCGCAGTTTACGCACATCAAATTTTCGACGGAAAAATTCGGGGTCGAATTTACAATTATTTCATTGTCATTTTTCATATCCGATATGGTTCGAACACGAGGGGTGGATATGTCTTGTCGACTATATTGACGTCATCAATTTCCAATCCAATTTTCTTCGCAGCTTCTATTCATTTTTAGATTCCGAACGGATCGAGGAGTGTATTGGTTTTACAATGATGCTTTCTTTTTTTTTTCTTTTTTATGGTAAACGCTTTTTCCACCAGAAAATATACTACGATTATAAAATATAGTGCCTTTTCTGAAAGTAAATGTTCTCTGGGTGGTACTTTTAAAGAGGTGATCTTTTTTGAAATTCCCATTAATATGCGGGATAACGAGGAAAACCTGGTGCTTTAGGTTAGAAAAGATTCAAAGATTAAAAACAAGGTTTTTTTTATTTATTTTTTGTCATTATTAGTTTTTATTGTTTTAATTTTTTTTTTTTTTTTGCGCGCCCGCGCACGTCTCTTCGACAATAAAACGACGTGGTCCGGACGGATAGACTTGACGATCGTGCGGGCGAGACACCCGGAGCGAACACGCGGGCCCGCGATCTCGCCGACAACGACAATGTTATCAATTAAATCGGATTAGCGTTCGCGTTCCACGTGACGCGGTTTACCCGCAGTCACGCGCCGTCGTCGCCGTGTTACGCGCGCGCCCGGTTATAATGCGCGCCCGGCATTCGCGGCGTCGTGTCGTTGTGAACGCTAATGTGACATATTGCGACGAAGGTTTGAAAGAAGAAAAAAAAAATACATTTTTTTTTTTTTCTTTTACACATTCTATTATCCGCCGCCGTCAACGATAGCGTATTATTATTATCATAATAATAATTATAATATTTTAATGTCGCGTCGTCGTGCGGGCACCCGCTATGATTATAATGCCGTCGACCGTCGCACGCCCTGGTATTTTCAACAACACCAATGCGCGCGTCTGACCGACAGTCCGCGGGCACCGTTGCGCTCGCGACGAACGCCACGCTAGAGCCGCGGCCGGGAGGGGGAGGTTTTTCGCGCGTCCGGCGGACACGATAACAACAACAACAACAACAACAATGACAATAATAACGGCGTGTCTGTATTGTCATTGCGGTGTTGTTGGCGTTACGAAACCGCCCTGATAGAAAAACGTCGACAATCGCTCGTGTCGCGGTAACCGCGCGCACGTCCGAAAAACGCGAAATACGCGCACGCGTCTCGGGCGGGCGTTCAGGATTTGTGCGCGGCCATTTCTTATTGGACCCTCCGGAAACAGCGCACGGTAACGCTAATTCGCCTGATACCGGCCGGCGATAATAAATACCGTCGTCGTCGCCGTCCCGCGCTGTATTACGCAACATGGCTTCGGCGTCCGGCGGTTTTCTCGGTCGCTCGGTTATTTTTCCTCCCAAGTGCCGTAAGCGCAACTAGACTACATCAACCGGATGCCGATGCACCCCAAAGGTGGGGCGCTACAAAAAGTTACGGACCCGTCGAAAACCAATGACGGCTATGCCCCGTAATCCCCGTTTTACACGACTCTTACAACAAGCGACTACGCATTTTATTCGCATTTTTACACATGGAAATTCATCGTAACTGTTTTGCCATTGTTTTCCGTGTATACACGTGGATTATCTGTAGGAAATCTGTATTTTGTGCGGCTCATTTTATAAAATACACGGATGGAATATTATCATTTCATTATTATGAAAATGCTTGGTGGGTTTTTTGAGGGACGTTAATTTTAAACTCGAGAGTGCTAAAGACCACCTAGCACCAACCCCCTGGTTGCGCCTATGTCCCAGTCCTCGGCAATTCCGAATCTATAGGTCTTGCCGTATATTCCGTTCGTCCATGACGTTCCTTTGGTCTTTCTCGCGGGCGCCTCCTTAAGTATTTATTTTATTTTAAACGGGCGGCGTCCTGTCGCAATTACGAAAAACGCATGGCAACAAAACGAGTGCAATTCAACACGAAATAATAGTACCGCAATTAAACAACACGGTAGTAAAAATAAACATAGTACCTATAATTTGTGATTAAAAATGTATCACAAAAATAATAAATAATAGAGAAAAGATATTAATTCGTAACAATATGTATGGATATACAAAGTGTCCTACGGCGTTATCCGAATGCTAATATAACTTTGTCAATGTTAGTTTTTTTTTTCTAATCAGGTTTTGTGTCTTATTTACCGAAAAAAATAATACAGCTTTTTAGTTTTTCTAGAAATTAAAACGGCTAATATTATGAAACTATTAATCGGACGTGAATGATACATTCAAATGTTTAGAATGTTATACAAAATGGCCATTTGGAAAATTTTAGAAAGTGAAAAAATAAAAAATGTATTTCCTTTCAGTGATTACGGGATGCAAATATAAATTTAATTGTTCTCTACTCAACAAAATTTTAGGTGACAGACATTGGAATAAAACAATATCAACTACGTGTACACAACCTGTATACTCTTTGGTGGGGGGCGACGATTAGACCCAGGGGGCAATACCCCCCGTGCCTACGGGCCTGGATCTAGTTCCACGACGGCGGGGCTAGAATTCTGTATCCAGTTGCTAAACGGTTATATTATACTGCACGGAATTTTTTTTTTTTTCCGTTCGCATTTTCTTTGCAGTCGTATCCGGCCTATCGTTTCGAGTACGGCGTCCACGACCCGCACACGGGCGACATAAAAAAACAGTACGAGGAACGGGACGGTGACACCGTCCGCGGTTACTACAGCCTGGTCGAGCCGGACGGTTCGATCCGGTTGGTCGAGTACACGGCCGACGCGAAAAACGGGTTCCAGGCGGTCGTCAAGAAGTTCGGCCACTCGCACCACCCGGACACGGTGACGCATCACATGAACCACGGTCACAACAAACACCACCTGCACGATGGCGGCGACGACGCTTACGCGCCAAGCTACTACGGTAGCGGCGGCAGTGGCGAAGGTGGCAGCGGTCACCACTACGAAAGTCCGGCGTCGCCGCACGTCTACGGCGGTAACGGCGGTCATCATCACGAGCCGCCCGCGTACGCAAACCACTACGAACCGCCGACCGGCTTCGACGGCGGCGAACACTACGAACCGTCGTCGTCGCCGCACGCCTTCGGAGACTACTACCATCAGCCGTCCGGGGGCCATCACAACGTGCAATACGAACCGGACCACGCTTACGGCAATCAGTACGGACAACCGCCGCCGTCCGCGTACAATCACTACGAACCGCCCGTCGTCGGGCCCGCGCACTACCAGCAGCCCATTGTAGTGCCCGCGCAATTCGAACAGCCAATCGCATCCCCGCACTTCGAACAGCCGATCGTGCCCGCGCACTACGAACCGGCCGTGGCGTCCCATCCGGACGTCGGGCACTTCGAACACGGCTCGACGTCGCCTTTCGCCGGTGGCATGCCCACCGCCCACGGTGACTACGGCAGCGCGCCGCAGGAAGAATACTATCCGGGACCGCTACGATTCCCGGCCGCATCCCGGGAGAATGGTTTCGACTGGCCGGCCAAAGGATCGGCCGAGGTCGGCCCGGCCGCGTACAAGTTTCCGGCCGTCGTCGGCGACAGCGGAGAACACCGGGCCCTCGGAAAGCTACAGAAGGCCGGCGGTTCCCGCGAACGGCCCGAATACCTGCGCAAATACTTCAAACCGGAATACCGAGCCCATCACGTCAACAGTTTCTACAACGACGACGACGAATGAACGCGCGCGCCCCCGGTTATGCTACGACAACCGGCGGCGGCGTCGTCTGCAGTTATCGCCGGCGTCACCGCGGTCAGTACCGTACGATCGGCATCGAATACTATTTAATAATCAATTACCCGTACACAATATAATACCCACCCTGTAAATGTTAAAATAATAATACGCACGAAACTATAAAATATAACCACGTCGACTATACTCCGGCGCCCGCGTATTCGAGAGACCCGGTGTATATAAACGGGGTTTCCGATACTTCATCCTCGGAGACGAGTTCGATTCCGAAACAACGCGTTTCCCGTCATATTGTCATACCGCATGTTTTACTATTACCGTTTTCCGTCTAAACACTCGTTAAAAACCGACACGTGATATCGTTGCATAATATTATAGTGAAAAGTTCATTTTTCGTCGGGAAATAATATCCGTTTGAAATTCCGTCCGCGAAACGGAATCCGTAATACGAATAGTAGCGCGACGGACGCGAATGTCACACGAGTTTCCGGACAAAAATACTAACTAGTATAAATGTTAAATAAATATTGATTAAATATTTCGTTATATTTGCGTGTGTACGATAGACTCGTCGACATTCGCGACAATTCATATTTATAAATATATTTTTTTTTTCCATACCTTCTTATCTATATTATAATTTATAAATAATTGTTTATCATAAAATATTATCCTGATGTATTGTATTATAAACGTATGTTTCCGATGTAACGTATTATTTTTCATACGATAATACGTTCCGTTTATCGATTATTTATTTATCGATTAATTAATTGAAAAAGAAAAAAAAAACCAAAAAACAATTATTGCAGATTATGTACATATTTTACCTATAATTATTATTTAGCCTTTTCGCAGACAAATGTTGTATTTTTTTTTTTTTTTTTCAATAACATTATTTTTACTGTTTTATGTTTAAATATGAATATATGTAATAAAGTATTAGTAATACGTAACATTAATAGAGACAAGTTTTTTTTTTTTCTAAAGGCCTCGCACGTTTTAAATTTAAAAGATGCAAGGTCGAAACGATAGTCCAGTGAGGCCGAAATTCAAGAACTTGAAAACGGGCCCCGTTTGTATACATTTTCGTACTGTAAACATTTTTCACGAACAATTGTGTATGTATATAAACGACAATACAATGAGCGTTTTACATCCGTGTGCCCAGAAGACGTGGCCCCATTACTCCCCCCCCCATCTTTAATCCGGATTCGAGTAAAGTCCGCGAAGGTATTATTCTGATAAACTATTTTAAATTTCGATCCGCTGTTTCGATTAAGAGGTAAGGTCGAATTGCACTTTTGGTTAAAAAATAATAATATTAAAGTGATGGCCGAACTGCATTCGGGTCAAAGAAGGTATTTCAACAAAAATATTTGAAAAAGAAAAACTTAATTTAAAAGTTTTGAAAACACTAATTTCCTTCCTTGTACTAGTAATTTAACTATCGGGGCGGTTAAAAATTAGTTTTTTTGTTTATAGTTTATTATAATATATGACTGCAAAGTGTTTTTTGAGATATTAACACTATCCCAGACAACAGTTTTTATTTTTTACTAAAATACAATTAGACTGTTAAATGTTTTAGCCTAAGTGTAATTAGACTATCCTTTACAAGAAAGTTGGATTATGCCTATATTTTCCATGCGTTTTAAATCAATAAACGGGTATCTATCAATGGAAATCTATGGAAAAGTCTTACAATTAAGGTGGTCATTAAAAGATAAAAAAAAATAATCATTTTTAAATTTTACTAAATTGGAGACAATTTTAAAAGTAGTTTCCGACCACCTTAAGGTAATGTACAGCACGTCACTAACTAACGTGCAGAACATTGAGACAAAACAAAAACATTAGGACCCAAATCGCATTAACTACATATTCGACGTATTCGGTGACTCATCTGTAAGCTACATATTTAAGTCATGAGACGATTACCTCAAAAACACTTGCTTCAGTAGGCCCCTGCTAATACCTAGTGTTTTAGGTGCCAGTTTCTTTCGGCGGATTGATCGGGTTATAATGTTTAATGTGATTTTACCAGAATAACGGTTGTGTTATTTTCGTACACACTCGTACGTAATCACAAAATTCGAGTAAAGCGTGTTCAACGGGCATTAATTTTGTTCCGCGGGTTTCGCATCATTTTCCTCGCTTCGATATTTCATATTTGTGTGTAATGAAAAATTGTGCAGTTACAATAACACGCGTATATTCACAAATATTTTTCATCCTATATTTTCCAACCTCGTTTTACTTGGATGGTTTCCCAATGTGTATTACTGCATTACTGTATATTATGACATTATCGCCTAACCTTGGTATTTGCTCCTAAATCAAAACCGTTAATCGTCAATGTACAGCAATAATATTTCTAAAAATAATAATGCAATTTATTTTTTTTTGCGCACAAACAAATGCTGAACGCGCCGGTATTAAACTTGTTGTTTCAGTAACTATTGATAATACCCAAGTAAGTATACTAAGTATATAGAAGTAGAAGTGGTGTTTAAAGTACAAATAAATGTTTTTCTGAAAATGACTTCAAACATCTCACCGTTTAAACAATAAGGATATCTCGACCAAGAATAACTCGCTCTCATATTTTCTGTCATAAGTTAAGATATTATATGGTACACTGCTAACCAAAACTATCAGAAAACTCATATTATAAATACCTAGCTGGTATTATACCCCTAATTTTTTTTTTTTGGTTTTTTCAAACGCATTTTTCGGTTTTTAGTGGTATAGCCCTTTTAACGAATCGCCATCGGTATAATTGTACACCGTTTGCGTGATTGCGGGTCCTTTCCGAGTTTAGCCCAAACGACATGTGAATACGCGTGACCCGTCGTAGTTTTTCACCGATTAGATTAGGCGACTTTGGACACTAACCATACCTAATAACTTCCTCGGAGCATATTATCAGGTACGCGTCAGCGGGTAGATTAAGCCTATCCATTTCTATACTTTACGTAAACCCGAAATAGCTTTTCATCACCAAGCTTTAAGTTTTTGGTTCACACTAAAGAACTGAATAAGGAGTTAGAAATGTAACGCCGACTTCCTTGGAGAAGTATCGGGTTTGGATCAACAATGAGTAGGTTATGTTTTATAAAACGCCTAAAACCTTATAAAACCAACTCGGTTACATTTCCGCCGGACTCGGACGGGTTCTGTAAACACGTATACCGTTCCAGTCCTATCATACGTTCGGGCCATCTCTTTCCAACCATGTCGGTTACTATAGTTATCTGGTAACCTATACGGCAGGTTATATAGAGGACGCGCAGTGAGTTTATTATAATATGACGTCTACGCGGTGGCGTATGATTTTTTTAATATGAATTTGTCGGTACTTTATTTAAATATAATAGGTACTACTTATCCTAGGTAATAAATGACAATAATAATTGTACGAAATACTAATTTACTATACATTGTAACCGATCGTAAATTGTACCATAATTTGAATTTTTAATTGTTTATACCTGTTTAAAATTGCACGGCTATTTCATTAGGAACATAATAGGACATAATAGGATACGTAGGTATAATAGCTAGGTGGGTATGACGGAAATATTTCGAATTAAATACCAAATACATATTTCGTTTGATAAACCGTTTCGATGATGGAAATACGAAACCATATATAATAAATGCCTATAAAAATACTGCGGGTTGCCGTTCCCAAAATTGCCAATACAATAAAATAATGATCACCGCTGTTCACACGTGTCGTCGGCATTACGAATTTAATATAGCACCGCACGCGTTGTCCAATTTCAATTATTAATGATTTGTTTATGCGACTATATTAATTTTTTTTTTTTTTTTTGTGTGATACGCAATGAAAGTATACCTAGGTATTCAATGATGATATTTTTTTCGCGGCACGACATTAAAAGGAAAATTCAATTATGCACTACCTATCCATTATTATAAATAATCTGTTATTATAGATAGAATAATTTAATATCATTGAACTGCAGTGGTACGTGTCGTCTGCAGAATCTTCACTGTGCATGTTAATATGAAAAAAAAAAATATCATTATTGTATTATTTGATTTTAAGCGTTAGTTTCTAGAATTTATAAATGATAAAATTTTAGTATCGGTTTTAATCAAGTAATACCATTATAAGTTATTCGAGTTATTGTCACCGTTTATCATTTCCTAATTGTATTATATATAGTACCAATATGTGTAATTTTTTGATTATCTGTACCAATCATTTTTTTCCCATAATACAGTAGTCAAATGTCTTGACTACTTATTTAAGTCATGCACTTTAAATCTTTTGAAAAATCGAGAAAAAATCATATTTTTTATTGACCATAAATATATATCTATATCTCGGATAATGTTTTAGATAAAAATATTCCTACAGCGTGCATTATTTGCTCTTAAGATTCCTTGTCCACTCTACGACTACTTTCCGGTTAGTAAAGTGTTTTCTCAGTTGTTACCAAAGTAACGCAATACTCAATAAAAGTTCAAAAAATTCAAAAAATGGCCAGTTTTTCCCATTTATTAAAAACACTACAAGAAAATTAAAAAAATAACCGCTTCAATCAGATAAAAAAAAAAAAAAAATTATAAAATGTTACAAAGTAGTATATATTTGTATGTTCTATTCCATAGCAAAACGCAGCATAAAACCGAAAATTTGGCCTCTCTGATTTGGCTTCTTTTAAAGGAACAAGGAATTACTTCAAAAAAAAAAATAAATATATTTTGTACAAGTTTTCTTAGTCAGAAATAAGAAATTAACAAATTTTTCGGTTTCACGAGGCGTTTCGCTGCGGGATAGAACATACAAATATATACTACTCCACAAGAAAGATTCTACGTAGTGTTTGTAATAGAAATTTTCTCGGAATCTAAAGTATACGTTTCCGCAGTTTTGATAATTCTGTATTATTTATTTAAATATATAATATTCTCTATGTTTTTTATTCCTAAACAATTATAGAGAATTATCGATTCCCTAAACTGATAGTTGTGCGTTTCTGATGTATAAGACCCATACACGTCCTCGATTTCATTATTAGAAATCTGAACGATTATCGGTGGACAACAATGCGTACACACAAAGCCGTACACAAATATCGAAGGGAAACGTATAGCGGCTCGTCCGAATATCATATTATTATATTATTATTATACTGCCGACAGAGTGTCGGGATTGTAATGTTTATTATAATTATGACAATAACACGCGGCTGCTGCGGTCTGAACGAGAGAAAAACATCGTATCGAAAAGACTTAAATGCGACTGCGGCGTTCGGTTGTAATGGCCGGTACAACTCTAATCGGACAACCGTTCGTCCCGCCCCTACGTGGCCCGATTAAGAGAAAACGTAAACACTCGGAAAGGTAAAATAATAATTTAATTTAATCTAAGGTTGTCCGGGACTTTGCCCGTGTACGAGAGTGTACGAAAAACAAAACAAAAAAACCACTTCTTTCCGTTTCCACCTCCGTCCCTACCGCAGCTGACCGCTGTTGTCCGGTGATTTATATTTTTTAAAAGATTATCTAACCTATTTCCTTGTCCATAACAACCTAATTTCCTAATGAAAACAAATTTTTTTTTTCATCGCTGTCACCCATAAATTCCCCTATTCTTCTTATTTTCCTTTTCAGTCCCGACTATTTTCAGAGTTCGGCCACCCTCGTTCTAAACTTCCATTTGACCCAATCTCTTACGTCGCATACACCGACTGTCCTCGTATCATTTTCAATCGTATCCAACCACTTATTTTTCGGTTTTTCTCTGCACCCCTTCCTTCCCGCGTTTATTTTCATTAAAGTTCTTATTGCCTCAGATTCCTCTCTATGCGTGACATCCCTATACCAACTCAGTCTATTTTCTCTAATTTCGTAGACTAAAAGTCGTCTAATTTTTGTTTTTATAAATAAAAAAGTAAAGAAAAGAAAAAAAAGCAAGCATAATAATAAAAAAAAAACAAATAAATAAATAAAAAAAATTTAAAAAAAGAGCTGATACTGGGGATGGGAGTAGCCACTGTTGTGGGTTGGAAGTTGGGAAGGTAGGATACATAGGATTATTTCATTTTTATCTGTTAGCAACGATAAACCATTGCTTAACGAAAGACGATTCCGAGCGCAGTTCGGTAATACATAATTCGAAGTGCCGTAATTTTTTTTGCGATTTTCGTTTAAATTTGATTTCAAAATGCTTAAAAAGAAAAAAAGTCGCCCTATGATTTTGGAAATTATTTTATAAATTAAGCTAGACACCACGTCTAGGTAAGTCCAATATAAGTATTATTACCGAGTTTCAAGTCTATACGTGTATTTGTAATCAAATTATAGCAAAAATACTCCCAAAAGTTAAAATTCCTTAAAAACTCAAAAGTGGCTTAAAATTTTTGTCAATGATACCGTAAAGAAAGTAAATCAAAAAGGCAACAAAAAAGATGTCTTATGATTTTTCGATTAAATAGTTTTTTTTGGTAGAAAACGTCGTCCGTGTTTATATAAAAAAATGAAATCGTGAAATTGTACGTTTTCCTACGTTTTTTCTCACTTTAGTGCTTTTATTTAAAAAATCACCTTTCTAATGTACCATTTAGACAACTTGAGCTTTCAGAAAAGTTACTACACGTAAAAATTGGAGCAAGTTTACTGGGAAAAAACGTGTCCACAGACTAGAAAAAAGAAGAAAAAAAAAGAAAAGAAACATCTTAGTAAAACCATTAGCTGCCTCGTTACGCTCGGAATCTAAAATAAATGAACGATATGACAAAATCTGACATTTTCAAGTATGCAATGCGTGCGCAATAGATTCGGCTGTACGTCGCGCACACACAAACTAACAGCCGTCTGTTGGCCAGACACTTTCTTGTATTACCTACTATATACGTAAAGGGTAATTTAACTAATATAATATACTGAATTCGACGAAAATTATTGCAAACAAAACGCGATTCTGAGTGGAGCACGGTTGACAAAAAAAAAAAAAAACAACTATACGAACATAACGCTCAATTTGTGTTTTTTGTTGTTTTGACAATTGATTTTTTAAATATTATTAAATAATAACAAGACATAATAGGGTAAAATGTAAAATTTAATTCATATAATTCACAATAGTAACGATTGTATGCATTCCCCCCAGGTTTTCTTTGACTATTGGGTACACTGGAAGACATGGTGCCATACATTTGCATTCGTGTTTCATCGGAAAACAAATTAACCAGTGTTCGTCAATTGCGCTGATTTTGGGACACTACTTGTATTAAATACATAAATTTGCGCCGGATCATTTTCACGCAACAAAAATAAAAATAATACAAATTTAATTTAAAATTCGATAAAAATAATAAATTAAATGTTAAAAATTGTATGGAATGTTGCTACCTGTATGTATTTGAACTAGCAGTGTCAATTTTTACTTTTCAAAAAAAATACATTGAAAAATTAAAATAGACGGACATACTTCGTATGTGGGTGCAGCCACTTTTGTAGGTGGGGAGTTGAAAAGGAAGGATACAAACGGGAATTTAATGTACATCTGTAAGCAATGATAAACCATTGCTAATGAAAAAACGATTCTGAGCGGAGTTCAGTTGATAGTGTTGCTTTGTCAATAATATATATGTCATATTATGGTAAAATGATTACAAAAATGTGCGTTTCCATGACAACAATGATTGTTTAAAAAATATTAAAATAATAACAAAAAATTAATAAAAACGGTCGCTAATGACAACTTTTTTTTAATCTTTCAATCTTTTCTTACCTAAAGAACCAGGTTTTCCTCATATCTCGAATATCAATGAGTATTACAAAAATTTACCTCTCTAAAGTACCACCCAGAGAAACTGTCCTTTCAGAAAAAGCGCTATACTTGATAGTCGGAGTATGTTTTCTGGTAGAAAAAGTGTTTACATAATAATAATAAACATCTTTGTAATACCAATACATTCACTCCGCTCAGAATCCGCTAAGATGGACAATATTAAATTGAGAAAACGCGTATAGACTATAGATATTATATAGATTTTTATTTACGTTATTATTCCTTTTCCCTGCCTTTTATTTTTAATATTTTTTTTCTTTCACGGCGATATTCGCATTTTCATATGTGGCTGAAGTTGAATAATTTTCAAGACTTCATAAAGTATACAAATATTTTTGACGGGACGAATAAAAATATTGCTTCAGGAATTTCTTTCGCCTGGCACATTACACGATGCCCAAAAGTACGGTAAAAAGGTTGCATGTTCACCAATATAATATGCGTCAACGAGATTATTGCAAAAATTATTAATTCGCGTTTTTTATGTATTTAAAAATCTATCGGCACAAATAACACACAAATATGTGTCGAATATCAATCGAATATCGATCGGCGCGGTTGATGTGTGCTTTTTTTTTTATCTCATAATTATTCTTTTTTCGTGCGGTTTCCCGCGCAATTGATATATTATCCCCCATATTAACGAATAAATCAATCAATAAAACTAATGAGCGTAATCGATGGATATAAAAATAACACGAATACAATTTAATATAAATAAATACATAAATAATTTATAAGTTCAACAGCAGAGTAAAGAAAAAAATGTCACGCACAAAACGCACGTACAAAAAAAGAACGGTGTACAAAAATGTGCATTTTACGAATGAAGAAATTGCCTAATTATACAGAAAAAAAAAATGTACAAGAAAAAAATTACGGCCAACAAAAAAGTGCGCGATAAGCAATTATATGCAAATGTAGAAATAAATCGTAAAAAAAAAAATTAATAATAATAATAACATGATATTACAAAAACGATCAGAGGATCCGATCGTGAAAAATGCACAAAAAATGCTGTGAACACGCGTAAAAATCGCGCGGTTAATAATTTTGGAACGTGTACCTGACACACACTTGACATGCAATTATGCGGAAACCCATTAGTACGGCTTGAATCCGTTGCTCTTGTGCGACTTTGGCAACGACCGGGCGACAAGCGGACTCCGGGAGTCTAATTCGACGGTCCCGTGCACCGGCCTGTGGTTGAACATGTTGCGATAGTTGCCGAACCTTCTGCCGCACACGTCGCACCGTATGCCGCGCATGATTTTCTGTTCGACGCACAGCGGTTTCCCGGCGGCAGCGATGCCGTTCGCGGTGGAACCGTGTACGCGGCGGACGTGGTCGATGAGCGACGGCACGTCGCCCGTATACAAAAAGCACACGCCGCACGTGGCGGCCACGGCGTCCGGATGCTTTTTGACGATGTGGTTCCAGAAAGCCCGGAGACTCGCCATGAAGTGACCGCATAATTCGCAACTCCAAGGCCGGTCGCCGGCCATCATTCCGTGGTGCGCTGCGTGGGCCGCACTCATGGCCAGCGCGGGAAACCGCTTGCCGCAGCCGGACTTTGGGCACACCAACCTTTGATCGTCCCCGTGTTTATCCCGCACGTGTTTCCACAGTTCGGTTTTGTTGGCGCAGTAATCAAAGCAAGACTCGCACATCTCGTCGTGAACGGGCAACGAGCGCGGGCGGTCGGCTTCAGACGTTCCGGCGGATGCCGTTGATCCGTCGACAGCGTAGCTTTTCATTACCGTCGGCGACGCAAACGTGAGAAAATGATCGGCCACCGGTATCGGACGGTTGAGCACAAAGAGCATCTGTAATACACTGCGAGTATGAGAAACAAGATTGTTTTGTGAATAAAAAATATATTACAAAAAATATTGACCGGTATTATAATAGGACACCCTGTTGTAAATGCTGTATAAACGACGCGTAGCGAAAAAAAAAGTGTCAAAGGTCTACGAAATCGGTTCCTCGGATTACACTTGACGCGAGAATTTTAAACATTTTATTCATAGGCGTGCGCAGACATTTTTCACGGGTGATGCACTGCTTCACTACTTCCCCTCCCTTACAAAGAGGCCCATTTACAGATATTTACAATCAATGGTGAGAGGGGAGATTAGGGGTTATATCTCCCCAATTGGCTTAAAAATACACATAAAATATAAGCAATTGAAATGCATACATTTCAGCCACAATACGAGGAAAAGCTTGATGTATTGATTAGAAATTGGCTTTTTTTTTAGGTTTCGATTTTTAAATTACCAATTCCCGTAGTCGAGTTGAGTAGAGAAGACGACTTAACGATTTATTCACGATTCTTATTTGCTACATCCCATCCCATTGAAAATTCCCGGGCACGCCACTGAAACTTTACAACTACATGCCCGATTCTACTGTGCGTGGGTTTTGGATGACAAGTAGCCAGTTGGTTGGACAATGTTTATAATCTGCAATCGATATTATTGCGATAACGTGATGATAAATTCACGAACGCAGTTTTCACTGCACTACATCATTAAAATTATTCAAAAATATGCGAATCTACAAGAGTATTTGGTCTCGGGAACTCAAGGGCTCGAGTCACTTTTAGGATTTTTTTTTTTTTTTCTATCTAAATAACCAAGTGTTTATTTTCGAAATCGGCGTACGTGTGTATCGAAATCGAATATGCTTGTATTGAAAACTAGTATAGACTGACCGTGACATAGAACTATTTAGACGTGTTCTATTTCGAACGCGCCGGGCGCCAATTTGTCCAGTAGTTAAGCGATAAGAATTCTGAAAACAGATTTGAATTTGTCGTCGACCATACCTGAAATGGACTTTTTTGGTTTTTTGATATTACATTTTAATTTCTCCGAAAATTAAAATATTCCGGTTTTTGAACAGTTCTTTATTTAGGATTTAAGGGGATAAAATCAACAATGTGGGAAAGTCGATTTCAAGTAGGATTGACAACAAATTTAAATCTGTTTTCAGAACAACCGTCACCGATAGGTAGGTACGTTTAAAATAGAACACGTCTAAAATCCTACGTTGCACGCGCGCAAGACAAAGACAGGAAATCGCCGCTTCCATACGCCTCAAGTCCGTCTTCTGTGGCAGACACGTAACTGGGGGGTGGGCTGGGGTGGTCCGGCCTCCCGAAATATTTACAGGCCATCCCGTCGTCGCACAACCCAGAATCTAAAATTACGTTATAAACAATATAAACACGCTTAAAAATTAAATTAGTGCCCAGTAGGGAGCGGAGGGAAGTAAATGTCGGCCGGTACCAATACCTTTGTTTGTGCCTATATATTTGAATTATATCGATTAAGTAGAACCTAATCGTACGTAGAAAAAAAAAAAATAAAAAAATACATACCTCACTGTTACAGTCGTCTGACATAGTACCCAAGCTATTCGAATATACCGTGGTGCCTATCGATGAACTGCGCGAATTCAAAATATTACCGACAGTTACGGTTTATAAACAAACAAAACAAGGGGAAACACGAAACACAAAACAAGCACGCATTGACGGAGTCGTGATGGAACGTTGGCCGTTACAGAATGCCGGAGACTTAATCCCGACCGCGTTGTCAGCTTCGATAACAATTTATGATGTCCGTGTACGAGTAGGGGTCCGCACCGGTACACGCGAACACTAGTAATTTATTATTGTCGATACACTCGAAGGGTTTTCCGTGATATTAAGGAATCGTGCGCTAGGGCATTGTGCGCGGGTCGGAGTGCGTAATCATTAAAATCGTTATTATCGGGTCGCCGTAAAAACGCGCCGACCGCGGCTGTTTATATCCGTCACAAAGCGAATTATTGTACACACCGTTATCGACACTGCACCGTTGTCGAATTTCGCGGTACCTGTACTATTTCTAGTTAAATCGATTGTCCGATGATTATAGTCGCCCGCGTATGCGGGAACTGTTAGAGCTCTTGTTAACGTCCGTTTTTTTTTACCGGATACCGGTCCGGTGTAAAACGGATGGTTTTGTTGACGAAACGTTAAAATAACGGATATACTTCCGTTGCCTGTAATATTTTAGCGATTATCTGTAATTAAATTTAGTCAGTTCCAAACAAGAAGCGGTTGAGTATAGAGTCTAGTAAAATGTTTACTAGAAAGAAAAAAGTTATAACAGCGTACTATTTGTACAAAAAAATGCAGCAGAAAGAAAAAAGAAAGAAAAAAATGTGCGTACATCCTATTTTATTGGAAAGAAAAAGTTATGGAATTTTNAGTAACATTTCAAAAATTATTAACATTAGTACAAGATAAATTAAGGCATGTTGATACTGATATGCGTGAGTCTATTACACCTGCTGAACGATTGGCTGTTACCTTAAGGTATGTATGCATAATATAATTTTAAAAATATAATAATTATTATTATATTTTAATAATATACAAATATAATATTGTCCCCATTTCCAAGTCCAAAAACATGATTTTTGAGAATCAGCTTTCCCCAATTCTTTCATACTTTAAATGTACCTATATAACCTAACCTTTTATTATAGTTAAAATACAAATTACTAAGTTGGATTTTGTGACTTTTGCATAGTATATATGGACTTGGTGAGTCCTGCAGGTATTTAATTGTTGATCTAGCACACTATAAATTTATCAAAATTAATTAATTTGCACACAATTAGTTCTATTATAATATTATTTATTATTTTATTATAATCAAAAACATATGTATTTTTTTTTAACAAATATTATTTATTCTTAATTATTATAAGCAATTAATTAATTAATTAATGATTCGTAAAAAACTGGTGATTTTGAAACCGGAGGATTTACTGAACCGGAGGACTGTTGGATTGTACCGTAAATCCGGAATGAAATATTACCCGGGCCGCAATAGTCCGGAAAAAAATATTAATAGTTTCTGAATTGTTTTCACGAGTACGAAGTTACGAATGTACCAAAGCCAAGCGTTACGGAATCGAGCAGCGGCGTGGTTATTCTGAATGTGGGGGGAGGATAGATACATTTTTGAGTAAATGTAGAGTGTGGGGCTTCGCGTATTTTTTAATAAACTACGTACCGTACACAGTTATACATCGATGGTTTAGTGCACAGATGTGGTAAGTAACATTTAACGAATCGTTCAGTACGGGCATTTGGAAGTTTACACTTCAACGAAAATTGTAAATGCCTAATTTTTGGTTCGATTCGATAGAGTTTTTTAGTAGTTATCTAGTATTTACTATAATTACGTCTTTTAACGTGTTTGAATTTAACATGCATAACATTTAGTTTTTCCGAAACCAAAAGTACTTACCCACATTTGTTCATATCGTTTTTAGTATAATGAACACTTATAACATAATATCATAAGTAAAATAATAATGTTAACGCAAACATAGTTTTTATTACTGTATTTTTACTTCAATTTTAAAACATTATACTTTGAATGACATTAGGTTGTAATATTACTATACTAATTTAGTAATTAAAATGTGGTAAGTGAGCACTTGCCATTTGTGCTACCAATATTATTTTAATACAAAATTACTTTTGTTGTAAGTGAATATACCACAAATACGGTTTTAAACCACGGTACTTATTTCAAAAAAATGCCATCTATTGGATAAAATATTAAACTTGCACATACAACATTTGTACATTACATCAAAAATGAAATGGAGTTTTTTCGTATAGTGTACTTAACTCGTTTTCTCGAAAAATGTCACGTACCGCATTTGTGCACTAGACCATCGATATTATTATTAAGTATAATATACACCCCCAGACTATTTTTCGAGTAAATAAAATTCATAAAGGAAAATTCCTGTTAAGCAATAAAAAAAAAACAAAAATAAATTCTTATAAACTATACTATTGTTATTATTATTTATATACACGATTTATTTTTCGAAACCTTCTACCCGGGTCATCTGTTATTTCCTCAGTATCGAGTGTTATATTTTTATAAAATTTAGCCAACAATATGGCTAATCCATTCAATCGATCTTGTTTTATGACTAATAATAGTTATTATTATTAAAATGTAATGACAATTAATAAATCGTAATGCATAAAATGTTGGTATTTTTATTATTTTTATTTTCACATATGGTATTCCTAAAATATGTTTGCATTTTTTTTGATTGGAAAACATCCACTCAGGTGTGATGGTGGATATAGACGATGTGCATACAATTTTTTTTAATCTTAAATATGGTGGGAAATATGTTATCATCATATTCGGTAAGTACTTGAAGAGCCGATTATAAAACTGTATTAATTCTGCTAAGTTTGCGACTCCACAATTTCAGTACAATAAGTGAAATAAATGTACCATTTAGAAAAAAAAAAATGACAGAATTAATAACTACGCCACTGATTCACGTACCGGACGAAACTTTAGATCCATTGACCATTATGCTAAGTGTTTGCACAAAAATTAAAACATATTAAAAGAAACGTCATTTTAAAATCAGTACAGATATTATAGTTACCAACAATATTGTTTACCTATTGGAACGTATGAGAATTTATGGGAACCATTGGTTTTTAATTAATTCGGAATTTTTAATCGGAATTTTACATTCTAGATTATTACTGTCCGATATTTTACATTTCTCTGTTTTAAGTTCCGGGCTATTACGGACCGAAAAATAACAGTCCGCGTACTTTTACTGCTATTTGTAGGCATTTTGAATTTTCAAGTTGTATGCTTTATTATTTGGTTTTAAAATTGTTTTGATACGGTTGAAACGACCGAACATAATTAACATAATGATATACAGAGTGATCAATCTGTCGTAAAACATTAGTTATCTCGGTAAGTAGGTATTAACTATTTCAAAATTTGTTTCATAGAACATTTAAAAAACATTCGGCTCTACAATTTAATATTTATATTATAATTGTGGTCCTTATTTTTGGGTGTAAAAACACTATTTAATTTTTATTTTAAAATAGCTACTTAAAATGAAAGTGTTCCATTATTCTCCCTCGACCAATAGATACTTAAAAGTGGAATATCTCGTCAACGGATTGGTGGAAATCAAAAGGTTCAACACCAATATTTATTTTAACTAATACCTGCTCTATCTATTTATGACATTTTTAATAGGGTTATCATTTTAAAATCAAAAGTAGGTAGTGGTTTCATCCCAAAAATTAATGGTGACAAAAAATTACGTAAATTTAAAATTGTAAAGCTACTTATTTCTTAAATGATCCATAAAACAAATTCCGTAAAAATTGAATACTTTCCGAAATAATGAGTGTCTTACGATTTATTGGTCTTCTATTATATGTAGGTACCTATTTTCAAATTTTGAATAATTATAAAAATCACGGCATTTCAAAAAAATTAATGATTAACTTTTACCGAACTTCGGTGTGAATAAATATAAATGAAATTACTCTATATATCCTACCTTTAACACTTCCGTCCTTTTAAATTGTAAACATCTATCTACATTTAAATCCTAACCTAACCTATATATTATGTATACTTTTGTATTATTATGATGTTTCTAAATACTTTTCTCTCAAACTCTGTAATACATATTTTTTAAGTAAATAATTATACTGTTATAACTTATGGTTAAAAGCGGAAGCAAGTTCCACCATGAACCTCCCGGAAATACTCTTGGAATGGTGAAATATTTAATTTGTAGGTAACAGGCGCGAAAATCTTAAATCCCTGCTTATTAATATGTACCTATATTTTATTTTGAAAATTTAAAATTAAACTATAAATAATAAAAATATAATTTTCTAGGCTTAATAGAACTAATATAATATCCATTTGAAATACCTACTGGATCTATAAACACATTTTTACGGACTGCCAACGTTACCGAAATAGTATAATAATTTAATTTCCGTCAAAACAATCACTTTTTGTTTGAAATATTATAGAAATACCACAAAGTAAAAATAAATAGGTCAAGGGGGAGGGGTCACCCTGATCCCCCCCTAATGATTACGCCACTGGTTGTTTTAATTAAAAATGTTAGATTTCTATACTCCGGTGGTCATGCGTAATTAGCCAACGGGGTGCATATTTTGACTTTGGCACTTTGCCCGAAGCGCTAGAAAGTTCTTTATTGATCATTATTCACTATTACACGACACTCGATGATGCCGTTAGTCCGAATTATTGCCGTTTTTATATTAAATCGTTTAATGGTTTTATTCGGCTGTATCGAAAAACTATTTAAAAAATTAACGATTCATGTCGACTGTGTTAATTAAAATAATTTTTAAAAGAATAATATAAATATAGTTACCTATAGGTAGGTATTTCCGAAAATACAATGAGTTGAAACAGTGTATTTTAAACTTTCACCCATAATTTTCAATCGTTTCACAGCGAGTTATATTCAATCAAATACTAGGTACTTAGGTAAACCAAAAATAGTAAGTACCTACCAATATAGTACCCCTAAACACCAATAACATATGGATAGTTATTTAGAGAGAAAGATAAATAGCCAGATAGGTGTTCTTAAAATGATTGGGAAACATCAAAATGTTATAATAATCTATATTATCATCATTCGTCTTCTACGGTCAAAAAATATAAAAAGATACACTTCTCGAGTCGCTGGTTTGGTTATTAATGTTAGTCGTATTTTACTCTAGTACCTAAGCAAGCCATACAGTCATTATGAGTCAGGTTAACATAGAATTCAATAAGAATAAAGCTGATGTATCAACATTTAATTTGTTATCAGTTTTTAATTTTTTAACTGAAAATTTAGAAATTTGTTTTGCATTAAATACTAGATCTTGCAAATAATTTGAAACGGTATCACTCACCGAAAGTGTTTTACAAAAAAATTACCACAATAAGAAAATACTGCATCTTTTAAGGTAGATACTGAATGGAAAACACTGTGCACTTAATTCACCAAAATTAGGTAGTGTTTAAAAAAAAAAAAACTAAGCACAAAGTATCATCAAATACACGAAATTTGTTTATTGAAGTTATATGAATAGTGAATACATAGAATCCTAAACCATAGTAATGGTAGTATTTACAAGGAAAAATATAATTTGATTGATATAATACTACAACCAACTCAGTATAACTCAGAAGATTACATAATATAGAAAATATATAACATAGATTGCAACATTTTTGCTGATCTATTAGTTGTCTAAGAACATTACATTAGGTACTTAGTTTCAATCTATCTAAAATACAGTAATTGGAAAGGTAAATTATTAATTTTATACACACTAAAAGTACTGTTAAGTTAAACACATTTTGTAAATTTTCTGCGGTCGCAATATTTCCAGTATACCCACAACCCCAAATTAAGATACATCATAACATATCAGGAGTAGCCAAATGGTCGATCTCAGATGAGTTAAATGTTAATCTCCATTTTGTTAGAATATTTTTATGTAATTAGTAGATAAATAACAATTGCTGATAATTTCTATCTTTATATTATAGTAAATTTATCAAGAAATACGATTCAACAGAGTTTATCCTGGTAATTGTATTTACAATATTATATTAGTATTAATAATAGTATGATGGAAAACATTATTTAACTATACATTTTAGTTTTATTATTTAATACGTGTATGTTTATTAATACCTATTAGGTAACTTATAATTATATATTTTTGTTAAGAAATCAATCCTCAAAGGAAAAATATATTCTGAGTAGATCTCAACCAAAAAAAGTTTGGACACCCCTGAAATATATCATATTAATCCTATATCTTAATTTATTTGTATCCACAATCTAACCAGTGATAGAGCGTCAGGATTATTGAATAGGCGCGATTTTAATTGTTAAGTAGTAGTGAATACTCAGTTGCTCATTAATTATAATTTTGACACACCTCACTCTTTCTATAAATAGAAACTACATATGTATTATCTGATTGAAACAAATATTTGCATGAAATATATAAATAATCACTATAATCACTATATAAATAACAAAATAAAAATCATTCAGGAACCTTGACATATTACTTACATAAATTAATAATTATTAAGTCACATTTTTTCTAAATATCCAAAAATAATGGTGGGTGTACAGTTTAGAAGTTATTATTATTATTTAAAAAAAATCTATTAAGTATTACAATGTATAAGCTAAATATAATATAGTTTCATTTTTAGCTACTTATTTTTAAATCTTAAGATTTATTAGTCTACTTCAATTAAAACTATTTTTTGATATTTTAGAAGTACAATAAATAATATTCTAAATAAAAAATGTATTTTGTCAAGTGATTTAAATAATTGTTAGTTTTTTTTCCTTTTTTTATGTTTCTTTGATTTTCTTTTTGAACTTTCTTCTGAACTGGCACTCTAAATTAAAATATACAAATTTTAAAAAGATATAGGTAACTTTATTAAAATAATTAATAAATATCTTACATTTGAAGATGAAACTGATAAATGTCTTTTTCTCTTCTTTTTTTTCTTTAATTCTTTCTTTTTTTTCTTTTTTTTTTTTTTTAAACTTGCTTCAGTTGGTAAAACATCTTGGTTTACTATATCAGAACTTTTGGATTGAATAGGATTAGTAGTCGATTCTTCAACGTCATCATTTTCAGGCAAAATATCATATGTTTTTCCAGATGTACTCTATAAATATATTTTGTTTTTTTTTTTAAATTTTAATTATACAATTTAAATACCAACATTGACTAAACTAAACATATCCTATAACATTATGTATTATAATTGATATTATTAAAAATATAAATAATCCAGCATACTTTAAAACAATCTTTTGCTAAATGTCCACCAGTTCCACATTTTACACACTTTGTGTTGTAAATTGCATCTAACTGTATGGTTTTTTTCCCTTTAGTATTAGGTTGAATTTTCCTCCTTTGTTCATCTTGGCTTAACATATAACATAATCAATAAACAAGTTATTATAATTTCTATTTAAATAGTTAAGTACTCACAATATTTGAACACCATTTGGATCTAAATCCCTACCACTACCTTGATCGACCAATTTCATAGATAGAGAAATTTTTCCATCATCCTATATAATAATAACTTATTTAGAAAATAATTAAACAGAATAAATAAAAACAAGAATATATTAAATGATTTAAATACACAATCAACCATTCCATCTTACCATTCCAATAACCTTAGCCCATACTTTATCGCCTTTAGATAAAACTTCAGTAGCATCATCTACAGGAACTCTTGATAACTGAGTGCGGTGTACAAGTCCTTGTTGTTTATTCCCTGGTATCTTAATAAATGCTCCATAATTTTGGACAGATGCTACCTATAAGATTGTTTTATATATGTATTGTTTCAAATAATAAACTATATAAGTAGATTTTGATTAAAATAGATTTTTATTTTATATATAAAAAATAGTTTGCTATTATCTACCTAGGTATTCTAAGGGAACAAGTCTAGTTTGCTAGACACCTTTTGTTTTTTAATACATGTTTTTAAGTGTTGATTTCGGAACTGTTTGAATTTTTTTACGGAAATTATTATGAAAGGTGTTATGGAAGTTTGAAGTTCGTCGTATTAGTATTATCAGTGCACCTAGAGATCCAGTGAGGTCATTCATTTGCTCGGATTAGTAGAACTGTTTTAAACCAAAAATAACTCTAGATTTGTTGTGCAATACCACAACAGGAAAAATCAATTGAGGTGAGCCTAGGGACAAAATCAAAATGTTTAAATCATATATGGAGATTAGACACGTGTTTTTCTACAAAAAAAGTACCAAGCCAATTAAATGTAAATAAATGAATATAAAACAATTAGGTATTTAAGCAAAAACTGTAATAATGACTAACTTCAAACTTCCATAAGTTTTTTAATAATGGTTTACACAAAAAAAAAAATCGAACAGTTCTGAAATCAACATCGAAAAACACATATTTAAAATAAAAAATTTGAAAAACAAAAGATGTCCGGTAAACTAGACTTATACCATAAATTATAATGTCGATATTATATTAAGTACCTAAATAAATATTAAGTAATTATGAATGAAAGAATCTACTAATTTGATTAAGCAGGTTATATAAATAATTAATTTGTTTAATATTTAATCAATGTGTATGATTTTATTTCTTGAAATTGTGAAGTTTGTCCAAGTATGTATTCCAACAACTATATGATTTGTGTTATTTTACAAAATAAATGAAATAGATAGACATGTGTTTTAATATTTTCTTGATGTAAAAAATGTCCGTACTTACTTCTCCAATAAATATATCATTTGCGTTTACAGACATTATAAAACTATTGCGTAAACAGCAATAAATAACAGAAAAATTTAAACAATTTTAATTAGTAGGTATACCTAACTAAACCGTAACTATTTGTTTACATTTTAATTTGTGTTTACTATCACGGGTTTACGATTACGATAATGTTGAAACCCACTTCGCGTCTTAGCATTAAAAAAACTGTTATAAAACAATAATAATTTCTGTTCAATGATTTTTTTTTTTTTTATTCTATCTATCTTGATAACATGCTACCGTGATAAGCTGATAAAGAAACTTTTTACGCAGAACTTTAATGCATTGTTTATTTTTATTTATTTATTTACTTTTTTTCTGTGTGTTCCTTTGTTACCAGAAATTTAACTTTTCACATTATTAAAATAATCTCTAAACTAATTGAGAGTTTAATATTAATCATCATGGTTTTTTTTACTATCGAATTACTCAGGCATTATTATTAAACAAAAGACTGCAAGTGCACAACAATAAATGCATTCATAAGGTAAACATTACACATACCTATTTGCCCAATGATAATTACTATTCACACCAACTTTTACCTTTAGTGTGTAACCATGAATATATATAGGTAAAAATACTGCGTAATAAATTATACATACTAATGGCAATATTATTTTATTTATTATATTTGTAACTTAAATAATTATTTTAGGGATGTATTGTCAATGGATGACAATTCATATGGCCGTACAGGCCATTTAAAAAATCAACACAAATCGCCAGCTATTATGACCCCGGTTAATACAATTTCAGCTCACAGTGATTTTGGTTTACCAGATGTTACGCTTACATCGCAGTTTACTTCATTAAAACTCACACCTGATTACAATGACAGTGATGAAGAGGGTGATGGCCATTCACATAGCTTCTTACTTCTTGATGAGAAAGAAAGACTAAAAGTATGTTTATAAAGTTTAATAAAAACTTTGGCAATTTAAATAATCAATAATGTCAAATTAATTATAAAGCAGTGTTGTATATTTACTATTGTGAATTTAAAAATCATTTACTGGTGATTTATTTGAGTGTTTAAGCGACCTTTGCTTTGAATCTCAAAATTGATTTAATTGGCTTTTAATTATAAATCTTAATAATTTAAAACTAAGATACAATGTATAAAATCCAATTGCTTATGATCAAAATATAGTCAAGAAATAATTTAATTAAATCAATTTAGATTATATTATAATAATTCTATTAAAACATAATATTACATTTTGTTTAGGTGTCTAATGTTGAAACATTCGTAAAACGTCTCAATGGATACAAAAGTAACAATGCAGTTAAAGTAATTTCAATATTTGGGAACACGGGAGATGGAAAGTCGTACACTCTGAATCAATGTTTTTTTAGAGGCGCTGAAGTTTTTCGTACATCTTCTGAACAAAAAGCGTGTACAGCAGGAGTTTGGGCAGCTTTTGATCCGTCTTTGAATGTTGTTTGTTTAGATACAGAAGGATTTTCTGGATCAAACGCACATAATAAACAAAGAACTAGGCTTTTGTTAAAAGTAAATTTATTTTTAAAATTAAATAAAAACAATTTGTGTTCTTATGTAAATAACTTTAATTTCTATAGGTTTTAGCAGTATCAGATGTTGTCATATACAGAGTTAAAGGTGAACGATTACAAGATGACATGTTTAACTTTCTTGGGTCAGCATCCAGGTCGTATATAAAACATTTTCAGAAAGCTTTACATGCTGTTTGTAATAGATCGTGGGATCCAATTAAATATACAAACTCTTTACAAGGACCAGCATTATATATATTTCATGAAACTAGAAACACTGAGCCGCTAGGATGTTGTATGTTTTATTCCAATCTTATAACTTTACTGTTATTAATACATATTTATATTTCAAAGATAATGGTAAAGATGTCTCAGAACAGATACAAGATAGATTCCACGAATTACAACTTGATATTGATGGATTTGCATCTCTTCAATATGTTGGAATTCAAACTATCATTCCTCCTACTGATTTCAGTTACATTCGAGAAGTAATCCATGAAGAAATTATTAAGAACTGTAATCGACCAGAAAGATCTCCTCATATAGTTTATCTGACTTTAAAGGTATCAGATAATATCAATTTGCATATTGTGACAGCAGTTAAACATTTTTACTTGTACAGGCTTTAAATGACAAATTTACTGGTGTAATTAAATCTTCAATAGAACCACTTTTCCCAGACCAACATCTAACTTGTCCGACAATATGCCAATCCTGTGAACAACGTTGTTCAAATAGTGTAGGACATTTGAAAGATAACATTCCTCATTTTAACAATTCCAAGTGCAGGTATTAATAATATTAAAATCTGTGTTAATGATTTACATAATTTATACTTTTGAAAAAATCTACTAGCAATAATATTATCCTAATATTTTACAGGTATCAATCACAGTTTGAAAATTCTGTTTATATATGTAAAGTATGTACAGATAATGGAACACCTGTTGTTGTTGTACCAAAGTATACAAATGAGAATCAAAATTCTTGGTTTAAATATGCTTTATCTGGGTAAGTATTCTTCCACTCATAATATTTTTAGATATATTAATATCACAATTTTAACTATAAATATTTAAGGTAATTGAAACTACTGATAACTGATCATTATAATGTTAATTTAGGTACATAATTGATTGTCCAAAATGTGGTGTAATTTTTCGTAGCAAACAATATTGGTACGGAAACAATGATCCAGAAAAATCTGCAGTTTATACAGAAACAAAACATATCTGGCCTGGTGTAAGTTTTAATATTTCTTTTATGTTATAATTTACGCAGATTTATATTTATTATAAACAAATTATTTCAAAACTCATAAAATTCCTTGAAATTAAAAATGATCACATCACTTGTCAATTTATTTCTAGGGCATTAGGTTATTAATGATTTGTATTGCATTGACTTATAGGTTAGTACTATGTACTTATTTTACTAAAACAATATTTTAATAAAACATATATAACTGAGATTTATTGACTATAAACCATTTGCTAAATAGTATTTACTTTTTAGTAATATCAATGATTATAAATATTATTATTTTCTAGATTTTGTCCCGACTTTAAATATATAGTTCTAAATTGTATCACAAATTTATGAGAAAAATTTAGTGTATATAATACAAGGTGCGACAAAAATAACTCTAGTTTAATGATATTGTAGTTTTGATTTAGGTGAAGATAAATTAGTGAGATTTTCATCACAAAAAGTTGCACTAACAAAAAAGACTCAATATGTGTATCTAAAATTTTAAATAGTTAAAATAAAATGATATTAAATGTACAATTTATAAATAAATCATAATTTTTGATATTTGACTTGGTTTATTTTTTATAAGTTTCATAAATCCGAGAGTTTCTGCCACATCCTGTATTAATAAATATTTTCACCTGCAAATTTTTACTCTATTATTAAAAAGATAGGGATAATTTATTTAATTATTCAATTATATATCTATCATATTATCTTAGTTGTTCTAATAAAGCACTTAATCTTCTTTTATCAAAAAAAAATTTAGTAGTCAATATTATGAATAATTAAATAAATACATACATATTACATGCGTGTAAGAATTAATAAAATAATGAGGATAATTTTCTAAATATTTAAATGTTAAACTAACTATAAAATGTAAGCAATTTAAAATGTTTTTATTTATTTTTCTCACTTGTGCAGATGGATTTACCTTCATCATCCAGTATGAACCCTGCTCGGAAAGTATTAGATGGAGTAACATATCTTTCAGAAACAGTAGCTAGTGTTAGTTACGAGCCATCACGAATGTTATCTTCGTGGGTTGCTGATCAATTTGCCCCAAAGTATTGGAAACCAAATGCTGAGATAAAGGTAATATGTGTATAGTTATAATTATTTTATTATTTTATGCACTAGTCAATTTTTTTATTTTTTTTTTTTATTTTATTTTAGGAATGTATTGTTTGTAAATTACAATTTTCTTCAACTTCAATTAAACATCATTGTCGAGCTTGTGGAGAAGGAGTCTGTGATGAATGTTCTAAAAGAACAATGTGTGTTCCAGAACGAGGATGGGATACACCTGTTCGTGTATGCAATTTTTGTTATAAACGATCAGGTTTGTTAATTCCACTTATCATTTATGTAAGAAATGTTTACACCAAATATTATATAATATAGATTTGTTATTAGTTTACTAGTAGACATACCAATTGGTCTAGTGAAATGATAAGAAATCAGAAAACAAATTTAAATTTACCCTTAAGCCTACTTAAAATCTATTTATTTGCTTTTTGATTTTAGATTCTGAGTAAAGCAAGGGATGTATTGTGTTTACAATGATGTTTAATTTATTTTTTTTTCTGTAAAATAAAAGTTGTTCTCTCTCTTAACAGAAATCTTTCTCTGATTTGCAAGTATAGCACCTTTTCTAAAAGTAATTTTTTTTTTTGGGTAGTTATTTTTTTGATTAGGGTTTTCATAATAATTGGGAAAAAAAACTGGAAAGTTTATTAAATGTAGTAATTTCATTAAATTTGTTTTTTTTGTTGTAATTCAGTTAAAAATATTTGTAAATACTTGAACTTCAGACAGTATAGTGATATATGCCTCTTTTAGACGTGTTAAAATTTTCAAAATACTTTTGAGTTATTTATAGACATTTTTAATTTTGCGAGTTTTTACATAATTTTTGTAAATGATGTGTCGATAAAATTGATAGACCAAATATAAATGTTTGACAATTTAACAGAAGGTAATAAGTCATATTTAGTTGTTAACACAAGAATTTATTTTTTTTAAGACTTAGTATCAAATTTTGACAGAAATCATAAATATTATGGCCTTTCAAAAAATTATAAACCAAACTTTGCTCAGAACCATTTTTTTATTGGCAATCATTAATTGTTAAGTACTAATATACATTAAATTCCTCTCTATATGTTACCTTTCTAATTTTTCACCTACAATAGTTCATTATAGAGTTATTTTCGAATAATTAGATTTTTCACAACATTTAAGTAGTATCTTTTAGCGATACCAACTTAATTTTTTCAAAAAAGAATCTATATTTAAAATTTCATAAATATTTGAAATACTACTTTATATAAATTTTGATGTCGACATATTTGATCACGGTCAACCCATTAACAAGATATTCCACTTTTAAGTTTAGTTAGGAGATTAGTGGAGCACTAATAAAATGCCACACGCTGTACCATCACAAAAATGATATTCCACTCTTCTCCCCCTACCTTAACTTATAAGAGAAATATCTCGTCAACGGGTTGACAGAAAACTAAAATATATTTAAAGTCTATTTATGGAATTTTCAATATAGGTTCTAATTTGAAAAAACAAAGTTAGTATTACCACAGTATACTACTTAAATACTGTGAAAAATCTTAGTATTCTAAAAATTAGAATTGTAATTTATGCAAAATTCAAACCAAAAAAAATGGAGTAAACATGCTTAAAGAATCAAGGTTTACTACACCCTAACATAAATTATATATAACTATACAATTTTTATAATTATTAAAATTATGTTTATTTTCGTGTAGGAAGCATTAGTAGTAACTGTTCAGATTCTTCTAGTCGTGGAGATGAAAGTGAAATTGGAGCTCGGAAATTTAGTGAAGCTGTAGTTCAAACATTATCTTCTGTTGCTTCTGTTCTAGAATATCCTAAAAGTAAAAAAATTATTATTATTTATTTTATCATAATGGTTACATTTAAATAATTACATATTTTTAGATCTTATAAAAGACACAGCCAGGCCGTCCTATTGGGTACCTGATAGCGAAGCATTAGAATGTTTTATATGTAAATCAGAATTTGGATCAACATTAATACTCCACCATTGTCGCGATTGTGGTAATGGAATTTGCTCCAGTTGTTCTAGCCATCGAAAACCAGTTCCACATCGTGGATGGCCTAATCCTGTTCGAGTGTGTGATTTATGTTCAAACCAAGATATATGATGACTAAAAATATTTTGTTGTATTAATTTTAATAAAGTAATTTTTTTTTTAAAGGAATTTATTAGTGATAAATATGCATACCCCCATGATATGCATATGTGATTGTGACTTTGAAACCCTAATTACCAATGAGTTTTAAGATTAATTATTGTATAATATTCTCTTTTTTTCTTTATTGCCAAAAACATATAAACAAATTACTGTGATAGGTATCTTTTAAGCTAGTCCTAAGTAAAGTTCTTTTATTTCTTGGTGATTCTTTTAGTTGTAACATTGTTATAATAGCTCCATTATTATTATTATTATTATATATTTTATTATTTGTTTTATTTGATTAAATATTCATATTTTGACCAAATTATAATATTTTTTTTTTGTTTTATAAATTACAAACTTGTGTTCAACAAAATTGTTATTATTTAGACAATTAGTTATAAATCATTAAACCATAATATAAAATATAAATTATATAAATGTAGGAATATATATATATATATACATGTACATGAAAACAAATTTTATAATATTATAGATATGCTATATGCATTATATATTAAAATTAACAGTCTGAATAATATACAAACAATTTGAGACATTTTTTTTTTAACAAATTATATATAATTTTGATTTGAAAATTAGAATTTGTGAATTGATTTACCTGACAATATAGTGAACAAAATTTAACATACTAAATACTAATATCTTAATCAATCAAAAAAATTGATTATATTTTTCCAATTTGAATACAATAATCTCATAAAGTAGACTTCATAAACTCTTCAGCAAGGGATTGAAGAAAATGTTTGTTCATTACAAGTTTCTATTACAGAAATTTAAATTAACTAATTTTTTTTTAATATAAAGTAAATTTTCAAGTGTTATTATAATAAAAAGTATAAGACTTCACAGTAAGCATAATAAGTTATTTTCACTAGTGACAAGTAATGAATTTATTACTTTAGATTAGAATCTGAACTTTTTTGTGCGTTTTTGATCATTTTTTCAAATATATTGCAATTGACTTTGGAACAGATAAGTGCACTTGAGTGATATGGTATGACGCCCTTAAATTTTCGAATTATTAGTTATGTTCATAAAAATTGTAAATAAACCTATGTATATGTGTTTTTTTTTTGTTTTTAAATAGAAAACTTATCAAAGACTAATATTCTATACATACTTGGCTACTTACATCTATATAAATCTATATAAATACTTATATTAATGTTACAAAAATAAAATAACCAATTTCGTAACTAATTTATACAAACCATTGTTCTTTTTGAATATTTAGTAGGAAAAAATCACTGAAAAAATACATTTTAAATGCAATTCTTTAACCTTCATCAACTCTCTAACATTTTAAATATGATTTAAATTGTGTTTCATAAAATATGTGGGTAGGTAAATTTTGTTTATATTGAAGCCAATCTTTTACAGAAGCAGTTCTTGAATTTTTTTTTAATGATTTTTCCAATGATGGGCAGACTACGAGCTATCCGACCATTTCCGGGGCATTGCTTTTATTAGGTATGATGATTTACAACCTTCATATTATTATGACGATTTTCGGATGCACAACTGACATAGCCTATGTGACATAGGTAACTTCCATTACCTAATCAGTAGTAATCAGTTTATAACATAGTACACAATGTAAAAATCTTAAACTTCATATACCTATACTTTTTAAATTTAAAAGGACTAATTTTTTTTTTTTTTGGATGAGTCGTGAAACTTCATTATTATGTTAGAGAATCCAATTTTATTATTAAGCTTAGACATACATAGGTAAGCATGTTAAGTATAAGTAGTACCTATAACTTATCATATAGGTAAGTAGGTTACCTATAGGCTATATACCTATACCTATATTACAAAATCGTCAGGAAAGAAACAGAAAACATATTTTAAGGACCGACGACGGTGGGTTGGGTTTATGTAAAACGCGGTGTTATTAGTACAAAATTATATAATATAATATTACAATTTAAATTAATTATTTATATAGGCACAATAGGGTAAACACAAAAATCGCAAAGACTGCAACATTATATTCAGGTATATAGTAGGTATATGTAGGTACCTACGTCCGCGATGTTATTATAAATTTACCGATTCGATAAAAATTATAGTATAATAGAATTAGCAAATATAGTATTATGTACACGAGGTGCAGCAACTGTCGTCTGCTTACAATAAAAAGACGATGTTCTCTCCCTGTTCAAGCTGAAGTGCTACTTTGTCGCTGGACGTCGCCCGATCCGCCGGTCCCGACAACATGGCAGTACCGAAAGTGAGGAGGACGCCAAAAGCCGCCGTGTACAAACCTGATCCTACAATGACGAAATATTATTTCAGATTAACATATCAACACGATCATACAAAACAATTTACTCATATAATTATTAATTATATAAATGTCTAGGTAGGAGTTAGCCAAAAAATTCCTATGGGTCTTTGATTATTGAACCTAGAATGTAAGGGTGTCGTTTGAGGGGGGGGACTACCTTGCAATTAAATGTTTATGTTTTGTAACTTGAATTATATTATTTAGGCAATTATTTTAATTTGTATATAAGTACCTGCCTTGTACCTACAGGTAGAGTAAAAAAAATTATATAAATCTGTGTGACTAAAACTTAAATAAATTGTATTATATGTATATTATATATCAGTAGGTATAATACCTACATTCACTGTATTGCCAGAGTCTGACCAATTTTATTTCATTCTTACCTATTACAATATTCATAATGTATAGGTGTACATAGTCATTAAACATAGTTTACAAACATTCTTGTTTCATTTTTACAGTTTTACATAGGTATAGGTATTACAGATGTATATATTATAATATAGTTGTGTTTAATTTAATGTAGACATTTTTTTTTTTTTTTCAAGCGTTTTAAATTTGAATAACGAGAGATTGAATGATTTTGAGTGGACAATATTTTATTCCTAGAGATATTATTTACTAGGTCGCCTACTTTACTCCGCTTCAACTTTAACTGTTTATCTATACCTGTGTATAGAAACTCGCTATAGGTAGCCAGGTAGGTACCTAATATTATTATATCAGATGGATGCTTTCATGTAAAAAAAATTCCATCGGGAAACATGAAATTTACAAATAAAAATATAAAACTTTCATAAAAACTACACGGTCGTCGGCGATTTTAATCGATATTTTTTTTTTCTTTTAGATGAACAATAAAAATTACATAATAAAATAAAATATAGAAACGATTAAAAACACTGAAAATAGATTGCAGAAAACAAATAACTAGGTGCATACTCGTAGTTAAAAAAAAGTACATAACACATCATAATAATAATATATACTGTATTCCACACCACATAAATTCAAAATACTTGTGGGGGTGTCCCACGCCCGATTACTGTAGCCGAACACGATAAATAACTTGAAAAAAAAAATTCAGTACCTACAACAGTGCCCTACCGAGAGTTAAGGCACACACTAAGGAAACTAGTTTCGTGAAACCGATTGCATGAAACTTATTAGATAATATTGCCGTGTATCGATAAAACTAAAATGGCCAGGTTTCAACTATGTTGTTCGATGAGGAAGAAGTGCCAACACTTATAGAAAGAACGATTTATTTAAACATAAAATCCATTTGGTCGCCGGGTTAATGTAATCGGTGACCGAATTTGTCGCTTAGAAGTGGCGTCTAGATTTATAAATAAATGAATATATTTTAATTTTAATTAATTAACGCTGATAGTGAATAAAATTATATGATAGTACCTAAATGATAAAAATATAAACGTATAATAAATGATAACTGACGAAATTTTAGCTCTAACCTAGCCGAAATCAAAATTTTCATGAAACCGGCGCAACTGTTCAACTGCGCAATGTGAAAATATCAAATTGTAGTTCTGTGAAACTCAGTGTGCAAATCTAGACGTATCTGTTTGTTTTTCAATTGAATGTTTTCATGAAACTGGTTTCGTAAAAAAAAAAGTTTCCTCAGTGTATATCCCGCCTTATACGTTCGGTATCGTGATTTATTATTTATTTTTTAATAAACTCGCAAGAACAATGCAATATATACCTATAATAAAACTACAAAAATATTTAACATTATATTATAAAATATACAGAATAAACTTAGGTGTGATATTATAAAACCAAATATTTTAACCATAAAAAGTATACACAACATTATACTGGTATCTACTTAAAAAAAAAAAAATAAATAAACATTTAGGTAGGTACGTTTAATTCGGTATCAATATTAGCCTCTTTTAAGAATCGTAAGATATTTTTATATCCTGCTACAACAGGGGAGGGGGGAGGACGATTAAATGTATTTTCGTAGAAGTATGTTAATAAGTAATAAATTATCTGCCGGCATTTGTTATATTCCTTTGACCATAATTTTCAATGATTTATATCATCTTACAATCGTCATATTTTTCTGAGAATGTTTACAATATTTATTTCAACCCAGTGCAATAATATTTTTTACTATATATTATGCTATTAATATTTATTGTTTTACGAATTGGATACGTGAACAATAATTTTGGGAAAAAAAAGGAGGGCGTTAGGTTTTTAAAAATCCAAAAAAGGGCGGGGTTGAGGTGTGTATGTGAAAAGGTTGTGAATGTTATTATTGTATTGTTTTTTCCATACGTATTTGACAATGTAACCGATTAGCTTATTATTATTATTATTATTAGTGTCAAACCGTAACAATAATAATAATACTTTCAAATTCTCATATTTCATTTTTATTATACCCAGATATTTGGTTTTGTAGACAAAAAAAAAACCATTCGTTAATTTTCAAATAAAACGAAAACCGTGGCCAGCATTACCTGAATCCACTTCTCAAGATACCTTTTGATCGTTAAAGTATAAATTAGTATTATATAATTGTCATTCCTACCCCCGCATAAAAAGTACATAACTTTACCACTTATATACTAACCTAATCTATTATATTTTTTTTTTTTAAATATTTAACGCAACTCCCTATTATATAGTTATCAAATAAAATACCTGTTGTGCAATCTGCAGAAACGAACGGCTCAGACTGAGTACCACACAACATCGCCACGCGTTCTGAACCCCAACCGGCCGCAAAACAGATCACGCCAATCAAATACAATAAACCTTAAAAAACAATTTCAAAACAAATGATTTATAGCCCAAAGGTAGGTATATTAAAACTATTTTTATATGCATAATTTGTCTATACAATAATTATCAATTCAAATATTCAATAGTCCCAACAAATCATATTTGTATTACCTACACAGTCCTTGAAAATATTGTAATGCGTACATTTACGAATATAAATAAAAACATTGTAAACTACATAATGTATCTATTGTTAACATATAAATTTATTTAGTATTTTTAATAAATGCCTATATTAAAACCAACAATGTAAAAACAATATTTGTATAATATTCTCTCTAGAAAATAGCTAAAAACTGACGTAGAATCCTTAAAATATCTATAGCGTCCTCGTCCTACACGCGCAAAATGCCAAAAATTTAGACAGTAGATCTAAATCTACCAAGAATTGCAAATATCATCCTAACTTATAATTATCTCATAAAACTATTACAAAACTACATCATTCAATTCAGTAAATTTCAAGAATAAATTTGATCGTGTTTGATTTAAAATCTTGGCAAAACTCGAAATGTTTTATGTCATGTCATGTTTACGTAAACGAATCGCAATCTTTTCAACATCAGATAAAAAAAAAATACATTCCTCGCTTTGCTCAGTATCTAAAAAAAATTACCTATTAACAGATAAACTGTTATAAAAATATAAAATACACAAATATATAAAAAAGAGTGAGCACAGGATCTTAAATAGGTATTATAAATAGTAAAATTCGTGTATTGTATAACTGTACCTATACTTATATTTAATATAGGCACTTACCTATAAATTATATTATTATAAATGATGTAGGGGAGAAGTCAGCTCTAGTTATTCGGATATAATATGTTTATAATATTAATCTATCTCTTAAAATAGGTCTTGTGATTAGTTTAAAATTTGAGATACTCTAAAATTCACTAGATAAAATTAGATTAGTGGTAAATGAAATTGTAAACTATACAACGAAGCCCCACGATGTCGCGGAGTTATATTAACTTTAAATTATAAAATACTACGAGTATATATAATATAATATATAATTGAATTCACTCCAACAATAATTTAGAATAGTAAATCTTCGAAGGACGTCATATTCACTTATACTTAATAATATAATATCACGGTATTTTAAATAAATATTCACACCCTTTCTCTTAAAAAAACATCGACGAGCATGTAGACCAAACCTAACCCTACATTTTATACTTTTCCCGGTAACCCATATCCTTACCAGTGAGAATATTTTAAATTTATATAGGCAAGTGAATATATTTTTAGAAAATCTACTAATCCAATAATTGACATTTTATTTACTAGTAGACGCATAGTAAATAAAATCTCATTCAATACAAGGTGATATCCAATGGACTTTACTGTGTGCCCATATGGGCTCAGAAAACTTCCTTAAAAAATATTCTGTACAATAAAATTATGGATTCTTACCAGCAAGTCCTTGCCCGGAACCGGCCACCCCGAACACGCTCTTTTTACGTATCGCCTGTTTGCAAAAGCTTCCTACAGCCATGATGGACATCAGAAAATTGATTAAAATTCCAGTGGACATGAGTACCAAAGCGATCTTCCAAGCGTTCGGAAACATGTTGGGATTCGTGGACAGTCCTTCGACGGCGAACGAACCACAATGTTGGTTACCGTTGACTTTTTTACACCGGTAGTAAATACCGACTGACGGACGACAATGGACTTCGTAATACGAGTCAGTGCTGTTATAGTCCGCTATTGAGAAAAAAATCATTGCATATTATATATTTTAATGACACGTTACTAATCTAAATTATATATTATGAATAATAATTCAATAGGTTAACGCACGTTATCAGAAAAAATAATACAGAATAACTGTCGGAACTTACTTTGTAACGGCGGTTTGGTCGACAGGCAGTTGTATTCCGTGGGTCCGATGAGCCATTTTGGTGAATATATAGCCGTGAACATAGTTATCGTGGACACCACGCTCAGCGTAACCCACAGGAGGCTTTTGGCGGTTAAAATAAAATACATCTTTCACAATCTAAACAAACAAAATAATATAATATTAAAACAATTATGAATCTTTGCGAATCTTGAAAAACTGGTAAATTGAAACCACATTATTATTATATACACGTGAAAATTAATTATTGTCCTTTTAAGTCATCATCAATGCGGACTAGGGATGAGACTTCGCCTCGCTCAAAAATCGACCTATACAACAAAGAAAGAAAAGAGGATTGAAAATTTTCAAAAGTCACTCATGTATAATATATTATCTCTTCTGTTAAAGCTGAGACGAAGAAATCCTTGAAATTTAAGGCAAAAGTTTGCTTTTGATAAGGAATTAAGCGAGACGTTTTTGAAGGGTTCGCGGCAAATGCAATATAATACCCTAGGGAAGTCGAGTGGGACAGAGAAAAGGTTGAAGGTCGGATTTCGGTCTATTTCACATAATATGTAGTATACATCACTTGTATTATAAGCTCTTGGACTTTGCAGCAAAATAAATTTCCAAAAACAATTAATTATAATAAGAATTATATTATATATTTCTATAGGTACTATATTGCCACATTTTCAAGTACCTACTTACATATATTGTTTTACATGACTTTTTCCGATCAATGTACAATTTGAACGACGTGATTGAAATTAAGTTTAAAATATGATAATATTTATAATCTAAAAGTTCACCAATAGTCAGTAGTCTACCCATATAACTATATATATTATATATGCTGTTGATATATTATGTGTATTAATACAAGTACATATACGGGTGTACTACTTTATTATAATTTTACACGTATATTAAAATACCTGTGCAATAGTAATACCAGACGGCTATAGGGCTATTCTATAATTTTACTATATATCGATTTCTATAATTCATATAACGAAACAAAAGTCTCAGATTGGTATCTTGATAGTATTAAAGATGCACATGAATGACTTGGAATGACCGACATAATGCTCTGAATCAAATACGACCGAGAAATTTAAAGAATGTCCACAGTGACACGATAGAAATTTAAAAAAAAATGTTATTAATCATTATTCATTATTAGCGTGTATAATTTGTAAAAAAAAAAAATATATAAATAAATGTAAATTGTTGACACTTTTATCGACTTTCGTTGTACTCATGTGTGGCGTGGCCAGAGATCCACCACCTCCCCACCTCCTCATTGGCCGGATTTTGTAATATTTATATTAAGATCGTTGCATGTTTTTATGTTACCTATACTTTACATTGTGTGTATGGTTTAGTTTCAAATTGGGATTAACGTAAGCGGACAAACATGTTGGTTTAGGTTTGTTATTCTACAACCCCCCCTCCCCCTCCCTTTATTGATAAATCCTACGTTACGTCACTGATATCAATAATTTAATAATAACTATAGTGTCTAAATGTCTAATAGGAAATATCGTATTTGTATAGCATGTACAATATGTACAAAGCACGAACATAATCGGACGATATTTTTATGATTTTGAAACTTCTATAGTACTTGTACGATAATCATAAGTCAAACGGCAGTGGCTGGTTTCAAAAAAAAAAAAAAAAAAAAAAAATAATAAAAAATCGTTAAAGATGGCGATGACTAACGACGGACGAAAAAGAGCAGAGGGAGACCACCCCATATTGCGGAGGTACTATTGCGACGAAACCGTATATTACGGACATCACGCACACAATATATTATATCGAGTACATTATTAAAAAAAAAAAAAAAATATAATATATATAAAAATAGGAGGTGAATAAGTCCCCTCGTTTTGACGATGTGTATCTCGGTGACTGGTTTATCGTGTATGGAATAAAACACGTGTTCCCTTGTTAAAAAACGAAATGCGTTTTCTGTTTTTAATAATAATATTACGTTATCGCTGTTTTTTACGCACACGCCGCATTCCAAATACCTAATTATTAATTATTATGCGTGTTATCATTCGCCGATTGTCTATGTTGCGGCCCGTAATTATACTGGAGAATCTGGTTAATGATGGTGTCTACATTACCTACGATATATTTTACATTCTACGTTATTATACAGTGGCGGCTCTATAGGAGTACCTACATTTGAATCACAGGATTAACAAAAAAACGGGTGGATGGGCGGTGGGTGGTGGATGCCTGGGCGTTCAGAAATATGACAAAGCCTAGTAAGTTTTTACAAAATTGAATTCATTAAAAGAATTTTCGACTGCGGAAATTGTATAAACTTCAACAACACAATATCAATTTCAAAAATAATAACAACACAAATTGTTAAATCCCAATACATTTGTGGTGGCGTGGCGGTATTTTGGGTCGGGATGGGCGGAAAACTAAATGGGCGATTCAAGTTAAAAAAATACCTCAAGCCGCCACTGTATATCGACCGACGCAGAGAAACAAACGGAAACAAAACGAAAATCGCTATTCACCGCACGGAACGGGTGACTCATGTATTTTTGTCGTACCCTTTATTATATATTATCGTCGTCACCTGGCTTTTATCATAATATTGCCCATGGGTACCTAACGCGCGTTCGTCTTAGTCACCGGTGCAGCAGGCAGAAACTCCGGTGGCGGCGGCGGCGGCGGCGGCGGCGTTAAGAATATTATCCTCCTGCCGCCGCCACGTCACCTGGAAGCCGGGAAGGGCGTGTATGATGTGCGGCCGGGAACGGAGACGAGTAGAGGGATCGACGACGGTAACGTAATAGTAATAATAATAATTGAATTATGCCCGTTGAAAAATAATAATAGGTATACGGGGCCCATGGTGTATTGTTTTCGAATTTCGTCCGTGTCGTCCGGTGTGGAAAAAAATGACAACGCAACGGAACAACGCGATCGGAATATGTCTTATAGAAAAACATTTTTTTTAACGCAATCGTTATACACCTACCTATTATCAATTTCGTTTTCCGCTTGACGAGTGCGCGGGCGAGTAATATTATGGGCACCTTTGAAAATACGTTATTATACTCGTAATATAAAAATTATTATTATCCACTCCCCGACTCTATTACTTACCGTCTACCCGTATACATACACAAACACGTTTTGATTTTAATTATCGAAAATAACACACACACAATACACACACACATGCAGACATCAAATATTATATACGAGCAATTATAATTCGATATTCAGGACGGCGTGCGGCATGCGGTCGTGATTTGAAAGACGAAAAAAAACGAAGCCCACCGGAATAAAAAAAAAAAAAAAACTCATATAGATACCATACGTAATAATGAAAATTAAATAATAAAAATTGCGTTTAAATAATATGATAATAATATTATTATATTCACCGTGTGGTATATAACAGGAGACAACAGACGAATAGCTTTATTCTAAAATATTCTATTATATTGCGTTTTTGTCTATGTTCTCTAGTCGAGTTTATACCGCTAGATAGCCGTGTATATGCTAAAAATGTAATGCTCCATAAATCCATTACAAAAAAAAAAAATGTTTTTAAAATCAAAAATCGTCAATAAATAATATCTTATTCAGATGTTGGTTCTTTAGTAGTATACAATTATTACTCAGGAGGCTCCGCGGCTTATGTTCCAGATCAGTTCTTTTCATCACTGCGTACTTAAGTTGCGTCCCGAGTAAAAAGTTAAAAAAAATATATAATGCTAATTGCGTCTTGGGTTTTCTTAGAGGAAACGGAATTCGTATGCAGCCCTTTTTATACTACTGTTCTCATTAAAAAAATACACGAAACGTATTTTGTAACAGAACGAGCCCCATCACTCGTTATCTGCATTCTACATGATTTTGATATTATACACTTTAATATGGGCCATGTGCCTGACAATAAATATTGTTATGTAAAATTCTTGGTAGCGTGTAAAAATCTTAAAATACAATAAATTTCAAATTCATATAATAGATTGAAAAATCTCAATAACGTTTGGAAACTATACTTTAAAATCGACAACTGTCGAAAAATAAACTAAACGATAGTATGCTTTGGGAAAAAAATGCAAAGTACAATGCAGTGTCAGCCCTACCTATAACGAACAGAATTTCAATAAAAAAAAAAAAAACAAGCTATATTATATTGAATATTGACGTCTTAATTTATACATCTCGTCGTAATATAGTAATAATTAAAATATTATTTTCGGAAGCCGACGATATTATGTGTTTTCACGTCGACGCACATAATATTATTATTATTATATTGTTAATGCGGTGTGAATAGCGCGCACACATACACATCGAGCTGTTGCTCGTGCCATATTATTGGCTACGGGCTAGGAATATCACGATAAAAAAATGTAATATATTATAGTGAAGTGAATAATATTATTATAGTATAATTATAATGACGATGATGATAATAATAATAATAGTTTATTAAATTTAAAATAAAAAAAAACGAAAAAACAAAATAACGAACGCGTACGGTCGACATATGCAACACTGCAACAGTGCTATATATCGTAAACTCGTGACCCCCCTGCAGACGACTCGCGTGTGGAGTGTTACGTTATAAAATATATATATATATATAATAATATTATTATCGTGTACAGGACGTATCGGTTCGCACGGTCTTAAAATATTATAATATTACCATGTATGAGGGGGGGGGATGCACCTGTAAATATACAATAAGTCCGATCGGGATATTAATCACACGACAAAATAGCCGATAATAATATAATAATAATGTACCTATTATAGTTATAAGAATTACAGGTATTATAATATTGTACGTGGGCGAGTGGAAATAAGTATTCGGAATATTATGATGCGATACAAGAGAGAGACAGAGTCCCGGAGTATTCGAATCCGCCCAAATGGTATAACCTAACCTTACAGACCATACGTCCGAGTTCGGTCCAAACTGAAACGTAACCGAGTTGGTTTTATGCGTTTCAGAATGTTTAGATGTTTTACAATAACCATGACCTATTATACCCGTTAGTCTGAACCAGGCACCGCTCCAATAGTTATACAGTGTTTTCTAAGCGGAAAACCGACTACATCTAGACGATAAAAAGCCGCCACGGGTTCAGTTTAATAAATAGAGAAGAGGAAAATACGGAAAAATGTCTACTACTCACGGTCGGTCTAAACCTGATAACGCTTCAAGGAAGTTTATTGTTAGTATTCCAATAGTATAAACGTAAAACCTATAGTCGATAAAAACCACGACGTGTTGCGTGTTTGCATATAGGTAGGTACAGCTTGAACCGAATTCGGATACGGTCTGTATATACGTATTCGAGTTGGCGATTTAATTGGGCGATAATATAGTTTCAGTGTGGCACTGTATGCCACAGCCACTCTCCCCCGAAATGTCTTTTTCGACTGAGCAATTTTAAGTTTTAACAAACAGTCCGGAGTCCCGACAAATGTATTTTATATCAGTGATCCGTTTACATTTTATTTTAATAATTCGTATAAGTACGTCATTCTGTGATCACAATTACCCAGTGGCGGATTTACGGAGGGGGGAAGGTCCAGGGATCTGGACCCCTCCCAGATACTAATATGATTTCAATAAAATATCGTCCAAAAAATAGGCATCTATTAATAGAAACATCTTTAAAATACATATTATTTTTCAGAACTCCTCCCAGAAAAATGTTGAATATCCACTACTGCAGTATGCAATAAAACCCATTATCAATAGAAAAAAATAGGAAAACCTATTTTCATTATATACCTTTCTTGTAGTTAATAATGTTTACAGGAATATTCTAATTAATAAATTTAATTAAACTTATTTTATTAATACAGTTGTATTGCTAAAATAACACTTTGTTTTACCATCAGACACGACGTCTTGTCCCCTTAACTTTTTATAAAACCACTATCCATTACAACACTCCCCCTCCCGAAAATACGGTCTATATACGCCACAGGTTTGTGTGCGTACCTGTACAACAAAAATAATAATATACAATTGAAGCGCGGATAAAATCGTAAAAACGCATCATCGTATTATTTTTATTACATAAGTTATTATCATTGTGTAACGTAGAGCAAATTTAAAATCATGAAAAAAAGAATAAATAAATAATAATAAGTAACATTATTATTACCAGGTAAAATAATATTATATATTTGTGTTGGTTATAACTTTATAAGTTATAACACAATGGCTACCCATCGTCGAAATGCACAATAATGTTATAAAAATGTTTCATTTTCTTTTTTTTTCTTTTTTTTTTCTCGTAATTTGAAAGCATCGACGAGAAGCTGAAGTCATATACACATACACGAGACGCACTTTCTACTCATTTTATTTGGTATTACATTCCGTGTTCGGAAATAATTCGCTCGGTCGAGTTTTAACCGTCGTCGTCGTCGATTTCTTCGACCGGACGATATTATCAACACAATATTGTAAGTAATTATTTTGTCATTGGCTCCTTACGAAAAATTACACGAGACTAAAATTTAAGTACCAGCGATAAATTATTATAAGAATAATAACATTAACGACACTTGCCGCGCAGGTGTGCGAATACCGAGGACGTGCGCGGTATATACGAAAACAAATTGCAAACATTATTAACCATCATCGTCGACGGATTGATCATATTTATATTATTAGACACAAAATGTCGTATAGATGCGCGACTATAAATCATATAATATTTTAAAACGCGCAAGTAATTTTACCAGGAACAGCTATAATTATGTTACAAAAAAAAAAAAACCAAAAAGAGTATTTAGATCTTGGAGCGAGACCGAAAAATCTATACAATATACATATTGATTTTACAATAATAAACGTGTAAGACTTTTTTTTTTTAGAATAAAATATTTACAATACATACAGAGTGATTAACAGAGTACGAGTACAGAGAATAGAATACGACATTTATTATTTCAGAATTATTTTTATAGAAACAAGCGGATCTTACATTATGTTATGCATTGAACCGATATTTTTTGTCACCCTTATTTTTGGGGATGAAAAAGCTACATATTATTATATATATATATATATTACATATTATATTCAAAAATAGCAACCTATATTAAAAATTCCATAGATGACATTTTTAATATCTCTGCACTATTTAGTTTTTATAGTTATGGTCCACTACTCTTCTCCTACTCAAATAATTAATGGGAATATCTCGCCAATGAGTTTATATATTTATATTAAAAATTCATCTATTTATGGAATTTTTTAATATAAGTTATTATATTTGATAATCTAAAATAGTTCGTCCCCAAAAATAAGGAAGACCAAAAACAACGGTAATGTTATATTTTCAGGTCATTCGTTTCTTTAATTTTCTATAAAACAAATTTCGAAAAATGTAATACTTTCCGAGATATTTAGTGATTTACGTAATGTTGACCACTCTGTATATATTGTATAGCGTTCATCGTTTGAACCGAAAGAATGATACGCCGAACTATATATATTAGAGTCCAGCTGTTAGAACAAAAAAAAAAAAATTAAAAATCCGGAGGATCGGCTACAAACAATAGTCGAATCGTTAATTTTTCGAGTTTGACGCTACGCAGGTGGTGTCCACTATGACATCACCAGATTGTAGCAGATTTTTACAATAACACTTATTAAAGCTATGAATATAAATACCTACTTTTTGAATAATTTGATATTATATTTTATCGGACGTCTAGTTTGTTTTCTTTTTTTATTCTGTAAATCAGAACATCTTTATAATATTGCTATTATTATCTAATTACGCGTACAGATATTATTCGAGTAACGAATTTGGAATTTTCGAAGCGAAACCGTAGCGAAACCTACGGGTAGGTAGGTACCGACCGATAGATACTCGCGCACTCGAACAACCGGTTTGGAATTTGAAAATCACTTACTGAAAAAAATAAAAAAAATACCAGACAAAGTAACTGAAGTGAGAACGAAAGAATATCTATTATCACGTTATACATATTAACTTTTAACGTCGTTACTCGTTAATATAATATTATAATCAATAATTAGTATAAACACCTGTATCATACTACAGGCTGTATTATTTTAAGAATATCTCATTGCGAAAAAAATATTTACTTTTTAATTACCTATATTATAATACTTTTGAGTTACCTTGAGTTTAACGTTACAATTTTTATGTTATAGGGTGTGGGAGATGAGACTGATTTTTAAATAATTATTATGTATACTGAATGTGAAAAGATCACGGGGAGATACACCCCTGTTTGACCCCCCTTCCACTAGATTTTGTACAAACGAAATGAAAATATCTATTCGTTTGAATAGTGAAAATGCATTAACGATATACAATCCATAATATACACACATATATTATATATTTAATATAACAAACATTATTACATATATTATATTATACAATTCGATTTTTAAGTACCTATGTACTATGCGATAAAATTGTCTGCACTCTGCAGTACATCGTACGGTATAATTTATTGAAGTGAAAACGGTTATTTTATCATAATATTTATTGCGGAAGTCAACGTTAAACTTGGCTGATACGCTTGTTTAATATAAACACGTGGTCGGGGTTAGACCGTTTCGGATCACCGGGGGTGCGAATATTATTATTATTATCGCCTATCGGAACCACACTGCTACTGTAATAGTCGTGTGTACATAATGTTATTTTATTAATAATATATTTTTACGATAACAGCGGGTAATAAATTTCTCGGGCCAGCATTAACAGCAACGTTTTAAAAGCCGTGAGATAAATTCTCCAAACAACCATTGATTTTTCTGATAGTACTACTATCGCGGGAAATCGAATCAATGTGACCGTAAAATTATTATTTTAGATTATGAACGAAGCTTGGAACGTACATATTGGTTTAACTGCGATGTGTGTTTTTTTTTTTGTCCCGTGTTTGTAGACAACTTTTTTTACCAGAAATGTTTTGTATAATAATAACATTGTTGTTTGATTTCTTGTCTTAGGTATCATTTCAACAAGAGAACAAATACGGCTAATAATACTCGGCTCGGAGTCGTTTTTCGTTAGCAATGGTTTATCGTTACCTACGTACAAAATATAAATGAAATTACTAAATATATCCTCCCGTCAAACTTCTCTCCCAAAACAGTGGCACACTCATCGACCCTTTTTATTTTTCTCATTCGTTCGTTTCCCGGACGGGTGACGATGTTAAAAATACAACTTTGTAAACATCGGTAGGTGATTTGTTTTTTCTTCCCACTATCGTACTTTTTCATCCTAATTGAACTCGAAACTTATTATGCAAGTTATACACGACGAGGACGGAGTCGGACATATTCTAATTACGCGTGCAGTCACATGTATATAATATTTACGAGTGCATATTAAACGTACATGCACATTTATACAATATGTAATCTATATTTATCTCAAAACAAGGTGTCTGGTGAAACTTGCTAATGTATATAATGTATACCTACTGTATAGACATATTGGAAGAGGCAACAGCTGTTAATTTTCATCTATCTATATATACATATATGTATTGTGCACCTATATAATAAGTCGTGGTCTTCACGGTCTAAGTTATTTCAGGTTGCCGTTTAATGTATCCGAATACATATTATTTAAACATTTAAAATGTGTACGATAAACAAATAAATACGATTACCTATATTCAAATATAGTCCAAGAGGATATTGTTATTAATTGCATACAGAAATGAGTTTACACTACGTTATAAAACGTAAACCGTCATATACATTGTATTATTTGTGTAGCCTGTATAAGTATAATTGTTATTATATACAAATTGTTGTTTTTAAAATGCGTCGAAATAATGTGTATACATGCACCCGTCTACTCGTACCGTAACAATATATCCCACCACTCCGATTCGATTGACTATTTGAAACCCGTATGCATCATCAATATAATCACTACCTATCGCGAATAAAGTCTATTTAATAGACCACAATTATTATTTTACTTCAGTTCCAATTCACTTTTTTTTTTTTAAATATTTGTCCATAATAACGTATACGTTAAAATGATAATAATTATTATATTGTTGAATGGAATGTTAAGAATAGATATTTTACTATGTGATATACAATATTCTGCGGTTTAGAAGTATTGCGCGTGTAATATATAAATACGTATACGGCCTACGCCCAATCACAGCTCCGGCCTTTATATTATTATTATGTTTGTATACACTATATGCTATAATAATAATACTCGTAACACAGTAGGTATAAAGATTTTCAATGTGTCGAAATTATTATTTGTGTGTTACGAGTACCTACCTATCAAATACCAACGGAGAATAGCATACAATATTATTATTAGTAATGCCAGCGTCACATATTATCAAATTCATCGTTAGCTTCGGATAACAAAAATATAGAACGTACTTACAAACTTTGGGTATACTGTATGCCTATATTTTATTGCCAAAATCCAGAAACGCCAATTAGAACCAATGGCCACGTCCGAGTCGGTCTTCAAATTTTCGGAGTTGAATAATATGGTGTCCCGATTTCTAATAACAACTATGACTTTTTACATTACAAATATTATTATCTAGAATAACTCCCAAATAAAAGACGATTCGTGTTCGATAAAAAAAATGACCCCATCTACGTTTATAAAACATTCCAACATCCAACGTCCACAATAATTATATGTATACCATTAATAGTATATCTATACCTAATAGATTCTATTAGGTAGAACACCTATTAAACATATTTCCATCACTGTTAAACAGTTGATTTCGTTTTTTTTGTGGTTCCAGACAAATATTTTTTTTTTTTAATTTAACCTAGCAACTTAGTAATTAAATAACAACAGTATAGTCCCACACGACCACACAAAATATTACACGTATAAATTAACATTAATTATTGTTAATGCTGTAAAAGTCTATTATTTCGGGTCCCAATGTAACAGTATATAAATGTATTTTTTCCGGAGGTTAGTTATTTATTACGACATTTTTTGATTAATTAGAATATATTATTTGCTATACTATAGTACGAAAACTACCCAAATATTAAAACAATAACAATTTATGTTATTTTTAGATAAACAGATAAATTAGGTTTTAGTTACATCCACTTATTTAAAAATACGCTACTAATAATCGGAGTTTGTTTTATTTGTTTCCTAAGTTACAATGTTGTTAAATATTTTCTAACACAATCATATTTTTCACATTTCCTCTGGTATTTTATAGATTTTGTTGACATCGTTATTATTAAGCAAAATCGTTTTACATAGAGGTGTATTGTACTAGGTATAAACTATTTGAACGCGTTATTAAAATCAAAAATATTTAACGTTTTGTTGGATATTAGTATAAACCATGTCGAAATCTAAAGAAACGCCAAGTTCGTCAGGTAATTGAATAATAAATTACTATATTATAATTATTATAATTAGAAATTATCCAATTAATTTTGGTTTTGTAAAATTTCATATTTATTTGGATCAAAATGTAAGGAATAACGATTTACGGTTTTGTTATATTTCTAAAACGAACAGAGTTTTTTATAGGTACATTTAAAGTGAACAAATTGTGCATTATTGGAATATTGTAGGATATTATTGCATTTTGATGCTATACGAAGGTAATCGTATTCATTTTATTGGATATTTTCATTACAAATCCGATTCATAGAATATAAACTTTTTAACTTTATAATAACATCTATGCACACGTATACTTATTATTATTATTATGATTGTGTAATAATAAATTATTGATATCTTTTTATAAAGCAAATTATACGGGTTATCAGAAGTCATCAATAATAATACGAATCACACAGCCATATAGAAGAAAAAAAAAATTTTATTCGTCGTAAGATATTGATAAAATAATATTGAAATTTTGAAATTTAGTAAAAAAATTAAATTTTAGACGTACTGAACCATAAACACGCTTATACGCTAGATACTGATTTCCTTTGTCCTGATTGAAGAACTCATAAAAATATTGGTAGGAAATAAAAAAAATAATATTTTGGTACTATCTTAAATCTTAATAATAATAATAATAACTCATCATGATGGAAGTTATAAATAAAAAGTCTAAAATATAATCTTTCATATTGAAATAAATTACACGTTTGTTTGAAAATTAGTTGAACAACGTCACATATTATTATATACCTGCTATACTTAAGCCTAACGTAAAATAATATATTGGTACCTACTATATACCTTCGGTAGAAAATCAAAAAAAGATACCAAGGTATAAATCCTTCTAATCTCGTGTTTATAAATTTACCTGCCCACCAAAGATTGACTTGGTGAATTAAATATTGTAAAATGCTGACTATACAATATACTTATATAGGTAGGTACCTATAATGATATAAAAAAAAAACTGTTTAATATTATAATAAATAATGCTATTAAATAGTTAATTATACTTATATATTATTTTTAATAGGATTTATTATGATTATTTTTTACGCTACCTAGTCAGTATTTTTGTTTTGTTTATCGTTCCACTATTTTAACCTAATGTGTCACTGCTATAGTTTTGTATATACACCATATTATAATTATATTATAGCGGTTCATTTATTTGATTATCTCAATAAATTCGAGTAATAATATTATTATAATGTTTTGTCTTTTGTATAATAATAATAAGTAAACGCAACTACAAACGGTAAACTATAAATATTCCCATTAACAAAAAAAATCATTGCAAACGACAAACGGATTTAAATCGAACACTGCATTACCTAACTTGTAACTAATAAGTTTAATTAATATAATAAAAAGGAAACGCTTGTATTGTATGAGTGAAAATCTCGAGAATTATACTTAGCCGATTTCGACAAGAACCTGTTCTTTGGTCGACTCCTTATCGCCACTGGGAGGTTATAGTCTACTTTTTATCAAAATCGGTTAAGTATAGTTATAGCAATGTTAGCTAACAAAACAACAATATAAGTTTAGACATGTAAGAACTTTACAAGTAAATGTGATGTTATTGTTGGTCAGAAAAAGGTTAAGAGGCTGAAAGAATAAAGTAGAGGGATCGATGGAGTAGATGACAGGGTGGGGTAAAGGTGGTGATAAGGGCAATTTATTTTAATAGATGATGTTTTTAACGAGCTTATACATAAAGTCGAACTTAAAACGCTTATAAAAATAAATTACAATATTTATAACCACATATAAACAAATAAACCTCGACAATTTGAAATGTCCATTTATAACTCAAAAACGAAAAAATATTTTGAAAATAACAAGCGTTTATAAAGTGCTACTATAAGTATTAGGTGAACATTTCAAATCTATGGATATTTTAAATATTTCCATTTCTCTCCCATTATTTCGGGGAAAACATAATTTGATTCCAGAAACTGCAGAAACAACTGTTAAATTGACTACAGAAAGATTTCTGATCGATTAGTTGTTTACAGACACAGAAAAAAAACACATGCATGATAGTAAAATTAATAGGTACATATTTTCGTTATACTTGTAATAGAAAAAATTATATTCACATTACAGACAAAAACAGACATACTCCGCACGATGGGTGGGCCACTGTTTTAGATGAGAATTTAGGAAGCTAGAAGGAAAACTTAATGTATATATGTACGCAACGATTAATCATTGCCAACGAAAAATGATTCTGAGCGGAGTTTGGTTATACATATTTTAAAAGGCCGTAGTAATATTTACGAAACTCTTATGAAAATAAAATACTACATCAAACTAAACTTTTTCTTGTTGACCAGCAAGTAAAACTTATAATGAACCTCCTGTTAAATGTTCAAGCATTTATATGTTTGGTCTTACAATTTATCTACAGAATACCTACCGAATAAAAATTACGAAAAAAACTTACAATATTAAAATGTCTAAATAGTTTAAAAATGGTTCAAATGTTTTAAAAATTGGCCCACGTCTAGAAAAAAGCAAACATACATTTTCTGTTTTAACTTCAAATCTCTACGAAAATTTTGAACTGAATTACAACAAAAAAAAATTTTAAATAATAAAAGCATCATTTTCGTAAATTTTCCCGTTTTTTCCGAGTTCCCAATTATTATGAAAACTGCTTGGAAAATCAAATAAAGACCTCTTTAAAGTAAAAACTAAATAAAATTTCTTTTTAGAAAAGGTGATATACTTGATATTTTGGATCAAGATTTTCAGTAGAATTTTTGTACACAGTATAAAAATAAAAAAAAAATAAAAATAATAAACATCATTGTAAAACCAATACATTCCTCACTTTGCTCAGAATCTAAAATTCAATTGAATGTATCGTTTCATTAATAATACGAATATATATATACACATAGAAAATTAAAATCATATAATATAATAATGAAAGCAAAATAGATACGTCTAAATTTATTGTATAGAGCCTTTTTCTTGAGATTATTTGGCAAAATGTAAAAGTTTTAAGTTTCTAAGTTTTCGATGTTGTACAATTTTAAATTATTTTGCTGTATTTTAACATGGCCAATAATGGAGAGAGGAGTCTAAAGCTCTTAGTCCTTCCCTTCCAGGGTCCTGGGATGGTCATCCCTAGAACATGGAAGTGAGGCTAGAGCTCCGGGCTTCGCGTTTTAACCCCAGCTGAATCAGCCTCGCCCTTTTATGGATACGATAAAAAAAAAATACCAGAAAGCCTGAAAAAAGTATTAAGGGTCTCCAAATACCTCGCTGTAATTTTACACGGTTTTACCATTCTGTAGGTTTTCATAATATGCGATTTTAGAACCAGTAATTTTTCGCTGTCCCAAACGTTCGTTAGAACGTCCTCGCTCTTCTTTATAAGTATGCCCAGATCTAAGGGGTACAGATACACTACAATATATTATAATATTATAATATCAACCGATCGGTTTTTAAAAAATTGTATTACCTTATATTATATATATATATATATATATCTTTTGATAAAACGTGTAAATAGCTGGCAAGAATAACTGCCGCAGGCGTGCGATAAAGAGTTTAATAAGCGCGAGTTTTTTTTCTCTCGATAAAAACGTTAAAAAACCATCGTTTCCGCGAGCACGGGTCGATCGAAAAACACAACTGCGGCACGCTATATAAATATCTATATCGTAACGATTATATTATTATAGTTTCGACGGATCCGGCTCGAACGCGTACAGTGTATTAAGCGCAATATTATATTTTAAAAAAAATAAATAAAATGTTTCTTTTACGTCCAAATAGGAAATTATCACCTCGGGGGAAAAAAAAAAACTCGCGAGAAAACCAACTGACCGTGTCCCGGAGCACACAAGGCGTACGACGACGTACCGCTACCGCGAGTCGTGACCGAATGATGACTGCGTGCGCGTACATGAATGGGTTGTGCCGGCGTTGTGGTTTCCGCCGGAATTATTAAACCTACCCATACGGATAGTATTTTGTATTAATATACGGCTATGTCCTGTACGAAGTTCCCAACGATGACTGTGTACGCGCTCTACAATACTCGTGTACAAACTACCGTGCGTAAAAACGATTAGAAAAAAAAAAAAACAACAGCAATAATAAAAAAAGTGGATGTTGTACAGGGTGATATTGTTCGGGTTCGATAAGACTTTTTTTTATAGTAAATTTTAACACTAGATATAATCTGTTATAACAATATTGTTAACAATTTGTAAAAAATACCGCGAGCAGGAGGACCCGAAGGTGGTTGAAAGCGATTCGTTTTTTCATTATATACATTATTTTAGACCAATATGAGCTGGAGTAAACTAAACATATTTCCAGCTATTCCTATTTATGTTTTGAAAAGTGATTCGCGTATTATAGATGCCTATTGTTTATGCGTTTTAGGGAAAATATTATTATTTCAAAAAAAAAAAAAAAAATGCCTTACCAAACTCGGACTAGAAACCAAAAAATTAAAATATATTTTCAAAATCAAAATTGGGCGAGCGGTAACGAGTGAATTCTCAGTTTATTGTTGGAAATTGTCGTAAAATCTATCGTTCCCTTTCCTTTTAATGGATACCTTAATGATACCCATTAAAAGGTGAAAAAAATTGGAGAAAATATAGCCTAAAATGTTTAAAATTTCAGCGCGGCAGTCGACATACGTTTAGGAACGTGTTGTAATACATTTCATTTACCACGATTAGGTATATTTAAAATTTAAATCGTATTATCTCAAGATACTGTGATAGGATTATTGAACTATTATTATAGATTGCAATTTTCATAATTTCAAATTACAACTTTAAAATTTTTATTTAGAGAAGCACATTTTTCATTTAGAACTACCCAAAATGTGTCCAAACGCACGTTTAAATAAACCTCTGCATGGGTGCATTAAATATTTCGGTATAATATATTATTTTAATATTAGTTATAGAATCGTTTACCTTTATTTCATAGTAGACCACGCAAACAAAATTATGCACTTTTTATTTTAAAATGGAAACCCTTTCTTTTCAAACCGTATTCGAACTTCGAAGATATTTTGACATGATGCACATGGGACTTACCGTTTATAATTATAAGTTGTACCAGTTTAACATTTCTACCGGAGGTGTTGAGAAGAGCAACAATAGACTAACAATGGATAACCGAGTGTCAGAGGATAGACTATCCGGTCTAAATTTTTAATTGTTATAGTTCATAAATGTTACATTAAAATGTTTAGGACATTTTTCTTTTTTCGAATTTGTACTAAAAGGAGGAAAGGGAGGATTACTATTTGAACACTAAAAATTAATACTCATTTAAGATTAAAACTTAAAACATTCCGGGAAAATCACTGGATAGAGATAAAGAAATCATCCTGTATATATAATAAACAACAATAATAAAGTTATATAAGAACGTGCATATATTTTTATATACAGGAGACAGTGAGTAGGGGGTCATTATAACGTCGCATTTGCTATGTATATTAATAATAATAATAAAAAAAAAACAACAACAATGATAAACGAAAACAAAGATGTCGTTAAAACCCGTAAAATTATTGGGGACTCGCGGCCAAGTGGTTTAAAGAAAAAAAAAAACGTGTCCCATAATATACATATACAGAAATAGGTACCTAACCATACGGTAAAATAATTCGGTTAAATTATGTTGAAAAATGAAAACCCCGGGGGAAAAAAAAAAATTTCTTTATCATAACACCTTAATATTCTTGTCTGACGTACTTTTTATATACCTACCTATAAATATATATATATTTTTTTTTCCGCGCAGTCAGGACACGCGTGTATATGTAAAACGACACCACCTGCTGAGATATGATCCGTATGTGTATATTAAAAAAAAAATTAAACGTTTCCCTTCTTTACAATGCACAGACTATATTTTGTGTACTCGTCGGGGTAACATCTGTACAGAATGTGTGCTGTGGCTACCGCAAGGGAGAAAAGGACCCCTTTTTTCCATCACTCTGTCCGTTGGACTACTCACTTTTTACTCTACACGAGGGATCCGCTTGTGCCGCGGGGTTACATTATGCGCATTTGTCATTTTTGGGACCCATGTGGGTTATAAATCTCCGTCATCGCCTTATAAATAACTCGGTTAACGGCCCTACACCGTATACTATACTTGCAGTCTAGCTATAGTAGCTCTACTATAAATAATACAATACATATATATATATATACCTGTGTATCATTTTATTTCATCGTACCACAATAAATATCTTTAACGGCACCCGGACGTTAGTTGTGATAGGATAACACAATAAGGTCCAATATATAGTTGGGGAATTGGAGGGAGGAAAAAAAAATTAAAAACTTACATATCTTATATATTATTTCTAAAAAATGAGTTTTTGTGTCAATCCCTTTTCCTTTCTTTGTATTTAAACCAATGAATGAGGTGCCTATGATTTTAAAGATTAAGGACCGTTCTCACCAACATAACGTAGATTTTTACAGTTTATATGATAACCGGTCAATTGTAGTCGGAATTTTAGCTTTGGAGTTCATAGTTGCAAGTTCGCAACGTTGTATGCGTGTGTTATAATATTAAATCGGTTTCATGGGCATATGTATTATGTATACATTATAATAATTTATACTTACAAATTAAGTACTATGATTATATAGAATAGCAATTAGTAATGGTGAAATCTATAAATGCAAAGATCAATGGAACAACATTTTACACGATTTCGAATTGCATATTATACTTAGAATAGAAATAGATGGTACTATAAATTATGAAAAATGAAAAGTAAAAGGGGGTAAAAATATGATTTCAAATTGCTAGTTTCAGATATAATCGAGTTATAATGTGCTATTAATTGTTCTCAACATCGTAGTCATTTTTATTTTGATAAAGAATAATAAAATAAATGTAGTAACTAGTATAGGTAACCTATATTATATTTTTTCGGATAAGAACCTAGAATCCAAGTAACGATTTCGATAAAATTATAATAAATTAAACACTGCAATCCAAATTTTACTTAAGGTAAACATTATTTTGGTACCTACATCAAGTTATTAATAAATACAATTTTGTTTTCGACTCTCTACTAAATTCTGAACTCTAGATGTATAGGTGTATTAGGTAGGTCGTAGGTAGTAGGTACTTAACAATAATCTTCAGTTGAAGTATTTGGAGACGCCTTTACAAAAACGTAGGTAAACCTACCAACCTACATACTTCAGTTGAAATCATGTTTTATTGTGTAGGTATACCTATAGAATTTAGTAAGAAACTGAAAAATATAATTTAAAAACAAAGTAAACACAATAGGTTGACACATTATGTAAATGTTTTAGAGTTTAGATTGTTATACTTGTATTATCTTTAATTATCGTTTACGACTTTACGAGTATGCGTGAAACGTGTGTGTTGTGTGGGTTTTTGTATAATAATATTATTATTATAATTCATCGGTCGTTATTCGTTAAAAAAGTAAACTTTTATATAATATAATATTGTATGTATATTGTATCCAAATAGATTTCCGAGCACATACCTAACATGCCAAGAATATTGGTTCCCGTTTGAAAAAGGTACTTTATGAAGGTGAGCCGAATTAATACCTACATTTATACAATAATCACAATAAACGTAGATATAATGACTACATTTTATCATAACATACTACATATGTAGTATATATGTATATATATATAATATACTACATTAGTATATTTTTAAACTTTTATTCAACTTCTATCCTACAGCGGGTATTTTACAGTGATCAAGGCAATAAAATAAGGTTATATCGGAGTATTGTCAAAATACCACAATCGATTAAGATAACGTTAATCCATCTAGATATACGGACTGATTATAAAATACAGACATTTTTTTAGTATAGTCAATAGAATCTAATTAATTCTAAGTTGATAGTCCTAAGACTGTAAGAATAAAAAGGAAATTGCACGTATTTGACTCTTACTGTGAACAGTGGGAATAAAATTCGACCAGTAGTGGATAGGTCATCACAAATTTAAACGGAAACCAATACGGCTCACCTTCATAAAATACCTTTTTTTCAAACGGGAACCAATTAGGATACACCCATAATATTGTTTAGGTACCTAATAATTATTACAACAAAACGAAAACGATAATATTGTTACATTTATAGGTTATATAGATACAAAAAATAAATATATCGTTCATCGTTATCATATTTGTTTGTTCGGTAGGTACTTTTAACTTTTAAATAATGGTAGAACATGTTTTCGTAAACTATAGTAGACAAAATGAGAGAAACTAGATTTAAATGGTTTAGACATGTCACGGGGAGAAAGGAATCTAAAGCAGTAAGTATAATTATGTAAGGAAGATCAGAAAAGGAAGACAGAAAAGGTGCTTGAATGCGATTGAGAATATGACAACAGTCGGTGTATGCAACGTGGAAGATCAGGGTCAAGGGGAAGTTTAGAACAAAGGTGGCCATACCTTAATATTTGGGAAGCAGGCAAAGTCAAATTAGATGTGTCTTCGTAAATTCTGATTACACCAGGATACTTTCTTGGTAGATACCAAGAAACTACGATACTTACCATATTAGTATTTAGTACCTACTCACCTATATAAGTATAGCTGGTAAATATACTTGCTAGTTTATTTATTTTAATATTTTTGTCTGTTGTCTTTGGGTGCGAAATGACACTTTTTCATTCTCAGAAAAATCTTCGTGGCTGTAACTGAAAACCTATACTCCCCCTTCCCAATAGAATATAATGAATAACGAATAAATGAAAAAAAAAAAAACATTGAATTTGTGTGTATAATATTGAAATAATTAAATAGATTAAACAATTTATACATATCAAGGTAAATTTACATCCACCCTTCACATTGGATTGGGTAGTATCCACGATATAACCCGATATAAATATTTTATACGCGTAATAGGTATCTTAGATATAATTATATCCTGTAACGTGATACTAAAATCAGTGTATCTAGTATTCTAGTATCTAAATACTCATTTTTAAATAGCTGGCCCACTAATTTTAAGATAGAGATAGTTGGGTCATATTCCCGACTAGCTTTTCAAAAAATATATTAAAAATTGTGGTTATACGAATATGAGAAGAATTGTAGGCAATGTTTCAAATAAATAACAACCACATGTTTGAAGATACCTACTGCATGTGTGAATTATTTTATTAATATGTTAATTTTACTTTATCATCGATACTTGCATCGAGTATTTAGTATTTAAATATATAAAATATGAGTACTATACTGGTATATCAAGTTGTACCTAATACGTTTTCATAAATTCCCTAACTGCAGAGACCTTTTCTGTTTAGTAACCAATTCCGTCGAGAAGCATTCCAATATTCATGGGAACAACCTATTCCTTACTATGGGACACTGGGAGCATATCATACCTATTCAGGAACATGGTGCCATTTTTATTTCTCGTATTTCCTGATGACCTTTCCGAGACTTAAATGGGATGAATTTGTAATAATTTCAAGAAGGTTCCTATTGGGTTCCTGGCGGGGAATCAGAATTCGGACATTAGAAAATGTATAGACTGCTTTAGTAGTTTTACTATATATGTAGTTTTACAGTTTGTCAGAGTACAAGCAATTATTCACTGTTGTTCTGATTCAATTTCATATAATTTTCTTAGAATAGAAAAAAATTATTTATTAAATGTATACCAATTTAATATTATTTAATTTTAATGTAAAACCATAATCAATAAAATGTCTGTGATAATATTTTTATGACAAATAGGAGAGAATAATAAACATAATGACGAAGTACTTCCAGATTTTTGGAATAAAATGTCGACAAATATAACTAAGCTCAGGTACTTAATAACTTATAATTTAGTTTAAACAAATATTCATAGATTTCAGCTTTACAGAGTGAGCAACAAAATGTAACACACTCCTTATGGCAAAAAGTATTTACTTTTTCCGGAAATTGTATTTAAGAACATTTAAGAAATAAGTAGCTTTAAAATTTTACATTTTCTTTTTTGTGTCACCCTTAGGTAATTTTTGTCAACCAGTTTACAAGATATTCTTTTTTCAAATTTCGGCAGGAGAGAGATGGTTTTGTGTAATTTATGTGCCAGCAAACGAGTGACGTAGTGTTCCACCACTCTCACCAACTCAAACTTAAAAAGATCAAAAACGAGGGGGAGGAGGGTGCGGCCACTGTTGTAGGTGGAAAGATGGGATACATAAAATTAATATTTAATGTATACCTGTAACTTATGATGAACCATTAATAACGAAAAACGATTAGGAACGAAGTTCGGTTATATATGTTTTGAAACACCGTAATATTTACAGTTTCCATAAAAATTTGATTTTAAAATTTCTTTACAAAAAAAAAAAAAAAAAAAAAAAAAAAAAAAAAAAAAAAAATGCTACATAAAGCTCAAATGTTTTTTGACCACAACGAATGACATTTAAAGAACCCCCGTTAAATTGTCAAGCATTCTGCTTTAGTATAACAATTTTATTCTAAAGTTATAATATTTTATCAATGGGTCGACGGAAATCTTAAATTTTATCACTAAAATTTATTTTAACTTATACTCCATCTATTTTCAATATAGGTTGATATTTAAAAACCAATAATAAGTAGTGGCTTCACCCATTAAAATAAGGGCGACAAAAGATAATTTTAGTACAACATTTTAGAGCTACTTATTCCTTATATTATCTAAAAACTAAAATTCCGAAAAAAAATTAATACTTTTTGAGATACCTAATGAGTGTCTTACGTTGATCACCCTATAAAATATCATACTAGGTAAATATAAATTACAAATTATTGTACTCAGGTAATATAAACAAATAAAAAGGTAAGAATTTGTATTTACATACTTAGCTATATAAGTATTTACTTAATAGTTAAATATTAAAAACATTACACAGCTTGTATAACTTTAATGTTGACCAACAATTTTTGAACCACTTAAGCAAGTATCTCCAAACAGAAGAATGTGTTATTAATGAGCTTGTGTTTGATCGTATTAATCTATCGAATATGAATTATTTATGCTGTTTAACATCTAATAATAAGTAGGTACCTATTACATTTATTATATTGTACATGTAAAAATAAAATAATAAACATTTATTTATCTTTGAATTTCAATATTAAAATTTCACCTTATTTGTTTTTTAGAGTAAACAAATTAAGGTTAAGATTATGTCAGTTAAAAGATAAAGGAGTTGATGATCTTTTGTCTATTTTAGATGAGACTAATGGAAAAACACAATTGAAGTTATTGTATCTAGATTGTAATGGTATTACATGTAAAGGTGCCAAAAGAATAGCAAAAGTTTGTTATATTTATACATTTTTTTCAATTTTTCTTTTGCATTTTTAGATTTGTAGGGTAGATTAGTAGGGTATGGTATATTGATTTTCTATTAAAAACAAATAAATGCATTACAGGTTTTAAGAACCAACAGAACATTAGAATCACTTTCGTTGGCTAAAAACATGATTAAGGATGAAGGTGCCCTTGCTTTAGTAAATGTTTTGTCAACATTTCATCTCACAGATGATGAGACTAAATGGAAATGCATGCATAAACAACACAGATCAAGAATACTAGAATATTTGGTATGCTTCAACAGTAATTAATTAAATAATCAACAATTAATAAACATCAAATTATTGGTTAATTAAACCAAAAAGTTGTTACTTTGGGACACAGAAAATAATATAACATAAAGTACTAAAATACTTTTAGCAAGAGATTGGTAATTCAATGATATAATGCCATTACTGCACAGTTAAAGAATTTTCACCAGCCCTTTTACAAAATAATAAATTTGGAGCAATTTCTATAATATAATAATCTGGTTTTTTCTGAAAAACAAAAAAAACAAAATAGGGTATATTATTAATTACTCAAAATTCAAATCCCTTATTCAAAATGCATAAGTAGGTACTTACAATTACAAAATAGTTGCCAATTATTTTACAGATAGATTTGATAACCCAACAGTCAAGAGAAAAACAAAGAAATATGTCAGATAATACTATTAATGATATGGAGATATTATCAATTGAAGGTATTTATAAATACAGATCAATATTAATATTATTTCCATTTACTTTTGATTAAACGTGTTTTGTATTATTTGTTTAATTCCTTTGACAAAACAATTTTGTCAAAATCCTTGATAATATTTATAAATATACCTCTTCAATTTAGAAATAGACTAGAAATTCCTTAATTCTATAAGAAAAAAAAAATATACACTTTAAATGTTTAGTCACGAACAAATGAGGCATTGTTTCCTCTGAAGTTTACGACTACCATTGTTATCACACTTACTATAGATTGTAAATAGTTTTTTTAAAAATAAACAATACTTCTAACTTTATAACTGTTAAATTAAATACCATAATATAATGAATTAAAGCTATAATGATATATAAATATTTATACTTATAGTACTTATAAACTCAATTTTTAGATGAACAGTTAAAACAAAAAGTTGAAAGTATGATTGTGTCACAATCGCATATATATTTAACGGAAAAATTATTAAAGAGTGGTTCCAGGTTTTACTGTCCAGGAAATTTTAAAATTGCAAACCTAAATATTTCATGTAATAAATATTTAAAATTTAATCAAAGTACTGAATTTTACATACAAATTTATAAATATGTGTTTCATTTACTAGATAACCGTTTTGGTGTAAATGTTTTGAATGTTATAGAACAAATACTTCAGTATCAACAAAAAGTTTGTTTGGTAGAAGAAGGAATTAGACATATAAAAATTGAAGTATAACAATAATAATATTGTATATTATGTAATTTAAATGGCGCCTATATTATTTTCTTTAGGGTTTTGAAACGGATCAAAAAGAAACCATATACAAACTAATAAAAAGAAAAAAGATGCAACATGAATAAGAATTCAAAAATAATAAAACTAAATATATTTGTAACACACAATATTTTGTGTATAATATATTTATTTATTATAATCTATAGTAACTTATTGTATTGGATATTAAAACTTTATCACAGACTTAACATTTTAAAAAATAATTGTATAGATATAAACCAAATAGTTATATATGCATAGCATATTTGTTTTTAAATTTAGTATCATATAGTAAAACACATTAATAAAATATGCTGTTAACCTAAGGGTATTCTCAGTGAATATTGACGGTTAGTAGGTAAAAGGGTGTAAGCAGCCATTTTTGGAAAATTGACTTTTTTGCTTATTATTGCAAATAGCATAAATATACATATGTAAATTGAAACATAGATCTAAACATCAATATCTTTTTTTTTTAACCAGAAATCAATGATTTATGTTTAAGGTGTAATCATCAAGGCATAATAATAATTTATAAATCAATTTTGACTTAAGTGTCATGATTTTTCTATCACTGTAAAAGGCGGTAAGCACCATTGATTTATATAAGTTATAATGGTAGTTATTTTCAGATAGAAAGTTTCAAGAGACTGTTAGAGAGTTCAATCTTTATCACTTTCGACCAAATTCAATAGACTTCAGTTATGACTTAAATAGTTTACACTATAGTAAATTTCATAAAACCATCCATATTAAAAGTACATGACATTAAAACCCACATAGCTCGGAAAATATTAAATTCAGAAATATAATTTTTAACCACCTAATATTTTAAAATCAATCCCTATACTGAATTTGGTTATTTTCTACAAACTTGAATTTCAAAAAAAATAAAATATAGTTACTAACATCAATTCTATAATATTGATACATGATAGTAATTTTTAATTTGTTTTTTCGCAGTTTTCTTTATAATTCAATATAGATTTTGTAAAATTAACAGTTTTTGATTCTGAGCGAATAAATAACATTGTTGGATTATAATACTTAGTGGATAGATGTTTTTTAGACTTTCTTAACAATTTGAAAAATGGTGCTTATGGTCTTTTACGAAGTAATTGACTAAATATTAAATGCTTATAACAAATAATTTATACTTATTTTAGTTATCATCAAAAGGAATTAAGAAATTACCAAATAAAAAAATTACAATATAACTTGATCTACTTAAAGTTGGGAGGATTGGTAAATAAATTTGAGTTATCCATGAATTTAAGTTAAACATATTTTTTCTACATTGTTTAAACATTAAATTCTAAGGACAGTGAAATGTTTGAAATATTAACAATTTAAGTTTAACTATAATATATTATAATACCTTAAGTTTTTAATAAATAATATATTTATTATTTATTAAATATTAAATTATATTTAAAAAAGAATATATAAAACTTACGTTTAAAGTAAATTGAATAGACATATTATTAATATAATTAAATTACATCTATTTTGTTAATAGCTTTCTTCAAAATAGCAATTAAGGAAGGATCTGTAGAAGATTTGATGAGTTTTCCTAAATGTATCACGTAATCATCAATAGTCTCAATAGTAGGCGATTCAATGTTACCTAAAGAAAGTATTATTAATAAATAACATTTTAAAATATATAAATTTTTGTAATATAACATATTAAAGATGCTATTAATATTTGTAAATGTAAACTAAATGAACTATAAAGAGACATTTCAAAACTATTATTTAAAAGTTTAAAAAGTAAAAACTAATAATTTCACATAATAATATGAGTGTAATATACAATTTATTTATTTTATTAAAAATTGTTAGAAGTGATCTAAAAATTGTGCATATTCAATTGTATTCATATTTTTATTAAATAGCAATAATAATAAAGTTTATTAATATGTAAATTTGGAAAAAAATGATTTAATCAATCTACTAAAGTATTTATTTTTATTAACCTATATATATATATATATATATATATATATGAAATAGTACCAGATATGAGTGGTGGCATAAATATAATGTTGATTTTGTTGGTATAATTTAGAAAAAAAAAATGGGTTTCATTGATGTTTCAATCAAAATGATAGTCTGTATACTCTTTTAATTTTTACTAATTACTTTTGAATAAAAATAAATACAATTCTGAAAATATATTATTGATGAATGTGCTAAATAATTTTTTCGGTTATTAAACGTATATTCATACCACCCTAATAGTTAAAAAAACACTTGATCTTAGTGTTTAATTATATAATTAAATTAAATCATTTTTTAAACCATACATTTTCTGAGAAAAATAATACAACTCTGTAAAACTAATAGTTTTATTATTATATTTATAGTCAATAATGTGGAAGTGTTATACTACGGGCAGTTTAAACTTTAGACAGCCGATCCTTTGACATCTCCCATTTACTATTAATTTTGCACAATTGACAAGGCAAACTAAAATAAAATTAGATGCAATTTGTCCTTCTTAGATGATCCAAACATTGTGCATATTCAATTGTATTCATTTTTATTAAACAGCTATAAAAAGATAGTTTAATAATATGTAAATTTGAAAAAAAAAAAAAAAAAATTAATAATAATTTAATCAATCTATTATGGTATCTATTTCATGAAGATCTTATCAAACAAAACATGTCATTCATGTGCATGAAAGCAGTATTAAGATTGTATTATAAATTGTCTAGTTGTATTCAATTACAAATCATATCGACTGAACGTGACGTTAAACAAAATTACAAAATCACACATGATAGTGCGTTATTTTTGGAGTTCAAATAACGGTGAAGAAAAAAGTATATATTAAAATAAATAGTAATAACCAATGAAGATACTGTCCTGGGATATCCAAAATTATAAATAAAAACGGTCTTTATGTGACTTCAGTTCACACATAAATGGTGGTATTCACCATAACTGTCTTTCTTTTTATTTATTTAATTTATATGGATCCATTTCCTCTTTTGATGACTTTTGATTAATGCATGTAAAAGTTCTAAACATTGCCACACCACACCTTGCAAACGTATGAACAATACTACTATTCTTCAACTAATACAACTCTATGCTTTGGTTTCTATGATGTGTGTAGCATCGGTGATAATGATAGTGATAGTGTTAAGAACACAGTCTGTTTGATAAGGCTTTTAACCTACATTTATAAAATGTTAAGTATGAGTGGCAGCATGAATATAATATTGACTCTGTTAGTATAATTTATAAAAAGGTTATGTGCATTATTGATGTTTAAATCAAAACAGAAAGTGTCTATACTCTTTTAACTTTTGAATAAAAATAAATACATTTTAGAAAATATATTATTGATGAATATACTAAATAATATTTTAGTTTATCAAAAATATATTTATCCTGCCCCAGTAACTAAAAAAATTAAATAAGGATTATATTTTTAACAAAAAAAAAAAAAAAAACACTTGAACAAAGCGTTTAATTATAGAATAAAATTAGATGATTTGTATAAACCATACCTATTATCCGAAAAAAAAAAAAAATCCAACTTTATAAAACTAATAGCTTTATTATTATATTTATAGTCAATAATGTGGAAGTGTTATACTACGAGCAGTTTAAACTTTAGACAGCCGATCCTTTGACATCTCCCATTTACTATTAATTTTGCACAATTGACAAGGCGAACTAAAATATAATTAGATGTAATTTGTCCTTCTTAGATGATCTAAAGATTGTGCTTATTTAAAATTATCGTTATAATAAATATGTATTCGGGTTTACAACTGTTAAACGTCAATTACCTGGTAACGAGGTGTGAGCTAATGCTTCGAGAAATTTAGATCGTAAATAATTTAAATGTTCTTTATCAATTTCATATGTATATTTTGCTATTTCTGTGTTATCTGTAAGCTTGTTAATACCCACATTCAAATTTTCTATATGTTTATCTAAAATAGAAACTTCTTGTTCCTGGTCAGTTACTGTTTTACGTAAATACCTTAGTTCACTTTCTCTAGCTAAAAAAAAAAAAATTTTGAAATAAACAAAACTAAATAGTATAACAAATATACTAACCTTTATTAAAATTAAGGAATTCTTCAGAGAATATTGGTATGTCAAATACTGTTTTACCGTCATCACTGGGTGGTTTTTCTTTTTCTAATTCAGGATTCTAAAACAAAAAAACAATACAATAATAAATATACAAAAATAATTATAAACAATAAAAAAAAAAGGACTGAAACTGTTAATGGATGATTATGTATCACTACTGAGGTGGGATAGGGATAGGAATTGGATACATAGTTATTTAATTTATAATATCTATATACAATGATAAATCATTGCTAATAAAATATGATTTTGAATCAAGTAAACGCTAATAAAAAAAAAAAACTATTTCATTATGCCCTTTTCATAATCACGCATATTATATGTGGTGTACAAAATGTTTCAAACATACTTTGTTTTCACATTTATGCATATTGTTGATGTGCTTCATAATTGTACTGCCACTACTGCCTATACCAACAGTCAGTATTAATTCTGTTAGTTGTTAAAAAATAAATATACTGGCCTATTGATCTACAGAGCACTTTATATCATACAAAAACCATAGTTAAAAACAGCAAAGAATGAAGGTACACTGTTTACTGTCACAAAGACTACTTCTAAAAGTCTATCTGGAGATATCATTTATAACTACCTACACTAAAACATTTTATTCTTCAAATCTATGAATTTTCAATCAAAATGTTTTGTTTTTACATCTTTACAAATTGCCCAAGTAGTCGTTAATAAATTATAAATAAATAAAAGGGACAATAATAATACATTTTTAAATTTATAAATGATTACAAAATTATATTTTGTTAAGAAACTGTGAACATATCAGTCGCATGTTCATAATTAAAATGTATTAATTTATACACCATTTCTCATTCACTTATCCAGATATACATTTTAGGGCTACATTAGGCTTGAGCATGAAATACGTTTTTTTTTTGATATAATTGAGCAAATTGGTCAAGATACAAAGGATATAGAAACAAAAACGAAAACCTAGATGATTGAGCATAAAAAACTATGATGTTGCCATTTTCAGTTTATCTAAACCTGAGAATATTATTGTTGAACATTTATTATTGATACACTTCAATCTTAAAAGATTATCTTTTTTTTTGTTCTTTAATTGGTTTATATTTGTATAAATTCACTAGGGCCAATTCTTTGCCTCTTTCAGATAAAATTATTGTAATATTGTTAACTAATATCCACATTAAAATAAAAAAATAATTATTTAAATAAGAAACTATTGGAATAGAAGCACAATTTTTAGAATAAAAACTGTTAATATTAAATAATTTCAAAAGAAAAATAATGTTTTGAAAGTTTCAAAAACTAACTCAATATTACAATAATTGTAGTTTAAACAATGACAGTTCAAGTTTAAAATTCAATAGTATGTATCACAAGTATACACTTCAACAGACAAAGAGCTGCATAAGAATCAAGTTTTGGCACCAAATTTTGAATAATTATAAAAATGTAATCAATTTAAATCAGATTAATTTATGTAAATTTATAATCAGTTGTTTGATTCGGTATGCTTTAAAAGTGAGAATAGGAAATCATTTAATTATGTGGGTTGAATAAAATTTGGGTGCCCTTGTTGTAAATATAGATCACAAAACTTGGCAGTTAACCTATTTCAACTGGATAATGAGCTAGTAGGTAATTATTTTCAAACATTTAATATACTTGGCATAATATATTTTATTTTTCACATTTTTTTATGTATTTATTTATTCTCATTATTCAAATAAAAATAAATAATTTGATAAGAAAAAAAAAATAAAAAAATAAAAGATCAGACATTTCATAGTATTATCTATAATATAAACTAAAGAACAGTAACTATCAATAATTAAGTTTTATTTTTTTTAATGAGATTATACAACTTTATTATATGTAATATTACCAGTAGCATAAATGAGGGGTAAAGTAATGGGATGATTTGAAGAACTTTTTAATGTTAATGTTTTTGTGATCAGATTACAAACTGCTGTTTTAATACTCTTCAGGTAATAGTATAAGATAATAAATCAACCTAAATGTATTTATTCTTATACTTATTAATAAAATACATTTCTCAAAATCTTGTTCAGAATCTTGAATGTACTACTAAAATCATGTATATTAAATTATTTATTTGTTTATATAATACTAGCTATCCCCCGCAGTTTTGCCCATGCCAAAAGAAATAAAAAAAAAAATTATCACTATGCTATTATTACCCTTATTACCCTATTATTACCCTAACATGGACTACTTTATTATTTATTTTTTTGCTATAACTTTTGTTTTATTTCATCTATATTACAAAGATAACACATAAATCAACAAAAATAATTTAATTTTGTTGATTTAAATCTGTTCACTATGTTAGACATGAAAAGTTAACAGTCAGTGTTACTTTCGCATTTATAATATTAGTACTATGGTATTAATTACTATTATTATTATTATTTGCTTATGCTTTTACTTGCCTGTTGCTTTGCATTTTTAGATTATATTTTTGGTTCGGGCCTAATATGGACAAGGAGAGAACTAACTAGTTTATAATTATCCATAAGTGAATGAAAAATAACTATATGAATATTTTTTTTTTTATAATACTTATACATTGTTTTCGATGATTATCTAAATAATTGTTTTAAGTGGCAAAATAGTAGACAATTGTTATGTAAAAAAAATTATAATTATACTTTTTCAGAATAGAGAAACCTTCACAAAATTTTTAAATATATTACAATTTTTAAACCTTCCCCAATTTAATTAAGCTCAGGTGTCCCCTGTGTGACCATCTGTTTACTTTGTTTTTTAACATTTATAACGATCTTCCAAATATCATCAAGTATTCTTAACTGTTTCTATTCGCTGATGACGCAAAACTTTTGAATATCATAAAAACGTATCGGGACGCACTAATTTATAGATTATCAATAATCTAGAGGAATGGTCTGAAAATAACTGCCTTGTTTTAAATATCGAGTGTAAATTCATGTGCTACGCCCAAAAAAAGAACCCAATCCTATTTGATTATTCTTTATCAGGAAGAACTCTCTAATTATTACACAATTCCAATGATCTTGGAGTGTTATTCAATTCTAAACTTAATTTCTCCCACCACACTGAAATGATTAAAAATAAAGCAATGCATAATTTAAGATTCATAAAAAAAACATGTAGATCATTTAATAACCCAACCGCCCCAAAAACATTTTACTGCTCTCTCTCCGTTCTAATCTCGAATATTGCCCTATAATTTGGATCAATAATACAATTAAACAAAATGGAAACATAGTCAATACAAAATAATTTTTACCATTCAGTTCAATATTCATAGACCTATTCATGAGCCATACAACAATATTAATTTTTTAAACCAATTACTCTACTCTTATGACAGGCGTTTATTGTTGCACTCCAAATCTTTATACAACTTAATATTAGGTTTTACTGATTGCCTTGAACTTTTCTTTCTAATCTAATTTAGAATTAATTCCATCAATACCACAGACCCTAAATCCTTTTACCAAATATCCTCAAATAAGAACTATATTACGAATTGCCCTGCCAATCTCCCGATGACTGTGGGTAATAAATATATATGTTATTATTAACAGCCATTTAACTTAATTTTATTTGAATTTATGTTCTAAACCAATATCATAATTTGTTGTATCTTTTTATTCTTCTTTTTTTTTAGTGTAGTTTAGGTACTCATAACTTTACTTTGTACTTATCAATACATTATTTCATTATAATAGGACCAACTGTCGTTTATTTGAAAAAGAAATAAATAATATTAAAACTAACAGCACAATGTTATCCATATTAATAATAATTTGCTATTGTTGTATATTTAGAAGTCGGAAACAACAAAGATATGTGTAACATCCTTTCAACGAAAATCAAATTAAAATAGTACAATCTAATTAGAAATTGTAAGCAACAGATAAATAGTTAAAGTAGTTGTGCATACTATAACTTTTATTTTATAAATATAAAGAGATCAATTTTTCATGAACCAGCAATTTTCTCAAGTAATTTAAAATAAATTTTAATTGTGTTTTTTAAAAATAACTATGGAATTGTTAAAGCTATACACTAACAATATTTTCAATTTTTACCTCTACTCCTTATGTCTAAAATAAGTAAACACTTTAAATTTATATACTTTGTATAATACTAATATAATATGGATATAATGTTTATGACTATAGAATAGTAATAAATTTAATTCCCCCCCCGCAGGTGGCCAGGTGTATAAAACCAGGTGTGGGTTGTTTTTTTTTTGTTATAAAAAAATGTTTAAGTTAAAACAGCAAACATCGTAAAAAAAAAAAAAAAACTATCAAAAGTTTTGCCCATCTATAAAGATGTTATAGTTAACCTCACTCTTTTTGAATGGTGTAAAAATATGTAAAATTACCAACAGGTTAAAATCAAGTGATTAAAAAAAAAAAAAAAAACAAATAGTTATGTACTAACTTCTTTTTCAGCAGTATGGACTTTCTTTTTTTTTAATTTGCGTTGAACAAAATTTCTGTGAGCATCAGTTTTCTTATATGCTTCTAATTCTTTTACATATTTTTCTCGTTCTTGTTCAGCTGCTGAAAGATATTGCTGAAATAATTAAAAACAATAAAATAGGATACTTTTAATATTAGAACTAATTCTAATGGATAGGTATTAAATAATAATTATTATACATATAAATATATATATATATATATATATATGTATTATCTATGTTTCAATGTGTTAATTATTTATCAAAAATTACTTGTTTTTTATCTGCAGGTAACTGATTCCATTCAGTTGCTAATACTTTAGTAACTTCTGCAAATGACATATTGGGATTTTCAGAACGAAATTGATCTCGTCTATCATTTAAAAATCGTATATACCCTGTAAATATAAAAATATAAAAAACCTATTTTCATTTAATTTAAAACCTAAATTTTCCATTACATACCAGATAGAGGAGGTCTTGGAGCTGCTTTGTCACGTAAACATTTTTTTCGTCTTTTACCTTTTACATTAATTTTATAAGATTTTTTAGGTACTTCATTGTCATTGGAACTTTCCTCTTGAGCTATAGTAATTAAAATGTAGGCATCAACGATGTAAAATATTAAAAGACATATTTTGGATTTGGCCAAAATATTATAGAGATTATCAAATAAGTACTTAAAAAACGATTCTAATAATTTATAAAACTGAAACCCTACAGTAAATACAGTACTCTAGTCTAGAGTTCACTTTATTAAACCCATTATTTATTAAATTTTAATTTAGAATCAAAACTTACCAGATTTTTCGGTATTTTCTATTTCTTTCATCGTAATTTGTAATAGAAATACAAAATTAACAATGTTATGTATACGCGTGAAATGTAATTGTTGATTTCGACAATTGTTAGTGATAAGTTGAAAAAGACGAATAACCTTTTATTGATCAGATATTCCGATGAGGCATAACCGCAGTCCTCAAATAGCGCTAGGCACTATCCCTGACTGATTATACTTATGATTAAACTTATTGATTTTTCTTAATTTCCATTTTTTCTAGTCCCGCACATCTAATATTCAACATCTGACATCCAAAGACCTCACTCCACAGGAACAAGGAAATTGATTTGTTTTCCTCTGTGAAAGACTAAAAAGCACGAACGCCCAACGAAAAACGCATTCATGTTATACAGTGTGCCCAACACAAATATCTATCAGAAATTATAACAAATTAGGCGTTTTTGTTTTTACAATTATTCAAAACGGTTTTCGATAAATATAGTATATATTCTATATTGTATAATCTATGAACAGTATCAACATACAGCATGCAATTATGCTATTATTCTTACGCGTCTAGATGAGCTCAATTTTTCTTTGAATTTATTTTTGTCAAATTCTAATGTGTACGTTTAGCGTTGAGTACATAGTACACTATTCAATAATTAGGACACACTGGGAAACATATTTTTTTTTTTGCGGTAAAGTGTAGGAGGAGCTCTGTAGCTTATGGATCGTTGTGACAAAATTTCTTTCCTATTAAATTTGAATTCACTTTAGGTTGTGTGTAGTAAAATAAACAAACAAACTCAAAATATGGCATCAATAGTCTTAAGAAGTCTTTCAATTTTGCTTGGTGTGTATTTTCTATTTGTTGGCACTTTGAAAATAAGTCCTGTCGTCAGCAAAGAACTGCACAAGGACTTTGTAAGAAACAAATTATTTGTATATTATTAATACTTAAATTAAGTATTTAATCTATTATAATAAGTAAATATGATTTGCTCTTGATTTATTTAAAATATTAAAATATTACATTATTTCAATTTACATGCATTTATCTTTAGTGATTTTGTTGACTTTTTTATTCAATAAGAATCAAAATTAAAGTTAAACATATTATTTGCTTATAAACAACTTCAATCTAAATAGGTAACTTAATTTATTTCATATACTTTCTTATTCATTATTATCCAGGTATAAATATTGTAAAAAATTATTAAGTAATAATATATAGTTTTGAATTGAAACTTAAAAAATTAACTATAACTTTTTACTCACTAATATTTGTATTTTAGTTGACTTACATTTCTTCAGGTATACCTGCACCTTAACAATAAAATTATTATTTTTACTCAAAACTATATGTTTTGTGTAGATAACAATTTCTTCTGTGTGTAAATTATATGTTCTAATTAAAGTTATGTTAATTACATTTTATTTATATTTTGATTGGCTAAAAGTATTTATAAATAGGTATGTATTAACCATTAGGAATCTTTATAAAATATAATTTAATCAAAATGATTTAAATAACAAAAATGGAAACTTATTTTTATTAATATGGATATCATAATTTCGGATGAATCTATTTGTGGTAAAATGTGTTTGGCGAAATGCCCATATACAAATTTGGCACTAGTATAAATTTGTTTTAAAGTTCTACTAAAATATGTATTTATCAATACCTAGTTTATCCAAATGTTAGACAATTTTTTTTTTAAAGATATAAAGGCATACATGTATTACAACTGTGAAATCATTAAGATTTTAACATTAAACAGAATAAGTATGAAATGGTATACATTTATATAAAATGCCTTTTATTATTAAGGTTATCCATGAGGTGTGGGAACATGTCCATGGTCGAGAGGACCATGGTTGGAAGTTCGGTAATTTAGGTCAAATTAATTTTTTAACATTAATAATATATATGCTTTTGGATTTTGTCTCCCCCCCTCTCAAGTTTATCATTATTAATTTGGTTAAATACTATCTAATTAATAATAATATGGAAAGTGTACCTAAAACATAGTGGAATTTGAAATTACAAATCATCAAATAACAAGAACATTTTTTTTCTAAACATGATAATCAAAATTAAATAACATTTTTTATGCATTATAATACTTATATAGTTTTTATTTAATTAATGAAAACTTATATGTATATCACTTTATAACATGCACGGATCCAGGAAGCCTAGGGGTCCAGCCCCCCCCCCCCAGACACATTATTTTACTGATTTTTGTATGAGAAAATAATATACATAATGTATTAAATTATATTTTAATTGTATTTGTGTTGTAAAAAATTATTTATAATATAATAATTTGCTAAATATATTAATTAAAATGAACAAAAAATGATACTTTGTATCTTAACTAAATACCCACCATATTAATTTATGGGCTATGATTAAAATAATATATTGTGATTTGAGAATAAATAAATATATATACATATGTACATTTTGCAGAGAAAGGATTATGTGAAGTATGCCAAAGTATTCCCATTATCAAATACTGTTGATTTTAAAGTGCCAGCCAAATGGTACAGAAGAGCTGTAGGTGGAACTGAAATATTAAGTGGTGTTTGTTTGGCATTTGTTCCATTCAGTAAGTATTTGACAATAAAATGAACTTGTTTTTTTTTTTTAACCCACTCACACATTTATTAGAAAGTTTTAATTTGTATTTTGTATTTGTAATGTATTATTTTTCATTAAAGGAAATGTTAAACAAGGGGCAAATATAACACTTTTGATGTCTCATTTACTGGCTATTTTTACTCATTATGCAGCCAAAGATAAATTTGAACGGATGGCGCCAACATTAGTATTTTTATTCATGTTAGCTGGACGAGTTGTAATTGATTATCAATTGAGGCGCAAAGAACTAGCAGAAATTGCTGAAACTAAAGCTCAAAAACAAGAATAAAAAGAAATTTTTATTTCCAAACTACCCTCATATTTTTATTAAAATTTGTGCACATTAATTATAATAAGGATTTATTTAACTAAGCTTGGGAACCACTACCTCTGTTCCTTCCCTCCAAAAATGTTAACAAATTTTTGTGTTCATTCATTCTAGTCATTATTATTAGTATGTAAATAATTTGTGTGTAGTGTTAATTAATTTTTACTTTGGTTTTTTCACTATTCAATTTATATGTAATGTATGTTAAACAAATAAAAAATAAAAATGTTTAAACAATGTATTAACATTTTTAATATTATTATATTAATAACTTATAAGTTATAACTATACATCTTCCCCAGTAGTTAATAATCTCAATGCTTTTTGTAAATTTGCAATTGACTCTGGAACATCATCATAATTTAATGCACTTGCAGCGAACTTGCAGTATTTCTGTGCCTTAGTGATATGTGCTGGCAACAACTGTACTCCATCTGAAATTAAAATAGTTTAGGTTATTTTTAATAGAAAAATTTGTTTCTATTCATTTCTACAATATAGATATTGTACATAATTTTATTTTGTCCCATTTGATTGTTATGATTGTTAATAACAATAAAAATAATATAGTTAATAGATAATAAAAAATATATACTTAGAATGTAATTTATCTATAAGTATATACAATTTTATAATTTGATAAATTATTGACATCAAAATATATAAAATACACTTCAATATGAGTTTACCAATGACATAAATCGCCTTGTCTTTTAATTGAAAATGAATTATACCTACATTAAATAATATTAAAGACCAAACTCCCGGTGTATTATAATTGTAACAAGTATATTGTTTCAGCAAATTATTAAATGTAGAAGATACTGGTACACAATTTTATTCGGGTTATACCTATTTGAAGCATTTCATTGAAAATAATTTTAACCATTCTATAGTAAATTTAAAATGAAAGTGTACCAATCTTTTACTACTGTGTAAAGCAATAACAAGTAAATATAGTATGACGTATAAAATACTAGTGTTATTAAAAACAAATATATATATATATATATATTTCTCAATTTCACAGCAATATATGGATCATAAATTGTTTGTAAAATATTGGTTTTTTTTTTATTATACTTTTAAGTAAAATTGGCCCTGGTACAGAAGGTTGAAATTCTGTAACTGTTGATGTGCTAGGTATTTGTGCATATTCATTAGGCATAGTCGGAGATAAATCTGAAATTATAAATTTAAGTTCATAATTACAACTTCAATGTACCTATTTCAATTGTATTTGTTTACCTTTATATATTGGTGTAATAGGAACAGGAGGATCAAAATAATTTTTTGGTTGTTGAACTTCATCTCTTTGAGTTGGAAAATTGAAACCAATTTGTCCACTCTCTGTAGCTGGGGGTCCTGGAGTAGGAGTTTCACCATTTTTCAAGCAATTGTGTATATATGTAGCCTTCCATTTTGCATATTTTTGAGTATTAGCAATTTCTTCTGATACTTCACCAAATACACTTAATACATCCATTAATAGTCCAGCAGTGAAAAATAATTTAATTATGTTCCTAAATAAAATAATACACATTTTTAATATAAATTAAATATCTAATTGATAAAATGTTAAACTAAAAACTTTACCATAATTATTTAAAAGTAAATTTTGATGTTATACATATACTTAAGTTCAACAATTTTTCACAAGAATTCTTAAAATAAGGGCATTTCATAGATTAAAAATTGTATTTTTAAATAGTAAATCACACCCAAATTAAAAAATATTTAATAGTTCCATTTTATTAAAAAAATTAATGGTCTCTTGATCAAAATCAATTTCTTTCATTAGGTTTTTTTTTTTTTTAAATAGCTAACACAGAAATCTTGTTTTCTGGTATCCATAAATTAAGTATGGGTAACTAAAGGAGTCATTTTACCATTTTGTAATTACAAGTGTAGCATGAATAAATTTGCACTAGAATACTTTAAAGCAGAACATACTGTCATATTAAAGTATTAGGTAATCCCCTCCACCATGCTTCACATTTACTTACTGCTACTTAGTTCAGGCATTTTTAACCATTTTCCTTAGATATAAGATACCCCGTTGCTGACACCTATTCCTACTTACCCACCTAGTCCTCATTAACTTTATGATCACTTTGTACAAATTTTCGTGTTTTGGTGTAAAAATAAATAAATAAATAAATTAGGTACTTATTATAATTTGCTTGGTGATCCAAACCGTCAGCAATATTAAATAATTTAATTGCATAATTTTCAAAATGGGCTTGGGCTGCAGTTTCATTAGTGATCATGTCATTTTCTTTTAAAAATACTTTTTGTTTTTCTAACCAATCCATTAGAGATACCAAAAATGTTTTTGCTTCTTTTGATGATTTGTCAAGTGTTAATGCAGTTTGTAAGGCATATAGCCGACCTATATTAGAACAATAATAAATCAATTGTTAAATCAGTAGACTATATTTTTCTTAAAATAATTAACTTACACCAATAGCTGATGATTGGATCTTTGGCATCATGTTCTGAAGCGATTTTCAGATAATGTTGAATTTTTTTCAAAGTTTCTGGACATTCGGGTAATTGTGCCATTATACTAGAATGATTTTAGTATTTAAATTCAAATTTATTAATGAAATCAAAATTCATTTATGTCACAAAGCGTAAATAGTAAAATGAGTTATGTTTATGAACAAATAAAAATTGAAATCTATTAGGCAATAATAACATTATCATAGACAAGATTTTTATTATTGTTTGTGTCTGACATAAATATGATTATCTCCGCAGTTATAGATCGGTTATCTATAACTGTGATTAACTCAAATTTTAATAATATGTTATCAATAATTTAATATTTTAACGTTGTTTATATCATATCGTAGGCCTGTTAATATGTTTATAGGTCTAAGTCTATTGATCATATGATATGTATATACATTGTATATGATTTAAGGTTTAGCTGTAAGCCAGTATTTTAAACTCTATGGTTTAAGCGGTAGTTACTAAATGACACTTGTACGAAAATGATAAAAACCATTTTCGGGACCCGGTCATGCATACTGCACAGTGCGAAATAAAATACTAGTTGACATGGTTTTGCATAACAAATTCTTACTTGACCAATATAAGTTATAACAATTAAATATAGAAATATTCTCCTGTCTCGCCACAAGCCTAAATAGAAGGGTAATCAACTCATATTAAAATTATACACAATTTTAATTTGAAATTATATTTTATCATTATTTGAGTTGAATAAATTATTATTATTCGAATATTACAAGTTTAAAAAAAACAGGTATATTATAGAAATGACTCTTTCGATGAGCTATTATTTATCCTTATAATTTTCAAACGAATGCCCTCTAACCGAGTTTAGGATATCTACATCGTCATGACTCCGGACCACGACGATCTTAGAACAAGAAGATCGGACAACTCTACCTTATTAATAATTCGCTTAATTGTACGAAAATATTGCACAGGCTTGCCACTGTAAAATATAGCACCGTCAGTTGTCAGTTGGACTTTTTAAGTTTAAATTAAATGATGTTAAAACCTATAGTTAATAAATTTTTATCTATCTCAATGTCTATCATGGAACGAGAGGATCGAGAGCAAAATTTATCAACCAATCAGATCGCTCATAAATTGAATATATTTATCACTGTCTTATCACGCGCGCTTTTAGTTTTTAAGTATGAACTATACGTTTGCATTTGAACATTTTTAGTGGTGTTATAATGTTTTAATTAACATTTCATTTCCATTTTAGTTATGATGAGTATGTGACAGAAGATACAACTGGAACAGAGATTAAATGTCCAGACTTTAAAAATTATTAATTTATACACAGAGTATTCAAAATTGTATGTTAATTTTTTTTTTTATATCTAGGTAAATAATAATGAATAATTGTTGTATATAATTGTATTTATTTTATCTGAACAAAATCTGATTAATAATAACTTTTAAATAAACATAATAAACAGATTGAAAAAGATTGATTCAAATTAAAAATAATATATCTAATATCACTTCTATAATGGGTATATTATAATAATTATTAATTTTAATACAATCAAGTAAATAATCCTTTTTTTTTCAATTTGTTTTTAATTATAGTCTTAAAATATAAACTAATAACACTTATGAACTAATAATAATAAGAAATAATATGAAAATACAATGTATTTTCTTATATTTGGTAAAGAATTACTAGTTTTGTATGAATGGTCATTAGTATTATGAATGTTTAATATTTTACGTTCAACACCAGCGGCTGGAGAAGTTTTAAAACTTTGCTCGTTCATCAGCAGTTAATCTACATCTACCTAAGTTAGACCCATGTCTAAAATGTGTGTTACTAAAATCAACGTTGATTCCATTTGTATCTTCTGTCACAACCTAAATAATTTTAGAAGACATTTATTATTAATGGAAACTGGAAGGCAGTTATATTTTATGGTATTTCACCATATTTATTATTTAGTATTTATCATTGATGACGTGCATGTTAAACCTATCTTATTGCTTCCTTGGCTTTAAATGCGCCTGACGCTTCGCGATTTACTATGAAAGTAACCACTACGATGACAATAATAATATGTTCATTTTGCATTTTTAAGACAAGCGGTTGATTTGGAAATATATGAGCAAACGCTCTCTTTTTAAATTTTTAGTTTACAATCCTTAAAATTTACAAAAAAAATAATATTTTTAGTCAACAGTTAAACATTATTTACACTTTTTATGTAACTACATCAAGCTAATACGTATGATTCAGAGTTTGGAAGTAATGACTTTCTTTACTTATAGTAATTTTATGAAAATCTTCGACGTGTTTTCTTAATAAACTATATCCGGTGAATAATAATTGTCCACACTTATAGTCTGGACATTTAATCCCTGTTTTATTTTCATTATTATTTACTATACCACATTTCTTTTCATGTGATAATAAATTCTCAAGGTACCCAAACACTTTTTTACATTCCAAATGCATAAAACAAAACGAAGATATAGTAAAATAATAGAAAATATTATGAAATGTTAATTAAATGCAAACGTATAGTTCATACTTAAAAACTAAAAGCGCGCGTGATAAGACAGTGATAAGATATGTTCGATTTATAAACGATGTGATTGGTTGATGAACTTTGCTCTCGATCCCCTCGTATCATGGATGTTAAAATCACAATGATTATAATAAACAACCTATATCAACAAGTTGTTGACAACAACAATATTCACTAATATATTTATTTTATATTTATGATTATTGATTAACAATAGTGAACATATTGCGTTGTAATTTGCAAGGTTAAATTAAATCTTCATCTATTATTCAAATTGGTAACATTTAAAATACTTTCATACTATACCTTTAATCTGCAAATATTGTGACTACTTTATTTTTAGAAAATTTCAATTATTTATGAGCTGTGAAAGTGGTAATGCAGTTCCAAATGCGCACTTGTTTTTAAACGAGGCCGTACTAATGTAGTCTAAACATTTTAATAATTAATGTTATGTTGTAATTATTTAAACAATGTATTTACATTTTAAAGGAAAGTTGATTGGTAATGTGAAGGATTAAATAATGTGAAAAAAAAAACATTGATTGACTTTCTTGTGGAGTAAATTTGTTAAGTAGTGCTAATTGTGATTTTACTTATTGAGCATATATACAATACTTCCTACTTTGTCCACCATATCATTTTGTTTTTCAATAGCATCAACCTGAAAATGATGTTTACAAATAACATAATTTGTGTCCAAGTGATCAATACTTAAAGTATTCAACCATTCTTCCTTTGAAGTTTGATATTTTAGCGTTAGAAATAAAGATATATTTTTTATTTTGTAATAGCCAAACCAACAAATTGTATCCAGAGTAATAATAACTGGCTACACTGATATAATCATTAATCATGTCAGTTGGCGTTGTGTATCAGTCGCATCTCTCATGATCCTGAATTCATTTTGTGTCATGGAATTTTGAGTCGTCTTGAGGGTTGAGTATTGAGTTCTTGCATCCATTAAAAATTTGTAACTTGGCAATTTTGTTTATTTTATCAACGTGATGACAAGACAACGTACACAAATATAGTTGTTGTATTTTTATTTTGTGATACGCAATCTTAGAAAACATTTTTTTATTTTTGTAATTCGTTTACATTTTACAATTAATTTACCTTTAATATGAGTAATAACAATAAATCAGCCCTTTTTGCGTGTTCAAAATGTTTTAAACGATACCCTTATGAAGATTTATCATCCGGTCAACAACTCTGTAAAGTATGTTAATATCGTGTAATGACTAAAAATAAAATGTTGGTGTTCTTGTATTAAATTTTAATACATATTTTTGAAATTATTACATTAAGGAATGTCGTGGTTCATACCCTGTAGTCAAGTGTACGTACTGTCGGTCCGAATTTCAACAATCTGAGTAAGTCGACATAAATATATAAGTTGTTTGAAAAATTAACAATCTACCTTTTTATTGAAATTGTTTATAATTATCACAAACATTATAATTGTATGACCTTTGCTCATACAATTATAATTTGAATAAATACTGTAAACATATTTCTAAATAATATAACATGTTTTATTTAATAATTATTAAATGTTATAGATATCAAACAGGTAATCAAAATTGAATTATATAATCATATTTATGTACATATTGTTAAAATTAAAAAAAAATATATAATTTCATCTTATATGTAATACAGGTAATTTTTATGTATTAGTAATATTCTTGTCAAAATTTTATTTTAATTTAGTAAATCAAACACAAGTACAATTTGCAAAAAATGTGAACAGTTTGTTGTACAATATGGAAGACCAACAGCATGTAGTTACTGTAATATTATAGCTGCATTTATTGGCCAAAAATGTCAGCGTTGTGCAAATTCTGAACGCAAATATGGACCTCCAGTAACTTGTGATCAATGCAAACAAAATTGTGCTTTTAATAGAAAAGATATGGATTGTGAAGTAAATATTTTATTAACACCATTATTACCACATTTTTCATAATTTATTTATTTTTTTTAGTTACTTGATGGAAAAGTGTTGTGTTGGTTATGCACTTTATCATTTAAACGAGCTTTAGCTAAAACCAAAAAAACTGATGCTGAAATGAAACAATTAGTAAAAAAACGTGATGGGTTAGTATTGAGTACCTACTTTAAGAATTAAAATTATAATTTTTTAAATTTTAACTTAATACAATTTTTCAGGTCAAAAAATAGGAAAACAAAACATAGCAATGTAATGAAAATAATAGATGATAGTGTACCAGATTTTGCTTTCCCTCCTCCTTCAAAAATGCATAGAAATTCGCATAGGCATGTTGATGCTAATTCTTCAGATCATGTAGTGGTCATTACTGAACTTAAAGAACAAATACAAATGTTACAAAAACAATCTAATCAAAAGGATTTTCAACTTCTAAACAAAGATAAATTTGTATGAAAGTTGAATACTTTTAAATTCAAAAAATAGTTCTTATGCATAATTAAGTTTTTATATTTTTAATTAGATCACTGAATTAAAAGCCAAACATTTTACAACAGAAAATGAATTGCGTACAAAAATGCATTCGGACAAAAAAGAATATAGCAGAGAAGTAGAAATGTTACATAGTAAAATCAAATGTTTACAAAAAGAAGTGGCTACTTTGTCTAAAAGTGGTGGTAAACGTGGTGTACATTTACGTAAAGATAACCATGATAGTGGTAGTGGTACTGATAGTCCATCAGTCACATAATTCATGTGTTATAAGTACTACCAAATTCATATTATATTTGGTATGTACTTAATGGTTTGTTTAGTCTTAAACAATTATTTTGTAATTGACTAAATAAAAAATTTGAAATTTGTCATCCATTTAATTCTAACCTATTTGAAAGTTACTTAATTGTGTAATTTTTATCATTTTTATTTCAATTTTTTTTAAAATCAATTTTCCTTGTTCTCCTAAATTTAATAATAATTGCTCATCTGTTTAGTAAGTAGCTCTATATATATATTATATGTGTTTTGATATGCTCTCCTTTTACCTTTAAATTTGATAATAACTTTGTATTATGAATGGTTTTTTTTTTTCTATAATATACTTAATAGGTACTTATATTAAGTTACTTTAAAAAATAGGAGTTTTAAAATTAACTACTTATTTATGTTTAATGGGAACAATTCAATAAAAATATTTTATTTTTTAATATGTGTGTACTGACTGTTGCCAAATGAACATAAAGTAGATTGCTATAAACTTGTAACATTTAATTTAATTGTTTTAGAATAATATTTGTAATAATAAATAATGTTATTAAAAAATTCATATTTAATCATTTTCATTCTTTAAGATTTTTAACTTTGTGAATTGTATTTTCTGCATCTTTTTTATTTTTAAAGATAACAGTTATCTGTCCTTTAAAAATGAATGCCCAAATGTTTCATTTACCTAGTACCTATTTATTTAAATCATTTTTTTTTCTTTGTTGGTTAGTTTTGCTAACAAGAAGAAATGTACATTGGTAAGTAATAATCAAAATAAACTAAAATGTGATAAAACATGTACATAACCTTTTATACCCCTTTCTTGTATCTCTGTGATAAGGGTGGAAAATCAATATCTGTTGTTCCCTACACTACAGAAATAAATTATTACTAATTTAATACTAAATATGGTCCATAATGAAAATTAAAACTACTACCCCAAATTTAGTTTTTAAAGTATTTCATTGAATAATATTTAATTAAAACAAATTTTTCATTATGACTTTATTTGGATTTGGTCTCAGTAAACTTAGCAATCAATCATTTGTGATTACTGGGAATAACACAAATAGTACATCTATTGAACATACAGGTAAAATAATAGCATTATATTGATTCTGATATCAAGTTTTGTATTATAAGTATAACTGTACATACCACAGACAGACATTTCTTAAGTAAATGTAATATGCTTTCTATACAGGTTGGTGTATTGATTGGCGACCTTCACAACATTGGATGTTTCAATTGGCTAACATTCTATTTTTTGCTTCTTATTCTGTACCAACCAGCTATTATGGAATATTGTTTATGCATTCAACTCTAATTGCAGGTATTCAACTACTTATTCAAAAATTATTTATTATAATTGTAAGATACTTGTGAAATAGTAGTTGTTTTAAAGATATTTTTTTTCATATTATTTTACATATTTATTAAAACAATACAAGCTCGGTATTATAAATGTAGTAAAGATATATTGGGAACGAGACTTGATGGGATAATGTCTATGAAACAATGCATCATCCTAATTATAGACAATTTTTGGTAGTATTTTAAAGAAAAAGATGAAGAACGATAGAAGATAAGTGAATTATTTCTAAGATATTTTGAAGGTATGAAGAAGTAAAATAAGATAGTCTTTATATACAAGGAGATTGAAATGCAAAGAAAAATTCTTGTCATTCCTATGATCCGAAAAACCACATGAAAAGTACTTGGTTGCCCAATAAGACGGTAGTCGTGATATGATGATTACAAGGTCTGTTGAAGGAATCATGTCCAAGGAACTTTTTCAATTCATAAAGTTCTAAATATTGTTGATCTTGTTTGTTAGCTATATTAAATGATGTTAGGCTGTAGGGGAGAGGAAGGAATATGGCTTTGTTCTTCTGACTTTTCAAAGTATAAACATGTTAAAAAAATGTTAAAGAAAACAAAGACAAAATGAAAAAATTGTTTACCCTTCCAAAATTTGTTTTCTAGTTATGATCTTGAAATGGTGTGAAATAATTATTAGTTTTTTCTGCTCTATACAATTTCCTTGGCCACTAGTTATTTTTAAAAGTAATAGGAACTAAATATTATCTGTTTTAGCTATACATTGATTAATATAATAAAACAAGGAAAATATTTTAATGAAAAGCTTCTTGTTTTTAGGTTTCCTTATATTAATTACATGGGCATGGAGAATAGTGTGTGCACCAGATGTATTTACTTGGAATTTACTTTTTCTTATTATTAATATTCTACAACTAATTTACCTTATTTATCAAAGAAGACCAATCAATTTTAATTCAGAACTTGAACAAGTTTATCGTAACATGTTTAAGCCTTTTAAGGTAAACTATTTTTATTATTAACTTTGAGTGACATTGCAATGTCATATATACACCCATATATAAATAATTGTTTAACTCAAATGACTTCAGTATAATTATTGATTATAAAAACAAAAAAAAAAATAATAGGTTACGAGAATTCAATTTAAGAAATTGGTGAGTGAACAATTTGCTCAAATTGTAACATTGCATGTTGGTGAAGCTTATGCTATGCAAAATATTACAAAAACTGATAGACTTGGATTGCTTTTAACTGGAAGAGCAAATGTCCTTCAAGATCATCAACTTTTACATCCTATAGGACAATGTGAATTTTTGGATTCTCCCGAATTTGAAAGCAGAGGATCTTCTGAAGACAAATTTAAAGTAAAATAATTATTATATTTTTGTAACTTTTTAAAAACTACCTATGATTGTTACATATAGATTATTTATACACCTATACAATTTTATGTTTTTAGGTTTCTGTCATTGCTGCAACAACCTGTCGATACATATTTTGGCAAAGATCAGCATTAGAATATTTGTTTGTGAAAGAAACATATTTAGCCACTGTATTAGCTACTTTAGTTGCAAAAGATATAACTATCAAACTATACGCTATGAATAAGAAAGTAAAAAATTTATAATTCTTATTTCTTACTTTCTTTAAATTAATAAATACATCTTTTTTATCTAGATTATGACTGAAAAAGGATCATATTTAGACATTAGACTACCAAGTATTACTCCAGCTTTAGCATCAAAAGATTGTAAGCCACCCATTATGAAATCATTGAAAAAACAAACAGTGATTTCATCACATTGTACAAAATCATCTGTACCGGCTGGTAAATTTATTTCATAAATTTATTATTTATGTTTTTGCATTCAGTTAAATCTATTATCTTTATAATTATTGAGTTTAAAAGCATTTGTTATTTTAAATATGAGAAATTTACAAAAAAAAAAGTAAATTTATTGCCACCATAAATTAATAATTAATCCTAATTACTATAGTGGCAAAAAACATTTTTTTCTATTATGACAAACTTTTCAAGATGGTGGAGGACATTTACAAAAGTTTGTATTTCAGTTATTCAGTATTTTTAAGTTTTAATTCTCCATACCTATAAGAAATAGTATTTATACAAATTTTAAAACCTCAGAGTTTTATAGTATGTATTTTATTTTAAATTTCAATAAATATTTAGGAAGTCTATTTGTAGATAACTAGATCTTAATGGATTAATTATAAATATGTGTTAATAGATTTAGTTTCAAACTATAGGTAAACATAATATTAAAGTATAAATATAATACCTATTAAAATATAGTTTTTGAAATGTCAATAATAGGCAATAATAATAATAATAATAATGTTATTTTTTTGTAATGTCCTTGTAGAATATTTGATTATAAACATACATTTATTTGATAGTTTAACATATTTATCGAATGTTAACATCTAAAATACCTATAGTTAGTTTCGGTTATAGATTATCATTTAGGTATTTAAATAATAATAAACATTATTATTGTATCATCGAATATATGAGCTACTTATAAAATAGTAAAGCTTACACAAATATCAAAATGTTTTTGCTCAATGTTTGATTTGTGTGTGACGTAGACATGGCTAGAGTGACCTTTCAAAAAAATAGTAGTATTTTACTCAGATTAGAAAAAAAAATTGTTTTCGTTAAAAGCCATAAACAATTTTTAATTTATATAGTCCTTAAGGCTTTAATATACACAAATTATATACATATATAATATGTGTAAATATGTTTCTTTTATATTCAAATTTTAATTTAGAATTTATTTTTATTTATTCCTGGATACTATAATAGTAATTAGTTAGAAATTAGATTCAAGTTATGTACTCAGGTGGGCCTGCCAATGATGTAAACTAAAAGACAAAATATGTTTTGCATTTTATTTAATTTGCACGTCCTTTAACTAATAGAACTAATTATTGTATTTTTATATCAATTCAAGTTTATTTAATAATAAAATAGATAATTGATATTATTTTACAAATGCTGTTTTTCCAAAGATAATGTTTTTATTTTACTGATAGGCAAAAAGATATTTTAAATTAAAGTTTAAGATTAGAATGTTAAAAAGAAAATCCAAATATACGGTTTTAACCCCTAGACCCCTTATAGTGTTTGGACGAGTGTTGTAGCTATGTATGTAATAATTTGTTGTGTACTGAGTTGTAGTATCTATAATTGTACATGTTTGTGTATTGCATTCATTAGTAAAATTTTAAACAAATTGTATTTTTTTATGTTTGCATGTATAATTTTTAAATTTATAATTGTATGCAATATAATTAATATATTTTCATTATGTAATATTATATTGTGAATTTTATTTAAAATTACTTTACTGGGTGGACTGAATAGAACAGCGATGACCAATGGATATTTAGTCTTAGGATGACATCATTTTAAGCTGATTAGATAAGGAATAAAATATTTATATATATATATGTATAAATTTACAATATCAATATGATTTTAAAAATATAATGGTCATATATATTGTCATTTGATGACCATCATATCACTACCCTAATCAGTATCTGCTTATGATATTAGGTATATATATACCTAATATTATTATATTTGATTATATACTCATTTTATATATTCAAAATACAATTTTGAGATTTCAATGACTTAATAGTTGATAGGTGCTGAGTCCTAAATGATGTATTTATAATGGAGGTAACTAAATAAAATACAATTAAAAAAAATTAAGAACACATTATCTTATTTAAAGTTGTAAATGACTAACATTAATTTTTTATTTAGTAATAAAAATTGTTAACAGACATTAACAAATATTTTACTAAAACATAAAAACCAAGTGTTACTTAATCATATAATTATAATATATACCTAACACAATTATTATCCATAGATCAGTAAGTAAAATTTGTGTATGACATTGTTATAATATTAACATATTTATCATTTGTAAACAAATTAATTTTATTTATCTATGCTTTTAAAGTATTTATGACACTCCATTTAACATTTCATTAAAAATTAATTCACTAAAAATTTTAAGATTTAAAATAATTATGAATAGAAATTGTTAGGCTTGGTTTTATTTATTTTTTACCAGTGAAAATCACCAAGTGCGATACACTAATCATGGATAAGTGCCCGATGACCAATGGAAAATTTGACAGAATGAACTTGGCAAATGAAATGGGTAACACAGGAGTGGAAAATTGGCTTGAAAAAACTTCAAAATATCACAGTTTAGAAATGGCAGAAGATGATTAAATTATAATTGAAATTTTTGTTAGGTATTTATTTTTTGATTATTTATAATAAATACATTTTTATAATTTATTCTACTTGAATATGTTAGTGTTTCTATAGTATAATAATATAATAATATAATATATAATAATAACTTATAGATAAATATATGGCAGTCAATATTACAATGGTCGCCAAAAACTATTAATTATAAATTGTTTCTGCATAAATAATATGTACAATAGATGATTTATACATTAATCAGTGGTACTGCTATAATTTGTAGTTAACAATGTCTGAATATTTCAATCAATAATTTTTTATAAACTGTATTATAAATTTGTTACAGATAATGTAACATATAATGTAAATAACCATTACTTTTAATAAAATTTTAGACAAAATTATACAAAGTTTATACATTGTTTATAAACTTTAATTCTGTTTTTTAATTAGAATGTATTACTTAATACATTTATTAAACCTATATACATTTTTCACTTAATTCTGGATAGAATACAAATCTATAATCTATTATTTTCTGTAAACAAAAGATTAGAGTCCATGAGTTTTACCTTGAGCTAAAATGTGGTAAATTCAAATGTACAATTGTACATTTGTAACATTACTTATGATTGTAACCACATCTATATATAATACTACGTATATAAATATAAGTTTTCTTTCAACATTTTAAGCCTATGCATATTTTAACCTGAATTACAACGAAAATTCAAAATTAAAAATATTAAAAACATTATTTTCGTAAAATTTTTAGTTCTTTCTACGTCTTTTTCGGTTTTGCTCGATTATTAAAAACCACGAAGAAAAACAAAAAAAACGACTTTCTATGGCAACCAAATAGAGTAAAAATTCAACAAAAAAGGTCTCTTATCATTTATGTATTGGAGTAATATTTATGGTAGAAAACTTAAGCTGTACAAATTTAAATTAATAAAATTGTTGTGCCGTAATTTGAAATAAAAACTGTATAGGTATTTTGTCTTTCGGGTTTTTTCCTATTAATTCGAAAACACCTTAGAAAATCAACAATTTATCTCTCAATACGCCAACTAAAAAATATTACTTTACCTTGGAATAGACAAAAAGTCATATTTCTGTTTTTTTTTCTGGACAATTTTGACTTTTGATCGTAACATAGATATATATTGTACATACATGTTTTTTTTTTTTGTATATTATTAGTTAAAGTTTATACTTATAAACTATTTTTTTCTTTTTAATAGCTAAAAAAAAATTGTATGTATAAAAAAAAAAATGATAATTATTGTTTTTTTTTGGGACGAGAAAACTCCTCACGATATTTTGTGGTGTATTACAATTTTTAAACCACCCCTTCTTTAATTAAGCTCCACATACGCCACTGTAGTCTACTTTGGAGCAAGTTTTCTGGTGGAAAATTTGTTCATAGACAAAAAAAAATTCACATTCATCATGATCATAGTAAAATATTACTGAAGTTGTTGTTCGGAACAAGATTTATATTAGTAAAAGTTGACAGAAAAAAAAATACCCAGGTAAAGTACAGGAGATTTTTTTTTAACACGTTTACCCTGCTTTATGGTTACAAATTATGAATAAATTCAATTTCTGATGCAATGAATGACGATATTTTCGTATTAATTAGATTTTTCACAACATTTAAGTAATATTCTGTAGAGCAATAACAATTTTGATTTTGCACTCTAAAACCTCCATGTTTTGATGTGAATTATTAATCGGATGAAGATTTTTGAAATTTTAATCTATTGTAATCAAAATTTGAATGAAAAGTTTTTGAGTTGTAGTCTTTTATGGATGCTAGTAAAGTTATTCATCCTACAATGGTCATCTGAATTCATATTTTGTCATTGTTTAGCAAGTAAGTCATTTATAAGTATTAGTAAGTACAGAATCAAAATGTAAAAATACGACGACATTGATGCTAACTTCTCGAATACTGGACGTTTCTTTTGATTTCTACATCTGAACTAACAAGCTTAAGAGAGTCATTTGTTAGTTCGAAATCAGAATTTATAAGCTAACTCCTTCAAAATTACTCCAGAAAATTTAGCCAGCTGAGTCACTAACATTGTGGAATTTTTGTATCATCATAATTTTTGATCAATTTGTAAGAGTAAATCCGAAACTAGAAAATTTATATTTTCACCATTTCATAAGTTTAATCAGCTGGAACACTTCAACTTTTATGTGATCCATATTTTATGTTATAAAATAACTGAATTGATGATACCTATTTATGAATTATTATGATTATTATGTTATTAAAAATTATAGTATAATATGTTAATATTTTACATTAAGTCGGTAGGTGCAGGGCCGGATTAAGGGGAGGCCAGGGGGCCCTGGACCCCGGGCCTCCACAAAATGAGGGCCCCCCACTTAATGGGACTTTTTTGCATCCAAATGTAATGTATAATGTATAATGTTTGCAAAATTAAAGTTAATTTTTTTTGTTGAATTAATAAATTAAACAAAATAAAATACATATTTTGTGTGCGTTACGGACTGCCACATTATACGGGTATAATAGGGTTGGTATACACAACAAACGTTTTTCGGTAAATGTTAATATACCTATTATTAAATTAAATTCACTTATAAAGTTTTAATCATATATTAAAATATTAAATATATATTATCGAAAATATATACTTCTAAGGTGAGCCCAGGGCCCCCACATTCCTAAATCCGGCCCTGGGTAGGTGGGTGATATTTATATATTTTAATGGTAGATCTATTATTGTCTTCCATAGATTTTGCATCACATCTTAAAAACCCACATACTTACCTAATTATAGTACTAGCTCACTGTGCTAAAATTGATGCGTAATAATTAAATCATACTATGCGTATCATATCGAGTACTGTTACGTCCACTCAAACAATATGGCTACCCCTACCTTTTCCAAACAGCGCTTTCAGATCGAAGGAGACTATCCCGCACTACTAATATTCTACATAAGCGAGCCAGCCTATGTTAACTACAAATTGACATCCTTGAGCAATCGCCACTGCACCTTAAGTTTAGATCTCCCATATGACATCCAGAACCTTAGAAAGAATCTGTTGAACAACTATGGACAAGACGCTTGGGACAAACAGAAATCCGCAATAGGCATCTAATTAAGAAGGGAACCATTTATAGTCCTCGGTTGGAAAAGTACAAGGGCAGAATGGTCAACGATCAATCAAATAAGAACGGGACAAGATACAACTATCTACTTCATAAATGAGGCATGATAAACTGTATAAATGTGGAGAAATGCAGACAATCACACATATATTGAGATGTTTTCAAGTACAATATTTGAAGAATTAGTGAAACTACACGAAGGCGGACGAGCCGCAGTAAAATGACTTGTAGAACTTGTTATACATCTGTGGTTTCAATTAATTATTATGATGTTATTATAATTAATATAACTACTATTAGGCATCTATTTACCCATATTTTATTACTTTTTAAATTGTTTGTTTATTTTTATTTAATTAATTAATTTGTTTAATTTTATCAATTTTATCAATTGCATCTGTATTTTTCTCGCATCCCGGACGAAAAATCTGAGGACAAAACGTCCATGGACAAAAAGTCCAGACTCATTTTTTTATTGATGGCCAAATAGTCTTAGCACATTTTTACATTCTACTATGATAATAATTTAAAATAAGTTACATTTTGAAAAATAGTCAATATAAATGCTGATCACTCTACATTGTAGAGTCTACAATAATAAAAATAATAACAATTTTCAATTTACCATTGGAATTTAGGCACTAAAATAGGCATTTTTCAAAAGTATGAACAAAGTATGAAGTATTTGAACATTTCCATCGAATACTCGAAACAAGTTTATAATAAATCTTAGATTTATAAATATCCATAAAAAACATTTTTTTTAAATTTTCTTTATATGGTATAAATATAGTTGAAAATTAATTGATTTATTAGATGTAGATTTATCTAAATCGCGTGAAAAATTAATATTAATAAGAAAATAATTTTTTGTTTTTTGAATTTTTTGTTCGACAATAACAAAAAAGTTCGGACTTTTTATCCAACTTTTTTCAAAACGGACTTTTTGACTGATCAACATTTTTCTCATGTCATGCATAAATAAAAAATATTTTAAACTAATATTAACATTGTCACCTTTGACAATTTCATATTTAAATGATGCTGGATAAATTATATTTATTAAATAAATCAAAATAATAAAGATTAAAAAAAAAACATGTAATTTGAAAACATTGAATATTGATAATATTAAATTGTATAATGTTATCACAAATGCAATACAGCCAATGAGAGTTCTTGATTTCCAATGGGTCACTAGCAATGGTATGCTTACAACCACGAATTAAGATATACCTTAATATCTTAACTAGGAATATCTTAATTCGTGCTTTTAATTATTTACATGTAGATAATAAAATTTTACCATAGAACGTTACTAAAATCTTATCATACCCAATTCTTATCATTTTCTGACAACTGCTTATCAATCTAGGTACTCAGAGTAATAAGTTATACACATAAAGTATAATGTTTACTAATTATTATAATCATAAAAATGCTTTATTATCAATGTAGGTAGTTGGTAAAATTATTCTGTTCTGGAATATTTAAAAAAATTAAATTAAATTAAGATAATATTGACAGGTCATTATGAAGTTACGAATCTATGAAGTTTTTTTTTCTTTAAACTTTAAATGCACGAATCAACAAAAACGTAATTAATTTAATTTTTATGAATTTCGCATAGTGCAATAGATATTTTAGTACCTAATTTACTTGTTCTTGGAATTTCAATAATGAATCAAAAACCAGAATGTTCATCTAGATGTCGAACAGTAAGTACCAACATAGAAAAACACTTTAATAACTATATTATATTAACCTACCAATTAATTGAAGGGTACAGGGGAAAATCGGTAGTGTCCATTTCTATATATTTTTTAAAAGAGCAAAAGCAAAGTTGTAATACGATCTCTCCTCACCAGTATACCTATTATCTAATCTTTTCCCCTCAATATTAGCAAAATGAAATCGTTATTCACCGAATCAATTTCAACATTCTACTGCTAATGTGCTATCGAATTAAACCAAAAAATCAAAATCAAACAAATATACTACTTACAATATTTTTTACTCTGAACCATTAAATTGTAATATGTTAATTACAATAGGTAATGTTGACATTTTTGTTTCACCACCAAATGTTTAAAATTAATAAATTTACTTATTTAAAGTAAATTACCTATAATGTTTTTCCCTTCTATTAAAATATAGGCATCATTATTATATATATTTTAAATTTTGAAACATTAGTATTAATTTATAGTTTATCTGTAGATATTTATTAATAAACAATAGGTAATATTGTAGTGTCAAACCATAATGATCAAATGTGAAAAAGTCAATAGAAAAGAAATAATGTTTATTAATGTATTTTAAAAGTTTTTTAAATAGTAAATTAAAAAGTATATTAATACTATATTATTAAATACTAATATTACTAAATAACAAAAATATAATTACTCCATACATAAGTCTGTATATTATAGAACTTGGTTCAATGTGGTTTAATATAGTATATCTATTCTATACCTGTATATTAGTAAATTTTGATTGTATATCAGTGTTGTAATTATTCGGTACCTGTCTATTTAATAAATGATCTGATTGTAAAATATTATTTCAATTAAATTTATTATTTTAGCACGTGGTGATGACAGTGCATAGACAAATTGTGTAGGTATTATTCGGGTCACGGTTTAATTTAGTCCCTGACTTATTGATGTTCAAAGTAAAAAAAAATTCTGTCAATCAATATATTATTACAATACAATTAATTATATTTTAGATTCTGAGTGGAGCGAAGCCTATGGTTTCACAAATATGTCTATTTTATTTTTATTCTTTTATCTGTGCGCAACTTTTCTACCAGAAGACTTGCTCGGATTTTTACATGTAGCACCTTTTCTGAAAGGAAATCGACGTAAGAAGGTACTTTAGGAAGGTCATTTTTCGATTTTCTCAAGAGTTTTCTCATAAAATTAAAAAACGGGAAAATATACGAAATGTAGATATTAGTTATTTGTTACACCTAAATGTTTTTTAATGTCGTAATTTTACAATTTTCAAGCATTTCTATTTAGTCGAACAAAACAGTTAGGTAGGGATAAGAACTGGACAGTTTACGGAAATAGCTATTTCATTATTTTCAATTTTGTTATTTGTTTAACAATATTTTTAGACATCATTTTCACAGAATATATATGTCTGCCTTTTCTAGATGTGATAAAATGTTCAAAACAAATGAGTCATTTTTGAGCTATTTATTTAGACATTTTAATTTTGTGAGTTTTTTACATAACTTTTATTCGGTAGGTACTCTGTGGATAAAATTGTTAGATTAAATAGAAATGCTTGACAATTTAACAGACTGTTATATATACATAATATAATATACATGTATATATATATATATTATAATATGTACATAGTGGTCAACAAAAAAGAAGTTGAGTTTAACGTAATATTTTTTTCTTTAAGAATTTTAATATCAAATTTTGATGAAAATCGTAAATATTACGGCCTTAAAAAACATATATAATGGAACTACGCTTAGACTCGGTATTTTTTTATAATTTTCTTTCAACTTCCAATATACTACTATGGTACACATATGTCAGCTCTATTAAAAACATTTTATACATTTTTTACATTTTTTGATCCTATTTTTTGATTAAAATAGGATTTCTAAAATAATTTACTGATAATTCATATGAGAATTTGAGAGTATTATGGATTTTCTGAAATTTAAATAGGGTTCTATTTATATAGTCATAATGTGATAAAACAATTTAATTTCTCAGACTCATTATACAAGAAATGTATAGATAATATTGTAATAAGAAAATTTACATACATAGTGATTTTATAATTAATCCCTAGTAAATTTTACACGCTGTCATTATATTTTCATGGATTTCAAGGTTTATGATAAATATTTTTTAAGCACTAGCCAACGAGCAATACTTAAAAATAAAATAAAATATTTTAAATACCAGTACCTATACATTTTTCTTGCAAGTTAATAATTTTATTATAATATCTATTAATTGCTATACCTACTGTGGTATCATGCTGGTTACCAAAAAGCGCTCTTGATTATTTTTTTTTTTTTTACATTATATCGCTATTGATACTGTATATTAATCATTGCACTGTACAATTTTTTCGAGGAAAACAAATCACACAAGCCAATGTCACGTGGAAGTCAGCAATGGAATTTTCATGGCACGTTAACTCTATTTTATTTTTCGGTTATTGTTTACCTGTGCAGTAAAACGTCCTTGTTATTGTTGTGTCACTGAAAATATATTATCGTACAAAAAAACAAAATAATAATAATAATATTTAATATAATAGGTAGTATAAAATTGGCAGTGATGATGATGATGATGATACTGTGATACAAACTTGGTTAGTATTACCACGCAGGAAATTATTCTGTGGCTTTAGTAGTCGAACATAAAATATTATATAATATTTTCCTGTAAACTTAACGAATTTGTATGTGAAAATGTGAAACCTTGAAAGTTATAACCTTGCGCCTTGCGGTAGTAAAAATTATTTCTGACCAAAATTGGCGTACCCCTTATTAATAATAATTATTTGACTGGTGTACCGGGTTAACATGTAGATAATTGTGTTTTATTATTCATATAACAGTTATTATTAGAAATAACCAAGAATTTCAGCGTTTTTCAAAAAACAATGAAATACTAATATAAATAATTTGACAAAGTGATAATCAATATTCTATGAATGTATTGATTTTACAACTATCTCGGAAAACAGTATTTTGGGTGGTAAAAATGATTAACAAATTTCACGCGGTTGCTTTTTATTTATATCGGTTAAAGCTGCTTTAGTAAAATTGAATTGTAATCAATTCACTGGGCTGTGGAGAACTAACTCTATACTACTGCATTTTGAATTAACCTCAATTATAATACTATCATAATTTATCGCAGGAAATTTTAACTTATTTCGTTGCGCCATTGGAGTTAAGTAATTAAAAACAAAACATAGGTACCTGCCTACTTTATATCATCAATAGTATACTTTGGTTTACGAAATAATCAATTTGATAATTTTTTAAAAACAGCGAAAACTGAAAAAAATATATCAAGAATCATGTTATTTTAAAATATCAAGTAGTTAATTAATAGTTAAGTAGTTTGTTATATTATTTAAAATATTCGACATTTTCATTTAAAACACTGGAGTGTAAAATTTAGCTTGGCTTTGCATTATGTTATATTTTCTTCTCTTATTTATCAGTCATCACTCATCGCAAATATGTGCCGTCAAAACGGAAAATTATAACCTGGCATTTCTTATGACATTATCAAGTGCTTTTCCCTTCATTATAATTTTCCATTATAATATTCATAGTTTATACGAACTAATATAAAATGTATTTTAATAATAACTGGACCTATTTAAATAATTTAAAGTATTTATCTGTCTTATTAATGAAATATAGAAATTTAAAGCTTATTTTTTTACATCTTTTTTTTTATGAAAATGCTATTTTTAGGTTTTTTTTTTTATTTGTTTTGTGAATGAAATATATTTTTGTTTGTATTTTTTTTTTTTTTTTGTGAAGATATGCGCGTGACGGCAGTATTGTGTAGGGGCTGTTAGATTTAATGTTGCGTGAGGCGTTAAATTTGTAGAAAGTTAATCTAGGTATAAGACAATTGCAATTAAATATCAAAACTAATTTTTTGGGTTTTGAGTTACTCAAGGTAATATAATTAAATCAAATCGTATTAGTTATTTTACTTATAATATAATAAATGCACAGCGCAATAGGTAACGTATATTCATACAAATATTAGATACCTATATCCAATATATTTGTTATTTCATCTATAGATACTGAAATTATTAATCACAATAAGATCACTTTTATGATAGTTTGGACAATGAACAATGTAATATATTTTATATTCAATAGCAAAGAGGACAAGAATAGTTATCATTGTCAAAGTGGTACACTGTTACCGCGCTATACCATACCTGTGTCATCACTCTAACGAATGCTTCATCACGTTATTAATTGAGTTCAGAAAATTATTAACGTTATTGTTTGGCCTTAACTAATCGACAAAATAATTTTTAATATTTTTCGATCGTTTTAAATTACATATGCAATCATCTTTACTTGAGTCATTAATTTAATAATATACAATATTAAAAAAAATTATATTAGTATATTATAAATACATAATAATAGTAAATTATAAAATCAACGCTTAAATAAAACATAAATATTGTATGTGTGACGAAAACCAAAAAAATCGAAAATAAATTCTAAACAATTAAACCAAAATATAAAATTATCAGATTATTAATACAATTATTTTACAGAACTACTTGATCAACATAAGTAGTATGAAAAGGTATGTTCTAGCCAGAATCCGGTACCAGATCTATACCTAATACACAGCCTCCCGAATTGTTTACCTCTTCATCGACCTATATTTACCCCCTCCCCCCACCATAATATACATAAATGTATATTGTATAATAATATACATCTATATCTATTATTATCAGTGCTCGAACTGGGAAAATTAAAGAAGTGGAGCTCTGCTAAATAGAGAAGCTCATTCCCTATAAACCTCCCCCCCACCAGTTCAAGCAAATATTATAATATAATAAATAATAATTCATTATAGTACTGATGACCACGATAGTTCAAAAGAAAATTAAATCGTGTATTTGTGATTTATTTTCATTCGTGCGTTTATCAATTAAGGCAAATATTGGACAAAACCCACGACTAAAAAACAATTCCAGATTATTCCTTATCAATACAATATTATACAATATTATTATTATACTTATAATTATTTAGTTATTAATAATTTAGAAACTCATGAAATGTACATTCGACAGTACATAAATAGAATTATTTTGCAAAATATGTAGTTCAGATAGGTACGATAAAAAAAAATCTCATACATCATAGTAAAACTACTATGAAAATATTTAATATAAAAATGCGAGGCCCCATAAAGCAGGAGGTACTAGGCAGGTGCCTAGTTTGCTCCCCTCTTCCGACGGCTCTGCTAGTGATTCTAATATTTTTTTTCAAATATTTTTTCCACTATACTAGTGACGGATAGGCATGATCTGACCGGGCCAGGAAAGCGGCCCACATGATCATATCCAAAATCCAACAAAAACATTACCTCAACCTTGACTGCACCAACACCCACTTCTTTTTTTTTTTGTTAAAAAATTTAATTTTACACTATTCCAATTTCAATTAAACATTTTAGGTTGCTAAAAAAAAGTTTTCCATGTACAATGGTACATTACCCATATTAAGTCCCAGAATTTGAACTTAGTATATTAAGGGATGAGTTCAAATCATAACAAATTTGTATTTCTTTTGTAAAATAAATGTATTAATAAAGAACTGTTTCTGCTTTCTGGTACTTATCTCCATAAGGTCTTCTTAGCAGGGGAAACAATGATTATTAAAATTAAACCTTACGCAAAAATCATATGCACAAATAACGCAAATATTTTTGAAGGCGGCTTGAGCCCCAATATTAACTATATATACTTAGTATTTACTTGATGACTTTATTTTAGGAGGCTTGGTTGAGTATTCGAGGGGGGGGGGCTCAAAATCCTTCAAAGAACCTTCCTCTTTTTACATCAATTGACAAAATTAAGGGTAGTTTAGGGTTTAATATTTAAAAAAAAAAACATTTATATTTAACATATTTTTTTAAAAGATATTTTGATGGAAAATATCGCAGCGAAGGTTGAAGCCTTTCTTGACTCCCCGTATGCACGTTTATACTTATTTCTCCATTCCTGATCTATTTTCAAATAATTTTAAGTATTTAAAAAATAATTGGATATAATTTTTATTCGATTGATTACGAAAAATGTATTTAAATATGTCTACCTAAATATCACTACCTATACCTGCACTGTATATAATACGCGTATATGATTTAATGATTAGATTTAATTTTATATATTTATAAAATTATAGTTACTTAGTAGGTACAGTCAAGTATGGATTCATGGGAGTGTGATAAATCAACCCCCTCTCATTTACTCCCCGATATACTCTTAGTTGCATTATACTTCTAGCTTGATTCATATTTGAGCTCGTCTTAAAGGGGTGCTTTATATGCATTTTCAAAGTCCCCCCCCTATTCTATTTTTTTAGATCCGCCCATGGGTACAATCAGTAGTTTTTATTTTTTACATTAATATCCCATTAGTACTAGATAGTAGAACAAAATTGTTACTATCACCAATAAAACTAACCACTATAATAATTAATAACCATAAAATTGCATGATTTTTCAATAACTTAGAATTTGCTGAATCAAATCTACTATACTCATCCATCATTAAATTTAAAACCATAAGAATTACCTGAATAATTATAAATAGAGTCAAAATAATTCGTTTCTACAACAATTCATAACTGTATATAATATACAGTTTTATTAAAGTAAATAAATGGAGGCGATGCATTCAACACTGAGTTCACAGAGAAAAGTTGTTTTGCATATTTGAATTTTAAAAATAACCAATTATCTACTAACGATGATTTTCGTTATAATATAATAAGTATTTATTTAATAAATATCTTAGTTGATGACACCAGCTGTGAATCAAATTCAAAAATAATATTCAAGTTCTAGGGATGGTAGGCAGTTTATAACGCCACCCCGTGATGTTATTTATGAATAAAGTGGACTAGAAATACAATAGGAATGATAATTTATAGTAGTGATACAATGATAATTTATTATGAATTAAACTATCTACTATCCGCCCCTGCACTACACCATTACTATATGGCAAAATATTACAAAACTACTATACTATACTTACCTATCCATTCATCCATTCTTTATTGTCTATGGGTACTAAGTTCGACGTATAGTTTTTCACCAATATTTTACAAATGTAATTTTGTCGCCCTCGAAATATACCGTCCTTCTCTCCTCCGTCCGTTGACCATCTATCGTCCACAGCTACCACTACGGCGAAATATTATATAATATTATACCTATTCGAATACAACAAAATATTATTTTGTTTTCATTGTGTTACACTTAAGTTTTCTATCAGAAATATTACTTCAACCTAGAAATGATAAGAGATCAATTTTGTTCCTTGTACAATATTGCCACTGTGAAAGAAAGTGATTTTTTTATATCCAAAGTAGTTTTTGTAACAATTGGGAAAAACCAAAAAAGATGAAATAAACGATTTTTTTTTCAAATTCTGGCATAACAATTTCATTATTTTAAATTTGTACGGATTATGTATTTTACAAAAAATATTGCTCCAATAGAAAAACGACAAGAGACCTTTATTGTTTAATTTTAAATCTAATTGATGACCAAGAAAGTCGTCGTTTTTTGATTTTCTTTGCAGTTTTAATAATTGAGCAAAACCGAAAAGAACGTAAAGGAAAGGAAAATTTTACGAAACTAATGCTTTTATTATTTCATTTTTGTTTTTTCGTCATGATTCAGATTAAAATATTTGTAGAGACTTAAAATTTTGATTGAAAATGTATACTTTCTTTTTCTAGATGTGGTAATATATTATATATATTTATATGTTACAAATAACCATCTATTTAATGAAACAAAATATTTGGTCTTTATTATAGATATTTTGAAAAATTTGGAATATGATATTATTTCAATTAAATTAAAGGTAAGCAGGTATAGGCAATTTTTGTTTCATTTGTAATATTGCTAATTTAATTTCTGTTAAATTATCAGCCATATGGCTATACCTATTATTCTGGTATACACGACTTAATTCAATGTACTTCAGTACATTGAGCAATTCTATGATTAAAAGACGTATTTTTGTACAGTGTAAAGCATATTTAAAGTATATATCCATTTTACATTTTGGTCCAATTTAATGCCTTCTGTTCCAAGCATTTTGACTTTCAACCCCTATTTCACCTATTTCAGGGATGGAATTTTCGAAAATTCTTCTTTAGTGAATCAGTTATTTAATCAGTTTCTTTTCTAATGTATTTAACAAAATTCAGTGTTCTAGATTCTTACCTTGTTTATTCTACTTATATTGTTTAATTGGATTCGATAGCCGGCGGAGTTAATATTAAAATGGCTGAATCCGCGTCCTAAACCAATAAATTATATTATGTAACCGTTAACAACAGCACGGCCATTGAATATATTATAGAATGCGCGTAACTGCAGGTACAAAGGCTGATGAGATCGTCGACCACATGACCGTGCTTTTCCGAGAATGTTAGCTAGTAGTACATCTGTGGATACAAAGGTTAATGGTTTCCAGGATTCAGTACTTATCCCAGAACCGTCCTTTTCATCATGCCTAGGTACTTTGATTTATTCGGTGGAAGACAATCGGAAAAACACAAGATAAGAAAAAAATTAATCATATAGTTCAACCGCGCCAAAATCCCAGGTAGTTACTATAGGTAACATATATGAAGACTGGTAGTAGGTGCCTACCTGTGCACTTCATTACAGATATTAAATTTATGTTTGTGGGAATATTGGTACGGTACATAGAATTTATAACAAAATAAATAAAAAACGCGGAATACTGGTACTCTTCAAAATTTATATTTTAGGGGATCCTAAAATATTTACAATGTTTATATAGTTTTAATAAATTACTATCGTCAACAAGTTAAATTTAAATAATTCGTTAAAAAAGAAAAAATAATATTAGCAATCAAAATGAATAAAAACACAAATAAGTACATACAAAGTAGCAGGTAGGTAAAATAAATATGAATTATACAATAAATATAATATATAATTTATGAACAATAATAACTATTTCATACACTTTGCTATATTATTTAAAAATTGTCCTATTTTAATGTATTTATTTATGTAACTCCCACATTCGTTGTGTAGTTTGTCTTGCGTATTATTATTATTTTTTTTTTTATTGAACTTTTTAGCGTTAAGGTTCATGACATATTTATCGTAATCTTATTGTACCGTAATTATTTCATATTGGGAGGTATCTATTTAATTGTAAAGCATAGCAATTATTTTCATTCGCAATCACTCGTAATTTCCTATCGATTTTCGGTAAAATAAAATTAAAAATAATCGTTCATATTTTATTCTTTTTATTTTCATATAGGTTTGGGAAATCTTTATTATTGAGGATCGTACCAGTATTCCGCGTTTAAAAAGACCGTATCAGTTTTCCGTTAGCCAAATTTAGAACTACATACATCGTAAATTCTAGATAAGGATCTTATAAGAACTATAAACGCAGCTAAATTATTTATGGACATTTAAAAGACTAATTTTATTTGGTTCATATAGTAAGGTGTATTACTTTAAGTCAAACTCGTTTATTTATAAACACTTTTCCTTTAAATTCTAAATTAAGGACATTTCATGAGAACATCATTTAAATATGGGATATATTCCAGCAAGGTGAAATAAGTCGAATAGGATATTTAAAAAAAGTTTGATTAAAAAATCAACCAAATTAATAAAATTATGTTCATTTTCATTTATTTTTATTTTTATTGTTAACAATTTTAATTATTTTGAAAGATTTTAAAAAAATTGGATTAAAAAATTAATTATTATTATGTATTCATTCATTTGTATTTATATTATTATTTTATTATTACGATTAAAATTTTAATTGTTATTAATTATTGATCATTTTAAATATTAATATTGGTACAAATAATATTTCTTGTTTACATCTTTGGCGCTTTTGTCATATATTGGGTGTAAATTTATTTTGGCGCATCCAAATTACGTGCTAAAAGAAAGCGATGATGATCGACAACCTAATTGCGTACGCGGTTTTTTTTGTGACAATCAACTTTTAAATAATAATATTGAGATATGAGCATGGACAATAAAAATGTATAAATCTTATTTACTTAAAAATTCAATCATTTTGTCTAAGTAAAAAATATTAAGTCGTAAAATCATAAAATATAAGTATTTTTAGGAGAATCTAAATTTTAAAATAAGAATCGCGCACGCAACCAGAATCAGTCTCAAAAAAACCGTATACGCAACTCGACCTATATTATAATTTCCGTATGCAATTCGGAAACACCGGTTTAAACATAGGTTACGACTAATATAACCGTCGGATATAACAGTCAATTTTCCGTTTATAAAAAACGTCTTTTTCAACGTTTTTTTAATTAGCTAAAACTTTTAAAAAAAAAACTTTCAAAAAAACGCAACGTCTCTCCAGATTATTGTTCTCCAAATTGTTCTCTATTAATTTAATAGGTTACTCTAAAATCATAACAAAGCGAGTTCTATGTAGTCTGTGTAAGCATGTTTTTACTATAAATTGTGTTTGTAAGACAGAAACAACAAATACATGTGTAACGTCCTCTTAAGGAAATTGGAACTGTTTCGATCTTATATGATCTAAGACTTTGACACGTTTACCCATTTCAGAATTTTTTTTTCAAATCTAAAATCGTATTTAGGTGTATTCAATTTTTGTTATCATGGGCAAAACTGTGCGGGATTTCTTTAGATAATAATTACTGTGTATTTATTAATTATTTTTATTATGTATGCACTTGATTTTTTTTTGAAGTCTTATAATACATCTTGAAACAATGTTGTGAAAAAAAATTAATCCGTACTTGAATAAGTAGTATACAAAAAAATACTCCTTAATAAGTCATCCCTATACAAAATTGCTTTGAATATTTGATTGTGGATTACAGGTAGTCATGGAGGGGAAAGCAATGTTATTATTCGCACGAGATCGTAACATAATTGGTCGACGGAGGTCAGTGAAAAGAGGGGATTTTCTCTCTGCAGTTCTTTAGATATCTGAGTGCTCCGATCATCTTTGCCGATCAATGTGAAAATAGAGCTCGTCGCACTGACAGCTTGTTATTTTTTAACCGATCGTAATAATAACAAAATAGTGTTGTTTCCTGATGCACACACCTAATAAACATTTATATACACTTTATACATAATTATTTTTATAAATTCGTTTTCTGCAATCAATCTTTTCTTTTTTCGAAATAAAAATGTCATTTAATGCAGGACAGCCCAAAGTGGTTCGTGGTCTTAACAGAAACGTATGTATTATTTAATTTTTTTTTGATTTTATAATAATTATCTACGTAACGTTTATCAACTTGTTGTTTGTTTTTATTTTGAATTACTTTGACTACTTCAAACTACCTTTGAACTGCCTAGGTACTTAACTTAATCAGAATTTTTATGTTGCTATTAGTTTTCATACCATAATTTTTTTTTTTTTTTATAAATTATAAATTCAATAGGTATGGTTTAAAGAACTTTTATAATTGTATTCTTGTTTCTTTGAAGTGTATTTTTCAAATAAACAGTTAGTAGTTTTATTATTGTAATATTATTTATTATCAATATGTGTTTCTATTTATACTAAATTTTACTAATTATGATTTTCTTAAGAGAACGCAACAACTTTTTGGATTTTCTTTATATATTTAAAACTAATATTTATTTATATGAATTTATTTATATTGGTTTGTGATTTTTTTTCATAGTTTATTTTCATTTGTTTGCAGTTAATTTAAAAAACTATCTATTCGCTAACAACATAAGATTCATGTAATATTTTTAATATTATTATATTATGTAGTTATTTACAATTCAAAACAGTGACTAATAAAAATCTAAACTGTTTTATTTTATTAGCAAACCTTAATCAATAATAATTAAGGTATTATAATTTGTCTAAATATTAAAATTATATGATGTTAGTATCCAACTATATTTTAATTATTAAAATTTGTGTTAATCATATTTGTCTATACAAATATATGAAGGTCGTGCAGCTTTCACCAGAGAAAGTAGCTCAATATATTATGAGTTTCTGGGCGCACGTTAAATTTATTTCCTGTTTTTTTTTTTATGAATGGGTTTCATAATATATACTTCCGTATCATCCTTAAAATGTATGATATAATCATATGTGTGTTTTGCGTAAAAAAGAAACAAGTTTTAAACTTATTCGAGTTGGTCTGTTACCAACTCGAATAACTGGAATAGGTCTAATAAGGTGTATGTTTTGGACTTATTACGTTGTCCGAATTTCAGTATCTACTTAATATTTTAATATTTGCTTATAATACTTGGTCAAGTGCTTATAGTTATCAAACTGTTTTCTTATCATAGTCTAAGTCTTCAATTTACATTCTAATTGAAAGTTTTACTTTTACTCAAATATTTCCTTAATACTGATGTAAGTATATTTGTAGTTAAATAAAACCACCAAAAATATAATTTTTGTGTATTTATGGTAATTAACAGGACATCTAATATTGTTATGTATAGGTATTGTTTTAATGTTCTATATAATATGCGTATACTATATATATATATACTGAACCAGACAAAGCAATCTGAAAATACTTGTATGACATTTTTATTATTTTTATACTATACCTATATTATATTTATTTTTAAATTTGAGTGCTTTATGATGTTATATTTTTTTTATAGGTTGCGACTAATGTAACTGTACAGAAACATCATGTTTCTCGTGATAAACGTGGACAGGTTCTCGGAAATGTGCGAGGATTCCGCGGATGTACCGTTTGGTTTACAGGTCAGTATCTAATATCAATTTAAGTGTTAACTAATTTACTTCAAATAATATATATATTTTCTTATAATGTCAATAAAATTTATTTCTTAGGATTATCTGGGGCTGGTAAGACTTCTGTGTCTTTTGAACTTGAAGCATATTTAGTTGCCCGAGGAATACCGGCCTATGGGTTAGATGGTGATAATATGCGAACCGGTTTAAATAGAGATTTGGGATTTAGCCCAGCTGACCGAGAGGAAAATATCAGACGTGTTGCTGAAGTAGCCAAATTGTTTGCTGACAGTGGTGTTGTTACACTGTGTAGTTTTGTTTCTCCATTCCAACAAGTGGGTCTTTAAAAAATAATATACAGCCTTTTGTATTATTTTATATTCTATACAAGTCATTTTATAGGATCGAGAAATGGCCAGAAAAATACATAAAGAAGCCGATTTACCATTTTTCGAAGTATTTGTTGATGCCCCATTAAGTGTTTGTGAAGAACGTGATGTTAAGGGCTTATATAAAAAAGCTAGAGCTGGCCAAATTAAAGGTACATTTTTTTATGATACATAATTGACTTGATTTCAATAATACAAAGTTGTGTTTTTTTATATATTAACTTACTTAAAAACAATGAACCAAATTCTATGAATCTTGGTAGTAAACAAGTTTGACCTCCAGAAGGGTTTAGGGCTGAGTCATGTCAAAATTAATTTTCCTATTAACTGGAAAAATTATTCTTTATATTTTGTTTTATAAATTACCTCTAGATTTTCAAGTCTCCTGAAATTTAACATAAGACAAAGTTTTTGATGTACATAATTAAATTTGTTAATATTTTGTATGGACAAATAGATAATTTTAAAATTAATTTTTTTCTGTTTAGGATTTACTGGTGTTGATCAAGTTTACGAAAAACCAGATGCTCCAGAATTAGTTCTTAAAACAGTTCATTTATCTATAGAAGAGAGTACTATGCAAGTAGTACAAATGCTTGAAGAAAATGTAAGTAGCTAAATATTATTATTGTTAATATAATACAAATTATGTGGGCTAATTCTAACATGGAAATCAGTAATTCAAAACTTTTAAATGTACTATTTTCTCAGTTTTATTATTATTTATTTGATAGTTATGTTATTAATAAATTAACAAGTAAGTCAAGATAACAAATCTTAGCTATTTTTTAGTATTAACCTTTAAAAAATGGTTATTTAATACTATTATAAGTAATTTCCATCATGTTCTACAATTAATATTATAATTTGGCAAATTTAATACTTCAATTATTTAAAAATACAATATTTTACTAAAAAACATTGTTTAATGCATTGCCTTTTATTTATATGTTAATAAAAAAATAAATTCTATAACATGTTATACTAATTATTTGCAAATTTATATCAAATATCAAATTTAATCAACTAGAGTTCTATCCTGGTTTTATTTATTTACAAAATATTTTTTTTTCAGGAAATAATTCCATTGCAGATCAACCGTGATATTGACCGTATACCTGAACTATTTGTCCCTGAAAATGACATTGATAAAACAAAATCTGAAGCATTATTATTACCTCGGTTAGATATTGGAAAGATTGATATGCAATGGGTACAAGTATTGGCTGAAGGCTGGGCAGCTCCTCTTAATGGATTTATGAATGAAGATGAATATTTACAAGTATGTATATGTAATTTTCAATTTTCTTAAAAATAATTAAAACCAGATATTTAATTGGATATTTGTATTATTATTTGCAGACTTTGCATTTCAATAGTTTTAGTGAGGATGTTAATCAATCTATACCTATTGTTTTACCCATAACCACTGATAAAAAAGATCAACTAATTGGCTGTGATGAAATTGCATTGTGGTACAATTCGAAACCGGTTGCAATTATTCGTAAACCATCTTTCTATCCCCACCGCAAAGAAGAACGAGTATGCCGTCAATTTGGGACATCACATGCCAATCATCCTTACATTAAAGTACACTTAAAAGATTGTACATTCAAAGTAAAAATCAAATTTGTTAATAATTTATTTATCACTTGTGTAGATTATTTATGAAAGTGGCGATTGGTTGGTTGGTGGTAGTTTAGACGTTTTAGAACGTATTTTATGGAATGATGGTTTGGATGACATTCGTTTTACACCAAACGAACTTCGTGTAAAATGGAGGGAAATGAAAGCAGATGCAATATTTGCTTTCCAACTTCGAAATCCAATACATAACGGACATGCATTGTTAATGCAGGTTAGTGTTTTTATATTTTATATGTATAATATTTTTGTTTAATAAATGAAATCATAGGACACAAGGAAAAAACTTCTGGAGCGAGGGTATAAAAAACCAGTGTTACTATTACATCCTCTTGGTGGCTGGACAAAGGATGATGATGTTCCATTAAATGTGAGAATACTTCAACATAAAGCCGTGCTTAGGGATAGAATTTTGGATCCAGAATCAACTGTTTTGGCTATATTTCCAGCACCAATGAACTATGCTGGTCCTACTGAGGTATGCAAATTGTATAAAATGAATACTTAGAAACTATAACATACTGTTAAATTTCCTACTACAATGTAAGTGTATTTTTTGAGCACATATGTATTTTGTTTTAGGTGCAATGGCATGCCAAATCTCGAATGTCTGCTGGGGCAAACTTTTATATTGTTGGTAGAGATCCAGCAGGAGTTCCACATCCAGATGGCAACCCACCACGTGATTTATTTGATCCTACTCATGGTGCTCGCGTACTGACAATGGCACCAGGATTGTCAGATTTGGAGATTATCCCTTTCCGTGTAGCAGCGTACGATAAAACAAAAAAATCAATGGAATTTTATGATTCCACTCGCCACAATGATTTTAATTTTATATCTGGTACAAAAATGAGAGGTAAACTATTTATCAATTATGTGTAATTATCTCAACATTTTTAAAATGTGAAAATCTTTCATGTATATTGTAGGTCTTGCTAAAGATGGAATTGAACCACCAGCTGGATTTATGGCACCTTCAGCCTGGAAAGTATTGGCTGGTTATTATAAATCTCTAAACAAACTTTAAATAAGTTTCAATTATTTTGATTTGTCCCAAAAAGACTGGGCATTCCTATTTTACACCATTAATAATTTCTTTCATTCCTTTTTAAACTTCTGTGTGTGATTTTTTTTTTTAAATTATATTTATTATAACTAATAATATTGAACAAAATATGTTTTATAGTATATAAACCACTATTTTACCACTATCTTAACCACTTATCTTTGCTATTCTCAGGAATATCATATTTAAATTTAAACCTATATTTTAATAACTGTAATATAGATTTATTAATTAATTATATCTGTTGAGCTAAGGCCAAGAAAATAATATTACTTCACTATTACATTCTACAAGAACAAAAATTATTAAATCAAAGTAAAAATACAAAATTTACTAACATTTTGTTTATATCTATTATATTATTTGTAATTATCATTAGATTTAGATAACTAGTTATAAATATTAGTTGAAAAATTAATTATTTTCAAAATGTTTAACTTTCTGTTAATATAGGTAAGGTGAATATTTTTTTTTCATAGTCTATGAATTTTACTGTTATTGATAATAGATTAATTTATGTGTTACTAGTGTAAAACATTATAATTTTAATTTAAATATATTTATATATATATATATATATTTCATCAACATGTGTATTTCTAGTTGAAAGAAGGTATTATCAAGAAAAAATATGTTTAAATGTGATACATATAAACTTATTTGATACTTTAATAGGTATCTGACATATTCTATAATGCTTGTCTATCTTCAATTTTTTTTCCAGTATTGTTTCTATCAATAGTTTCCTAAAGTATTTAATTTATTTTCATTCGATTTAAATTATTCTTAAAAAGTTATGAAGATAAATTCTTTAAAGGCCTTTATTGAATAAATTTCACCTTTTACAATTGAATTGTTTCAAATATTATCTAGTTGGGAGAATATAATCGATTTTATATTAAATATTTTATGCTAGGAACCACCTCTGATGTTGATCAGAGCAAGATTACAAGTGCATACAAAGGTGGATTTTCAACATTTTTCTGGGAGATGTCTTAAAAAATCATTTTCTGGTAGTGATCCAGTCTCCCTGAACCCCATAAATCTGCAATTGAGAACATACCTAGAAAAATAGCAAAGACCTACAAAAAAAGCACACACATCATAAAATATGATTTTACCATGATGTATTGAAATAGTGACATAAATAAGACCTTTTTTGGGGGTAAACTAAATATTTGTTATAAATATCAAGTATGTACTAATCTCAAAGTTGAATTAAAGCTATTTTAATTACTGAACAAATATTGATACAGTTCTCTTAACGGACACCTCTAAATAGCAGATATCCAAATAGCATATGTTTTTTAGAGAAAAGGGATATTTTTACTACTTACCTATAGAAAAGTTTCTAAATATGAGACACTAAATAACAGATACTTTCTCCCTCGGAATAACTGACTGTGATCAAGAGTTTCCAGTATTTAGAGGTTTCACTATATTGATATTTTACTATTTTCCATTTTGTATTTTTTATAACAAGTTACCACTGCATAAAGAGAAAAATATCTTGGTTTTAGACTTGTTTATGGAGTGATGTATCACCCGCTACCCTCATCATCCCCTTGAGTATGTACTGTATTGGAATACATTCTTCATTCTGCTTTGAACTCTGAATGTTACTATTCAGTATAGGTATTGACCATTTTGTAATAAAAGACAACAAATCAGTATTAGATATTTTTTATATTTTTATAGTGTTTTGAATACCGTTTTATAATCTAACAGGTTTTTTTTAAAAATAGGTATTGAGTTTTGGAGAAAAAAAACAGTTACAACACAGTTTGTCAAAATCATCGCGTTCAACCATCACAAATATTCCTTGTTCAGCGACCGGCCGATAATCAGTCTTCTTATTTCGTTTGTACCGGCGCCGATTTCGTACAATTTGGCGTCTCTCAGCAATCTACCCGACGCGTAATCGTTTATGTAACCGTTTCCGCCTGCCGAGACGATACACACATGTTTTATTGACAAGTACATTAATAAAAAGCTGTTCTAGGATAATGGGAACGGGTGCAGCTACTGTTGTAGGTGGGAAGTTGAAAAGGTAGAATACATACGAGAATTGAATACATATCTGTAAGCAACGATTATATAAACATTGCTAACGAAAAAACGATTCTGAGCAGAGTTTAGTTGATAGTGTTGCTTTGTCAATAATATATATGTCATATTATGGTAAAATAATTACACATGCATTAAACATTTTCTTTAGGTAATAATATTTTTTTGATATTATATCTATATTTTCCCGTTCCCTCGGTTTTTCCAATATATTGAGACTACTCCTAGGGAAATTAAAAAAATGACCTCCCTAAAGTACCACCCCAGTCAGATTTATTTTCAGAAAAAGTGAAACACTGCCTACACTTGTAAATCGGAGCAATATTTCTGGCAGAAAAGTTGTTCACAGATAAAAAAAGAATAAACATCATTGTAAAACCATATCAGAATCTAAAAATATCGAGCAAAATTCACGAAAATACGGCCTGACAAACTTAATATAAATGTATATTACCCACCTAAACATTGGATGGTGTCCAATGCTACTCTAATGGAGTTTTCGGCAGCGAACAGTAACACTCCAGCACAGTCTTTGCTACACACGTGACCCCCATCGCAAGCCCTGCTCACGTTGTACAGGTAATTCCTGCTGGCGCTCAACGACGTGTACATGTCCGCGATTTTGCCCTGGAAAACCAATACGAATATTATTAATACCTACTAATATTATAATATTGTTTAATCAATCCTAAAGGCGATATGTTTGCGGGGATATTTGTGAAACGGATATTTTTTGAAGTTAAATAAAAAAGCCACGCATAGGTTACAAATGTAGGCTATTAATGATAATTTATATTAAAGTTATTGAACTTATTAGGCATATTATTTACTCAAAAACTTTGGCCGAGGCGTCTTGTATTTCACGAGTAATTATTATAAGTAGATAGGAATGGTACTTTATTATTACAATCGTACTTGGATCAATTGAAATTCTCCGATTTTAGTTTTGAACTGTTCTCTAGAGTGTACGTAATCAAATGCCAAGTCTACGCTCGCTTGCATTAATCTAAAACGTATCCGGTAAAAAAGTATAATTTCATGTTTATGTAGGTATCTACCCAATTATTATTAAACCTCAAATCAAACATTATACATACCCAACAGGTCCAGCAGCTATAACTAGCCTTTCCAAGTCCAATCCTGACATTAACACGTACACACCTTTATTTTCCTCGCCCAATACGTTTTCGACTAAAACAAACACTCCAAATTAATACATGACGTTTTAAACTCGGTATATCAGGAGCCACGGAGACGGACTTATCGGCGTGAAGACCATTTTGGCGTAAAATTACATTTTTTACGGTTTTACGCGTCATTACCATTTATCGTAATTTTAACACACATTTTATGAACAATACGATACATAGAAACAAAAATAAATATCTACTTCTAAATATTTTTAAAAATGTTCAACATTAACGATTTTTAAACTTTCAATAACAATCACGATGAGAAAAAATTGATATAGGTGCTTAAACTATATATATTATATATATACATTTTCTTCTTCTGGGCTTTTTCGGCGGCCTTTGTTCGTATTACCCGCAGACGGATCCTTGAAGTTCACTCTTAATGATATCAACAGCAACAGTTTGTCTCATGTCACGCACAGCGAAACGTCCCAAAGGAGGGAACTCTGAGAAAGCTTCAACACACAAAGGCTTGGATGAAACCAAGTTGATGATGGCAGCATCTCCAGATTTAATAGCTTTTGGGTTTGCTTCAGTAGCTTTACCAGTACGACGGTCACATAAATATCGGTATATAGTTATATATTTACCCATATATTATCATTATCACCAGAATATAAACCTAGAGGCACCCCGAACACGTGACCCTGCGTGTGAGCCCCATAGCCCGGCACTAAATCCGACCCTGTTTTATATAGCTACACAAATGACTCGATTTTATGTAATTATTAGCAGATTTATGAATTTAGATAGATATTTAAATAATTTGGGAATAATCAAATGGGACATTTGAAAACATCTCAAACGTTCTAAAAAATTCAAAAACTGGCTCTTTTCGCGCCAGTTTATTATTACAACTTATATACTTACCGGGTACTTTACAATCTTGAAAAATAAGTTCGCACGTGTTTGAGCCTCTCATGCCTAGTTTATCGAGTTTGGGACCTGTAGTGAACCCTTCGGACGATTTTTCGATTATAAACGCGGAAATACCGTGTTGCGCTTTAGCGTCTGCATTCGTTCTAGCATATACCTGACAAATACATTAAAAAAAAAAAAAAAATCATAATTTATCTAATTTAAATAAATTATTTCAATATGTTTATAATGTTATCATTATCGCTCCGCGATATTGGAAACAACCCAATAATTGTCTATATACATAGTCGGTAAAAAAAAATATATACATAATTATTTCATATATATCGAATGGATTAGGTAACGATGGATGCATATAACGAATCGTTTAAATTATTTTATGTTTTATTAATTTAAATTTAAAATTAACACACAATCTGCAAATACCTAATGCTTAATATAACATACTTAACAATAGGTATGTAAAAAGTGACGACGTACGTTTTAGTGTATTCTGTTTATGTTCAGCAATCATTTAATATTAATATACCCACTATGTACATAATATAATATTCAAATTAATAATATTATACATTTTTCTCTTTCATTAAACTAAAAACATTTCACTAAATCGGTAAATACATTAATAGTTTCAGTATATATATATATATATATATAAATATATAGTCATATAAGTAATGAAAACTCAATATTATTCTATTACTATTCAAACAACATTGAAGTACTACATATTTTAATAATTTAATGTAGTTAGATAACTGGTCATCCAGTGGCATAATTTGGGCATAATGTTAGAGGTTGCGAAAATTATTCAGGACGCAAAGACCTATAAGAGCCCCCACACTCCCAACATTATAAAAACAAATAATGTTTTAATAAAATTATATACTTAATATAAAATAAATTATGTATCTATATAACTATTCTTATATAGGAAGGTACCTGGGACATATTATTAGAAACTATGAATTAAATAAAATAATTTTTTACAGTTAGAATACAAAAATCAGAATTTTCAAATTATAACTTATTACTGTTTTTTTAACATATTTATAAAAATAACTTATAAATTGATTGGTCATTTCAATTTTTGTTTGAATATTTTTTTACTTTTTAATACTTAATTATTAAAATATTCCACAACTTATAGATCAAAAATATAATAATAGTAAACCAAATATCATATGTAAAAAAAACGGACATACTTCGAACGTGGGTGCAGTCACTTTTGTAAGTGGGAAGTTGAGAAGGTGAGATACAGAAGGGAATTTAATGCATATCTGTAAGTAACGATAAATCATTGCTAACGAATAAACAATTTTGAACAGAGTTCAGTTGATAGTGATGCTTAAGTATGAAATAAAGAAGTTTAATATAAAGATTAATAGTTATAAGAATGTATTTAAATAGAAATGTATTATATTTTCATATATTTCGGTTTATATTATTTGTTTTTTCAACAATGTGCGTTTCCATGACAACAATGATTGTTTAAAAAAGATTAGAATAATAAAAACTTAAATATTACAAAAAATAAATAAAAACGGTTACTAATGAAAATCTTATATATAATCTTTCATTCTTTTTTTAACCTAAAAAAACATATTAATAAATTCAAAATATGACCTCTCTAAAGTACCACCCAGAGAACATTATTTTTCAGAGAAGGTGCTATACTTGATAACCGGTGTAAGCTTTCTGGTTAATTAAAAATAATTGTAAAACCAATACATTCCTCGCTCCGCTCAGAATCTAAAAATAGATTTAGTTTTATTTAATTTATAGTAGGGAAATAGTGAATTGTAAATTTTAATAAATTATATTATATATTATATTTATATTACTTTTTTGGAGTATTGATAATATATAATTTCAATTTTATTATTCTTGAACATGTTTTCTTTCAGAATTAAATAATTAAATAATTATACTTATCTATTTTAATTTTTATTGTTGAAGAAAAGCCATAAATACAAAAATTGCAGGGGTTTAAAATCAATGGATTTCAGATTTGTGTATTTTAAATACGAGACATTTTAAATCTCGCTCAAAATTTACATATATTGCAACAAACTATGTGGTGTGAGGAGGTGATGGTGGAGCGAAGAAGCCTATGGTTTTACAGAGATGTTTATTTTTTTTTTCTGTGGACAATTTTTCTACCAGCAATTTTGCTCCAACTTTTAATAATAGCAATATTTTTGAAAGGAAATTTCACTGGGAAGGTAAAAGAGGTCGTTTTTTAATTTTCCTCGGAGTTTTCTTAGCAAGTGTGAAAAACTGGTAAAATCGGTACAACATTAAACAAATATCATTAAAGAAAACATATAATCTATTTAATTATTTTACTATAATATAGTATATATATTGTTGACAAAGCATCGTTATTAACTGAATCTCGCTCAGAATCGTTTTTTCGTAAGCAATGGTTTATATCGTTGCTTACAATAAATTACCTATAACAGTGGCTGCATCCGTCTCCATTATCCTAGAATTTCTTTTTTTAAGTATAATATTTATAATATTGTACTGAGCAACTGCAATAATATTTATATTTGCAATAACGGGTTTTCGAATCTCGATATTTGTTATGATTAGCAATTATAAGTGCACAACTAAACATTATAGAAAATATATAGATAATATAGGTAACTATACTTCTAAAATATTTATCGTAATAAAAAAAAAAAACTTTTGATACTCGATAGCATAAATTATGTAGCCAATTTCCTTGAATAATATTTACGCTCACATTATTATGCCATCATATATTTTTAACTAAATTAATGAACATAACCTTATAACTGTTATACAACATTGTTTTCGTATTATTGATTTGCGAAAATTATTTGGGAAATGTATTTTATACCTATTGAAATAATACATTTTGAATATATTTTACTAATCCATTATTTATTTTAAAAAACATGGATAATTTAATATTATAAAAAAGTATTTTTTTTTTAAAAGTTTTTCTCAGGTATTGAAGTTTATTGACAATTCTTTATAAAATAAAAACAAAATCTACGCGAACAAATGTACTAATATTAATACGATAAAAGTGAAATAAGTATTTTGTTTAATCGTTCTATGAATATGAAAATGTTGAAATTAATGAAATAATTTTTTTTTTAAATATAGGTGTGATGAAATATTATATACAAACTGATATCCATAAAAACTAATCGAGTATACAAAGTGTCCCACGAAGGTATACCTATTACCCATTGTGATACATCCTGAGATAAAAGACACATTATTAAATTTAAACAATAATAATTATATAGGTAGATTTTATTCATTCGAAAATATTGACGTTTTAACTTTTTATTTTCATTAAACTCATATTTTTTATATACTTTTAATACATTAAACATAATAGTGTTTTGGTATTATCTCAAAACTTATTACTATTATTAAACGAGATGATTTAAATTATTTGAAACGCTAATATGATATTAATAATATACATAATTTTTCTCTAGACAAAAAAGATATTAACAATGTTTAATATTTAATTAAAATATGAATATTTGTCGTCCCTATACCTGTGAGCCACTTAAAAAAAAGATTGACATACTTTGCACAGGGTTGGGCCACTATTGTAGATAAGAAGTTGAGAAGGTGGTAGAGGGAAAATTGAATGTGTATCCGTGTGCAACGATTACCTATTGCTAACGATAAAACGATTCTGAGCGAAGTTCGGTTAATAGTTTTGCATTTTCAACAATATATATGTCATATTGTGGTAAAATAATTACAAATTATGGATAAAACGTTTTCTTTTATAATATTTATTTAATATTGTATATATTTTCCCGGTTTCCCATGGTTTTCCTCCGTGTTTTCTAATATATTGAGAAAACTCATGAGAAAATCAAAAAATGACGTCCATAAAGTATCCCCCTAGTCAGATTTCCTTTCAGAAAACGTGCTACACTTATAAATCAGAGCAAAATTTCTCGTAAAATTTTTGTTTACAGTTAAAAAAATAAATAAACTTCATTGTAAAACCATAAGCTTTTTCACTTCACTCAGAATCTAAAAGAATTTGATTATCTTCATTATCTGAAGTGTATAGTTTCGTTGGACACCTTCTATGTATACATTTTATTTATAAAAAAAATTTATACCCAAAATTGTTATAGCTATTAGTAAGCATTTCAAACATTTTTCTGCGTAGATTTTTGGAATAATAAATAATAAAAATAGGTTAAGTGCATGACGTAGACATGGTACCGCAGACGCACGTTTTCAAAGTTAGAAAAGGGCCTGTAATTGAAACACAAATTATGCAACTATACGATTTAGGTATAAAATAAATTTCCACTACTGTCATTTTAATTTTAAAAATTTACGCCCCCTCCTTTCTTTTAGAGTTATGTATACCTTCTCGTTGCGCCTTTTATAGTTTATTAATTTGGAATATTTAATTATTCAGTACTATGTTGTTTTTTTTAATCTTTGTATAATTTATTTGATCTTATTTATAGTTGTGATAATATTACAATCGTTAAAAACTGAAACTGTACACCAAGCAATAAAATTGTTTTTATGTATTATATTGTATACATTTTTTTTTATCTTAAGTAATATTATATTGACATACCACTAGCACGTCGGCGTCTGGTCCGTTCGTGATCCAAAATTTATTACCGTTTAGTATGTAATGCGATCCTTTACGTTCGGCTCTCAATTTCATGGAAACCACATCGGATCCCGAACCGGGTTCTGACATAGCCAAAGCTCCGATTGCTTCGCCTTTGCACAACTATAATAATATAATTAAAAATAAAATTACGGCTTCAAAGTATAGTGGAATATTTATAACGTAAGTATAATATAAGGGTTGTGTGTCTAGACACTCGTTGCGTTTTACTCACGTTAGCAAAGAATATTAGTGGTCTATTGTTATTTTGTAAATTTTTAAGATAAGTATTATCTGAAAATAATATAGAGACGAATTTGAGGGGGGCAATGGGACGATTGCCTTGGACAACTCCTGAATCCACTGCTGAGTGTATTTGGTTGAATTTTTTTTTTTTAATTTTCATATACCTATACCTACTAAAAACTAAACAGTATTGTAAAACTAAAATAGTACAACTCGGAATTTGTACAAAAATGTATGATACTTAATATAACATATGGATCTAGGTAAAAATGTCTGAAAAAAAAAATGTCCTAAGTAAAATATGTCGGAAAAATAAAATAAAAGTATAATATAATTTTATTATAGTTAATAACGAAAAGAAAATTACAAACATCAAACGTCCGGCTTGTAAACTATAGAGTGTAGGTAGATTACAAAAATAACAAGAAATAAACGTGAGTCATGAGAACTTTTTAGTACGTAGGTATGTACTATGTAGCATTTTTAAACTTTGAATATGCTGCAAGTAGTTTTACACACAGAAATTTAATGTTTTACGAATTTTTCAGTTCATATCCTTGAAAATCATGAAACTCAACCGAACAAAATTATAAGAAATAAATGTAACAAGTACCTATTACAATTAAATAATTTATAACTATAGCAATATATCGATATATAATTTGCGCCAAAGAGTGAAATGAGACGCCACGTCGACCGGTATTTGTATTTCATTTTCAAATTCTGAGCAGTTTTTAAATTAATATTATTAAGTAATCTGTAGGTAATCAGTAAGTAGGTAAATACTTTTAATGTATCTATATTATTCAATTTAATTTATTAGATTATCATTATTCATTTATATTTGCTCATAAAATATAGATTTATATTTTTTAATACCTAAACTATAATATTATAACCTGTCATCATAGTCGCTATTTTTTTTAAATTTAAAACTGCAGTTGACGGCTCTATAGAAATCACAGGATAATAATTGATTTATAGTTTTTTTTTTTTTTTGTATGAACACCGCACCTATGTTTATAACTTTTATTTTGAATATTTATCAATACAGTTGGCCTTGAAAGTACATTTTAAATATTAAAATTTTGTCAAAACAATCGAAGTCTATTGAGTCAATATTAAATACAAATTATTATTTATTCGTATAGGTATATAATTTTTGAAACGTGTTGTTAATAAGGTATTGCGAATTCGTAACAACCACGACTGACTAGAAAATCAAACCATTCTGTTTGTTTTAAAACTTTTTAGAGTCACTATTTAGAAATATAATGATAATTAAACGATACGTTGGATTTTATTTCTAAACTACATTAAGAATTATTTATGCTTACACACAATCTATTAAACGTTTTACCAATGCATAAACATAATAAAATTAATTTCGTTTCCTCATTGAAATATAGAAATATTTTTAATTAAACGGAAAAATAGAATTTTTAATTGTGATACAATATAGATTGTAGATTAAATTATCTAAATGTGCGTGTAGGTATGTATATGTATATCACATACTTATAAACTTAAATAAAACATGATTGTATATTTTAAATAAATGTCAACAATACCTACAGTACCTAGGTCCCACACTTCATAATACGAGTACATGATGAGTACATGCCTATGATGCGAGCATGAAGTGTTTTTTAAATTTATTTTGCGTGTAATTAATAACGCAAGTAAATAATAGACACGTAGTATAAATAATAATTATAATAAATATAGGTACACCCATACACCTATACAGATACCTATAATAAACATCGTTCATTGTATATTATATATTGTGTAGTAACAAAAACATAACATTGTAAACAACTGCGCGACAACTACCATACGTATTTTTTTTTTTTTTAAACTAAAAGAATGATACCTAATACTAGTATTATAATGATATACCTCGGTACTCGTGAATATAATATAATTTATTACGTTAGGATAATATTTTAAAAACATTTATAAGTAGTATAAGTAGGTATACGTTTATTGTATACGTGTATATTATATTATGTAGGTATTGTAGGCGATTGATTGTTGTAAACAAAATAGGAAATCAAATTTTATAATTTTAAAATTTTACATAGGTAGTATAATACCTATAATATTATAATATGTTATTATTATAGACGTGTTCGGATTTTAAAATCTGCAAGTTGTTGTGGTGTTTATGTCAATAAAGGTAATTTTAAGATTAATATTATTCCTCCCAAGAGTATTGGTCGTCTGGTCAATAATATTGTCATCGATCACACGCGTTTTAATAATGCGGGTACTAGGTATAATAAGTACGGCGTACGCGTAAATATTTATAATTATTATTATTTTTTACATTCAAATAATATTGATTGGCTTATTGCGAAACGGAACAATATGTACCTATTATAATATTATAGAACCTCATTTCCTATTAATTGAATATTAACAAAGAAATGCATGAAGTTCCAGTACAGTTTTGCTATAAATATTCAATATTATCAACACTCCATAATATATCCGCACTCTATATAATGTCTCAACAAGTTAATTTAATTCATAATAACTTATTGTTAGTAGAGAAGTATAATATTAATGAATAACTATGAAAATAAAATCAACAGATAACGTGATTTATAATAAATATACAGACTACAGAGAACATGAATATCTGACACCTGAAATAACTTTTGTTCTATTCAATATTTTAAATTATATATAAAAATAATATTTGAAATACTATTTCAAATATGTAACTCTGTACTATAATTAAAATATTATGTTTTTTTTTTTTTTTTTTATAGAGAGGCAGGACTTAAAAGAAAAATGTTTAAATTTTACTGTACTTAAAGAAAAAAATTCAAAATATCCCTTTTGTAAAATAAATTTTTAGAAAACGTTTGGTGGTTAAAACCTTTATTTATGTATGGGAAAAAATCTGTGTCAGTTAATATACTCTGACAACTAATTGATTAAAATATATTATAACAGATTATAAGCAAATCTAATATTTACATTTTCAGTAAATTCAAAGATGTTTAGAAAATAAATACGCATTCCTAAATGAAAGTATTGATCTTTAAAATTTTTCTAAAAATCTACTTTACAAAATGGCTATTTTGATTTTTTTTTTTAAATAGTCAATTTTTTAAATTTTTTTATTTAAGCTCCCTCCCTAAAAAAAACTTGATAATATTTTACTGCAGCGAAGGCTTAGTAAAAAAAAAAAAAAATCAAAAATATTTAAATAGAACAAAAGTTATTTCAAGTGTCAGATCTTCGTATAAAACCCTATAAACTTCCCTTCCTTCACTTGAGAAAATTGTACTCCCTGTCTACACGCCGCGCCGTAACGAAAATAATGATACACATCATTAGCATTAATAATTTACAAAATGGTGTATGCTTAGTGGTAAAATATGATATATAGAGACTCATCAGTATACTATTTGGTAAAAAAAAATGTCATTAAAAAAAAATTGTCGCTATGTATACTGGGTTTATTTATACAACGTAAAGTTGTTGTTTTTTTTCACCGTGTCGATAAACATTTTTAATATTTGTACAGTGTATTGCACTTGAAAAATACTGTTCCGTGACAACTTATTTCGTTATGATACTGAATTATTAATACATTATAGTACTGCAGGGTGTTTGACATTTCGTACCTATATTGTTGGTTATTGCTGTTCAACCAAAATTTAATACGAACCCTCGGCAAGAATTTCTTTTTTTGCTCGTGAGTACCGTTCAATCGAATTTGGTTCATGCACAGATTGGTGTTCGCCACGTAGCTTAGGCCTACAGATCCACTGGCTCTGGAAATTTCTTCCATGGCTATCACGTGATCGGTATAACTGCCCCCTGTACCTTCGTATTCCGTCGGAATTGTTATGCCCAAGAGACCGAGTGATCCCAATTCTCGCCAACATTTCTGCAATAAATTGTCGGTTTTTTTAATTGTTATTTTTAATTCACAATAATAATATACTATTATTGTTACGCGATTCGTAGGTTTTGTTTAAACCATGAACGGAAAACCTTGTGTAAGGTCAAAACATTATGTGATACCAACAATTGTTACACACCTACAAATAATTATTGTTGAATCAATTATATAATGTTATATATGAACATAAAACAAAAGATCTTATAAACTATTTGATATAAGTAATATTTTAATACAGTTAAATTTTGTTTATTATATATAGGGGATACTCAAGTACACTTTTTGATTTTTTTTTTTTTTTAAGCCAGTTTTCAAAAGTTGTATGATAGCGATGCGGCGCGTAATAAAGCGTACATTTTTTTTAAATGGGATACGGGAACCTCTGTTTTCGAAACCTTTTAAAAATATCTTTTGGATGATGATGCTGTGATGATTTTTTTTTTTAGAAAAACATAATATTTATAAAATTCGAAAAATATTAAAACAAACAATTAGGTTACCTATATTATATAACATTTTGAAATATCAAATAGTTAAGCCTTGTTATTTTGGCTTGCACGTAGCTTATCGAAAATAATATTACATTTTACTTGGAACGGACTATATAATAAATACTTACCCTCATATCATCAAATGCATTTGTTTGATCTATTTTAGCCGCTTTCGGTGCTATTTCTCTCTGAGCATAATCAAAAACAGTTTTGCGTAACTGAAAATATTCAAAATGTTTATATTAAGTAACTTAAGGACTTTATTTAATAATGTTAAATACAAATCTGTTCTCTATTTCGATAAACTTTCTAATTGTACTAATTCTAATTTCATTGATTATTTCCAAAATGTTCGTGATTTAAGAACCAAATTAAATATATTATAATATTCTACGGCCATGTTTATAGAAGCATGGTTAAATAATAATTTTTTGATATAGAATTAGGTTTTACTCGACATCAAATATTTCGATGTGATAGAAACGAATTAACTAGTTCCCTATGTTGTGATGGCGGTGTTCTTATTGTCATTAATATGTAATTCCGTTTTACTTAATATAGATATTAGATACTTTAAATGTTGATCAAGTTTTCATCAAAATTTCAGGTAATAATCTTGTATTTGTTGTACTGCGTATATCCAACATAATAGCGATTTACTTAAATTAAGTTTTGCTCCAATTACCTCATTTAAATGCCCTGTGTAGGGATGTTCAAAGTTAAAAAACACGCTCCTCTATCAATGGTGAAATTCAATATAAATTTAATCACTTCAATCAACCTATAAAAAAATATTTTAATTCCCTAGTTTAAGTTCATTTGGTCCAGAGGAATTCACTTAAAGTGTTAAAAAGTATAACGATAAAAAGATACATATGTAACTGACATTGCAATAGGCTGCAATATAGTCTCGTAATATTTCTCGGGGAAAATTCGACTACAAATATATTTTTATTTATTAGGTACCTATACACAATTTAATTTATGTAATATCTACTAGTTATATTAATATTTAGCGCAGATTTATTTGAAAATTTCTTCAAAAATAAACATTTGTTGTAATCGATTAAAAAAATATATATATTTATTTTTCATTTCGCTGCACTTACTTGTATTTGTTCCTCGTTGAGATTGAATAGAGCATCGTCGATTGGATAGTAAGATATAAGTCTTCTTGTCATTTTTCGATGACACGGGTGATGTGTAAATAAAGCTTGGCCAATACGAATTATTGAACTATTCATAATTTCGACGGAATATGTTTAGAATATGTTGGAGTATTTTTTTGTATCGAATACCTGTGCAGTAGTTATTTTGTACTTGGTATTTTTTACGTTTTCTTAGATCACACAACGCGCGTGATGTATCAACTTGTACTGAAAGTATACAATAATCCGTAATGAGGTCAATAATAAATAAAGGTACCTACCTGCATTAAGTAGGTGAAAAGTAATAAAATACATGATCTATGTACGTATGTTATCGATTAGATAAGTGGTGTAATAATGTTCCACCATTAATAGGTGTAGTGTATATTATAATATATGATGAGAAAAATAATAATTTGGGATATTATGACGTTTTAAAATACAAGTTTCTATCTCCACGATTAAAACTTGATTACTAATGATTATTAATTCGATTTCATTATTTCTCGTTTAGTTACGTAAAAACCATTGACAAATCTACGGATCCAAATATAGCTAATTACTCTTTAAAACATTAAAATGTTCTGATAAATGCATGTTTTTATATATATAGATAGATAAATAAACTGTATTAGACAAGCAGTCCATTATTTAATCTTTATATTTTAGTATTAGCTTATTTATAATGTATGGAAAATTGCGGTAACAATGAACCGTCAAATTAAACAAATTATATTATTTAAAAATAATAAGTAAATTATATTTACTTTTGAATTTCTTATCCAAAAAAAAAATAAAAATTACCTAAAGATAGTGTTTTCGGTTTTTTGTATGCACAATGAAAAAAATAGTGCCCCTAGAGTCTCTCCCTACATTCCCAGTTACAGAGCACGTCTCGCCGTCTCGTTATTCAATTAATGAGAGATGCCCGTTTCACTGCGTGTGTTATTGTGGTCTCTGGAACTTAATAAATGCATAAAATCGTATCATTATTGTAATATATATATTTTCAGACGTATAGGATACAATTTATGATATCCTTATTGACCTTATTATTCAATGCAGTTGCAGTCATTTTAAACGATTTCTTATAATAATTATGATATTATAAAGCTAAGTCAGTGTTAAGATTATTCAAGTGTACATTATACAATAGTGTATTATTGTAGATTTAAATATTATTATAACATAAAATCATTGTAATATTGTACCTATGAAATATAATATTACTCGGCGAATTATTTTATTGTAGTGATTGAATTTCAAACATTTTATTCGTATTTACCGGTAATTTTTGTTTTTATAATAAGCGAATATAAATGTTCACAATTATTGACCTGTACAATATATTATGATATATTGTATCAAGCTATAGTGGGTATTATGGCGTTAAAATATAACGATGATGTACTGTCACTTTCACATTTATAATGTATATTACAATATTGATTTACCCGTCAATATGAGCCAAAGTCCGAGTAAATATCTAGTAATATTATGTTTTATTGACTAAACATTTTGTTTAGTTAAACACTTTATATATTCTCTTAGAAACATTACGAGAAACGAAATTTTACTAGAATACTAAATTGCAATTAATTTAAATATCAAATTTCGTGATTTCGATGAACCTTTCATAGTTTGATTCCTTATCATTAACCTTTTGGTGGCTACTTTTAAAATCGGTTAAGTAGTTCTATAGAGAGATTTACACTAATAAAACTACAACATAGTATAATGTAGGAAATAACTTTATGGATAATGTAAATATCTTAAGGTACTAAAGAACCTTATAACCACTTTATTTACAGATCATATTTTATTTAATGACATTTATATAAATAAGTGTTTACTAGGTGTCCAATTAAATAAACAATAATAATAAAATAATAGTTGTAGATGAGCAGGATATATTATATTATATTGAATAAATAAGGTCATCTATTTATTTTATGAATGTAAATATTATTATTATTCATAAGTCCTCACGGAAGTCAATTATAATAAAAATCAATAAATAATGTTTTTTAAGTAGCCAAGTAGCTTTATTATAGACAAATACAATTATTAAGTACCAATTAACTATTAAATTACACATGATAATTAAAGAAGGAAATAATATTGGGGTTTAATAACAAACAACAAGTAAATATTACTTATTATAAATTATGATATGATAATATAATTTGTTACGTACAACTATTATATTTAGTTTTGTAGACGTGACCTTGGCTTATGACGTCATTGAAGTTACTATGGTAACGCATTTCACCTAATTTTTATTGATGTTCTTATTCATAACTTCATAACTATAAAGGGCACTAAATTTATTGTAAATAATAATACCTAACAATGTTGCATAAGAATGAATACAATAGTAGGTACTCCTTTTTATTTTTTGGTGTTCCTAATATCACTAGATAATTACTTATTAATTTTAGTATTTGTAGTTTTTATATTTTTTCACAACAAATTATTATATTTTATACATATAGGCTTTTTTAAAAAAAGGTCTTTTCGGTGAAACGAGTTCTGTTAATACCATTTTAAATAAGTCTAGTTTTTAAAATCTTTTAACGTCTTGACACACCTGTATTTAGTGGTGTATTATATGTGTTGACGTATACCTAGTGAATATTATAAATGCATATATAATATATATAATGTATATTGTATAGTATAGTATAGGGAAGACAATATTCTTCAATCTCTTGTCTATCTTTAGTATGGAGAAAGAAATTCCGTTTTTTTTTTTATTTTGTTGATTTAGTTAAAGTTTATTATGTTAGTATACTCTGGTTTCTAGAAATAAATTCTGGTATTTATATAATATTGTCAAAAAAATAAAATATGAAAATATGTATTCGCAAAATATAGAAAACGGAATTAAAATTATTGGAACACCGGAAGTATGATTAATTTATCTCCAGCCTATTGGTCTTAAAATGTATAAAAAAACGAATCGTCTATCACTTCAGCCACTCTTCTTTTTCACTAAAGTGGAGAAATAATAATAAGAGTATAACTTTCAATTATTATATAACTACTAATTATCATAATCGATTATCTTCTATCTTTTTAAAAACTGCATACTACAATACTTCTAATTTTATCAAATATTATCAGATATTATCTAGCATCTAAGTACTCTCGTATAAATTGAAAACACAAATGACTGTTTCGAGTATTATATTATTTTCAAACCTAATATTGAGTGAAAAACTAAAAAATTAAATGAAAAATTAATAAATTAAATTAAATGATAAAAAAATAGTTTTGTTTTTTTTTTTAATTCTATAATATGACATGTGTTTAATATTTTCTATAAACCTTTAAAATACTATACATACCAATATAATATAACACGCTTTAAAAAGCTTATAATAACTGACCTATATAGGATTTTCAAACCACAAAAAAACGGTACCTTGAAAAAATATATAATGTTCTTTTGTGCGCATTATGAAAAAAAAAAGTACAGCAATTATTAGGCTACCTAGTATCTACTTAATTAATCTTTATATAAGACAATTTTATTAAATCATATATAAGGTTTACGTTATAAAGTTGTATACTAACGATCTAACAATAGTCATAGAAACGCTTTAGAATCCTAAACTGGTAATACTTAACGATTACTTGTTTTTGCCATTAATAATATTGATAAATACATTTATATTTTCTTGTAAAATACGAAATATATTTAGTTACGTATCTAGTAGGAGTAACGTCACCACATATTCGTAGACAAATCGCTAGCGAAATGGAATGTACGAAGCAAATTTCGGATTCCGAATCCTAATGTGCAACCTCCATAATGACTTTTTTCGTATTAAATCTAGGAGAAGTTTCTCCAAATGTACCAAGAACCCAGAGAACAACCCGCAGATAGCAAGAATAAAATTATGGAAGGCAAGAAACAAACAACCAGTCGTTGAAAATTACCCTCGGGACATAACAATAAATGGAGTGGAAAAACCAGGATTATTTAAGGGAGGTGAACGATAAAAAAAATCCAAAACCACATGTTTGTCTGTTATTAGCGTTAATAATTTCCTTAGTTACATTTGAAAATATTATACTATTAAACTATTTACCTAATCCATGAAATGTTTGAATAAACTATCTATTTTACCTACAACCATAAAGTAATGTCATAAACATGAAATGGTTATGATAAAAATGTACTCGAATTTCTTCTCTTGTTTCTCTTTATTTTGAGGTTAATCGCTAACAGTAGGTAAATCAAAGGATGACAAGGAGAAATCATGTAATTTTAGCGTTCATGAAATGTTTTGCAAGCAATTGGTAAGCTATATTAGATTTTCGTTTAGGCATGACTAAAACGCAAACAATTTTTAAAGACAGTTTACAGTTTTATTGCATGTAGTGTGTGGCACATAGAAAAATCATTATATTAATTATTTATTATTTTTAATAATATTAATTACCATAGATACCATAAATACGTTTAACCAACCTTTTACATTTTTTTTTCATTTTATCCGTGTTACTAATAAGGTAATCCAAATAAATACATAATAACAACAATATTAATACCTAAAAACCGAACCGGTAATTTTTTTTTATGTAACACTTTTTCTTACGGAAAGCCTACTCCGATTATCAAGTATAGCAACTTTTCTAAAAGAAAATGTTCTTTGAGTGGTACTTTTTAGAGAGGTAATTTTCTGAAATTTTCATTAATATTCAAGATAATGAGGAAAACCTGGTTTTTAAGCTTAAAAAATATTGAAAGATTAAAATCAAGGTTCCCATTGGCAACCGTTTTTATTTATATTTTATTCACTATCAAGTATTTATTATTTTAAATTTTTTTAAATAATTAATTTTGTCATGGAAACGCACATTGTTGTAATCATTTTATCGTAATATAACATATATATTGTTAACAAAGCAACAAAGCAATTAAACTCCGCTTAGAATGGTTTGTTCATTAGCAATGGTTTATCGTTGCTTACAGATATACATTAAATTCCCGTCTGTATCCTACGTTCCCAACTTCCCACCTACAAAAGTGACTGCACCCACGTGAGCAGTATGTCCGTCCTTTTTTTTTTTGTAAGTTTTAAAATCAAATTTTAATGAAAATCCTAAATACTACGGTGTTTCAAAACATGCATAACCGAACTTCACTCCGAATCGTTTTTCGTTATCAATGGCTTATTGTTCGCTACAGGTATAAATTAAATAACTTTATTTATCCCACTTTTCCCACCACCCATCTACAATAATGGCTGTACCCGTCTCCAGTATCAGCTCTTTTGTTTTTTGTAACGGATAACCACTGGACCAATTTACGTGTAGATTTTTGCAGAATGGCCCGAGTTGTCCAGAAAAGGTTTAAAGCTTTTGAAATCCTGGATATGACCAGTAAAAGTAGGAGACCTAACCCTAACCTGCAGTAATTTGGGCTGGGTACAAAATAATGTATAGGTATTTATAATTAGTTAGAAACCATACGTAATTCATATAAATTTCAAAAAAAAATTAATTTTGAAAAACTTAAGTGCAACAGTGGTTAATTGCGGGAACTGTAACAAGGAATCAAGGAGGGCAGTTTTTATTAAGTACATCTCATATGATTGGCATGAACAATGCCGGGCTGGACAGCTAGTATATAATATGGATAAGTCTATATAATTGTGTCATTTAATCATTAATCATTTTTATTTGAATATTTGTTTTAACTATAATAATGTGGGTCACGATAAAGTGCACTAACCATAATAAATTAATAAATAATAAATCGAATAACCTGTTATAAACAATGTGATACAGTACCGCAGTTGGTAAATGGTCAGTTGTCATCAATTAGTGGATATAATAAACTCACAATTTGAAATGTAGCTAAATATTATTATTATTATTAACTATTTATTGCCAATTTATTTATTATTGATTTTTTAGAATTTTCTAATTACTTACATATCTATTTATAACCAGTGAACAATAAAAATTAATATAAAATTATTAGTTTTCGAAGGTTAAATACTTTTTAGGAATTTATTGGGTATAAAAGTTTTTAATTGTATTTACTATAATATTGATATTTATTTTCATATACAATACATATTATTAGTTGAATAGATTATTCAATAATGGCCTTAAATACTTTAACATTACTAGCTCAAACATAGGCCTCGGTAGCGCAGTAGGTAGCGCGTAAGTCTCATAATCTTAAGGTCGTGAGTTCGATCCTCACCCGGGGCAGTAATTTTTTATTAATATTTTTCCTACTTTTCTTTACTTTTTTTTCACATATACAATTATAATTAATTTAGCATTTCTATTATATTTAGTATTTTTATTGAGAATATCATGATAATTTTGAATGTTGCGGATAAAAAAAACAAATTAATAAAATGTAATTTTGTTTATGAACTGTAACGTTTTACTGTTGTTTGGAATTTTTATTGGTTTTATTATTTTTTTATTTTTTCATCAGTGTTCAAAAGTTTAGTTGTCTATGACAAACTTAAACATAATAAACTTTGCTATTATATAAATTTTGAAATTAACCTTCAAAGACGGATCTATAAATTATATTGTCTATATGCGTCATGCAGAAACTTGGTTGGTCTTTGAATCTTTCTTTTTCTAAGTTCCTTAACTACCACGCTATCAAAGTAAAACAACTAACTGAACATACTTATATGTATAAAGTTTTATCATTTTTGTAGGTAGCAATAAATATTTAGGCCGGGCGATCTTGGATTTAAATTAGGTTTTTTTTTTATTCCGTTGCCACTCGTACGGAGTAAAAATTTACTTCAGACTTAAAGTGCAAATAAAATCACTTACTAACGAGTCTATACTACTCATTAACTTCTGAAAATGTTTTTGGCTCTATTTAAATTTATATATATAATCATTTCTGTGATTTTTTTCGGTTTTGTTGTAATCTGTATTCATTCTGCAGTCACTCGTTGCGAATCCCGCGAGTACGCGTGTGTTGTTTTATGTTGATTAGAACCTTTTTTGGAGTTGGACAACTAATAATGATTAAATAAATAATCCAAATTGAAAATGTTTTTTGTCATATTAATTTGTACTAAAATGTATTTTAAAAGGTTCATCGCTTATATATCAGGGTAATTGGGTAAATTATTACATATCTCCTCGGTACCAAACCGACACCCCGACGCATAAATATATAACTATTTAAGGCATATTTAAGGGCTATTATAGGTTGTTAATATTTCTAGGCGCGTATTGTAACTGCAAATAAATCATGTATACATAGCTATTCAACAGTAAAATATACTATTAATTACTTTTTTTACTTGCATGAAATAATATTGCATATGTTTTGGATTTGGGAAAATGTAAAATTCATTTTTTTTAAAAATGTATTTCTCGTTTTCTTCAATTAGAAAAAATACCTTTTCATGCATTATTAGGTTATATAAATGTGAATTTTGATTGATATTTTTTATTATCGTGCTTGAGTTTGATTTAATCATAGTTTTTGTATAAATTAATTGTTCATTACGATAATTATTACCTATTATAAAGCTGGCTAGCGACAGTTAGCTATAATACAGGTACTAAGTTAATTAAAAAACAGAAATTTATGGAAGCCGTGATGGTATATGCGCTACAGCGATAATGTTCGCTATAATATGTACCTATCCAAATACATACAATTATTATGATAATGTTATTTAATCTGTGTATATTTATACCTACTATATAGTTACATGATATTTATGTCGATAGCGCATTTTTTTTATCACTCGTTGTAGGACGGGAAGAGTATTATACATTTTTCAGTTGGTATTTTAATGATTACCTAGTAGAGTTATATAAGTATTATAAGTAGTTATGCAGCCGGGTGAGTACTGCTATTAGATTTATCAACAAAAAGTAAACATCTAGACAAAACATTAAACACGCAGCTCATTATAATAAGCCCAATAGCAAGTTATTAGAAATAAAATAAATGGAAATTATAATCTAAAACCTTAAAAAAAAATATCAGCGTATATAATCGTTGTATTTTTAATACGCGAAATTATAATAGCATCAATAGTTATAATAATTATAGTTAGGTATAATAATAATATACGTATAATATAAGGTATTACAGTTTTTTTTAAATAATTGACGAAACACGTAAAAAAATATACCCACCTATAATTATTATAGATACGTTACAGAAACATTATATAGCATTCAATGTATTATGCAACGTGTAGAACAGCCTCTTACCTATACATATCTCTTATACTCCTAAAGTACTAAGTCTTATAGGTACTTAAATAATATTTTTATTTAATAAAATCAATATTATATTATTATCCTCGATATAGATAGACATTAGGTGTCACTACCATACTTGTGTTTTCAAATTAAAATATTAAATGTATATTAGACAAGTTTCTTCATTTACCGAACTTGGCCCCTTTTTCACATTTATGTTTTTATTGGGATATCAGCTATAACAGCAGCAACGATCGTTTGGAAGTTTTTTGAAAATAACAATATGACAGTTAAACATAGTATAATATATTTGTATACCACTGAACCATCTAGTAATTGTACATATTATATTATATTATTAATTATAATAAGATAATGCCCCCCCCCTTTAAATAAACGAAATAAAACTACGAAGCTTTACAATTTAAATATACAAAATTTAAAAAAAAAAAAATGAATAATTAATGCGGGTTATACTTAGATCTAAAAATTATACCCATAGTGTTGTCCCCGAGTGTTGTAATAAAATGTAAAATTCACACGCTAAAGTTTTTTGATCGCTATTTATATGTATACTCGTATACACGCAATTCGTTTCTTTGTATTAGAATAATTCACAAAATAAATTTAATATGCATATAGGTGAACTATATATTTAATATAGTAATTTTGACTATTTATCATAACTCCCTACTTCATATGCTACATATTTTATGTATAAAAAACGAGAATGTCACGTCTATATACGTGCGTATAAGGATTTATAGCGTATTTTTAAATTTTTTTTTTGTAAAATGCACGCATGCTTACTACACGAGGCGTACCTTTACATAAAAGTAAGCGAATTTAGTATAAGGTAATTAATTGTTTATACAGAGTGATCAATAGTTTTTGAAACACTCATTATCTCAAACTCTCAAAACTTTTTTTGAATTTTTATTTTACATCCTATGAAATAAGTGGCTCTAAAATATTACATTTTTTGTCACCCTTTTTTTAGTGGTAAAACTATTATTCACTTTTGATAAATAACAACCTACATTCAAAATTCAATAATAATAGACAAAGTTTCAATATAAATTAATATTGGTGTTAATATTTTTAATTTCTGTCATCCTGTTAACTAGATATTACAATTTGAATATTAGATAGAAGGAGAGTAGTGGGGCGTTATTTGTGAGTACGGTAGTGTTTGAGTAGTGATCCAATAGGTGATTTCGCTCTACCCACAAAACAGCAATAATATCTTGTCAACGGTTTGACGGAAATTAAAAATGTCAACACCAACATTTATTTAAACTAAAATTGTATCTAATTATGGCATTTTTATTGTAGGTTGCTATTTAAAAATTAAATGTTGGTAGTGGTTTCACCCTCAAAAATATGGGAGACAAAAAATAACGGTGATGTAAAATTTTAGAACCGCTTGTTTCTTGGCGTTTTGAAAAAACGAATTGCGAATAAAGATTTTACTTTCCGATATAATGAGTGTGTTATTGATCACTCTGTATTATGAAAGTTGAACGACCAAATATTGTGAACACAACTAATATACATTGTATGTTTTTCGATGGCCTTGATTGTCTATCGTCCTTGTATTATTACTAAAATATAGATAACTCCGATCAAATATGAAAGGTCCGAATGAGGGTATTTTTTTATCGTGGCACATATAACACGATAAAGCAAACAAATTATTAAATAATACCATTAGCACCGTAATGTATTATAGTAGTCCGACTATATAGTATCTAATAGTCCACCATTATTCGGGAGAGGATTTAGAACATTAACCTCGGTATCGAGTATTTATCTCCTTTTAATATTAATCGTGATTTTATTGTCATACAATTTTGGTCAAAACACAACATCTATACCTGTATAGAATTTTTACGGTTCAAACAATGTGTTAAATACATTAAGGAGATTGAGTTCTGGAATTTTCGTTATACGTTTTACACAATTATATACGCATTATAATAACGATAGCGATTCACTAGACCAATTTTCTTTCAATCCCTTGTTTGATCGATCGATGTGTACCTAGTGAATAAGCAAGCCATACTATAATATTTTAAAAACGGTTTTGAATTCAATGTGTGGATATATATCATGTCAATCTTTCCAATTTAATTGTAATTAGTTCTTTACGCATTTTAAAAAAAAATTAAAATCAATTGTTTCAAAAAATTATTGTTTTAAATTCACTGTATTGCATTAGGTATGTGTTAGACAAAGGAATTAAACATTGGTACCCATTTAAAATTGTTTTTTCTAATACTAATCTGATATCGTCGATCCATTTATAATATAAATCAATAACAATATTGTTTCGGGTTTTTGTTTGTTCACATTATATATATATAATTTCTGGCGGCACAGAACAATAATTAAGGCGTTTCAATTTTGTATTGTCAAGGTAGCAATAATGATTCATTTACAGCCTGCTAGCCTCCTTATAACGGAATCGCTCGGTACCAATTGATTTTTCTGTTATAAAGGAGTTCCCGATATAAAGGGGAGTAAAATATACGAGGCATAGGTTGTACAGAACTGCAGTTGTTTTCCGTTTTAAAGAGATTTCCGTCTTATAGGGGGTCCGTTATAAAGAGGTTTTACTATACCTGCGCAAATTCAAATGATCAAATCATTCAATAATAATGAAATATTAATAATAAACTAATGTGTTTGATACATATACAATATATACATTATGTACGATAAAAGTAAATATTACGTACGTATAAGTATTATAACAACGATATTATTGTATATTATAAATTATGATTTTTAACAAAATTGAAAATAATATGACGGGTATTTATATGAAACATATCAGAGGGGCTTGAACCTATAAACATCAGTGGTTTGATATAACGCCTATCCCGGGGGCGTTTGAAAGGTACTATGGGATGGTATAAAACCTGTTTTGGCAGTGAGAGAACGTGTTTCCGTATAAGACGAGTAATTTCGTATGTTTTATGGAACGAAATTAAGTTCTTTGTTGGTTATTCATCTAATTTTTAATTTTCTTCAATAAAGATAACTTTGAAAGTGTACCTAATTCTTTACTATTTCATTGGACATTTCAATTATTGTTTTTACAATTTAGCAGTACTCTTTCTCTTTTTTATACCCTTAACGACGGAATTTTCACATAGAAGAGCGTTGAAAAGTTTGCTCTACAAGGAGGCGTTAAAATTAAAAAGGTTGAGGAACACAGCTATACCTTCATAAATAATTTTAACTTTTATAGGTCAAGGTACAAAACCGTAATACATATAGCAAGAAAAAAATGTCTAGGGAGATTTTAAAATTTAAAATTTTATCATTTACTAAAATAAGTAAATTTTTCATAAATTAATAATAAAACGATAGTTAAAAAATGTTGTAGGTAAGTACCTGCCTGACTAATTATATGTTTTAATAGTGTAGACTGAAGTTAATTTAATTTTATCTAACAAATGTAATAATAATGTATATTTTTTAAACACTTATAAAGTAGTGTTGTAGTCCAATATGTGATCTACCAGGTCGTCGTCGTGGTATAATAATATGTGTGCGAATGTAGATTGAGAAGTCTACGCCCGTTTAAATGACCATGGTGAAATAGACCACACAGTAAACCAGGAGTCAGCAACCTTTTTAACCATGCGGGCTATATTTTTTTTCAAATTTTAATCGAGAGCCACAATCATAAAAAAAAACAAATTTTACACATAATCTAATACTAATAATTTTATTACTATTCAATTTTGTTATTTTACATAAAAATATAAATTTCTGCATAGAAAAGCTTGCTTTTAGGAAAAAATAAAATAATCTAAAAAAAATAATGTGAAATTGTATATTTATGCGATTTCTGTATCTGTAACTTATAAATTAAATTTTCGATATCAATTTGCAAAATTATCGTTAAGGTTCGTAATACAGCGTGCAAATATTCATCACTAAGGTACAAAGGGTATTTATTTTTCTGTACTTTACAGTGGATAGTATCTACTCACTGCATACCTTTATTCAAACGCTGCCATAAGTTTTTGTGCACATTGTCTGATTTCGGGGAATACAGATACGGGAAGACAACTACAAAATTGAGAACAACTGGTTGCTTCCCGAAAATAATTTTTTAGAACCTAAAATGGATTTATGTCCACTAGAAAAGAATTCTGAAATAATTTTATTTCATAATTATACTTATAAAAACCATCAAATCTTATTGAAAATTCGTTTTAAGAAATTCAGGTTTAATTAAACCCCAATATAGTGGTTTTACAAAAGATTCAATCGTATTTACAACATGAAAAATAATAACAATTTTGTTAATTCATAGATTATACAATAGTTTTAATTTTATTTGGAACAGTTTAAACTGTTTAACATCAGTATACATGCCTGACAGCAATTTTCCTATATCTTGAAATTGTATGTTCAACCATTAACCGAATAAAATATATTGAGGAAATTACAACACTCATAACTTCTTTCAGTGTAAGAACTTTACAACACAATGCTTCTTGGTGAAATCTCACATAGCCAATTTAACATCTTTGTGTAGGCCATATAAAATTGCTTTGCTTAGTTATAATTTATAACTCTTATAATCACCCTTCTCTAGGCTCTGGTTACATTACTTATTACATATGTACTCGTATGTAACAATTATAGGAATTAAAAATAATTTTACCTGATATTTTATAGCCTATACAGAGACATTTTTTAATCATTGTGGAACCGGTTAAGCTTTATTTTAAAACCATTTAAATTTTTTTACTCCTCATCTATATATTTTAAATAGGTAAATTAAATTTTTGTTTTTCAAATAGGAATCCCCTTTTTTGAACACGGGTTCAAATAAAGTAGCTGTATTTTTTTTTTAGAAAATTGTAATATGCACAACACAAATAACAGATTTACCGTTTAAAGTTAAAACCGGAGGAGTAGGAAAAAATTATCATTTTAAAATATATAGGTACTTAAGCAATGTATTACCTAATTGGTTACCTATATAAGTTGTTAAGAGTGTACATTTTACAACGATTTTTGTACGGTATGTCATCGTAACACGTAATGACGTTTCGAAAAGAATTTTGAGAGGGGGTAATTTAATGGTTATAACCGGTTGCACCTACGCGAAATTCATCAATCATCACCGAAACATAATGCCATATATACTATATTACAATAATAATGACGTGTGTTTTTGTTTTTTCCGTCTGTTAACAAGTAGCTAGTATTCGACCGCAGAAGACCGGTTCCTACTAAAAAATTTCATGAGAGTTTTCGGCATCTAGTTGGTGCATCGGGGAGGTATATCTATAACCTAGTTGTTTTGAAAGTTTTTGTAATTTTCTTAATATTATACATTATTTTTTACCTATGGGTAGGTAGTTATAATAATATGGGATACTCTAATATAATTTTAAATTTAGAAAAAGTAAAAAAAATAAATATGTTTAACCGATCTCCACTCGGCATCGAATTATGTTGGCAATAATTTGTTTTAAATATTTCACGGCGACTCGGTCTCAAGTGAATTTTTGATGTTATTATTATAAAAAAAAAAAAAAAAACGCTATAACGCGTAGGCGCCGGTTATCGCGCGCAGTCGCTGCGGGGGAAGTGTGGATAAATATTCAAATTATACACGCACGTGTATTCAATAATAATATTGTCGAGCAGACGGCTTGGCGGTGCTGCGGTTCTCACGTTGGTACGACTGATTCACCCTACCACGCGCGGTTACCCGGCGCGATCGGTAGCGACCGTGATTCCGTGGTTGCAGTGTACTCGTGTACTTATCTACGGTCGTATTGTCATTGTGCGAACTTGTCTCGTTCCAGTTCGGCGTGTTCTATCATTTTTCGTCGTCCTCGTCGATCTTTTCCACAACACACCACACACGATACGTGCCACAACGCAGACGCCGTCGCCGACAGCCGCAGGTGTCCACACGTTCCACTATAGCCCGCGAGTCTCACACAGACGCCACCGCCGATAATCACAGGGCATAGGGTGAGTTTTACTCTCCCGCCTTTTCGGTTCCGTCCCAAAGTTTATATTAATATTTGGTAGGTATGTACCTTGTTGTTTTGTCACAGTAGTGGGTGTTCATTTGTATTCATTCTTTTTTGTTCAAAATTCACATGATAGGTTCGTTGTACAATATTTACGAGTGACGATTATTTATAACTCGTCCATACCGTCAACACATTTCGCGCGTTCCGGCGAGTTAATTCCTCCAATACAGGGCTGAAAAGAAAAAAAAAAGCAGTTAAAATTCCTACGTAACGGTGCTAAATACTGGTCAATGGTGATACGGTTTACTGGTGCACGTGAACATGCACCTTTAACTAGAGATCTGTACCGGCTGATTATATAGGAATCGTCACAAACACCTATACAATAGTCGATAATAATATTGTGCGACCAATAAACCAATAGGGGAGACTGTTGTACCTTGGCACCAATTTTATAAAATATTTTCTAAAGAATAATTTTGAATATTAGATATTCATTTTTACTTTCATTTTTTGAAAGCTTCCAAATAAGTTATTTTTCAAATAAAAATTTATTTTTTAAAAACACCTTAAATGGTCCAAGGGACAATTTTTTTGGTTTCATAAACAATTAATAACAACGGTTTATATTTTGATGTTTGACGACAATAATTACATAGGTAGTTTAGATTCAATTTAATATAGGTAATATTTGTTCTATATTTTTTGTTATTTGATTGTCTACATTGCCCATTTGATATTTATCTAATCTGATTATCTCGCTGATTATTTTCTATTGCAATATTTATGTTTGTAAAAATGATGACATTTTATTAATTCCTTATTATTCATTATTTTCGATAAAATTAAAAATGAATGGAAATTAATTATTTGATTTTATTTGTATTTTACCTTAGATAAATAATTGAGTTTAGTAGGTACCTATTTACCTAATTTATTTAAGCAATGTATAAATTGTCTTTTCTTCCACTATCATCATCCTTAGAATACGGTATATAAAAAAATAATATTTTATTTTAGATTCCAAGTGTAGTGAGGAATGTTAGTTTTACTGTGTGTTTTTTTTTAACATTATATTATGTAGGTACAATCTTTAAAAACAAATATTTACAATAAGTACATTAGCTTTATTGTAAAGTTTTTTTTCAAAATTATTTGTTTGTGTATTAATAACTTTTCTATCAGAAAATTTCACGGCGAGGGCTTTTTATAGCAAATTTTTTGAGGTAGTTTTTATTTAAGTTGATTCTTTTAGACCTATTTTACACTAACAAAGTTAAGTATATTTTTCAATATTATGTTTACTGTGGTTACAATTTATGTAGTTAACAATATAGGTACGCCAACTTAGTTTGAATGCAATGTTGCAAACTATTTACTAGATTTGAAGCTAGATTGTTTCCGTCTTAAGGTTGTAAAAATTTACATAAACATAATAACATTAATATTTTTTAGTCTGCAATTTTAACTATTTTTTTGATTAAATTTTTGTTCAGTGATGCTGTTAATGTATATTTGTTTTAATTTGTTCACAAACATGTACAGTGATTTTTTATTATTTTATATTTGAACAAATATACTAAAAACATTGTTAGATGTTTCATTTTTCGGCTTTACTAAGAATTTTGTTTTTTTTTTTTTTGGAATAGGTGCCTACCAAAAATTAAACAATTAAAAAATTACCTTCCTATCTCTCTTGAGTGACTTCTAATTGAACTGATCAACTTTGTAGCACACAAATTAATCTACAAATATAATATGAATTTATGTGAAAAAAAAATTTTTCTAATGACTTAAGTTTTATGTCTTGAAAATCATGAATATATCTGCTTTTATTTTTAGAACAATGGAATTTGAACTTTGCCAAAACGTATATTGCCAAATGTAAAATTATTAAAAATAATAAAATTCAATACATTTTGTCCAATTTTAGATTACCTACGAAAAGTGACAGTTTATACAAAATTACAAAAACAAGACATTTAATTCACTGTACTGTAGTACATTTCTGCATTGTTATTAAATCAACTTTACATCTATTACTTATATCACTTAAAGTAGGGATTTTAGTCAATCACAACGTCACATGATAAACTGAAATTAAAAATTGTATTTATTTATACTTCCATGTAAGTAAAAAATAAATTATTAAAATAACTGTTTATTTTTTGGGTTGTAATGTTGTATGCGATCTACCAAACTCATATTTTTGCAGTACACAATCTGCCTGAAAATAGTATAGAATTACCGTATTAATTTTTTTATATTTGCTAGTAAAATAAATGAATTCATTACATTACATTAATATATTTCTTTAAAACAGAGTTTTTCAACCTGGATGACACGGTACCCTTTTTATCAACTTTTTGTGTTTAACTTAAACTAAAAATGCCGTTTTCATGTCTGTAAGGAAATTGTCAAATATTGTATCCATGGATGGATGAATGAAGTGATTACCACCACTCTTTTTTCAACTATTTTTAAGCAATAGTGAAACATTATTTATTTTAATGTTGTATCATTGTTTTTATAACACACCAAAAAACCTTGATGTATTTTATGTTATTCTGTACTTAAATCAATACAATTTTGGAATGAGTCACTGATCTATTATATTTTCTTTTTTCTTTGACAAATTTTACATATATGCCATATTTTATTTTATTGTATCTGTACATGTTTATAATATAATAATCTATGACTAATTTTATATATTTTCAATTTCCTGATTTTTTTTGTAGATCTCGTACATCATTACTATTTTTTTTTAAACAATTTTTAATTAAAATTTGAACTCAAAACGACTCTACAAATAAATTCAAACATAAAAACCCTTAATAATAAAATCAATACAATCAGAGTACGCTCAGAAAACTTATAATAATAAGGTACTCACTTAGGTATCTTTACTCAACATAAAAAGGTATTTACCTACCTAAAGAGGTTATCGAATAAATATGTTTTCTTTCATTATTGTTTGATAGAATACAATTTATAAGCATTTGTCTTGCTTACCATTGAAATGTAAAATCGTAATAAAAGGTTATATGGCATTGTAGTGAAACAATGCCAAAATTATTTGTTAAAAAAATTATACTTAATTTATTAATATATGTACATTTAAATTAATGTATGTAACTCATACCTATACCTTAAAAAAATTGAAATAGTAAATGCATACATAATTTCTTTACTCATTAAAATTTCTTACATATTCGAATAAAAATTATGTTTTACGTGGGGTTTGACTTTAAAAATGTAATAATTAATTTCTTATTTGTTTTTGAATATTTTAAATATATATCCATACAACAGGCACTGAACCATCTACTGTTTATTTTTAATAATAATAAGTGCATAATCATAATAATAAATGGCAAATGAAATTAGAAAAATATATATTGTGAACAAACATTGCACCTATTTTAGTTAACTGGTTGTAGTGTTTTGTATAAATTATAGTCACACATCAACCAGCAGCAGTACTTATAGCTAGGAAAATAAATAATTATTTTAATTATATAGAATGGATTTTATTACTGCGGTAAATAACAATGTGTATTACAAGTTTAATTGGGCAATGAATCATTCTCTAACGATTGAGGTGCAACACAATATTTATAAAAGAGGTTCAATTAGGTAATATTGCATTTTGTAACCAATTTGATGTATACTGTTATATATTAATAGGTATTAGATATTTTTAAAACCAAATAAAAATTCTATTTATTAGTTGTTATAATTCAATTAATTTGTTTTTCTTTGCAGATTACTTTGTTTTTCTTCTTTCGATACTACAGCCACTTCTATGAAGGTCGATTGTTGCAGTTCTATATGTTAAAATTACGCCTTGTATCTACACATTTCCTAAAGCAGCCATAAATATATTAAAATGTGCCGTGATTGGGATATGATTATCTAAATCATTGTATCATTGGTATTAGACTCGAATTAAATATTGTGTCAAACTGTTGAAATTATTTCAGTGGTTAGCCGTAAGTGATCTGATTGTCATTACTGTTTCTTTTAGTTGTTTAATATATTATTATTCTCAGGGAATTAGTCAGAGTTTGAATTGCTTGAAAATGAAATTAACTGTGTGTACTGATGCGCATATGTATAGTAACCAGGTAAAATATTAAATTTAAAAGTAAAAATAATTATTAATGCTTGGTACTTTACGCATTTAAAATACACAGAAAACGGCTTAACAATGTCAAAAGAACTCTGAAAAAAAAATTAAAAAGCAAAAATATTAGAGAGCTCAGAGAGATTTAAAATTTCCACTCCCAACCACTTAATTGTTAAATGCAATTATTCTAATACATGTAATTTTTTTATAATACTTACAATTTTAAATAAACTTTATTTAAAAACTTGAATTAATTTTTATCGTGTTCGAAAATTGTATTTTATAAGTTAAAGTCATTAGAAGGGGAAGGGGCTTTTAAAAATATACTACTATATTTTTTTTAAATGCAGTTTCAAGTCTTTTTTGACATTTTTTATTGCTAGATTTTAAGTGCATAAAGTTCTGAGCCCTAATAATTATATATACATATTGATTCTTGTTGAAATTATTTGTTTACATAAGGCAATTATCAACTAATCACGATATTATCACATTATAATTGTATTAAGAACACAGTACTAAATACAATTAAACAATAAATACTGTTTTAGGTGGAAACAAAATTTGAGATGTTATTAGAAGAATATAATACAGATAAATTGATTTTGATTGGTATGCCATTGGAAAAGTTACCATTGAATTGTGATGGGTTGCCAGTTATAATACAAAAGATATATGATTATATAAGTGACTTTGGTATGTTGGTGGAATTTGTTATTAGGATGTAAAAATTAAAAAAATTATTATATAAATCAATTGTTATTAATTTATTATATTTATTTTTTAGGACTATATGATGAATGCTTATTTGATGATGCCTATTCAAATAATGGACGTAAAGAAAGTATTCTAAATGCCTATAAATTAGTGAGTGGTTCGGAAGAAAATTGTAGAAGTATTATTGATGTTGATGCAGTGGATTTTGCATCGGTATTGGTTTTTTGGCTTTATTACTTACCAAAACCATTGATATCCTCTAAACAATTTGCAATGATTTGTGGTGATTAATTTTATTACACTATTTTTTAAATGTCTCACATAATATTGTTCTCGTATACAATTATAATTTTACTATGCTATGTTATTTAAATATAATATATATACATACAGATTTAAATGTCAATAAAAAATATCGAGAAATTATAAACTCTATGGACAATATAAATAGACAAATTTTACAACGAGTTATGAACATTGTGGATTCTTACGAAAAGCAACATAAACTATACAAAGAAAAATTAGGAAGTCTTTTTACATTACTTTTAACAAAAAATGTGGATAATGCTAGTCAGAATAAAGCATTACAGTTTATAGACAATTTAAAGATTGTTTTGATGTAAGTTTTATAAATTTCAATATAATTGCTTTCAGTAATTTTTTGCCAACATTATTTCCTCATATATTTTTAATTGGATATTTCGCATTATTCTCTTTAAGTCTAAACATTAATAAAACTACATTGTACGCATAAATTATTTTATTAGGTTTTTAATTTTATAATTTTTACATAAGGATTGAAAATCCTTTTGATATATTTTTAAAATTATAATGTAATATAATATATGTATATAGGATGTCTCGCTGTGTTTTTGTGACAGAATTTTGTAGAGCTATTAAAAATTAATTTTTTTTTTTTTCAATTTGTTTTTCTTGCATTTATTTAGAGAATACTTAATTTTGCATTTTCATCCATTAACCATTAAAAACAAATAACTTATTCAATTTACAAAATGTTCAAAATAGCCACTTTGTAAATAATATTATTCTAACAATTTGAATGTATTATACATTTATATCTGAGCAATAATTTTTAGTTATATGTATTTCAATGTTTAGAAAATAGACGTGAAAGCAATTAATATGCAATAGAATATAAGGAATGACCGTGTGATTCCTTAGGTATCATTTTATTGAAAATTAATTGCTTTCACACCTATTTTCAAAAAATTTAAGATGTAAAATATATTGTAAGTGCCTTGTAAAAGGAATAAATAAAAAGCTCTTGGTTTTTTAGTGATTATGGGATAAAAATACAAATTAATTTTTCCTCTAAATAGATGTCTCCCTCAAAGAAAAACAGATTTAAAAAAAAAAAAAAATTAATAGCTATAGTAAAATCAGTCAAATGGTGGTATACACTCTGAATATCATATCCACTTGATGAAATTGTGCATTTCATGAAATGTTATTTAAATTATCTCAATTTATTTAAATACTATTCAGTAAAATACTATACAATTTCATAAATTGGATATATTTTACAAAATAAAAATTGACATTTTATATTGTTTAATTTTGTTTTCATCATTTGATCATTCACTTTGTAAAACTAAATATAATATATGTTTAATAGATAGATAGATAAATATTACATTGTATACTATACTCTGTTCCAAAAGAGAATATACCGCTCTGACGACCAGTTTATGTTCGGTGGCGCGCATCCCTCCACCAAGCATCGCCGTTTCAGTCAGATATCACGTAATTGTAAAAAAAAAGGTCTATTTGACATCGGTGTAAACTCGTCGGGCACGACCGGTGCATTGTTTTGACGACGGTGGGAGAAATTTAGGTCCGGACGATCGCCAACTCTCAATCAGCATGCGCGAAAGCGGTATGTTCTCTTTTGAAACGGAGTATATGATAAGATGATGAGAATACTTGGATCACACTAATATAAACATTTAGTCTTAATTATTTTAAAATAACATAAGCATAAGATAGGTATTTTTGTGCATGGATACCTAAACTGAAATTCAAGAATATTAATAAAAAAATTAATGACTGTGATTACTCTATTACTGTTCGCGGTGTGGAGAATTGGAGAGTGTAAAGAGTAATTAGTAGACGATAGATGAATAAAGAATGGTGGGGAAGAGCAGGTATAACTGAGAGGAATTTTAAAAGAAAGCTGTAATAATAAAGAAGGTAAATCAATTTTACCAGATATGAGATTAGAGAGGAAAAGAAAGTTAAAAAAGTGTCTTCGGTCAGGTAAGTTAGACGGGCGTAATTTCAAAAGGATGGGTGAGTAATCATAAGGAGAGTAGGTAATATTAAAAAGGGAGGCACTAAAGCGGGAAACTTACGTTGCACATGTTCAATCACTATACTGCTGCAAGAGGTGGAAGGGTCCCAAAATACAAATCCGTATTCCAGAATAGGACGTACAAGGGAGATAAGAGACAGAATATTTGAGATGAACGGCTGATGAACCCCAAAAACTTCAGGGCTTTACAGCAAGAATTTTCAAATGTGTTTAAGGAGGCAAAGATTTTGAGTTAAGGTACAGACCATAAGGGCTGGGAGATGCAATTGTTTGGTTGTGTTATAAAAGGGTCAGAATGGGAGTAAAAATCATGACTGAGCAATTTGTAGGTGTTAAGATGAATTGAGAAGACTGAAGGATTCACTCCAAGCAACCAACTGGTTAAATCAGACTGTAAGAGGTTAGATTAGGTCAATGACATTTCAAATTTTTAAAATAGTTTTTAATAATAATATGCAATTATAAAATAATTAATAAAAACTAAATATTGTATTAGTACAGTTTATGCACTATTCGTATATTATAGGTATTTTTTTTACAAAGTAAAATTTTAGTATTAATTTTGTGAAAATAATAAAAAATATTCACATAACAAAAAGTACAATTTTATCAAGTTTATGCAACAAATATTACATATGTACAACAAACATATAAAATTATTAATTTTGATCATACTGTTTATAGGGAAGCAGAAATTGAAAATAATGAATATATGTTTAACAATAACTTTGTAGTTAAAAAAGAAAATCTTAATTTTAATAAAAAAGTGTTCAATGAAAATAATTTATGTAACAAGAAGAATCTTGCTTGGTAAATACTGTTTATTTGTTTTATTTGTAACAATAAATTACTTTAAAATATGTAGTCTTTCTATGGAATTGGTCAATAAGGTAAACAGTAGCATGGGGACTTTGGTTTATTTAAAAATATTAGTTGACATGTACAGGGACCTGAATGGGGTTTTGTGTTGATGCTGGTAGCAGGTCGTTGAGCTATGATGGATCGCAGCTTAGAGATAATATGATTGAAGTTGACACATCAGTAAAAAGTAATGGTTTGAAGAAATCAAGTAGCTGTGACCTGGAGAGTTTTGTTTCCAAAGAGGATGACCCATACAACAAATCATTTACTAATGACGTATCATATGAAGAGGTATAGTTTAACACTATAAACATTCAATTAAATGTCCAATTAATTAATTGATTTTGTATAAATTAGGAAAATTTAAAAGCGAAATCTGATATAAAATTGTCTGATGATTATTTTCAAAATAGTTCAGTGTGTGCAGTTGATGAGGTAATCCTAATTATTAATCAGTAGTATTCATACAAATTATTCATTAAATTATTAATATTTTTATTGTTGTTAAAGTTGATATTCAGTTCTCAAATTGATGATTTGAGGAGTATTGAAAGAACTATGCCTACTCATTCCAGAAGTTCTATGAAACGAACCAAAAAAAAATCTATTAGAAGTCACGTGGAAAGAGTCTTAAAGTCAGAGTTCTTGTCTAATCAAGACAGTTTGCTATTGCAAAATACATTAGAATTAATGAAAATACTATCAAAAATCAAAAGGTTTGTGATCTTTTAAAATTAATAATCTTACAAAAATGCCTTATTAAATATCTTATTGATTTAGTGTTCAGAGTCAAATAAACATCCACAGGAGAAATTGGGAAAACAAGTTTGGTTGTGAAAATGAAAATGCTGATAAAAATTTTCCAGATTTACATTTTTTAAACAATCGTCTTGAGCAATTGGCTAACCAGAAAAATAATTGTGCGTTTTTAAAATTAAAACTAATTTTATTTAAACATATAAACATTTTATTATTATTATAGATTTAACCAAAACTGGACTTTCATATGGAAGATCTTACAATCGTACAGTTTTAAATCTTAAAAATGCTCAAAAAGAAGCTTTTAAGGTATCCACTACTGTATTAAATAACTAATAAATAAATATTTTAGGAATATTATGTAACATTTATCTGAATATTTAAATATTTAATATTATAACATTTTAAATTTATATTTATTATTATACATTTTAGTTATACGAAAATGAAAAACAAAATAACAAAATCCAAAACAAAAACATAGAGAAATTAATTTCTAACATTTATGATATTCAAATAGTTCTTGATTATTTGGAAAATAATTGTGGTGGTAAAGAATTGCCATGGAGGTCTAGCAAAGGTTGTCCAGGTTATAAAAGAATGACAAAGAAACAGGTAGATATTATTTATTTTTAATTTTTAACTGCATGGACTAATTATTTTGTTTGTTTCAGTTGAACTGTGTGACTGTTGTATCTGATTTACAAACGATTAGTGAACACGAAGTGATGGAAACTATTCCACAGCCATTGTTTATAGCATTAGAATATTAAACGTTTGGTGAACATTGATTGGAAAAGGAATTTTTTTTTTTTTTTTTTTGACGTCTGTTTAGCAAATGTTATTTGGGTATTTGAAATCACATATCTTTGTATACTTAATGACTAAAAACTATAAAAGTCACTTTATAACAAAATTATGATTAAATATTATCCTACTTAACTAGTAACATTATTAACTGAGACTTTTGTAATATTGGTGCTTTTGAATAATTTAACTAAAGTTTATTAATTATAAATCATATAATGTGTTTTGGCGATACAGTTTTTGGTAAATGGTTTACTGTATTGTTTGCTACTTGGTTGTAATATTGTCAAAACATTTTGGTTACTGTATAGTATTTACCAACGAATAACTATTATCTGACAACAGTAAACATAGTTTTTAATCGTTTGCAGATTTTAGTAATTTGGTTGTTGAACAGTGCATTTAGTTATCAAACAACTGCAATATCGCAATACAATATAATTTGTTCTTTCAACTAGGAACCAGGTTTTACAAAACAGAATCGTCAAAACACACCTATAGTTATATATATTTACAACAAATATTTTAGCTTTTTAAAATATTTCATGTTATAATCGTTATAATATTACTGTCAATTTATACATATTTACCATCAAACAATATTTTTGATTGTGTCTATTTTTTTAGATCCATAGAATGTTATATTTAATTGAATATAATAATATAATATATTTTAAAGTTTATTAAGTTTTCTTCTGTAATTTAAAAGAGAACTTGTTATTTTTTATGTATTGTAACGAATAGTCTGATTCTTTAAGCTTTAGCTCAACATATTATTATAGTATTTATTTTTTAATCTCATTGTTAATTTTTTGGATAAATAAAATTAAAGAATTGTTAAATTTTTGATAAAGTACATAAGCCATTTGATTCACAGTACTAATACACAACAGTACCATTTTAGATGTGTATTAATAGTTTTCTTTAAAACTATGTAATAAATAAATAAATTGATGTTTAATCTGTAGATTTGATTACATTGTTTTTGTAAGTGTTAGCATAAAAGTATACATTTAATATTACGTACATAGGGTTATAATGTTCCATCTGTATTGTGTACTAACATCTTAAGTAAATATAATGTTCAATTTATAAATATTTTATTTTTAAAAATCCATAATACTTCAATTTATATAATGTACTTAAAAAAAAAAAAAAAATGGTTGTTTTGAATTATATTTGATTATTAGTTATTACTTATTACTAATATCATTAACTAAAATAAATGTATATTTTATTTCAATATTTGTATTAAGTGTTACGAATCCAGTGCAATTGGTTATTTGTTATACATTAATTAATATTGTGCTTACCTGACCTAGTGTACCTACTAAATGAACTGAATTGTTGGTTTTATAGTTATGATGTTTACAAACCCTGATTTTTAAGGTCGAACCAAACTTTCCTTAAAATTAACGAACCTGAACCATATGTTTATTCAAACCAAACTTTTAAAACATTTTATCGAACTCGAACTGGGACATTAAAAGGTTAAGTTAGGTTAATCTGTATCAATTTACAGACCCACTAATAAGAAAAAATTTAATTAATTTTTTTTTCGTAACAAGGCTGCTCTGTCCCACCATAAAACATTGCATTGGTGACCACGAATGATTTTCGAACTGAAATATTGGTTACAACTGTTCGATTATTTGCAATTTTAAATTTGATTTTCACACCAAACCAACTACTCCGAGTTTTATTCCGTTCCGATCGAAAATCAAACAGTTCGTGACCTCTCTATTTTATAGTTAATGTTTTTGTATAATACTATTATATTATGTTAAATATTTTTTTATTTGACATAAGAAAAGTCAATACGGTTATTATGTTTATCAATAAATTTTAGGGAGTATTTATCTATCTATATATATATCATACAAACTCAATTATATAAAATTTCTTTTTATTTATTGGCCAATTATTTCAAAAAATTTAATTTATAAAGTGACTATTTTGAAATAATTGAAATTTAGTTCAATAATATATATATACAGTGAGTGTAAAAAGTATTCGTGCACTCTACATTTTTAAATAAATATTCATTTTTCTTCATGATATTTTATTTTTCTTGATGAATTAATACATGCATATTATTCTTTTATGATTTTTAATTAAATTTAAAAAAAAAAAAAAACCATGACAATTGTTATATTAATAATAATATTCAATAATAAACAAAATAAATATATAACAGTAAAAAAAAAAAATAATAATAATAAAGAGTTGTATCAAAAAAAATGCCTTTTAATTATTATATAGCCCTATTTAGTACTTTGTAGGGTAGCCTTTTGACCTTATTATAACCTCCAACCTCTTAGACATTGAATCAACCAGATGACGTGTTGTTTCTGTTGTTATTTTATTCCATTCTTCTTCTAGAACTTTTTTAGAGTTTCCTTACTTGAAATATTTTTTTTAGAGTTTCCTTACTTGAAATATTGTGATCTCGAATTTTTCTGTCCAAATAATCCCACAAATTCTCAATAGGATTAATGTCTGGATACTGTGGTGGCGTCACAAGATATTCAGTTACATTGTTCGACAACCAAGCATTAACTTTTTTTTCAGTATGCTTGGGATCATTGTCCTGTGTAAATATGAAATCATCTTTGATGCCCATTGTTTCGGCACTAGCTGCAAAATTTGTCTTCAAAATATTTAAATAAATATATTGGTTCATAATTCCATCAATAAAGTGCAAGTTTCCAACACCCTGAGCACTCATACATCCCTAAACCATTACAGATCCTCCTCCGTATTTCACTGTAGGCTGTAAATTCTTTGGTTCCATTTCTGTATTCGCTTTTCTCCAAACAAAACGTTTTCCATCAGAGCCAAAAATATTAAATCTACTTTCGTCTGTGAATATAACTTTGTTCCAAAAGTTATCAGATTGATGTAAGTTATCTCTTGCAAAAGCAAATCTCTTTTGTCCTTTTTTTTTTTTTTTTACAAAATATTTTCGACTACCTACTCGTCCATCACTATTAATCACTATTTTTTAAACAATTTCTAATTGTACTTACACAAACACGTACTCCAAAAAAATTCGCAAGATCTTGTGCTATTTTAGGAGCGCTTATTTTTGGATTGAATTTGATTTTTCGTTAAACTGTACGTTTATCGTGGTCAGAAAGTTTTTTTGGACGACCAGATCGTTGCTTATTTACGTGACTTTTCCGCTCACTGTATCGATCCATCGCGTCTTTCACAGTGCTACGAGCTCTGTTGACAATTTTTGATATTTGACGTAATGATTGGCATTGATTATGCAACCGCAGAATTAGTTCACGTTCAATTTTATTTGTCTCGCATTTTTTTCGACCCATTTTGTGACGGACGATATTCCAATAATATTTCGAAGCTAACTGAATCGATATAATCTTGTAACGTGGTCGGGGACAAACACTTTTAATGTGACATTTTGTATATCTTATCGTTTTCTAATAACATTATTGTGAGTAAACAGGTGATTCCGTAACTGAAATAGAAGTGTACGAACATTTATTGTTCCTATTTTGTATGTATTGTTTTGTTTGTTATTGAATATTGTTGTTAATATAACATTTGTCGTGGGGGATTTTTTTTTTTTTTTAATATAATTAAAAATCGTCAATGAATAACATGCATAATATTAATTTATCGATAAAAATAGAATATCACGAAGAAAAATGTATATTTATTTAAAAAAAAAAGTAGGGTGTACGAAAAATACTTTTTACACTCACTGTATATATATTTAGGATCGAAAAAAAAAAAATCGATTTTCACGAAAATTTTCCAAAATTTTTTTGCGGAGGTCAAGTAATTGCGCGAGGAACAGCCGTGATGGTTGCCCCGTGTTGCTACTGAGTTTAACTCTTTTACGGAAACACGGGGTCGATAGTAGGGTGGTGGTTAGGCATTCCTCCACCCTAGACGTTTATTAATTAAGTATGTTATGATATCCGGTATTTATTTTACGTGATGCGGCATACATAGATTACAACGAGGAAGGCATAGGTACCGGCAATGCTCACGGGATCAGGGCGGCCGTTGACGGTACCGTTCAACGCCGCTATGTACAGAACGACGCTGCGCATCCGTCGCGGGCCGACTTTCCTGTCCGTGAGACATTTGCGACAACCGGCCCTAAGGGCCACTGCGACCCGCGTAATCTACGGTAGATAGGTGTTGTTATTTCATCTATTGCGAATATTCATCGATCACGTAGGGACCCAGTTGTGCAGCTGGGTTTTTGCTCACCATACGGTGAATTGGACGGCTGGACCACGCAGGACCTCACATTTAACGCACGGCAAGCGGACGGTATATATACTTGATATCGGCAACGAAGTGAACACAAGCGAGTATTACGACGAGCGTTTCTGTTTTTAACTCGTGGTCGCAACGCCGTAAACCTGTACAGGGGTGAACGACGAAATAAGGGTAGGATTTCGTGGCCACCGCCAGATCGCATTGCGAGACGCGTGGTCAATTCGCATGCGGGGCCATACCCGACCGTCTTTACGTATACATACATACATACATACATACATATATATATATGTACAGTACACACTGATAATACTCACGAGAACGCGTAAACAAATACGAATACACAAAATGCGATTTCGATTTGCCGCTCGGTGTCTACAAAATTGAATAACTAAAAAACGAAACGCGCGTCATTTCTTTCCAGCGACGTATTCGTGCGGGCGGGTGTTACGGGAAACGGATCCCCTCTCTCGCTCCATTTCACCCTCCCCCCACCCCCTCTAGACCGCGTACGAACTGCAGTTACTGCAGTTGCTGTTACTTGCCGTCGTTTTGTTATTCCGCGGGGCCGCGTGCGACGTCACGCGGTACAAATCAATTGCAACACGCGTCCGGGCGATAAGTCGGGTAAAACCCGCCAGCACTACAGAGCGAAAACAGCTCACTGCTACCCGCCGATACGCAAAATACGCAGCGCGCGAAACTGCCCGCGACGTCGTTGAGGAATTCGTCGATTTTCAAATAAATAACATTATGAAATTATTTCTAATCGTTTCCGTCGTTACGAAAACGCCGTGCGTGGAGTCACTGCAGTTGAAGAGCTGCGGCGGTACCGAGTAAATTCAATTATTTCATATCGTCCCCGCTCCAGGAAAGTCCTACACGCGCCACCGATTTTCCCCCGTCGATTCGAATCACACGGGGGATAAGATGATATTATCGTAGACGGTGTCCAAATCGCTTGCCTTTCTCCTCCGTGTAGCTCCACTGTCCCGGCCGTCGTCGTTCCGCCAACATTGCCCGCACCCGAATCACACCGAACACGATCGCCGTTCGTCGTGCGGTATTCGCGTTTCGACCTTAGATCGTACGCAACGGACGGAGCCACAGCTGAACGTTTTTTCACGTACACGTACGGCCGTGTGCAGCCCTCAGTGGGCATACGCGCCAGCGACCAGTCGCGTATTTATACCCCATATGCCCGGGTAGTTAATATGACGACGTTATCAACGGTCGTAAAACGACGATTTCTCGAGTCGAGTCGGCAATCAACCGAGATCTGTATAAAGCGCTTATCATTTCAGATAAACACGCGACTAGCCACCTGGTGGCTCGTCGCAAACGTTGTCGGGATAATCTGTGGGCTCTGTCCGTTGTACGCGATCCAAGACTTCGACGCAAACTGTGACGAAACGTAGGCACAATACGTTGTCTAGGCGTTTCCGCGTCCGTACAAAACGGGAAACTAGACGGACGGGAAACGGGGCAAAGACAACAGTGCATTATTAACAAACCCCGCCATTGTTCCGAGACGGCTTTTAGATTTCGCGCGTGACGAGGAATGTACTGGTTTTACTACGCGACGCGCGTGTTCTTTTATTTAATTTGATTTTTCCGCCGGAAATCTCGCCCCGATTATCGTGCGTAGCGTTTTTATAAAAAAAGAACATTTTGTTTGCTCGGGGCAGGTCACGTGGGAAAAAGTCTAGGGATACAGGGAGAACTTACACAATGTCACAGCGCACTGCTGTTTTCGATTTCGTTTCGGTGTTGTTAATCGGTTAAACGCAATCGATTGTGTGCTATACGAATCTCGGCATTTCTCGCAACCCGTTTATCGGACTTTCGTCAGAATCGTTTTTCATTAAGAGAGATTTATTGAATCAATGTCTAATCTTGCCGGTGGCCCGCTGACGACAGCGACACTTCCATCATCAGCACGCGCATCAACTCTTCTTTTCCCGCAACGGAAATTGTACGACAAATGGTTTAATTTCAAAACACGGACGAATTAATAATAATAATTTTTTACAAATCACCGTGTTCGAAAATCTAGCCCGGTACAAGTTCCGCCATTGTTCGGCGTTGTTCCCGAAACCCATTAATTCGACGCTTTTTTTTTTTTTTTTTTTTTAAACCCTCGGTACGGACTTCGGAGAATTACCGACGTACCGCATCTGATACAATTATAAAACGCACGTGTCAAATACACTCCAAATGATCGAATATTATATTATATTTAATGGCAAAATGACATTTGAAATTTTATTCCAATACAACGGTAATAATTTATGTTAAACAGGAATAACGCCAATCATTGTTTCCCAACAAACTATGCGAATTTTTTTTTTTTTTTCCTGTCTTTTCGACACCGGAACTACGAAACGATATAAATGTCTAACGGGGATTTTCGCGGGACTACGTGAAAAGCGGGACACGGGTTCAGATGTCTCGACGGCCGTACTTAACGCGGTAATACTACGCGTACGAGTTTACACCAGCCGGCCGCCCGCGTGGTATTTCACCGGGTCACGGGAAAAATGGGGAAAACGCGTATTTCGCGGCGTCCAACGCGAACGCGAAACAAGCGGTAGAACACTTGGGACGGCCGCCACCGGTCGACCGTTCGGCGGCATCGTTTTCGCCGTCGTCCCCGGCGGCCGCAGTTTCCGCGTACACGTAACACGAAGGCGTCGCGCTCACGGTGGTCACCGCGTACCGGCCAGTGACGTCCATCGCTTCGCCGGACACCACGCGCACCTCGCTTCCGTCGCCGCCACCGCCGGCTCCCAAGTTCCGCACGGCCACGGCTCCTTCGATCACGGCCAACGTGGCCGTCCGCACTGCTGTCACGTTCTTGTCCGTCGGCAAGTCGTCGTGCGTTAGCGTCATACCTGCAAAGAACGCGGCGACCAGATTGATTTACGCGGCTGATTATGACATTATTATGCGCGCGAAACTATTTTCTTAAAAGAAATGAACACGTTTTTTTTTTTTTTTTTTATAAAGAGCTGATATCGGGGACGGGTGCAGCCAACGCCGTTGGTGGGATATTTAAATTTCGGGAATATGTATGGCACATAAAGTTATTTAATTTAAATTTGTACTAATTGCTAACGTAAAACGATTCGGAGCGCAATTCGGTAAGACAAATTTTGAAATGGCCGTTATCTGATCTTAAAACGCCAATCAAAAAAACACTAAAGCATTCAACTCAAATTTACTTTTTAGACCATTAACTAAGACTTGTAATAAACCACGTGTTCACTTTTCAAGCATTTTTGTTCAGCCGAACCGTGTTATCTACGTATATATATATACCAAATAGAAACGGAAATAACACACAATTCATTATGTTTTACCATCAAAAAAAAAAAGTTATAACACGGTATAAGTTGACTTGCATCGTTTTCAATTTTCAAATATTTTGGATTGGTCAAAAAATTATGTTCACATTAAACTGACAAATAATACGAGGAATACAATTTGTCTAATAGTCGCTGTTTTATCATTAAACGGTTTTAAAGAAAACGCTAATACATTATAATTCAAATTTATCTTTCGACTACTTGATACAACTTAAAATTAATTTTGTGTACAATTTTTAAGCATTTCTGTTCTGACATCAGGCATGCCATTTTAATCACAGATTCCCACCGAACAAAAATACAAATAAAAACACGAAAATACAAAATGCCTAGAATATTTTTAAAAGTTGAGAACTGAGAATTCGGGAAAGCGAGATGTAGAGGGGAATTTAATTTAAATTTGTACGCAACAATTAATAATTGTTAACGAAACACGATTCAGAGCGGAGCTCGGTTAATAGTAGGTAATGGCGTATTACGAAAAATGTTTTTTAGTTTTTCGGTTTTTCCAAAAGTTAACGCAGAGACTGTATGAAAAATGAAACCGTGTATGGGATTTAGACGCGGTGTTAACGAACGAAAACAAAAAAAAATTACAAACATTATTTTAGATAGGAAGATATCGATCCTCGGACCGCAGTTTCTACGACCCGCGCAATTAGCCACGTTCAAACGCGAGAAATGTTGGAAAAACAAATAGGTGTTTAAGGCAATAGCATCATAACGACAAACTTGAAATTTCCAATTTATCGAACCGTACCAGTGTTCCTCCGATATTAGATCTGGCGCTAGTGATGTGGCGTAGGCTGGGCAGGTAAATCCCAAAATTCAAACTTTCCACCTACAGCGGTGGCTGCACCCGTCCTCAGTATCAGCTCTTTTTTTAAAAAAAAAAAATGTGTTCATTTCTTTTAAGAAAATAAGTCCGTCGGGCCAAGTATAGTGGCGAATAAGTGCGTCCGCGAAGAGTCTTGCGGCGAAAAGGCTAGCGGCGACTCGGTTGTGGCGAATCGGTCCGTCGACGTAAAGGTAAAATATACAGCGCGCGTGCGTACGACGGTTTTACGGAAAAACGTATCTTTTTATCGTCAGTGCCGAATTAAAAGCGATGAGAAAGTCGTGGGTATAACGATTGTACGATAACTACCAGACGACCCATTTAAATGGATACACTTGTTACCCCGGAAAATATTAACTCTTTCCGGAAATCGTTTTCCGGAACATTTGAGAAACAAGCTGGTCTACAATTTTTATATTTATGTTTTTTTTTTTTTTTTTTTCGGTCACCTTTCTTTTCGGGGTAAAATTACTACCTATTTTTGATTTTCAAATGGCAACCTACATTTGAAAGTCCACAAGTAGACGGAGCATTAGTTACACAAAATTTTATTGTTGACGTTTTTTGATTTCCGTCGATCCGTTGACGAGGCATTCCATTATTAATTTCCTCCGACCAGTTTTGACATGTGCATGTGAAACGCCGTTCGGCTACAATGGTAGATGACAAAAAACGTTGATATTTGAAACGAAGTTCGTAGGTCAAGTGACCGAATCGTGAATGATATCAGCGACATTGAACGGAAGATGCCCATTTTAAGGCAGAAAACGGTATACGAGACAGCGAACTGTATCGGTGCACAGTATTTTCGAGTACCTACAGTATTTATAGCGCAATAACAATACGGTATAACGGCGGGTCTTTTAAAGGCCATTTGAAAATGAAGACAGACACGGCTAATGGCGCCGAAACCTGTGTTTCGGTCAGACTTCTTTTAAAAATTAAGAATCGTGTTGATTTATTTTGGAGCAAATTTTGGTTGCCAAATCGAATAAATATTTCATCACAGAAATGAAAATCTACGCTAACTATATTTTTAGGACTTCGGTGCCACCGGACACGACACTTTCCCGGTGTTTGGGCATACTATCGTTTCCGCCAGAAAGGTTCGATTTTTGTTTTATGGGCGTTTTCGCGAAAAACCTTCTTACGCGTACATGCGATATCGGTTCGTTCGTTTTCACATTAGACTATTTGGACGATTTAGAGGCGGGGCACATTATCTACACTCGTTTCACTAGCAGCCGGCAGGTATATAATAATTAGGATTCGGATTTGAAGGCAAAAGGCCTTTTTTTTTTTTTTGACAATAATAGAAAAATAATTACATACAAATGTGTTTCGTTTAATATCAGTGATGGTGGATGTATTCTTTTTTTACCCTTTTATTTATAAATTCATTTTTGTTTATAAATGCCTTATCTATGTTTAATTTTCAATTGACCTGATAGGTTTTTTCAACGACACACGTGAGAGGCGGTGGCTAAATTGATTTCGGATAAATTCAACAAAATAATGTCGAAGAACAAAGAATGGGAAAACATGAAGAAAAAAAAATCAACAGAGTATTAATTGGAGAAACAGCAAACGACGACGATTTAATGAGTAGTAGATAATTATTTATGTATTAAATACGCTCCAATAACTTCGGTGGACGTAAAAAGATTATTTTCTACGTACAAAAATATGTTGAGCCCGAACCGTCAACGTTTTACCCGGAGACAGCTTATCTAAGTACATGGCAGTGATTTTTTTTTTTTTTTTTAATACAAACTAGTTAAAGCAACTGAAATCTATTTAATTTTGTAATTGCTTTTTATATCAATTAAATGCAATTTTCGCCTTTTTAGATTGCCCTCAAATCCTCGTTTTAATAATAATATAAGAATCCTGATCTTGGGCGGGGTCAGAATAACAGTCGTATAATGCATTTACGTGTTATTAGGCAATAATATTAGTTACACGTGGTTTTAGGTGGACACTACACGATGTTTGTATGCCGTTTAACGTATTGTTTGGAATATTGCAATGTTCGAGTATACAGACTAGTATCTGATTACACGCGATCACGATAATATTAAAAAAAAAAAAACAATTTTGGCATTCGCAATCGCCCAAAAGTTAAAACTCATCGCATACACGATTATGGCTCCCAGATGGCCATGCAAATGTGTTTCCCAATAATATAAACACTAAACAGGCACGAGCCGATCTCGATTATCAGGGACATTTCATCAACTATTTTTCGGGGGAGACGTGTGTGACGGTGTCACTTTACCTTCATCCCCGCCGATGACCTTCGAAACCTACGTAAGACCGCGTCCCTAAACAATTATTCCGTAGCCTCTTGAAAACGTATTGCAAAACTTCGTAGAATTGTAAAAGACGATTCAAGACGATTTAAATTCTTTCCAACGATAAATTTGCCTGTTTTTATTTTCGTTGTTCGTAATTGACGATTCGTATTTATGATAATTGGTTGTTTTTTTTTTTTTTCTTCTCGTGACGGATCGCGTTAAATCACGATTGTTGTAACGGTTTACCCCGTCCGTGCACCGCCTACCCGCTCGTCTCGACGTATTATTCAGAGGCCGCGGCCCCTCGAGTGCCCCCTTACGTCGCGTCCGCGTTATCGCCGCAACGGTTTCGGATTAATTTGCGAACGGTCCGCCGCACATCCGACCGCGCTCGGCGTACGGTATCGGCAATCGCTGTACAATACGCCGTAACGTAATCCGACCGCGCGTATGGCTATGTCATTAATTGGGATTATTGGGTCCCGGTCGGGTTCGGTCGGGGACGTTTCGGGCCGCGTCGTAGGCGCGAGCGTATCGAAATGTTGTGGGTCGCGCGCAGACGAGGAACACCGACGAGACGCCGGTATTTCATCGTTATTAGCTCCCCCTAGGCTACAGAATCGATCCCCGCGTATTAATTGTTACAGTACCCGTAACGCGTAGCACTATTTACGATTGTGCAATTTGTATTCACGTTGAAAATATAGCGATACGCCGGCAATAATAATAATAATAATAATAATAATAATAATAATCGATTGTGTGGGTATGTGCAACGGTTTTGCGGAAAAACGATAACGGCGATTGCGATTTTGTCGAGAAATTATTATTGTCTGTACGTTAATAAAAAAAAAAAAAAAATATTTTCGTCTAATCGTCGAATCGATTAAAACGATGATAATTATTAAACGATAAACGCGATGAATGTATTGCGAGAGTTATGAATAAAGTCCTCGGGATTCGTGCCACGGGATTGTTATGCGTGTGCATTGTGATATAAATACAAGTGTACAGAGCGTTTAGTTTGAGTGTGTGGAGCGTGTTCAGTTTTCGCTATTTTTATTTTGTTTTTGTTTTTTTTTGCATTGTCTGATCCATAACGTCATTTTGGTTTGTACCTTATTTATTTCGCATTCTTGCAGTGCACTCGCTCGGTTCGCGTACTTTACGTTAAATGCTTACAAGCAAAAGCAAAAGACGGAAAATTGCGGCGTTTTTTTTTCCAATCGATTTTCATGACTACGTTATCGGCGATTTTTAAGTTTTGAAATAAAATAATAATAATACAATTTAAACTCGACGACGATTGCTTTGTAAGCATGCAAATCTAAAACACCAATTATAAATGGAGGTCAATATTCGAGCGAAAATTGTACGAGAACATTTTTCCGAGCGTAAAGAAAGACGTTTTTCGATTTTACAAAGATATGTTTTTTTTTCCCCGGGAATTACTTATGATTAAACAAAAACATAAAGCTTAGTTCAACATGAACTTAATCAAACATAAAATTGTTTAGAATTTTTCATGTCATAACTTTAAGAACAGGGAAATTCCGCTCACCGGTACCTTATTTGAAACATTAATCAATATTTATCACAATTCAACTCTAAAAAAAAAAAAAAAAAATGATTAATAATATTTCTGAACATGGTTTTTTCGTTCGAAATGATTTATATTCGTTGTGTACACTAAATTATAACCTCGTACGTCCTATCTTCTCAACTACTCATCTACAACAGTGAACCGAACTGTGAACAGTAGGCATAATCCACTTTTTATTTATTTTTTAACAAATAACTCGGTACTTTCCTCGTTAACGGGCAAATTTGATAAGTTTCCCCCCTGTTTACCGAATGTCGCGACGACGTCATCGTGGACACGTCGGTTTTCTGCTAGTCGCATGGAAAATCGAGAATTTATGGACGATTCGTCGCGACTTGTACATTTATTTTATTTTTTACACGACAGTCTGTTTAACTATATCGCCCAGTGCCCCGCACTACGCATATCGCAATTTTTATAACGTTGTTATCGTCATTATATCGTCATATTCGGTAATCACAGTTGTCAATGCCAATACCCGGTAGGAGATTATCTCGCGCTCGTCGCATAATTTTTATCAATCGGTCAGCCCGGGATTCTGAACAACGCAATATTCTCGTTTATAGTAATTACGATTTTTTCCCCTCCCGCCGTACCGAGTCGTGTGTAGACGTATGATATCGTATCGATGTGAAAAAAAAAATAATGATATAGAAATTTAATCGAATAACTGCAGGCCGACGCCGTTTTTATTGGCGCCTCCGATGACGTTTGCTGTTTGTTCGTCCGAAAGACTAGTTTGAAAAAAAAAAAAAATAACGAAACGTGCGAATTTCGAGAACACGTTATAAACGTAGTCGACGCTGGGCAGTAATTATTTAGGTAGTTGAGTCACGAGTTATTATTATTTTTTTTTTTTTGATAACTTTTAACTTTGTCAGCATAACACAACAGAACGCTAGGAAATAGCCAAACTATTTATTTTTCAAACTGAACTCAGCTATTTTGTTAAAATTCGATGAAACGTGTTTCAAGTATTTCCAAAAAAGTTTACGTAGGGATAAATATGGTTTAAAAACTTAATATAAACAAACAACAGTTATAAATTATAATTGTTACAGATATGAACTTCTCAAGTTTGTTAATGAGTACTTAAGGACAGTGAGAATAACATGTAATGCCTATTCAGTGGTCGGAGTGGGGGTGGGGAAACGAGGGGATGACATCCCACTACTTATTATAATCTGCATTTTTCATCCTTTCACTTATTTTGTCCGAAATAATACATCCCCCTTATAATTATATACAAAGATTATCGATTTATATTGGTATTTTTTATACCAATATACTGTATAAACAGTTTAGTTTTTTTATTTGTTTTTGTACCTACTTCAGTACTGTATAATCACATAATGCATGCTGTTAGAACCTATTGGTAAACTGTACGAGCATAAATTATATATTTATGGAAATATGTTTTACGTTTTAAATAAAAATATAATTATATGCACATACAAATTTAAATACATCAACAAATAAAACACCAAACTGAAACACAAAAATGTATACTATGTAAAAAATTGTATTATAAAAATGAGCACTATAGGGCTTAACTCATCTCCACCTCCAATCACCCCTAAGTGTATAAGTCATAATGCTAGAGTAGTGTATAAAAGTTCAGGCATCCTTATTCCACTTATTTTGAGCCACTTCGACCACTGTGCCTATTACTTAAACATATTTTCATGGCCAGAAAAATACTTCAAAACTAATGTTTATTAGTTAACTAACTATTATTCATATAGCAATCGCATTGTATTCGTAACGTACGATCAGAGTTGATAATTAGTGATGGATTTATTAAATCCGAATTTCACGGATTATCCAGATAATTCGGATGACCCGACTTATTTTGTAAGTTATCGTTATTATTTAACCCTAAACTTCTTTGTTGTATTGTAGCATAAATATAGATCATATTAGTACATTAGATACACGCAGTGAATTCATTTTACAACAGGCAATTTCAAACAAAACAAATCCGGATATTCCGGATAAGAATTTGATTTAAACCCGGATAGTCGAATAATTCGGATATTTGGATTTCATGTCCATCTCTATGACTAATGGTCCATTTGGTGAGTGGGGGTCTTTAGTACTCCCGAAAAAACACCCGATGAGCTTTTTTTATAGTATCGATTAAATATTTATCCATGTACTTCATAGTAATTAGTAAACAGAACGAAATACATATTACCTACAGGCAATACACGTGTGTATAAAAAATAAGTTTAAAAGTCACGATAAATTTTTATAAACGAAATTACAAACGCGATGTGTAGTTGTTTATTACAAGTGTCGTGTAAAGGGGATTGTGGGAACGTTGTCACCATGGGTCTGTTGTGTGTGTTTACAATATTAGTACCCCAAAGTCGGTGGTCTAGTTGTGCCTGTGTATCGTATTACGATAAATAACATGACAATGTCATGTTAATATATGGATTGCTAACTGTTCTTTAGGATGCTTATCGATGGAGTGATAACACTGTCTCACGTTTCTTAGCCAAATTTGTTTTAGAACGCCTCATTTCCGGTCCCGATCGCCTTATCCTTCCACTATTACAACACCGCACTGCTAACCACTCACTTAACCGACCGATGTTTAGGACGACGCGCATTGCCAACGAAGACCCGCCATTTTTTTTTTTTCAGTTAAAACTGCAGTATAATTAATTTACTTGTGTAATTATGTACTGAACTGTGTAACCTAATTTGTAAACGTTTCTTTAAGTGTTTGGGCCACGGCCAGTTTTGCAAATACGATAAAACTGTAAAAATTGTATTGTATTATGTTTACCTTGGAAATCGGCGAAAAACAACAGGCGGTGGTCGTCCGTTCGGTTTTTCGCGTCCACTATCCAAGGCCGCCACCGGTCCAAATGCCGTATGGCCGGCATCAGCCACGGCACGGGCGACCACGGGGACCAGGGCGCGTGTAACAGGTCCACGTTCGGATCGACCAGCCGTTGGTGGAACCGGCCGTTGAGCGACCCCCAGACGTCCATCAGCACGGACATGTTGTCCCGTCTGTCCGGCATGTTGGCGGCCACGCACCGGGCGAACTGCCTCATCATGTCGCCGTGCAGCACCCACTTGCTGTTGTCCGTCCAGCTCTGTGGCCGGGACAATCCGAGTAATTATTGTCATGTATTCGCATAGGTACAGTTATATGGGCTGATTTTTTTTTTTTTTGTTTTTTTTATAACGAACCAGCAATTATCTCCGCAGAGGATTTTAAACGAATAAACGAATTCGATGTCTGTTATTTTTCTTATTTCAACCATTATGGAATCGGTCGTGGAAACAAAATATTATAATATTAATTATACTCATTTAAGGTGTATGGAGTAGGGTTAAAAAATTAAAAATGGTTTTAAAATAAACCTTAACCGATTTCACATTAAAAAAAAAAATCAAATTCTCTTAAAATCCTCAGAGAAAATTACTGGTTCGTGGTAAAAAAAAAACACCCTTTATATTCCGTCCGGAGCGAGGAGGAATGTATAGGTTTTACAATTATTATGGGTTTTATTTGTATTGTTTTGTGTTCGTGAGCGACTTTTATACTGTAAATCTTGTTCCGATCAAAAACCGTAGAGTTTTTTTGCATAGAATTTTAGATCTAATCAGTGTGTTCAGGAAGCCATTTTTTTAAATACCGAGTAGTTTTCGTAATGATTGGGAAAAATTGGGGAATACGTAGGAAAATCTACGGCGTTAACGCTCATTATTATGGTTTTTAAAAAAAAATTTTATTGTAATTATTTTAAAGATAAACATATGGTAAAGCTCTGAAATTTTCACAGAATATCAGCGCCTATTATGCGTGGTAAAAATATGTTCAAAACATTCTGGAGATTTTTAATTTGTTTTCAAAGCTTTCGTTTTTTTTTTTTTTAGATTTTACTCGCAGGATAAAATTGTTCGACCCAACAGATATTTTTAAAAATTTAACACGAGTTTCATTACATGATTTATTCAGTGATCAAATCAAAAAAAGATTGAACGTAATGCGGTAGTTTTTTTATTTTTTTTTTACGACTACAGTTGAGGATCGGTACCATTATAGGGCATAGCATTTTAGATTATAATATTTAAAATTAAAAAAAAAAATTTTATTCGTGTCTAACATTTGGAGTGCCCTACGTATTTTGCGTTGATTTTCGTCATGCGTATTGTTACCGTCATGTATAAAACGTAAAATCACGCCATTCATAATATTATATTATGCACAGTAGTGCGTGCGGACGATAACAATATTATTTCTCTACACAACGAAAACAATGCTGCGTCGTCGGCCCGTTTTGCAGGCACTTGATCCGAATGTGTTCGTCCGAAAATGTCCCCGGTTTTTCGTTACGTGCAGCGTGATAAAATGCGGACAAATGCGGTGTCCAACAGTATGCGTTTTCGGTCCCCGCAACAACGCCATCGATTCTAGCTGAACTCGAAAACGAGTTGGTTGTTGTTTTTTTTTTTTTTTTGTTCGTAACGACATGTCGGCTTATCTCGGGAAGAAATTCATTCGATTAAACGTTATTAAATTGAATTGCATCGATCTATGCACGATCACAATCTATACGTTTTTGCATTGAATTTGTGCAGTTAAACTGTTGAGAAAATAAAAACAAAGAGGTAGGTATACCATAGTGTTAAATAACAGAAACCAGTCGTTTCGATAACATTGTTCGTTCGCGTTCGACTTTGATCGAATGTCAGGTAGAAACCCGAGACGTTTTAACGTGCGAACAATTGTTGGACGTTATTGAAAAAATAAAAATAAAAAAGTAAAATACAAACCGGGATACATGTAACCCATCCCATCCCACTGTACCAAAACTGTTCGGTTAACGAACACATATTGTAAAATATGTTTAATATTTATATTAAGCGCAGCGACGCATGGCGCGTCAAACGAAACGAAAATACTTTAGTATGTAATTTTTGATGTCAAACTTCTGCTTTCAAGATTAATATGTTTTTCCACAAAACCACTGTTTTTGTTATAATTAAATCACATACATGATTTAAACACCTTTTTGGGATACAACGATACGTATTTGGAAAAAAAAAAAAAAACATGTTTACTTACGACAATTTCTGCAGTGTAACCTAATTTTTACACGGTTGAAATCGTTTTTCTACGTTTAAAAAAATGTCACGAAACGTCTATTTACTAGTATAGTAAACGAAAGTGAAAATCCGTTTGAGAATTTACGTACAGATACAGATAAACGGGACCCGTATGCACCTCGAAGCCGGATTTCCGAAATTCAATTTATTACATCGCGGGGTTTTTGGTATTTTTGAAACTTATTATTATTGTTTTGATTTATGGATTAACTTGGCGACACGGACGAAATAACAGTTATTATTAGTCCATTTAAATGTCACGGACGAGGAAATGCCGTTTAGAAAAAAAAAAAAAAAATCAACTATTGGACAGCGGTCAACAGTGATCGCGGGGACGGGTGTACAAACGGAGAATCGCGGGAAGACACGTTTCCATTCTGTGACATTTCGAATAAAACGGAATTAACGGCGTAGGCAACACACCTAAACAATTTTAATAATAATTTTGCGACATCATACACTGTTCTTGTTACACAGAAAGCTTAAAAAATAAGACATTAGCGTACTTAATGGTAAACACATTATGTTTTATATTACATGTGTGCGAATAAAATTGTTTTCAGAAATTGAACTGATCACAATTCCCTATTGGCTGGCGCGCGGTTATCCGGTCACTGTTATTATAACAATATTAATACTAAATTATCATACTATAGAATAATCGTATCGTATTACTTCGGGGTCCACGAAGAACTTTTCACGGCGCTTGTGGTCCACCACCTTCACTTGTATCTTTGCCAAATCGACGTTGTATAGCATCATGTCCCAAGAGTATCCGTACAAACCGTCTCGAAAACCGTTATAACCCTGCGGGACAAAAACCGATAGATGAAAACAATTGAAAAAAAAAAAAAAAAAAAAAAAAATTGTATTATTTCGTATAAGTATAAACAGTGTATTTGTACAGATTACAGCAGTTCGATTCAAACCGTATACAGCGTTCCGCTGGAATTATTATCGAATTTGGGATTCTGAGGGTAACGCAGGTTAAGATAGGTTGGGTCAGGCCAGGTCTTAAGCCTATCTCGCCGTGGTCGATAATGGTAAGGAAGGAAGAGACCGAGAGAGCGAAGCAAGCCGCAGAGCAGGTGGCTAGGCGCGGGCGTCGACGCCCGCCTAGGTTTTGCTTCGCCCTCTGAAAGGCGGCTCCATTAAGGCCGAGTCGAGGGAAGACATGTTAACGCTGTGCCCCCTCCTCTAAGTAGATATTATGGCCTGGACACGCAGAGCCGTAGCAAGCTTTTCTGGCGCCCGATGTAAATTCGAATTTATACCACCAGCGACCCCTCCCACAAAATAAATCCTTAGTTAGATACTGTTTTAAACATTGTCAACTTGTTTATTGAATTTTTAGATAAGCATTAAGCATGAATTTATTTGTTTTAAGATTTATTGCACACTGAATGAAAAAACTAAGGAGTATTATGCAAAACACATTGATAAATACAAAAATGTTATAAGTAATTTTACAAGTATTTTGAATACCCAAATTCGATAGTATCCGCCGGCCGATATCGTTGATCACAATTATTTCTCTGTAAGTTTGAGTTTACTAATGTGTTCAAACGCGGCTACAGTCAAAGAGTTAATACATAGTAAATACGATATCTACGGTTGAATTTTGTATTTTAAAGAAATTTGTTTAGGCTCAGCACCACCATTGTGATGGCGCCTCAGCGTTTGAGGCGAATGTTTCAGTGGGTGGAACCCGATTGAACACGATTGACCTTTTTCAAAACCCAATTGAGCACGGTTACAATTAAACAACAGAAACCCAAAAAAAAAACAACGCGATTGAGCACGAAAATAGGTTTCAATTAAGTAGAATATTATTATTAAAATATAAAATACATTTGAACGTAAATATTTATTAATAAAAATCTTTTGTTGGTTTTTAATCACATAATGTTACATATTAAAACAGCGTTCAATATATATATTACAATTAAAATGTGTTCCTCTTAATACCGAATATGTATAAAAAAAATATTTCAATATAATCATTTTTTTGTACATCACCATTTCAACAATTCACATTTTTTTCTCGACCCAATAAACCTGTACTTGAAGGCTCCAACATTTGCCAACTCTTCGCCTCTCCCGGATAAAATAATTTGTATTTCATTAATTTCCATCCATAAAAATCGTAAAGTTTACAAAATACACACTATTTTTGAAGGAACACGAGCGCGAGACAACGGAACAGACTGACCGTGACCAAGTGTTATTTACAGCGTGGGTGGATACAATAACAGTTAATCGCAATTTAGCGCAATCGCTGTAGATAAAATTCTGGTTTCCTATCTATCCCAGTTATTTTCAATTTCCGTGGGTACCCATCGATCGACAGCAAAATCGTTTTTGACTAATATGTCAGTTGCCAATTAGTGATCTACGCGACATCCGTACCGGTGAAAATCTGACAACGTCGTACACAATATTTATTTATTTTATCGTGCTCAGTCGGGTCGTCGAAAATGTCGGCCAATGACGACCGTGCTCAATCGGGCATCGCCGGTTTCAGTCGTCTCGCTCTGGCTACAGTTCCGTGGACACGGGACACGGTGCACGGTCGGAAATCGTTGCCGCGGCCCGTTCTGTCCGCACGCGTCGGCGCCTAAAGAAAGATTTACTCCGAGAACTCAAAATCAAGCCGGAACAGCCGGGCGTCGGCTATCCCGTGAGAAGTAGCTGCGATTTGTCCGGCGGTAACCGTTCAACACACTGATTTCCGATACATTTAATATGGGGCGGGGGTTAGGCGGTCAGGTGCGACAGGCAATATGGTCGCTGCATTTTGTCACGTTCTCCGCCAGAGCGTGCGATGTCACGCGGACCGGGCGAACGGCAACGATTCCCAAACGGCGTTGGTGTTCGGCGGGTCATATTGTACATTGGATACGAGGCTCACCCGAGTCACGAAATGCGAGTACGGCATGAACAGCTGCAGGACGGCGTACGCGCACACGCACGCGGCTACCGCGTTCCGCTTGGCCGCTGTTGTTGGCGATTTGCGGACGGCCGCGGCGTCCGAGGATCGTCCGGATTGGCCGGTCCCGGTGACGGCTGTGGCGCCCAAAGCTCTGGCCACGGCCGCGGGTTCGCAGAAAACCGGCAACATGGCCGCGCACACGTACGGAAACATACCTGTATACCGGAAAGCACGCGCGCGGTTTTGCAATGTTATCGTAATTATTATTATTGTTATTGTTTTGCCGCAATACAGTGGCGTCATTTGAAATCCGACGCCGGAGTGATTCGGGCGCCGGCGTTACGAAAAACTGTTCGGCCCGAATAACGGAAAGCGGCTTTGTCCGCCGTATTCCGTTTTGTACAGGTTAACATTTCGTTTTTTTTTGTTTTTGTTTTATTAAAACGCGTTGGAAAGTATGCGGATGATTTTTATTTTTGTCGCGTTGAAAATTCTAGACGGCCCGGGTTTTCGACCGGCGTAATCACACGCGTGTTCAAAAAAAAAAAAACAAAAAACTATTGAAATGATACCGCCGCGTAGTGCAACAACGCGTTTTCGCTACTTCAGCCGCTTTAGCAGTGCTTTAGCTTTGACCCGTACCGGGGCCTTGTCCGTGACATAGAAAACGTCCGTGGATCACGGATATCCCGCGACCTCCGGCCGCCTCTATACCGCTATGCCGACCCACTCCTCCCCATCCCCCACATTCCTCTACCGCGGTCCCTCGTCCCAACCGCCGCGTAATCCCGCTGCAGCGTTCGCGCCATCGATAATATCGCGTTTACCTTATCAACGAACACCGTTACTTTAATCTATTTTGAAAAGAGGGACACACTACACGCTACCGGCGCCGACCGAATCGAATAATAATAACGGTTGGGTTTTTTTTTGTTTTTCGCTCGTGTCTCTCCGAGGCGACCCACAAGATAACGCCCGAGTATTGTCTTGCCCCGACGAACAAACATCCACATTTTGCAAATTGAACAACAATATGATATTCGAATTATTTATACCCGGTAGCGACTCATCTAAGATAAAGCTTGAGTACAGCGACGAAGCAGTTGTAGCCGTGTAAATGTGCAATTTTTCTCAGGAACAATTTTCTTGGTTAGTAAAAACGCTTAGATTTGTTCGTGCGACCTTTCAAAGTACACGAAATTTCCGGCCGGCGGTATTGTATTTGAAACGTAATGTATCGACATTTCCAGAAATTTACCCTTGTGGCCTACTTTTTTTTTTTTAGTATTTTTGATTTTTATCGAAAACGCGAATCATACCGCTCCGTTCAGAATCGTTTGAAAATTTGCTGCAATGATTTATTGTGGCGTACGGAAAATCCTATTTTTCCAACTATCCACATACAACAATGGCCTACCCGTGGTGCGAAGTATGTCGGGTCTGTTTGACTGTGCGCGTATTATAATATCATTACTAGGTATGTTAAAGAAAATACATTTTAATACATTTTTTTTTTTTTTTATCGACAATGACGTTATCTGTAACGATAATTCACGAATTTTCATTCATGTAATAATATTGTATCGTGTTCATTAGGTCTTATAAAGGCCGAGTGAAATTGTACACGTCTATTCGTACGGAATCGGCGGTTTCCGTTACCAACTGCCGAATAACTCGACCAGCTCGTAGCTTGTGAACGCGTTAATGACGCGTTTTATAGTTTAATAATATCACGCGGAACGTGACCGATTTCGCTTCATTCATTTGACGTTCATTGAATTGGACGTCCGAGAAACCAATTAATTTTATCATTGATAAAAATCCGATAGCCAAATTATCATAAACCGCGGTATCAAGAGCGAATATATTGTAATATTATTATTATAAACAATACGTCTATGGGAATTGATAAGGATTGAGTCCGACAAGTGACGTGAACATTATATTTACGTAATAATATAACAGCAGTGTTATCATTTTAATAACATTTAAATGTTATTACAGCCCGTTTGCAATAATTATACTGTTTCGTGATGGTATTTGTCGTAGCATTATTATCGATCATGACGCACATAGATACTTTTATTCTGCGGGGCATTGGACAGTGGCGCGTTATCCCACGTTCACCGCCCTTCCTCCCTAAAATTAGCTTCAGATGCGCCACTGGTAAGGACGGAACAAGCTAGCATACGGTTGTGTACGCATATTACCTATGGAAAACATTGCCGAGTTCATGCCGTGAAAAATAAGCAGCACGACGATGGTGAACGGCCGACTGGACCGGAAGCACAGCCCGAAGCCGGATAGCAAATCGATGAGAAATCCGCCGACGTGTACAATCCAATGATCGACGAATTCGGCCGAGAATACGTACCTGTAGAATAATTTAAATTAGGCCAGGCGCATATGATACAATAAACACTATGTTACGGAACTACAACGGTTTTCATTCTGGTCGACAGAGTGGGTACGGAATTCGTCTTTATTATCTCCAGACGCGGATAGAAATTATTCAAATTCAATGGGAATTGTTTAGAAATAATTATACACACACATAACTCTGTGGCTTTGGTCAAAAAGAGCCAATCTTACTTTTTTTACAACATTCGGAAATTATGACTTTTCGTGGTTTTTCAAATTAAAATTCACTCAATTTTGCCAAAAAGTAAGAGTGGTTCTTTTACACCCAAGCCACATTATACCTATACAGATGCCCAGTAACTGTTTTCAGGTAGGGCGGGGCAAAAATATAGAAGGTGTAATTATCCATATAGTCATACCATATATATTTCTTGGAACCGTATTTGATGTCTGTATGTAGGAGAAGCGGTCACCTTCCCTATTTATACTATTTTTTTTTTACTCTTTTATCAGTGCGCGAAATGACAAAATTTATTGAATCCTAACATGCCATTTTTTTTTTTTTTAAATGCCTATAGATATACATAATATAATATACTGGTAGTGTGTTTATACGATTTGTGGACAGCAATGATAAAGGTTTTTGCTTTGTGATAATGTGAACTTGGGTGCAAACACAACTTAAAAGTAAAAACAAAGTTTTATGTAATTTCTGTAGATATACAGTGTTGTCGTAGGTATCTACGACAACTATAATAACTATCAAAACTTATTACGTATCAAATTACACGTAGTAATGTCACAAAATTATAATCGATTTCGACTCTTTTTTTGAAATTATAACATCAGCCGTGTTATAAAATAATGAAATATAGTATTTATTTGAAATTGTAATACGTATTAATTTACTTACTAATTTTAATTATAAGTAATACATATTTTTATACATGAGGTACTTATAAATAATATTGACGAAAATTGAATTTAAATATTTTTTTTTGTTGTTCATATAGTTTTATCTATAATTTATTGAGGGATCGAAATTATATATTTGTCCCCTTATGGTTTTAATGGGGGGGGGGGGGGTGGCAACTGCCAGCCGCCCACTGCTCCTACGCCAATGTATACACTATACTCGTATATAATATATAATATGTAGGTAATAGTTATAATAATTATTAGACATGATATCAGATATACGCCGTGGTTCTATCTATGAACCGACAGCTCCCCTTTTCCCCTCAAAACGGCGTAACCGCGCCAAGAATGTCTGCGCGCTTACCTGAATGGCGTGAATGCGTAATTATGGCCCAGCGTCATCATCGAATAGCCCCACAGCCAGTCGGGTTCGAACTTCTTCAGACCGGCCACGAAGTACATGATGAAAAACTGTATCCTGAGCAGCAGGTAGTTCCAACGCGGCACCGGCTTCTGGGGTTCCGACCAACTGTTCACGGACCTGCAGTGCGGGATGATGTGTAAACGTCGCACGGATGACACGATTCCGTGAACGCGGTAACCGCGGTAATCGCGGTTACCGCGTTCACGGTTTGGGCCCGTGCTGCTTACCAATTGCGGTGTGCGTCCGTCACGGAGAAGATCAATGTCAACAGTCCAAACAGGTATGAATGGTTGTTCCACGAGCTCTTGTCCGCCAAAAATATATACCAGTATGTGACCGCGTACGCGATGCAACTCGTTCGGTAGTAAAATCCCGCGAACACGCCCAGCAGGCCTGTACGCGAGAGATGCGATGAATTTATATGTTATTTTCCATGGAATTATGATTGAAATGGACAATATTTTTCAGGAATGGTGTAATATAGGAATAATATTTAGTCGGGGAGATATTTCTGAGGGTTTTTATTACTGGATTATATAAATCAATGAAATAAACATCCGGAACCGTATTTGTCAGGTTCGGTGTATGGCGGGGAAATATTAACTGGGAATCACATAAAACGGGAAAATATATTATTAGCATCGGACAATCGGGATAGTTAAGCGACAGTTTGAACCCATAACCCTTACCTCTTTCATAAGTTTAGTATAATGCGGATAAAATTCGTTTGGCTTCTCAAAAAGACAAAAACGATTGGAAATTGTATACAAGTTTCACCCCATAGGTTGTACCGTATTTAATCAAGTATCTATAATTAAATATGATATCCTTATTATTATTTGATTTCACATTTTTATCTGCCCAAAATGTTATCAGCTGACTGCACTTAATTGTTTTACTCTACTACTTTCTTTTAATTTTGAAAGATTCCTTCATAGTGATTTCCATAGTAATTATTTACTATATCGATGAACAGTTTGGAATGATCATCAGATTGTGTTATTAATGTTGAATGATATATCTACCCTATAACCTTATAATATGGTAACTATAAAATAATATTGCAGTTATTCACAAATATCTACAATACTGATAGATATCTGTGCAGTCAATAATACAATGCACCTTACTGGTTTTATCACAGTTTCCATAATTATTTGTTTTCTTGTCACTGTTTATAGTTTCCTTAACATTTTCAAACGCGGGTCTGCTCCACGATCGTAACATTCTATTGATTATTTTACTCTTGACTCACCGAATACACCATTTTACCGGTATAAGTCCGACTCACCCGAGAACATGACCGCGTACACTAAACACATCCATCCGCCTGGCAACGGTTTGATAATGTCGAATAATGGAAAATAACACTTCATTGGTTCCATCCATCGTTTGTCGACACGACAGAAACCCCGTTCGTTCATCGTGTCGATAATCATCAGCGTAGCTATGCATAACATTATAATATAATAATATTTTGTTTAAAAAATATAGTAAGCCGTATAATGCCACTGTAGTGGCGGGAATACGCGAGGATTACTTACTTTTTAAAGTGGAAAACTGTAAGTGCATAAGTATTTCGAAATATTATATTAGATTTATTATATTATTAGGGCCCGAATTTAAATGCCCTAAACTATCGAAAAATGTTCTAAAAAGTAGTTCAACATTTCATAGTAACATGCCCGTTTAAGTTTGAGCCAGGTGAAGCAGTTGAGACCCACAGCCGTTAATGAAGATAAGACGAAGGCGTTATCAAAATATTCTAAATGGAACAATTGACCATTTATATTGATAAAGAATGTATTAAATCTACTAAATCGAATTTCACTAAAATAAAATTTCTTGAGATTATACTTATTATTTTGATTTTGGGTATCTAAAAGTTTCTAAAAGAACGGAGGAGGGGAAGCCGGAGTCCCATTTATATTCCAACTGAAATCATCCGTCCCCTTTAGTCTAAGTCATCCTTGTCTGAGGAATGGGGTTTGTTTTGGATATTGTCAACGATAGGTATATTATATACAATTTTTGAAAAGTTTAGTTAGGCTTAGTTGTTAACTAAGCCCAACCGAACTAATTAGGTCTCAAGAACGCCGGTTCATTTTTGATGAATATAGTCTTCTCCCTCCTATTCAAAAATTTTCCCGCTTTCGCGCAAATGAAGTTTTGTTCCTTGCATTGCGACCGACAAATTTTCTGAAGGTACTTACCGAACGCAATACGCATCATGGCCAAACATGTGCCGTCCTCCGGCTCGAACATGTACGTTACCAGCCGGTGCCAAGCGGCCCCGATCCCGACCGCCAATTTGTTCCGGGACTGACGATCCGCAGCCACATTTTCTGTGTTCGTGACAGCCGTAGTCGTCGCCGAATTCTCGTCCATTGCAATTGCGTCCGCGTCCTTTGCCCGACTGTGTGCAAATGAACGCGGATCGCTGCCCGCTGTCGTCCGGGCGCCGCCGTCCGAACATAATATAGTAATATTCCATTTTACACAGGTCGTTTCATCTACAAATCGATGTTTGAAATTGGACATTTGACGGTTATGCGACCAGACGTTTGCCCCCCTTCAGACCTCCCCTAACACTCGTCCGATGTTGTTTTAATTGAACACCAACGCAACCACTCGGTCGATTTGTTTACGAGACCGCACGCGTTCGTATATTGTATTTTAATTATAAGTATATAATAGGTAAACGAATTTCGTTTTCCATAAACCAAACGACAGTGACGTGTCCAAGTGGGGTGCTGTGAAAAGGGTCGACCGAGAATCTCCACCGCAATCGATTCCCACAATCCTTCCCAAATTTCCACTTACAATAGTTGTATACTCGTCCCCAGTCTCGAATTTTTTTTAGATTCGCAGCGTAGTGATTTTACTTTGATGAGGGTTTTTTTAAACAAATTTTTGTTTGTGTCTGTGAACCACTTTTCTATCGGAAATCTTGCTCTGAGTTATCAAGTGCAACACCTATTTAAAACTGTTAAGATTATATTTTTCTACCGGAAATCTTTGTTCACACCTCAAGAATAGCATATTTTCTGAAAGAAAATTTTGTTTAGTCTGTGAATAAGAAAGTCGTTGTTTGATTTTCCGTATAGTTTTCCTAATGATTACGAAATACCGGGAAAAAACACAGGAAATACGGCAAAGTGTATAGCATTTGGGTTTTTTATTGTTATTAGGTTAAAAACTAGTGTGGAAGACCTATTGTATTTACAAAATACTTATATTAGTTTTTGTAGACATGGTAAAACTTCAAAACGTTCTAACTATGTTTAGACTATTTATAGATATTTGTTAGTTTCATGTTTTTATACATTGCGCCCCTATAGAACAAGACTGCCACAACTAAAAATGTATTAATTTTATTTTATTAAGGATTATGATTAACCGAATGTCAAATATGGTAAACATTGATTCATTAAATATATAAATTTGGTTTCTTTAAACTTTTAAAGAATGAAAAATCATTTTACTTAGTCTATAGATCCGAAATTTATGTAATTTGTGAAAGAAAAAATAACTAAATTTTGATTTTCCTTGACACACTGCAAAATAAAAATCACGGATTTGTTTTTGGACTTTAAAGAAAATGTATAATATATAATTTTTCATAAGCTCTGTATTTTTATCATATTATAGTTTTAATTGTACATGTAGTAAGTCAGTATTTAAATAAATTTTTAATCTATTATATTAAATATAATAGTAGACAAAATCAATGGTTCTTAAATATTCGTTTATGTAGTCATCCATTCTGCAGTCTTTGGTTCTGTAATCGCCAAGTTTATAATCTCCCTTTTTGTAGTCTTCGAGTCTATAGTATTCGTTTCTTTAGTCATAGGTTCAGCAGTCTTTGGTTCTGTAATCGCCGAGTTTATAATCTTCCTTTGTATAGTATTCGAGTCTATAGTATTCGTTTCTTCAGTCATAGGTTCTGCAGTCTTTGGTTCTGTAATCGCCGAGTTTATAATCTCCTCTTCTGTAGTATTCGTTTCTTTAGTCATAAGTTCTGCAGTATTTGGTTCTGTTTTTGTTTTTGTAGTCATCAAATTTAAAACAGTCATTTGGTAAGTTTCCTTTTCCTTTGCTAAATCATCCTCTTTTCTTATCAGTTCGTTTATTTTATTTTGATAGTCATTTTCATTCCACTCAATTGTTGTTTCCTTCAAGTTCTCATTTTTTTCCTTTGAACTTATACCTAAGATTTTTTGCATTGGTTCCGGTATTTCAAGTTCTGGTTCATCCATTTCATCATCTGCAAAATGTGTTACAAACTCTACTTCCTCCGACGAATCACTCTTTTTGTGATTCCAAAAAATAGCTGCATCGACTATGTTGGTGCTTAGCAAAAAATCGACGGCAATAAAATTGATTTTTTCTCCCCATTCGGGCATCATAATCCAATTGTTCACTGTAGGATTTACTGTTTTACTGTTGTGTCTTACACCAGAACTGAGACTTGAAATAACGCCCACCACTCTAGGAGTAAACTCAGCCATAAATAATGTTGGGTGTTTTGAATCATTGTGATTTTGAACACTGACCAAATAACATTAAAAAGAGTTTTTATTTCGTTATTTATAAATGGATACAATAATATAATGTCTGAATAAAATATTTATTTTTGTATAATATAGGTGTAATACAATAAATTAAGTTTGATAATTATTTTGTGACAAGCTAAATACACTTGTGAAGTTATACCCACCACCTACATCATTTAATTGTTACCTAACCTTTTTAAATACTTTGCAATTATATATTGAACCAGACTGCGTGAAGTTGGCTCATCATTTAAAAAAAAACTCACGATCAAATCAACGGGTTCTAATTCGGTAAATTAATTAAAGGATACACGCCAATAATTTGTAAAATATAGCCAAAGATTTTACGCAAATTGGACAACATTTGATGAGAGGGAATTGATTCCCCTAATAAAAACTGGTTGATATGACATCTAACTTATGTGAATTAAACATTGTGGATATTCTTACGCAAATCGAATATACAAGTTTTGATGTTTGATCTACAGTATTGTGATTTGTGATATTTTATAATAGTGTTCAGCTATTTATTTTGGTTTACAATAGGTAGTCTTATGTAGTATTCAAATAATTGTATTTAAATACTTTTTGGTAAACTAAATGCCAACAAAAACCTTCCTTCAACTACGTGTATAATCTCTATAATAATGGATTGAGTAAATGAATATATTAATACCTATTATGAGTGTGAAAATGATACTATAGTAATACAGTGATAAAATAAATAAACAAAATTGTTTTTTTATTCACCGCAAACGGCTACCGTCGCAAACAGATGGTAACAACGCATAAAACATATTATACATTGTTGAATTGTTGAAAAAAATAGCGTTTGGAGTAAAAACTATGCTAATACTTTTGTATATTACTCAGGCCGTGATCATTCGATCAACTTGAAATTTACAAAAGTATCATCTACTTAACATACTGATCAACCCGTGTACATTTGTAAATCAGTTCTTTAGTTTAGGTTACAGAGGTCATAAAATTACATTGGTTAAATAGGAGTTGGTCGTCTCGTGTTATATACTAAGGTCGACGCCCGAGCTTTTTTTTTTCTTTTACATAGTTTTGCGCTGTGGTCGTGGCGTTGGATATTTTTTAATTTAAATAACCTTTGACAGAATTATTTAAAAATAATTATTATTGTATTTTTATCCATAACATTAAAATATTTTCCATTTACAAGAAAGCACACAAAAGTTAATGCATTAATTCGATGAGATATGCGGTGTTTGTTAATACCGATTTCTACAGGTAATATCAATTATGGAAGAAGTTATAATAACCTGAAAAATAGAGATAAGTACTTGAAAGAAAGAAACAAAGGATAAATAGAGGTAAACCAGAGTGTACAGAGTATGAGTTGGGAGGAAAAGAACAAGACTACAAAAGTGATGATATAATAGGTGAGGTTGAGAGTTTTAAGTACCTAGAATCTTTGATGAGGATATGAAATATAGGATTAAATATGGTTGGATAAAGTAGAGAAAAGCGTTAGGTGTTATATGTGACAAGAAATTTCCAATGTGACTTAAAGGTAAGATGAGTAGAGACGTAGAGTGATGAAGAAAGATAGGATAAGGAATGAATATTACATAAGATGTAACTAAGGCGTGGCTTCAATAGAAGACAAAATGAGAGAAAATTAACTGAGTTGGTTTGGACAATAGGCATATCATGAGGAGAGAAGAATATGAAACAGTAAGAATTGTAATGGAAATAAACGTAGGAATAATAAGGGAATGAACAAGACTAAAAAAAGCTGGTTGGACGCAAAGCCCGATTGATGGGTTTGCCCATAGTAGGCTTGGGTTGATTTGGCGATGATTTTTTTTTTTTTGTTGCTCAATAACTAATTTTTTTTAACTGAATTCCCTATAAATTCTTGCGTACCCTTAAAAATGGTCTGGCTATGCCTACAAAAAAATATACATATTTTATGACTGATTGATGGCTTTAGGCTGTAACTTATCCAGACTATTGGCTAATCAAGCCTTGATTAAATACGATTGAGAATGAAGACGACTGATAAATGTGAAATGGGAAATCGGATCAAGTTGGATTTTTGGATGAAGGGCCACGACCCCAAATAGTTGGGATGAAGACAAAGGAGGAAAAGAAGATGATTATGTAAAATGTCACTATTTGAAAATGATTTTAACTAGTTGAAAAATTCAAAACATTAAAAAAAAACACGTAGTTACATAAAAATGTTTTTATCTTTATGTTTGATAATAGCTCAATTTACTTTAAAATTATCATAGCTTCCTCCTCCACTGAATTTAATGATTAAAAGAAAAAAAAAAACATGACGCAAATTAACGATGATTCTTGTTTTAATATCTAAAACTAACGGAATACAAACGATTAGGTTAAAAAAAATGAATAATTTAAAAAGTGGCGGGGGGGGGGAGGGGAATGTGAGTACGTGAATTTAACAATTCCCTATTCTATCATATAAATATTAGTATTGCGAGTATAATCAATAAATAAGTAGCCACTTTAACCCATTTTGGACATTGTTAATAATAATAAAATGTTTGTAATTTTAAAACACAAGTATAGAAGTGAACCGACTAATACTTACATACAATAAACGTATACTACAGGATCAATTGAATGACATTATTTTAATAATTTTGTTGGGATATTTAAAGCATACATATTTTATCAAGAATTATGATAAATAGAGTGTATTAATCGAGTTTTTTGTTACCATGCTAGTGAAATTTGCATATTATGTCGATTGCTAACATTATGAGCTGTCTAATACACGATCAATAGTTTAATTTAAAATTTATTTATGAAACAAATAGAAATTTAGTTATTGTGGTGTTAACATTTTTATATCAGCCGGTGATTTTAAACTTAACCTACCTATTTAAGTAATATAAATTAAGTTTAGTTATTGTTTTTTGGTATAACATACCTTTTGAGATAATATTCTCCGTATTTTTTAAAGCACCGTAAATTTGGAGCGTTTGGCCAATATCGATGAATAGGTTTTAATACAGGAGGTTCAATTTCTGGCGTTGGTAAATAATTATAAATTATTATTATTCTACGCCCTTCATCCTGTAAATCTTTTAGCGATTTTTTCCATCCCGTATTGTCAGCAATGTTATGTTCTCCCAGAATAGATTTACAAAATTTATAAAATTGATTATGCTTTTTCAACATGTTAAATCCTATAAGTATGATTATTTGGAATATATTAATAATAAATCTAATTAAACAGTTTTTTTTTTTTTATATTTACCCTTTTCGAATTTGTGAAATTCAATAATGACGACTTCTTTAGTTTGTTCAATAAACACTTTTATATCTTGTAGTATATACCGTAATGGTCTTATACGAATTATCCCATGATAAATCCACCATACACTTCGGACATATGTATGATCACTATAATTATAATATCCTACTCTTAAATCCAAATATCGAGCTCCATAACACAGTTGACCCAAAATGGAGTAGTCCTAAAAAAATTTTTTATAAAGATAGGTTATCATATACCACTAATTCTTTATAGATTTTGATTGAAATTGGTTTTCGTTTTTCCAGTGATATTACAAAATATTTCAAAAATTTTATCTTTATTCTTTACACTGTAAATACATATTAAATTTTGATAATAACAAGACTCTTTTTTCAACACAAATTGAAAAATAAAATATTTTCTTATAAATTTTGAAACCTATGCGTATTGTATAACACTGATATCGGACATACCGCTTATAAGTTAAAGAATTTTTAAAATGATTTTTTTTTTTTATAAATTTAAACAAATATTGAACGATCTAATTTAGACCTAGAGTACAGATTATGAATTAACCACTGAACGATTCAGTGATCGTTTAGTTAACTCATTAATGTTAAAAATCAGTGTTTCGAAATCAATAAAAGTCAGCATGTGAAACCAAAAATGAATTGCGTCCAATACTGGAAATGTTTATAAAAAAATAAACTGTTATTGAACCAGAACCGTGGATATTTAATTTATATCTTCTCTGATTTAAAATTTCGTATCTAATATTATGTATTGTTACGCTAATCAGTTAAAAAAAATTATTGACTTTTGGGAAATGTGGTGTTTATTTGAAAATCATAAGTTGATATTTGTAGTTTATGTTCATGGTGTACGGAAAAAGGGTAGTGAAACGTCCAGGGGGACGTTCAAAGGGATGTTTCATTCTCTAATATACTCTAAACCGCATTATACACATTGATTTATCATTGAGCTTGTCATAAATGCGTACTTTATATCCATTTTCAAAATTGCCTCCTCCTCGTTACCTTGTAACGAGAATAAGGGAAAAAATGTAAAAATATTGTAAATTCTAGATTCTATAATTACTGAAAAACCAAAAATTAATTTTACTTAAAGTTACTTAGGCCATTCTCACAAACGTAAAATAAGGTATTTATCTGATTCTTATACTGAGTTTATGGCTGATAGCCGACCACGATTAGTTGATTATCTTATAAACACAATTTAAAAATCAACGTTTAGGTTGGTGAGAACGGGCCTTCGTAAAATTTTTGTAGATAGTCGCTAAATCATGATAAACGGAAAATTTTACTTACTTGAGTATAGACGTACTTTAAGTACAAAGTATTCAAAATAATTGGGTCACTAAAGGTATCATAGGCTCCAGAATCATGTGTGCCCGGTATAAATAATTTGCTTAATTCCATAGATTTGATTTCTGCGGGCAATTCATTCATCCATGTAGGGTTCGTTTTAAGACAATTTGTTGCTATTACTAGATAAAATCATATAACGTAAAGCCATAATATTAATTTGTTTTATTATATTAAATGTATACATAAAATGTAATATGATTAGTAAGTTCTTAATAAGTTTGATATAAATAAACGAAAAATGATTTTATTGCACAAAATAAATCAAAAATTTAATAATGTATGTTTTATTTTTGTCGGATTTTCCCCAATAACTAAACTATTGCACTGTACTTTGTCTGTTATTTTACGTTAAATTATATAATTTGAAAAAAATATTAAATAAATTACCCATAGTTCAATATTGCAGTAATATCTTGTTATTGCTCAACCGGAAAGAAAAATTAATGAGGAACTGGAAAAAGTTTATGATACTACCTAGATATAGTATTAATATTTTTTTGGGCGATTTTAATACTAAAATTGACCAGGAGACTATGTGTAGGACAATTATAGGTAAAGATGGTCTTCATGAAATTAGTAACTATAACAGAATACGATAAATTAACATTGCAGTTTTAGAAGAAGAGTTAGTGATCAGTAGTAATTATTTCCCCCGTAAAAATATATACAAGCATACTCGGATATCTCCAAATGGAATAAACAAAGACGAAATAAATCATGTGATGGTTAGTTAAAAATGATGGACATAGAATTGATACGATAGGTGGGCCACTGTTTTAGGTGAAAAGTTGGGAGGGGTTGAAAAGAGGAATTTTATGTATATCTGTACGCAACGATTAATTATTGCTAACGAAAAATGATTTTAAATGGGGTACGGTTATATACAGTGCTGTAATATATCTAGACACGTTTATCCAAGATACAGTATCTAGATATTTTTTTGTATCTTGTATCTGTATTTAGAGATTTTCAAATAAAATGTATATCTATATTTGTATCTAGATACTTTTTTAAGTATCTGTATTTAGATATTAATTAAATGTATCATATTACAGAGCTGGCTATATACATAGTTTGAAAGGCCGTAATATTTACAATTTTTGTCAAAATTTGGTATTCAAATTTCTTATGAAAAGAATCCTAATCTTTAATTTACATTTTAAAGATTTTAAGGCATAATCTTAATTACACTCCTAAAACACAAACCTTTAAATAAAAAAAAAAAAAAAAAACTGAAATTGAGCAGTTACCTATTCTGCTTAAAACAGGATAAGAAATTTTTTCGGGAACTTTAAAGAGAATTTAATCAGTTTAGGCGAAGAGTTATGATAGTTTTAAACTTCATGTGACAGATTAAATATTAGTGGCATAGCCAGCAGGTAGATATGGGCCAATCCACTTTTTCCAAAAATAAGTATTAAAAAAAACGAAACAAATCAATTATGATTACTATGTAACAATAAGCTGAACAATCTGAAAAAAAAATTTTTTTTGTGATATTTTAAGCGCGATAAGTTTTGAAATTAATTCATGTTTTTCAAATTTTAGATAATGAATCATTTTGTCATTATTTTGAACCATTTCTGCCTTATCTACTGAATGAATTTGTTACCGAATTATATAATCCTTTTTAATTGTGTGATACGTGGGTGTAATGATCATCACTGGTGGTGATTTTAACAGTTGTATATACCTAATACTGAAATCTGGTGTTAAAAATCACAGCCAGCTGAGAAAATCACTGTCAGCTAGGTTTCTTTCTAGCATTTTTTTTAATGTAGTAATGTTTTTTAATCATAATATAAGTACATACCCAGTTCACAACCTAAATACGTTGTAATGTCATCATACCTTGTTATTTAGTCGGGGATCTGATCTTTTAAAATGATTCTTCAAAGTAAAAATACATAAAGTTAGAACGTTAAGGTTGAAGAAATAATAAAATTAACAACATTCCTAAATTAAAAAGGTTTATCAGGATTTTTTCCATCCCTATATAGGGTTTACTTAGAAAAAAATATCTAGCTACGTTACCGCCAAGAATTCCGTTTGCGGAGCAGATTTTACATTTTAAACTTTAAACGGGAATATAGGATATCAGACACCAAAAAAATACTTTCACAAAATTCTCAAAATAGTGTCTATAGTCAGTGGTTGACTGTCATCAGATCAACTTTGATTCGGGAAAAGGGTAACCCTTCGGCTACTGATAATAGTTAAGGGGGTACCTCCAGGTGTAGACATCAGAAGAATTAAAAAATTGTGGGAAAAAAATAATAACCTCAATTTATGACTATTATAATAATAAAAATGTTTTCGATACTAACTTGTATTATCTTGGTGATAAGCTACATACATCGATTCAAAACATACACTACTCTTCAAGAAATAATGAGGTTCGCATAATCCTACTAGACCAACCAAACTGATAAATATTACGGTTTCCACATAGCCGACTTTACCAGTTACATAATACCAGTAACATGGTTTAGATTTCAATCTTCTCGTCGGGTCCTTATTGTATACGCCGATCCAATCGCCAGGTTTCGAAATTAACACTCGCCACTGGATCATCACTCGTCTTTTCGTAAAAAAAACGAAATTTGGCATTACGTTAATCGAAACGTAATTATTCTCGATGTCGTTGTATATCCGTCTGTTGAAAAATTCGTCAATTTTGTTGAATCAATTCAATTGCGTATTTCCCGACCATTACTGATCTCGGTGGGGGGGGGGTGGAGGTTTCATTTTTAGATTCTGAGCGAATCGAGGAATGTATTGGTTTTAAAATAATGTTTTTTTTTTTTTTTATATACTATCTACACAATTTTTGTTAGAAATCTAGATCCGATGTATCAAGGCGTGTATCATTAAGGAAATTTTAACACGTTGGGATTTAGTTTAGGGTCAGGTTTTTATTTTTTGATTATCCAAGTGGTTTTCATAATAATTGGGAAAAATGCAAAAAAAACAAAGGGATAAACGAACAAATATTTACGGTATAACAATTTCGTGATTTTATATTTTTTTTTATTTATGTCTTCTAATTAAAAATTTGGCTTTAATGGAAAAAATGACATTCGATTTTTTAAACGGTTTTTATACTAATAGGGAAAACCTAAAAAAAGACGATTTATTATAATTATATTTTATGTTCGCATAATAAAATATGCAATAATATACAATATTATAATATTAATAAAAAACAAAATTAACTTCTTTGTAAAACCAATACATTCTTGTTACATTCAGAATCTAAAATTAAGTTACAAATATTTTGGAAGTTGTGTAATGAAGTAGGTCTTCACACACATCCACACAATGTGATATTCACAATGAATTCCGTCCGACGAAATTAAAATCTCTGGTAAGTTTTGGTAATTTCTACTCTCAGGGTCTTTTTCTTTACGATCCAGACCTTATAAAATTTACTTTGGTTTACGGTTATTATAATTTTCCTATAATTTAATTTTTCTTATACTTTTTCCAAGAATGGAAACCGGTATAGTAAAACCGGTTAAAAATAGTTTTCAGAATTTATTTTAACCATATGCCAGAGCGATACCAGTAAAACTGCAAACCGTTCCATAAAAGCTGCAATTAAAACTGAAGAATTTTTGAACGATAACCTAAACCTATTCTGTTTTTTTATTGATTTACCGGTGTTTTAGATACAAATTTAATACTAAAAGTCTAAAACGATTAATCCTTTGTGTGTTACTTAAGAATATCCTCCGATTATAGATCGTGCATCGACATTATGTGATATGACCGTTACCTATAATCACGGTTATTTTTATAGGCATAGAATGTTATCGCTGTTGAAGTGACATTTGTGCGAACTATGATCGCTAGTAGTCAATAACCCGATTTTAACACCAAAATAGTTCGATGACATGCAATTGTTCAATTTGTAATTTAGGGGCTTAGCATTTTTGATGTTGATGTAAAAAATATGAAAAACCATTATTTTCCCAATGATATACATGTCAAAATCGGGTGACTAACTGTTAGCGGCATGTGTGAAACAGTTGTTTTAGGTTGCAATTACTTGATTGCGAAATAAAAGAGTGTTTGGTTTTCACAATTCCGTAGATTTTTAATGTGTATGAAAACAAAATTAATGGTATAAAACATTATGATGATGGTACTTATACATTTTTATATACGTACTCGAAAGTGTTCAAGTATCTCTCTTGGTGTCTTAATGTGGAAGAGACAGATCTGGTGATCGGTGGGAGCTTCTGAAGATCTGAAAATACACGTGATATACAATGGCTAGTAAAGTATACACGTATTATATATTATTGATTAATTTATTATAATAATATTACTTATATTAAATTACGTTTAATACGTGATAACATTTTACGGTTATTTTTTAATTTTGATTGTTTTGTCTGAAAAAACTAAGAAAAACTAAGAAACTCAATGGTTAAAGTAACGGGTAAAATAATGAACATGTGTATAAAATGTATACATAGAACCATCTTAATTGGTTAACGTTGTTAGACCTCCATTGAGAAAGTACATTTGCATATCAATTTCTTATCAATAATACAATTTTTAGTTGTTGTCGTTCGTTCGACATTAATGGTCATGTCCATAATTATTACTTTAGTTGTTTTGTTATCTAATATTTAATTAATTGTTTGATTTTACTACTTGATAATATGCTGTACGTGCAATGATGATACTTATGAAGGAGATGAATTACGATGCATAAAATACAAACAATATTTTCATTTTTCTTGTGCCAGTATGAGAGAAACTAATTTTCGAAAAATGAACAAGTAAAACAAAGAAAAGTGGTGTTGCGGAACTCGTAGGACAACAATGACAACGGTTAGTAACACAAGTATCGCGCAAGACGATGCTTCATTTTTAGGCTCAAACGAAAAGTTATTTTACTTAACTAAATCCATAAAATTTAAAAGTAATCAGGATGATGTTTTTGGTAAACAGTTAAGTAAGATTTTAAGTTCAATTAAAGAAATAAAAGAAGAAAATAAAAAATAAAAATAAAATAATATCAAATTTTTTGAGGACGCCAAAAAATTAAATTTAATAATTAATGTCTTGAAGCAAAAGTTAATTATTAACAAAGTGGAAATAATCGGGGTGCCGCAAAAACCTGATGAAAGTTGTAAAGAAGTTATTGAACTTATAGCACCCAAACTAGGAGTTAAACTAGCAGTAGTTAATGCTTTTCGTGCACATTCTAAATTAAGTAATAGACCGAGGAAAATTATTGAAATATTACAATCAACTGAAAACAAACAAAACTTAATGGAATCTGTTAAAAAAAAAAAAAAACCGGAATGCAATTATGGTAGGTGAAAAATAGGCAAATAAAAGCATATTCATAAACGAGTTATCGTACAATAGCGACTTATTTATAAGACAAGAATGTTCGCTAAGGAAAACGATTTTAGGTTTGTGTGGTTTAAGAACTTAAAAGTACGTATTAAAAAAAAAAAAACGAAAACTCTAAAGCTTGTATAATACAAGATAAACATGATCTATCCAAACTTTTGTTAATTTAATTTTAATTATTACTTTTTGTCTATTATTTAAAATACCTTCATCGTGAACAATTGTAATGTATTAAATAGTTACTTGGATTATAAAACTAACTATTTGAATCCTTATCAGAATTTATAGATAGGTATACGTTTAGTTGTAAAACGTATTTTTGTATCTTTTCTTATAATATTAACAGTATCAATGTTCATTCTGACGAATTTATTTTGTATTTAAATGTTGAAAATAATCAATTTGTAATGGATATTATTGTATTGACTGAAACATGGCATACGATAGAAAATTGTAATAATAGAATCCCTAGTTATAAATTATATTTGCCAACAATCAAAAGAAATCAAAATTACCGTATAATGGTCTTTATTAGAGAGAACATTAATATTGAAAAAGCGGGAGTATGAGCATTCAGTAGCTAACATTTTAAAACTTAAATTTAGTGTAAACAATATTCAATTTAATATTTTATGTTTATACAGATCTTCTTTAGGTGATATAAATTAATTTTCGATTACGTTTGGTAATATACTAAAAGTTAAAAGTAATGTTAAGGGTATGTTATGATAATAGGTGACTCGAACACTAATATTGTGGAAACTAAAGTAATTAATAATGAACATATTGATATGTTATCTGGTTATGGATTTAGTTCATTTATTAACGTTTACACAAGAACTTCTATAATATGTGCACATTCGTGTATTGATCGTATATTTGTAAAATATAATAATTATGATAAAATCAGAACCGAGGCGGGAGTCATCCAAACAAATATATCTGATCATTATTCAATACTATTGGCAATGGAAATAGATAAAAGATTGTTACATAATAATATTGTATATAAAATGATAAATTATAATAATTTAAATGATATTTTATTAAAAGAAACCTGGACCGATGTATATATGGTATGAATGTCGATAAATGGTTTACAAATATCATTGATACAGATTTTGATGCTATAAATAAATCTACAACAATAAAAACATCCAATTCAAAGAATAAACAATTAAAAGAATGGATGTCAACGGGTTTTTTATGTTCGGCTCGCCGTAAAAATGCGTTATCTTTAGAAATAAGAAAACATCCAAATAATGAAAAATTACGTTTGTACAATATAAAATATAAAAATGATTTTACCAAACTTTTAAGAATCGTAAAAATTAATTTTTATAAAAAAAACCTTTAATGAGATTTATAGTTCAAAGTTAACTTAGAAAGTGATAAAAGAAATCACAATTCATAAAAAAAGAAATGAAGAAAAAATAGCATTAATACGACATAATAGTGAAAATATATTTTCATTAAAAGATCTAATAAAAGTATTAAACGCGTTTAATAATTTTTTTTACTATTATTGGTAGTAATTTAGCAAACAAAATTAAACAATCAAATTCAAATTATGATGAAAATAATACTAGGGAATCATATGATCTGCATTTTAAAGAAAAACTTAATGATCATGAAATTCTAAAAATTATAACAAATCTTAAAGACGATACTACTACAGGATATGATGGAGTTTCAGTAAAAGTTTTAAAGTCTATATCCGGAAATATAATTAAACCCCTAATATATATATAATCTAAGTTTAAAAGAAGTTACATTTCTAGATAAGCTAAAATTAGCAGTAATTTAACCCTTTTTAAAAACTGGAGATACTTCGAGTAAAAATAACTATAGGCCGATTTCTATGATAAACAATTTTGCGAACATTTTAGAAAACATAATGAAAAGTAGATTATTAAAGTTTTTAGAAAATAATAAATCGTTGTCCAAAAACCAGTATGATTTTAAACCAGGATTAGTTACTGAAAATGCCGTTTAAAATGCTAGTAAATTTGTGTACAACGCACTTAATAATAGTAAAACAGTCTTGATTTTGCGAAGGAGTTTGGGACGGCAAACCGCAATGAAATAGTCAACATATTACCGAATTTTGGTTTTTAAAAATATTAGTCTTAATTGGTTTAGAAGCTGCTTGAAAAATAGAAAACAAATAGTTAAAATCAATGACATCAAAGGTGAGTAAATGACAATAAATTGTGGAGTATCACAGAGTAATGTAATGGGTCCATTACTGTTTATTTTATATGTTAATCCTATATGCGTATTTACAAATTGATGATCAAAATAATAATATTCGTGGACGACACGTGTTTGCTGTTTTGAGGTGTCACGTGGGATGCAATTCGCTTAAAAACTATACAAGATTTTAAAAAAGTAATAAATTACTTAAATCACAGAAAACTATCAATAAATTTTAATAAAATAAATTATATACATTTATCGATTTTTAAGGATAATAAAAGTTTTGATAACTTAGAATTTCATACTCATAATAATTTGGATTCTTGTAATGCGCCAATATGTCAACAAATATTTAGTGTCTCTAGTATAAGATACTTGGGTTTAACATTTGACAATAATATGAAATGAAATTTACATGTACAAAATACTGTGATGCGTATGCGTTTATTATCATTTAGCTTTTATAAATTACGGTCGTTTCTACCAATGTAAACTATGCTCATAGTTTACTTATCACTACTTCAAGCAATATTCCAATAGGGTTTATTGTTTTGGTTGGGGAAGACTTAATCAAAATGCATGTAGACCACTACAACTTTTACAAAATAAAATTATTAGAATAATGCTTAAGTAAAAATAGGTTCAACTAAAAACAATTTTAAGTTATTTTATGTGCTACCATTTGAGTCTGTGTATAAAAAAATAATTATTTTATATATAATCAAAAACTTTGAATCCCTTATGGATATGAAAAATTTTATAGTTAAAAGAGAATACAGGGTAAATGTTTGATGTCAAAATGAAGTATACTAGAAAAGCCTCTGGTAAAAAATTCATAGAATATTTAGGTCCAAGAAAATTACAACTTAATGCCTATAAATATAAAAAGACATATTGTATATGGAAGGGAATCGTATAACTACAAAAATATAAATAAAATTCTGAATTGGCTATTTTCAGTATTCTCAAATAGTACATTCACTCCCTCTCCAATAGAAATTCCTGAGAACTCCACTGATATGTATTAAGGTTATTTTGTTCTACACCACGTTCCGTCGTGAACAACTCGGAGGAAAAAAAAAATACGTCTATCGTCACTGTTTTCTGTGTAAGATCATTGTCGTCCTTCTGCGGATCAACCGAAAACGCGTTTACGTTTAATCGAAACGTCCTGCGTGTACGATGCCTGACGCCACCGCGACTTCACAATATTATTGTAAGAGGACGTGATACCCACATCCACATGTGTTGCCTCGGTTTTACAAACAGTACGTCATAGCAAGTATGAGTTCAACAGGGACAATATTGCGTTGTTGGTTTTTTTTTTTTTTTTATCATAGTAAATTGACCTATTATCAAATTCAAAAAATAGATCTTTATCCGTGCGACGTCAGCGCTATTTTTTTGATATGTTAATTTTTGAGAGATATGTCAGTGCCTACGTAAAATATTAAAATCCTTAAATTTCGCTCGGAGAGAATTTATATAAAATAATTGAGTATTTCTTTTTTTCTGTAATGTTTATATATTATGTCAGTATAAATATTTTCAGTTTTCAATCGAATATATCTATACACTATAATACTTGTATAGATGATTTAATTAATAACAATTTATAAGAAAGATGAAACATTTAGTGAAACTAATACATTATTCGCTACACTCAGAATCTAAAAATTGAGTTTAATATAATATTTTTATTTTTAATAAGAATTTTTAATATCAAATTTGATGAAAATTGTTTTTATAAAAATGATATAGAACAAATCAGATTACTGCTCTATACGAATTGTTTCAATAAATATTTATTTTTCACTGTTATAATAATATGTATATTGTTGAAGAAGCAATACTATTGACCGAGCTCCATTCAGAATTGTTTTTCGTTAACAATGGTTTACCTTTGTATATGCATATACATTTAATTCCCCTCTATATCCTACCTTCTAAACTTCTCACCTATAACAGTGGCCCACCCATCGTGCGGTGTATGTCCGTTATTTTGTTTTAGTTTTTAATAAAACATTATAAATTTGTTACGAAAACGTGTTTAATATTACTTACTTTTGAGTCCCTCAGTGTTTTGTCTCTTTAAAAAATCAGGCCATGCCGTTATTGGAATAATATGGTTTAAAGTTGTCAATATTACCCAAACTTTAATCCACCAAATTCGATTGTTCATTGTGCCGTGTACGACATTCGCATAGTTTCGGAACAAACTGCAGTACACGCATTAAAACATATGCGTCGTGTAGACTTTTTTGTATCAGCGTGAAAATAAACCTAAACGTCCGAAGTAGGAGGGGGGGGAAGGTAAAGAAAACAGTGCGGTTTACGTGTCACAACGTCAATACTCGATAAATAGTGCAGATGTTAATAGAAAATGTCTAAAGTGGATATTTTTCAGCGTCGGATATCCCCCTTCTATAAAAAACAATAAAAAAATATTAATCTTATTTTTGTGTTGATTACAATATCTAATTTCTAATAATGGACTTCAAAAATTATATTTCTTAACTGAAATTGTTGTACGTATTATTGCTTTGACAATTTGTTATTATTGTTATTTTTTACTGTGTCTATGTAGAATTTCAATATTCCACTATAAAGCATTAATATCGATTAACAATTGTTTTTAACAGTTAAAATTGATTTAATAAAACTGACAAAAAATCTAACATTAAAAATACCGCGGGCCGCCTTATAAATTGTACCTATAATAAATACGTCTTTATCAAAATTAGTCAAGATTGTAATTTTAAATCAACGTAAATGTGAAGGGCGTCTAAAACCTAGTGTACCTACTTATTTAATATAGACTAGGTATTACGGTTAACGCGCACCCTCGCTCCCATCTTCTTATAAAATTACCTTTGCGGCATTATGTTAATCGAGTGGTCAATGACGAAGATGTTGAATGTCCGTCTGTTGAAAAATGTATCGAGTCGTAACCGTTTTACTATTACATTATATAATTTATCATATTACGTCACACGGTACATCGAAAAACTACGGAGATTGTGAGTGCTCTGTATACATTTTTGTTACACTCGTTATAGGACAGTGTTTACTAACACTGTTTACTAACACTAGTAGGTATGGGCTACTGTTTTTGCTGAGAAGCTAAAAGGGTAGGAAATAAGTGTATAACTAGCGTAATTTAATTCATATACCGTATGAAATGGATTTTAACGAATTAAATTATGAATTCAAACTTAAAACGCTGATAAAAATAAATAACATTACGTGCAATTTTCTTTTTATCACAAAATATAAATTATAATGTTTCTATTCAATAATTGAATATTTGCAAAGATTTCCAAGAGTTATTCACGTAAATGGAAATTGTACGACCAGTAAATTAGTGGTAGTTACGCATAATGTCCATGATTTATAAAAATTCGATCATAAATTTGAATTTTTAATAATTTAAACTTCCTAGTGTGTAAAACTACACTAAAAGATAATCCGATAATTCCGTTTGACAAAGTTAAAATTTCTGGCAAGTATCGGACATTTTTATTCTTGTTGTATTTTTCTTTACGATCTGGAATTTATGCAATTTAATTTGGTTTATAGTTAGTTGTATTCCTCCCGACTTCCTGCACTTTTATTTTACCCCTATTTTCATATTTTCATAATTAAATAATTGATTTTAATTTTCCCAATGAAAATTCAACACTATAGTTACATAAAATGTACAGATATACTTAAAATTCAATTGTAAACAAATATTCCGATTTCTAGACCATGTAGAATATCTTTTTATTATTTATTGCTACATAGTGAATTATTGTTATTTGTCTATGTAACATCTTAATGCATTTGAAACACAAAATTAATTCGCTATGCTGAATCATTTTTGTCAATAATAATGAAAACCAGGTCAAGTGTATTTTAGATTCTGAGTGGAGCGAAGAAGCTTATGGTTTTACAACGATGTTAGTTTTTATTTTTTTTTTTATCTGTGCGCAACTTTTCTGCCAGAATCTTTTTTTATGTAGTAATATTTTAAGTTTAAGTGTATCATCTTTCCTGAAAATGAATTTGATTGGGGAGGTACTTTTAAGTGGATATTTTTCGATTTTCTTAGTAGTTTTTTCAACAAATGTCAAAAACCCCCAAAAAACGTAGGAAAACCTGGAAAATCGATACAATTATTATTAAAGAAAATATATAATGCCAATTTAATTATTTTACTATAGTATGACATCTATATTATTGACAAAGCATTACTATCAACTGAATTCCTTTCAGAATCGTTTTTTCATTAGTAATATCGTGTATATAATCGTTGCTTATAGGTATACATTAAATTACTTATACAAGTGGCTGCATCCGAGCCCATTATCCTAGGACGTCTTTTTTTTTTTTTTCAAACAATACGCAGTTTATAGCGGAGAAGATTTTAAGCATAGGTTATTGCATTTAAAACATCGGTCTGACCAGTGGAAGTAGTGGACGACATTTCCTGCAGTAGTTTGGGCTGGATAAAAAAAAAAAAATGTATCAGATATTGTTTATTGCTTAGCAACCAATTAGCTAATTTATATAAGTTTGAAAATAATAAAAAAAAAAGAAAATGCATTTTTAAACATTTAAGGGCGACAGCGGCTAACTGCAGTAACACAAATCTAGGGGGAAATCGTTATTATTGCACACTATTTGGCACGGGTAACGCCGGGCGGGACAGCTAGTATAGAATTAAAGCTTGTGAACACATAAATATAAAATATTGTTTTAGTATTAATTTAAATATCATTATTCCATTAGTAGACGGCACTTGCTACAATCACATTATTGTTTAAAAGTTGCAAACGTTTAGTCAGCTGATGGCGTAAACCGTTGATCTACGAATCGACTCTCCCCCCCCCTCCCGGGCACGACCCGTCACTTGTATCCTAGCCAATCATAATTTGTTGCCGCTAAAAAAACTGCTCGATACCGGTCCATTATTACAGTCTCTTGGTCCGTGGTATTCACTGTTTCTGCGTTTAATGTTTACCGTTTAAACCACGCCCGCGCGGTCGGAGGAGGCCGAAGCCGAAACAATTCACGGCGATGAGAGACCATTGTTTTTGGGCCGAGACACGTGTGACGCGAAAGTTTTACAAATTGTCGGGCCGCTATTCGCGGATGGATTCGGAACGCGGACGCGCGTCGAGTTCCACCTCATTCGCCCCCCGCGGTTTTCAAAAGAAATTCAAAGAGCGGGATTTATTTCGGCCGCCGCCGAGGGCGTTTCACCGTAACAACATTTGCCCCCCCCCCTCCCACCGGGGAAAACGTTTAGTTCGCCGGAGCCGCGGTCCGCGGTCCGTCTGGCGATCTTGGCGGCCGCCCGCCGGTTTACGGCCGCGTCTTGTCCGCCGCGTCGTTGGCGTGCGGTTAAAACGATATCGCCGACGCGTACGAGACTCGATGGTGGTGGTGGGGGGGGGTGTGAAATCCCGAAAAATCGTTTCGGCGTCGCGGCGCCCGCACACGGGAACGCGCGACGCGCGACGCGTACCGCGGCCGTTCGTAATCCGGGCGTCCGTCGACGGGTTCACACGCGGCACCGCCGCGGACAAACGTGCAACAACGACAATTGCGTTTGTATTTATTTGATTTTTTTTTTTTATCATCATCCGAATCCGTCCCGACGGGACGTGTCGCAGAATGAAATCAGCTCATTACGCACGCGACGTCGTTCGAATAATATTTGTATTGTGCGCGCGTAAATGTCTCGTTACGCCGGCACGGGCGGCGCCGCACAACCCGTCGGATCGGGCCGCGGCGGCGGCGGTGCGGGCGGATTAACGGGCCGCGGCGAGTAGGAGGACGGCCGACCGCGACCGGGAGAGGGGAGACGGATAAGGGGCGTGAAAACGCGTACCCGGTGCCGACCCGCCGCCCTCACGTACACCGCGCGCGTGTGCCTGTACGCGGGGCGATCGGTCCGTCGCGCAACACACCCCGTTATAACCCGGGGGTTATCAGACAGGTTTTCGAAATTTTCTACGTTTAAGGAACAAGCGGCTCTGCGGTTCGACGATCGCGTTGTTTTGTCGTCACCCTCGTTTTCGGGGGTAAAACCGCCTTCGCCGTTTGCGCGGCGGCCTGGCGCGCGACGTTTCAATAACGATACGACCGTCCGTCGACCAGAACGCCAACAAGAGGCATGTCTCGTCGACGGATTCACGGAGATCAGACACCGACGTTTGTTTTTCACTATTGTTCCCGGACGTTCGTAGAATTTATACTATAGGGCGCCCCTTTGAAAACCGAAAATAGACAGGTGGTTTTACCCTCGAAATTAACGATGACAAAAAGACAATATGATTTTAAAAGCGTATGGCCGCTTGTTTTTCAAATAACGTTCTATGAAACAAGTGCCGAAAAAAATTAACACTTTCCGAGATAATGGGATTGTGTCTTTCGATAGATCGATCGCCCCGTACGCTTGTCCCGTTCCACCGCTACTGTTGTCTCGATGAAATGCCGGTCGAAATGAAAACGGGGGAAAACATTGTTTACAAAATACATCGCGTTTTCCGCCCGACCCGAACACAATACAATGCAATACAAGAAACGTGTTGTTGTAGGCATCGCGCTTTGATCAGCCTTATAATACTATTACAATAATTATATACTTTACTTGCCGTTGTGTACAGTGGTGATTTTTGAACTTTTTTCCGGGAGGTCTTTTGATATCAACTTGCAAATATTTATTCAACACGCAAAAAATATTCGCACAATATTTATCAGTGTATTTCGTTGAACGTACATGTTATTTTTTTAGATTCTTATTGAAGCGAAAAAGCTTATGGTTTTACAAAGATGTTTATTTTTTTTACTGTGGACAATTTTTATACCAGCAATTTCTTTCCGATTTACAACGATTGCTCTTTTTCCAAACGGAAATCTTACTGGGAAAGCACTTTAAGGAGGTAATTTTCTTTTCCCCCGATAAATGGGAAGAAACAGTAAAATAGGCATAATATTAAACAAATATTATTAAAGAAAATATATATTGTCTAATTATTTTACTCTCACTCGTAATTTCCGTATATCAGACAATCACTTTACTACTTATATCATATAGGCTAAAAGGTGAGGGGGGAGAAGAAATATTATAAAAACGAAAATTATAAAAGATTTCTAAAAATACAATCAAAAATATTATGACTATTTTACAAATGTTTATAATACATTACATTCACGTTAATGAAAAATCTTGT